TGCAATAAAGTAACGTTCTCCTCATCTCTTTCATATATGATGAGGAATGCAGATGCGAACCAAGAGTGAACGAAATAGAACTGTCACATATGCAGGCACAGATTGCGAATATGGTTCGCGGAGGTGGGCATTCGCGATATGCATATGCTGATGTCAGCATGGATTGCTGCGGAAAGGTGCAAATATTTCATGGTAACCTTGGGGGAAATATGCAGCAGGAATTGTACCTGGAGAAACATTCGTAATGAAATGAAATAATTCATACCCCCATCACTAAATGAAGTTTGCAATAATTTGATAAACTTCGCAGTGTGGCCCATTGGCGTTACAGGTGAAAGGAAGAGCAAGTCGAAGAAGACTCGCATTGCAAGGTTGGCACAATTTTGCTACTACTTTTCGACCTGTCAGACTCGAGCAATAAGTTCGAACATGGCAAGGTAAAGACTATAGGCTCATGAAAACCTAGAATTATCTGAATATGACTATCTGCTTAAAGGTGCCAGTTCTGGCCAGGATAAAGATTCGAGGAGGAAATGAACCCTTCACATCGGACAGGTTCCCGTCTAGACCATGTGCTTAGAATGTGATATAGCGACGGAAATGCAAGAGTAATTACTAGCATGAGTAAGCGGTAAAGCCGATAAGTTGCGGAAATGTATAGTAAGGAATGATAACTTGATCCGGATCCGGATCTTATTATCAAATACGAACAAAATGCATTGATCACCACTGATCGACGGATGGATTTGTGTCTTTTCTGAGAGGGAATCGGCGAAGTATAAAAATCATAAAAGATGCTCCAAGAAGTGAAGTGCGTAGTCTGATGTTTCTTGTTTGGAGCCTCTTTTACCTCACACTTACAAGATAGATGGGACTTGAAGCTTTAGCAGTCATGAAAAGCGAAGTTCAGTTCACCTACTAGGTATTTTCTGTTGAATATGAGGTGACAAGCATGTTGTGGCTGCAGGAAAAGGAAGAAAATATACCCCACAATAAGTCATCTTTCTTCTCGAAGAAAGGATGCGTAGGCGAAGTATATACCTTTTTACATACACGGACTAGAACTAAAATTGAAGCTAGTACCTTTGTATCTCTAGTATCTGAGATGATTACATCGTACCGGTACATGAATTTGAGAGAAGGAAGAGAAGGAAGAGAAACCTGACAAGGGAATTCCACTCGACCCGGCCATTCCAAAGTCTCACCGCCAATCTCGATTGAAACTGAGGTAAAGTGGCATGCCGATATTGATTATCTTATGACCATGGGGGCAAAGGTGGACAATCACACCCTCTTCGCATTATTGGAGGGTATACAGATTATATTGTTAAAGTACTGTATGTAATATAAGTCAATAGATTAGAAAAAGTATTTTGCATCTGCGGGGCCGGCCCGAGTGTCACGGCAGCTATGCCCAATCCCGCCGTACGTGGTATATGTATGATATCTGCCCGACGGCAGCAATGCATCAGAATTGGAGTTTTTGACATATTGGCAATAAAAGAGGCACCGGGGTACATAGGAAATGTCTACCTTTCTTTGGTGTATTTGCGAGTGACACGAGGGGTAAAGGAACGCCAAATGTCGGAGAAGATGTTGCCGCAAGCCAGAATTCGCTACCAGAACCAACACCATACTGTGCAGTGCCGTGCTTTAACAATGATACGTATGTGCTTGATACCGACGCTCTATGTTTAATGCCTAATGCTTGAAAGATGCGGCGGCTACATGAGTTAGTCGGATTTGAAAGTGCTCTGCCTGGAGATAAAATTATCGTGCTGTTCAGTGAACCGATTTCTCCATTTCCCCGGCTGAGTAAGTGACCTACCTAGGTACGGAGAAGATGTGAAGGAGGTTCACGTGGGCAGGCATATTTTAGGATACTGTCGCAGAGCAGAGTAGTAACCATGCAGTCGTTCATGAAATCAATAGCGACGCTGAGCCTGATATGGATAGATATTATACATAGCGATTTGGTACACCGTCACTTCCCGAGAAGTTTGAGTAAACCGGCAAGATATATATACAAATGCAGCAGTAATCATTACTCCGCTCTCATGCCGCGCTCGTCAGTACATGATGAATACAGTACATGATACATTTAGACGAATGGCCTACCACGTGTCAGTAAACTAATATCTGACATGCAGTCGATCCTGATTCATTCTCGAGTGCTCTAGCGGAAGTTTTTTTGTCAGGGATGGAAGTTGGAAGTGATGGGGATTCATGGGATATGGCAGAAGTGGGGCGTTTCCTTGCAGAGCAACCGAAATTTGGTAGCAGAGCAGATGGGCGCTCAGACCGTGTGTGGCTTGGGGGGGTTTGTGTGTGAGTGTCAACTTGTGGATTGGTTGGTGGTGCCATTAGATCGCTAAGGTCCAGGCCCTCCATCTATCCTGGGGTGTCTGCGATGAATGTGACAGTACGTACTGTACCGGTAGAGAAGAAATTGTAGGGAGAGAATGCTAATCGGGTGGTAGCTGATACCCAGTACTGTACAACGATTACCTCTTAGGTACCTCCGAGGTAGTAGTCGATACGATCAGACAGATCTCAATTACCTTTGAAGTTTGTCCTCTTGTCCTCTTGTCCTCTGGTACTCTCGTACTCTCGTACTCTTATACTCTCGTACTCTCGTACTCTCGTACTCTCGTACTCTTGTACTCTTGTACTCTTGTACTCTTCTACTCTTTCTAGCATTCGGTACTATATATACATTGTAAATTTTAATGTGCAAGGCAATGAAACAGAGGTAAGAAAAATAAACATAAAAACAAAAATACTCTTTTACCGAGAACTTTCTTTCATCATAGCGCGGATTGCTTACAACACTGCTTCCGTAACGTCAACGGGCCCCCTATAATATGAGCTGCTATACCCTCACCCTCATACTCATACTCACACTCACTCATGACTTGTATGATGTTTGAAACCTAATGCCATTATGCCCATGATTGTCCCCAACTCTCCCTCTCCCTCTCCCTTCCTCTTTCCATTTCCATTCCCATGAACAACCTTCTTTTGGATCCCATCCCGATGTTTACCAGAGCCAAGAATGCTCGTGAATGGAAGATTACGAATTACCGAATAACCTCAGCCATATCTGGACCACAGTAAACATCGTTGCTGCACTGTCCGGTATCGTATGTACCTGTTACACGAGTCGCCAACCACATACATCGATGCATGATACACATTGCATACCTACTTATACGGTTGATGATGTATGGGTCGCATCGATGAAAAAAAAAGGTAGGTAGGTAGGCCAATTATGCAGTGTACAATATCAAATCACAACCTAAAACTTTATGTGGAGTGATTTCCAGCCTGTTTCCTCAGCTTACCTTTCAATCTCCCAACAAGCCTTCATCGTTCAGGAAACTTTTCCTCTTTGTATTTGATGGAGCAATTCAAAGCGCATAGGAGCCCTCATCAAGCAAGTTCCCATAGCATCTCCTGCCCCATTGGTGGACATTATACCGGTACCGACGCTCTAATTCATATGGGCCCGGAGCACACTATGCCTTGCTTGACTCTCATGCCTGTGCTCTGCTGGCGGTCAAAGAAATGAGGAGGCTCTCATCAACTACTAGAAGCATAGTACGAAACATCTAACAGATATGACAATACGAGAAGAAAACAAAGACAAGCAAAAGGAAAAAAGGGAAGAAAAAAAGAAGCGGAGCTCGAAAGTCTAATAAGAGAGAAGAGATGTACAGTCGCATTGATGAATGTACCTACGAAATACTTGCTACTTTCAACAATATTCAGGTTCACGTTCACGTTCACATTTAAATCTACATCTACATCTACATCTACATCTACATCCACATCCACATCCACAATACAGTACGAAATACATTCGCTGCACTCACGCATTTGCAATATAGGAAACTTCACCCACTTCACCCCATCCACCCATCCACCCATCCACCCGTCCACTCCTTCATCCAATCAGTAAACATACCAAACAAAGTTCAAATCAATTAAGAACAATTCGAGGGACCAAATCACCCTTTATTTATTTTTTCCCTTGTACTCATCCATCCAGACTTTATCAATATATTTGATTAACATAAGTACTCCTCAAGGCGTTGTTGGGCTTTGTATGTTGCATGTGCCTTCTCCATCAAGTTCCCTGCACTCTTTTCACACCTTTGCGCAGAACTGACGCATCTATTGTTCGCATTCACACTCCCGAATACAGGTATCCGGGTCCCAATATTTGATACTTAATTCAGAAAAATTTGAGAAGATTTGAAATTCCAAAACTGGAGTTACAAAAAGCCAGCCAAGAAAAGAGTTATTGAGAAAGACAACTTGTTGAGAAGGACACATTGGGAATTTGATGATTGGGAGTGGAAAGAGGTCAAAGAGAGTATAAAGAGTTTTATTTAAAACGTGCGAGAGTAAAGGTAAGATATTAAAAAACAAAGTTATATATTTCTTTCTTTGAAGTCTAGATCATCATTATCAACATCAACATCAACATCAACATCAACATCAACAATCATCACCAAAGTACAGGCTACCTCAGTACGCTTCTTTGGAAGTTGGGTGTTATTATACCTCTCTTAACTTTTCAACATTCAAAAGTACCCACGGTACAAAGTACATCACCTCAAAGTTCATATCTTGATATATTAACCTTTTTAAATTATCAACTCGAGTTACCTATTTACTACTTTACTATCTTGTCGTGTATATCTCGTCTCGTCTCGTCTCATCTCATCTCATCTCACCACATCAGTCTCCTCTACTTGTACTTGTACTTCTACTTTTACTTCTATTTCTTCCTCATCTTCCTACTTCGTCTTTCATCTTCCATCTTCCATCTTACACCTACTTTTATCCTCACTTTTCTAGTACCAAACTTTAAAATAGGAATCTGATATTAGTACGAGACTATTAAACTATTTTTTGAGCCAAGATTCCCCACCATCATCTCCGCCACCATCACTTATCTACATCCACATTCACATCTATTTGTTGATCATCTTTTTCATTCGACAACTGCATTTGTTGGTTACACCGCAAATCGCAGATGAATTTACATAAATCCAATCCATTTTGCTGATCATACATCTTTGAATTTCCTTTAGGTATCAGGGTATCAGTCCAATTTCAGTCGTTAATACCTCGGTATCACTACAGAGCCAGCCAGCCACAGCCACTCCGGCACCGCGCTCCTCGAGAGACAAGTCATAGAACAAGCTTGTCCCAGTCGAAAGGGTCATGAGCTGTCCACGATTGCTTTTTAACCCGGTATACTGATGAGGGAAGGAAAGGGAGACTTTCAATTAATATAAATTGTAATGGCGGGCGTCGATAGGTACTTGAGCTCGAGCTCTAGTATTCATCCGAATGGAATGGGTACTTATACCACAGCAACAATATTGGATCTCGCGCACTTCAATTATCCATGGATTCTTTTGGTCGTCTTTCTTATCTCATTCATCACACACAGCATCTTAACTGCAGAGTCTTCTGATGAATCTGGACCGATGCTCACAGGTCCTGGCGGAAAACCTTTACCGCGGTCTGTTAGGAGGACAAAACAAGATAAGGATAGGCTCAAGCTGCAAGATTTCAGCCCTGTTCGGAAATTATTATTGCTCTGGCTTTCGGCTGGTATTCTGGCAACGTTTCTCGGCAATGCGATCAACATTGTAGTACATGCCCTCGATAAACGGGAGAATGGTTGGTGGTGTGGCGAAGCAACTGCTGTAAGTATCCCTTCTTCCAGCTTATGTTCAGGATGAAACAGCTACTGACCATTCTTGAATGCAGATATATGTTTGCGCCTCTCTCTTTTTCTACAGTGTCTTTCTCATTTCCTTAGTCGACACAACACCCTCACCCTCAATTGCACATCAGGTTACATGGTTCGTTGCGCTGGTTATTGAAATTGTGCTTTTTGCCGCTTCGTTATCGTTATATACCTCAGCTCACCCGGAACTCAACTCACTGCTTGCATACGATCCAGAATTTCACAAATATGCAACCCAATGGGAAATTGTTGAGCTTGTACTCGATGCAATTCGAGTAGTTCTACTTTTCTTCTGCGTAGCTTTTTATTGTGTCTTCACCCTTGAACGCTCATTCAAATGCAAGAATACAAGTCGGCATAGTAGCAGTGAGCCTGACGAGAACAGCCCTCTCATTTTCAATGGTCGAGCGAATGGGAACGGTCATGTTTCCGGAAATGGTTCAATTGCAAATGCATCTGCTGCGGACTCCTTATCATTGAATGGACATGCAGCTGCGAATGGTTCTGCCGCACGAGGCGTCGACATTCAAGGGAGACCGATTGGTCAGCAGCGTGTGGACGAAGTGCCGGCCTTTTACAAGCCTACGACAGCTACAACGAAGACGTGGTGGGAGTATTTGAAAGGATATTCACTCTTCTTTCCATATTTATGGCCGGCTAGATCCGCTCGCTTGCAAATAGTAGTAGTCGTTTGCTTCCTGCTTGTCGTTATGCAACGAATAGTGAACATCGCGGTCCCTTTACAAGTCGGAAGGGTTACCGATGCGCTTACTGGCGATGATGACAACGAGGTCACGATGCCGTGGTTGTCAATTTCTCTACTCATCGCATTCAAGTTTCTTCAAGGCTCTTCCGGAATTTTAGGGGCTGCTAGATCTATTCTATGGATTCCAATTTCACAGTACTCATACAAGGCTTTGACCACCGCCTCATTTGAGCATGTCCATGGTCTGAGTCTGGATTTTCATCTTGGGAAACGCACCGGAGAAGTCTTATCGGCACTTAGTAAGGGTAACGCCATCAATAATTTCCTTGAGCAAGTGACCTTCCAGGTACTTCCAATGATATTTGATCTTGGCGTAGCTATTGGTTATTTTGCATATGCCTTCGACGCATACTACGCTCTCGTGGTTAGCATCATCACTTTTTCCTACCTTTACCTTACCATCCGAATGGCAAGATGGCGATCGGACCAACGTCGACAAATGCAAAACCTCAGCCGTGAGGAGGATGCTGTCAAGAATGACTCTTTGACGTCTTATGAGACCGTTAAATACTTCAATGCTGAAACTTATGAATTTGATCGTTACCGACAGGCGGTCTCGGCATTTCAGAAGATGGAATTCAAAGTAACCATTTCTTTGAATATCCTTAACATTAGTCAAAACTTGGTATTCATGGCTGGACTTCTTGTAACTTCGTTCATCGCTGCATATCAAGTTACCACTGGTAAACGTCAAGTGGGACAGTTTGTGACTTTAATCACGTATATGGGCCAACTTCAACAACCTCTAAATTTCTTTGGATCTTTCTATCGAGGAGTTCAGAGCGCCATGATCAGTGGCGAACGTCTTCTTGAACTATTCAAAGAGGAGCCAACTGTTGTAGACGAGCCAGCTGCTCAGCCACTGCCAGCATGCGAGGGTCGAATTGACTTCAATCATGTCAAATTCTCCTATGATACCCGAAAGCCTGCTCTGGAGGACTTGAGTTTTACCTGTAAGCCGGGTACCACGACAGCTTTTGTTGGAGAATCCGGAGGAGGAAAATCTACTGTTTTTCGGCTACTCTTCCGATTTTACAACACCCAGAATGGTAGTATCCAACTTGACGGCCACGACATCAGGGATATAACCATAGATTCGCTAAGACACCACATTGGTGTTGTACCACAGGACACAATCCTTTTTAACGAGACTCTTATGTACAATCTCCGCTATGCCAACCAAGATGCGACTGATGAAGATATTTACAATGCATGCCGAGCTGCATCAATCCATGATAAGATATTGGCGTTTCCGGATGGTTACGATACGAAGGTTGGAGAGCGAGGTCTTCGTCTCAGTGGTGGCGAGAAGCAGCGAGTAGCGATAGCACGAACCATCATCAAGAATCCCCGGATCATCATGCTTGATGAAGCTACTGCTGCATTGGATTCTGATACTGAACAACACATACAAGAAGCATTAACGACCTTGTCCGAAGGCCGTACTATGCTAGTCATTGCGTAAGAGCTCTAAATCAAATCCGTTACCGTCTGCATTATACTAACCAACGTCACTATAGCCACCGATTGTCCACTATCACCAATGCAGACCAAATATTGGTTCTTCATGCCGGGCAAGTCGCTGAAGCTGGAACCCATAGCGAGCTCTTACTTAAGAAGGGTCGATATGCACAGATGTGGAAGAAGCAAATCAGAGCCGAACGAGCAGCTGAGAAAGCTTCCGAGATGGTAGCTAGAGCCAGAGCTCTCAGTGAAGCAGCGTCCATCCAGACTCCTGGCAGTCACTCTAGCAAGGTCAACGGTGGCAGTACGGAGGTAAGCGAGTACGAGGGAGATAACCACAGCAATAGAACACTGGTCGCCTCCACTTTAGCGACAAGAGCTCCTACTCGAACTCCGGAGAGTCGAATCAACGATGACAGTGCTAGTTCTAAATCTAGCTCTAGTTTAGATTCAGATGGCCACAAATCAGATGAAGACAAGCAAACGGGGGATCACAAATCTGACGACAAAGCCGGTGTCGACAAGTCGGACAAGCCAAACAACCGTTGAATGACATTAATATCTTGAGGTTTTCTTTTGAATGTGTTTCCAATTCGCCTCAAACTAATATGGAGACATTTCTACTATATATCTCTCCACTGCCGCCGTTAAAAATTGCATGTAATGGTGGCAAAGGAGCTCTTTCCGTTCCACTTCAGTCTACTGGACTTGATGTGTTCTTTTATATCCAGCATCGTTGAGATTTTCTACCTGATAGAATCACCGCTCCTTTCACAATACCCTTGATTTTGTCACACACCTTGCGAATTTGGCCTTTGCTGTTTAGATGTTTATAATGCACATGCATACTGCGACGATGATTCACGACTCGAGCGTAAATGAAGCATGTTTGGAGGTTAGCGATTGGGTTTTCTAGTTTTTTAATTTACCGGTTTATACGTTGGAGCTCGGAAAATGGCTGGCTGTGATATGGGAGACTTGGAAGTGTGAGCTAGTTAGTTTGCTGGAGATTCGTGGGGTTTGGTTCGCTTTTAAAAAAGAATGGGGCGGGGAGAGGTGGACAAAATCACAGGGAACATTTGTGCGTTACAATAGAGTACCGGAGCAATTCCATACCAAACAAAATAATTGAATGGGGATGAAGATAGGCAGTTCAGAATTGAAGCTTTGAAAAGGTTGAAAATCAGTCATGAGCGCACCTTCAATATGATCAAAATAAGCATGGTTAGTGGAAAGCAATGAGAATACGTCAACTTCGCGCTTTACTATTCTACATTCCTACACTCGCCTACCGTCGCTAACGCACCCGAACCCCATTCTCTCTCAGTTTATCTGTATTCCGGACGAACGAAATCGGCAAAGGTCTTTGGTTCCTCGTAGTTGTGGTGTCCATCATCGTGGTGATCGTGGTGGTGATCGTGAGCATCTGTTTGTGGACCAACATATTCCATTTTCAAAACATTTCCGCACTCTGGGCAACGCTCGATAGGACGGTCGCGAGACATCTGGAAGACGGAGTTAGAATTTACAATTGATATAAAGAAAATTTTGTAAGGTGGGATGTGGGAAAGAAGAAGAGAAGGGTTCCATAGACGTACTGTAAGCCAGATAGTAACATGCGAGTCAACTGGGTATCCAGTACAACCGGCATATTGTTCGTCACCGAAAGACTTGACAATGATTGGGTCCTCCAACGTGCCTAAACATCTCTCACCAATCAGCAAATCCACCCTCATTCATCCCATCCGTCTCATTCATTTCATCCCTCGAAACTGAGACGAAACAGCCCCATCCTAATGTTCCTTCTAAGCGAACCATGCATGCATACCTTTTCTGGAAGCATCCAAAGGCTTCATGTCGAAAATATCAACTCCCTGCATCTTTCCCAAGATCTCAAGACGCTCTAGACCAGTCGCTTGCTCGAGATCGGTAGGGACAGTTCCGGGTAAGGCACCGGGCCCGATGAGATCAGCTTCGGTCTTGATTTCTGTAGGTCATTCGTATATATATCAGCCCATTTATCCCATCTTTCCTCTCCCATTTCCCTACACATGTTCGAGACAACGCCGGGGTTTGCGAACAAACGCACCTTCGAACTTCTTGATCTTTCGATCGCCCGATGCGGCCGGTGGCGCGGCTTCTCCTATACATAAGAATTAGTCTTGCAATCAATTCATACACAAGTTTCCGCCCCAGGATCCGCGGCCCAAACCTAGTTTTCCGGATACATGGGATCGGGAATACACATACTTCTAATCATGCTAGTAGCAAAGCTGCGTCGCACGACGGGAGAGACGGCTACTCTGCGAGCAGCAGCAATGGCTGAGCGTTGGAGAAACATGGCGGGTGTGTCGATTGGGGGTGCGGACAATGGTACGATATGTAGGTAATTTTGATGATTTCGTGAAGTTGCTTGTCGGGAGACGCTAGTTTGTGATGACTAAGCTGGGCCGACTGTTTCTGCGTGGGATGCACGAATGGATGGGGTATCACGTGTCCGGTGTATAAACGGGAAGGTGGGGTGGTTCGTTTTTCGAGGATGAAAAAATGTGCTTTCTTTGCTAAGTGCTGTTCATTATCAGCACCTCAACATTCTTGTTTGATTCGTCCAGAAATAGACACCTTTTCTTCTTCTTAACATATATATGTCTAGAACTTGAAAAAGCTCTAAAGAGTATATGGAGTTGCTTTCCAAAGGGGAAGCGCAGAAGGCAGAGAGAGACATGCAACAAAATTTGTGAGATGAATAATCTCGCTTGTTTATTAGTTTTCACCGGGCAAAGTCTTGCACCGAAATTTGCTATTCGCGGCTATGTGTAGAGTTAGTTAATTGAGTTCCTTCTTGTACCGAATCATTTTCTACTTACTTGATCTAATTGCATTGCCTTCAGAATTGAATGCACGAAAACGCTCTCGGGACTTTAAGAGTTTCCTACCAGAATTTGTCAATATAGTCTTTGTCAAAGTCTCAAGCCTAGTTCAAATATTACCATTTTTCTGATCGTTCGAGAGCCCATTGTGCTCTACATGTATAGTAGTTAAAGGGAGCTTCTATTCTCCCTCTTTTTCAGTCTCACAGAGATCCCCCTGAAGTGCAATTACTTCGGAGTACAGATATGCAACAAACCAATATTAAACTCCACTTCCCCGCGCGCCCCGAATCCCGGCAAAATCCATCAGAAGCCCTATCCTCAAAGAAATCTTCACCCGTTGATATACTTTGTATTCTACTATCTAGAGATATAATAGGGAGAACATGTCCTCTTCTCCTCATCAGGTAAAACAAATCATTCTCTCCTATTTTTGTTATATTCCGACCATTGAGTCTGGAAGACCAATAACATTCAGAGTCAGATATGCAGCACAAATTATTTTGAGTTTTCTAGTGCAACTTACTCTGCGTCTTTGCCACTTCTTCGATATTACTAGGTTCTCTCATTGATACACACATACTCCAGATATTCGATTGAACATAGTTCACACCACGATACACAAGTCGCAAATTGGCACAAAACATTCTCAAAAGATCACTGCTTAATAGATAGGAGAGATCGAACAGCATATAGGTCGTTCAGAAATCCAAGAAACAACTTTGAAGGTTATCCGAAGAACAAACAGAATTTCCATGGGCTATTCGAGAAGAATGCTATCAATCTAGAGAATGTTACCCATCTCACAGAACACCAAAAAGTGAATATAATATGAATGTATGCAGTCTTCCGTAAAACTCCAAATCACCCATAACACTATATATAAACGTGCTAACGCGTGGAGGAATAACCTTACCTTGGTGTTCTACACTAACATTATTACTTGAGAAACTATTGCTGACCTCAGTCGCGCAAAAAGAGAGGCACTCCGTAATTTTAGTGAGTTTGTTTTGAACTTCAAGCAGGGCTACCTCTATTTTCCGCCTCATGTGCTATTGGCCGTCTCTTCCTTCATCAAGTGGCTATATGGTATTGGAACTGCTTAGGCAAGCAGGAGTGACTGAATGATTGGAAAAGTCTTCCTCGCCACTTCCTTCCTTTACCGTTAACGGGCTGGGCGCAGCAGCTATGGAAGTTGTACCCCCGGCTGTATCCTATCTTCCTTGCGAAATTCCACAGGCGAGGAAGAGGTGGTCCACTCCACTTTTCATGGTTTCCTATCAACATTTCACCACCGTGCAGAAATGCTCTTGATTATCTCCAAAAGAGCTATGTACTAAAAACCAAATTTTAGTCCGTAGTCTGGTCAATACGTCATTTTGACTATACGCTTCTGGATCGATGTCCGCCTTTATCAATGATACAGCATGGGTGTTTATGGTCCCGAAAGGCGTAGATGGAGTTAGCATTGACTCCTTCCATAAGCCTTCCAGCATATGATTGATTTCCAAGCTCAAGATGCTCTTGGAGTCTTACACATCGCAAGTAGATGACATTCTGAACACCATGGCCGCTCTGTTGGCTTTTGTATCACATCGCACTCCTAATAACCTCTGCTAGTCCGTATTGCCTCCAGATATTTTATACATATATACTCAGAGCACAAGACAATTTGAGACATCAGTTGCAGATGTGGAACGTCAGATCTTGTATCCATTTGGTTCGGGATTCTGGTACCTACGCTGCTAGAGATGCTAGGGCAACACAATATGGTCTATGACTTTCCAGGCAGAACTTATATACATATCTACTTCAACTGAACCAGGAAAAGCTTTCGAGATTCCAGTCAGAATATTGTGTAGTCATATACAAGTGGCTGCTCTACGTTGTTCAGAAGCATTCATTGGCATGAAAGATTTAGATCAAATCAAGTATTACTTGAAAGATGGAAGCATTGAGGCTTCTCCTTCAATAGCGGCATATCTAATGAACACTTCAAGCTGCAACGGCAAATCAGAAATTTGTCTCAGAAACACCATCATTGAAGGTGCGGATAAAGGCAACGGAGGGGTTTCTTGTGCATTCCCAACTACGTTTTCGAGTTTGTCTGGGTACGATATGTTCAAGTTTTGCACAAATTTATGCTAGTCCAGTTAATGATCAATCTGGATCGTTTCTCCACTCTTTTGAAGTAAGATTATATCCCGGAAGAGCTAGGGAATATAATCTTGGCATGCTGGTGTGCCATCTGCAGTAAGAAATAAGCGCCAGGGAAGGAATTATTGGTTTTGATGAGCCAGCAATGCTCACAAATAGATGCTTATGATAACCCTGCAGCCCCCTCGTTGCTTTCTGATGCCTGTGATACGGCAAAATGTATTCTCACGCTTCGCCTGCTAGGGAGACCAGTGATAGCACAGCAAATAATTGCAAACTTTGAAGTTGAAGGCCATTTTAAGACATACGCACTTGAGAGGAATGGAAGCATCAATGCAAATTTCAATGTGCTAACGCCTTGTTGCATATCGATAAGCAAAATAAATACATCAAACAAATCCTTAGCACAGTCGATTTATTGCGCAATTCGTGGTCGGCGGGAAAGATCGATGATAAATGGGTGTGTAAATTTGCCAGCTCGCCTTTGTACACTCTATGGTAATAAAGGGGATAAGGATTTTTTCAAGCAGTATTCAATAATGCTTTTGGCTCAGACACTCCGCAAGCTTGTGATGATGTGGAATAGTGAGCACTACCAAACATCTGGAAAACCAGTTAAAAGGCAATTCCTTTAATATTAATACAGATACTACACTGCGCATTGCATACCCAGAAGAGCGATGGTTCTTGGGCAATCTGGGCTCCTGCGAGATAACTGCATATATTATCCTAACTTTGACTGATGCTATTTCATTTCCCTGGACTTGAGATCTCGTTAAGCAAGTGCTTGAAGCTATCCGTGCGGGGCAAAAACTCTTGATGCAGCATCAAGGTGATCGGGACAAAGCCACATATATCTAGATTGAGAAGTTCGGCTACGGATAAGCATATTGTATATAAAATATTGCGTAGCGACGGTCTATGCGGCCAAAAGTACCACACAAACTCACCACAATTGGAATCACTTTCCAACTTCTCAACATCCCGTTAAAGTGGTAAAATTTATCAAGTTTTTCTCCTGGATTCCATAAGTTCGCTAGTGACAGCTCGTGGAAGCTTAGTGCCTCTATTATCCAAGGATATATGTTTTTTTTCCACGAATACGTCGAATCTACTTGGATGTCTTCCCTCGTCAAAATATGACGGAGGACAAGTATTTTAGAGTGTAATTCTTTCGTATGAACTGGTTGTAATAATAAGGGTCTATTTCTTGAGATCGACCTGATTTGGGATACAATGGTCATCTCGATGCCGAATTATCAGACAAATTCATAGAAGCCGTACTTGGACACCACGACCCAACGGGACATTAAGTTCGAGACTTGGTTCCAAAGACCACTCTGAAAGCCGACTTTTTTCTCCTCGCGAGAGTCCTCCAGTGTCTTGTGGCATCATCACTCTCTTGATCTCCGACAATTGTATACTAGGATGATTCCACAGATGATGTCCGAGCCATTCTCCTCTGTTCAAACCCACATTTTGTGCCATCCTTCTATCCAAAATGTTTTCGAGACGACTTTAGCCTATCTGAGAAAACGATAGGAGAACTTTATACTGGCATATCTCACGTATTCAAGCGACAACGCAAGCTTCGCCCAACTTTCACGACACGATGCTGACGCGCCCGTGACGTTTCCAGCATCAAGAACCTATTGAAATTTGGTACGCAATATTCTCGCAGTTCATAAATCTCCTCATTCTTGGGACTAGTTATCGTGCCGGGTAGCATCAGCAAGAAAGATAAGCCGGCCACACCGCCCTTACCAAGTATTTTCGGCGAAGCTGGTCAAATATCTTGCTGTGATGTGCCGGATGTACAACGATTATGGATTGCTGGCATGGATAAAGTAGAGAGAAATCTCAACATGTTAATATGCCCAAGTTTGAACATGTAAAGCGTCTAGTGTAGCGGAAGATGAGGTTTCTGATCTCACAGAGAGAAAGAGTACATTGACGGCAATTCTAAAGTATCGGCATGAATGCCTTTTTGTGATTAGGGCATCATTGAGATCTTTGCTCGATGCTAAAGTGAGGAATGTCTTGGAAATCTTTTTGAATGTCACGGATTTGTATGTATAGATCTATGTTGCTAGAGATATTACCAGAAGCTCTAGATTGGCATACAGATTTCCTTTCTTGACTCTCTAGATGTCTGGGTAGCCTCGGCAATCTGTTCCTCTTAATAGTTATTACCTTGCTACTTGGTTATCAATTCACTAATGCTGGAATCTTCAAATCCTCTAAAACCAGTCAAAACCCATTACTATAAGATTTTATTGTTGGGATGCCATGTGAGCAATTTCATAAACGGAGCTAGGGCCGCGAACTCTAGCTCCTTCGCTTTCATATAAATAGTTCATTTCTTATAGTATAGCTAGCACGAATGTATGGCACACAATACTGTAATAGTGCTATGTGAATAGTATCACTGGGATGGTAACAACACTTGCCTTACACTAGTTTAAGCTACTGAGAACGGCAGGTTCGATTATCATTTTCTAAACTTCAAATGCTTGCTAAGCTAACTGCTGCTTTCATGCCACGTATGTATCAAAACATCTTGGTTAGATGGATATGGATATTGTGAACGTTAACGTAAAAGAGTATGACGGGTTATAATCATACTGCTAGGTAATTAATAATAACCCAGTCTCCTCCTTTACAACCCTTGCTAAACCATACAAATTCAATATCTCTAATCATTCAAAGCCCTCACTCCAGACCATCAGTCAATGTCTCCACCAAGCCTCTTACTCCAAACACTCACAACCCCTCACTCCAAATCCCGTACACACAGCCATAAGCCACCGCACATTACATCTCAGAACATAACATATAAGCCTCATATATCGACAAATATATCTCTATACTATTAAAAGCGAAATAAACTACCGCTAAACTCCTCAAATTGAATAATTACATTTTAGTTTTACATCATTTAGATTCTAATATAAAATAATTAAATTCTATATTATAAATTTTATTTATACTTTATATTATAGAATCTACTCTTTACATTTGTTAAAAATTCCATCCAGATTCCAATTCCAAACACTCTTATTATAGAATTATAAAACAGAAATGAAATTCAAATTTTGAGTTATTTCATTTTGAGAGAATATAAAAATAATCCATTATATATCAAATATCTCCCATCTCTTTAAAGCCTTAACATCAATCCTCAATCTCTAATCTTAAACCATAATAATCTTATTAAACTCATTATATTATCTCTTTTTCTCTTGTATTAACAATCACATTTAAAGCTAATTATTAATTATAACAAAACACTACAAAGTGGTTCTATAGTTATTCTATATCACAATACAACTCTCTCTCTCTAAACCCATCACCACATCCTTCATTCATTCATCCCAATTACCAATTCCTAAGAAATCTCCCACTCGATATCCTTCTTCAATCCTCCCTTTAAAATTCTTCACCCAACCCCCGCCCTCCACCCCCTAAAAAATCACAAAAATTCCAAATCATCGTCTAGATCTTAATTCTAAAATAAATACACCTCGAGCTCAACCCTATCATATCCATCCATTCATTTATCCACTTCATCTATCCACTCCACTCCACTCCCTTCCGCTTACATATTCCCCCACTCCACCCCACCATACACACCCCAGTAATAACTCACGCCTCCAGTCCCTGCTCCCTGCTCCCTGCTCCCGTTCCCGTTCCTATTTATATTTCTGTCCCTGCATATGTTTCAATTTCAATTTCAATTTCAGTTTCAGTTTCAGTTTCAGAAACTGCAGCCTGCAGATACTACAGAGTATGATTATGTACAATACAATATATAAGAAACAACAACACTATATATAATACACTCACTATACTACGCGCCGAAACACTATACTTTAAACAATACACTGTACACTCGCTATACACCAAACCCAAATATTAAACAAGAACATTAAACTTTAAACTCCGCGCAAAAACATTATATACATTTTATACAATACTCTAAAGCCATTTATCAAATCACTAAATATATTTATCTATTTAATCTAATCAATTAATCTAATCAATTAATCTAATCAATTAATCTAATCTATTTAATCTCTCAAATCTTTCAAATCAAATTTAAATTTTTAATTTTTAATTTTAATATTTTATAAAACATCTTATAAAATATTTATATAAATTATTTATAATATTTTATAATCTATTAGATAAATAAATATATAAGTATATATAATAAATATAATTAATAATTAAAATAATTTCATTTTATATTTTAATATAAATTATAAAACAAATTATAAACAAATCTTATTTTAATCTTATATTATATATTTCTTTTTCTCTCTCTTATCGAGTTTCGTCCGCGTTTAAATTTTTAAATTTTTAATTATTTTATTTAGTTTATTATATTGTTTTACTTCACTATCTCAGTACGTAACCCTCTTCACTATTATCAGAAGTCTCAAAAAAAGCAAGAAAAAAAAAGGAACAAAAATCAAATCAAAACCCAATCCTAAAAAGTATATATTCCAACTATTAAATAGCAAAATGTCAAAATAACAAAAAATTCCAATAATTCCATCCAAACCATGAGTCCATCATCATCATATCAAAATAAGGGGTATATGAAGTTTAAAACCATGTCCAACAGTTGCCATCCAAATATCACTCACTACCCACTTTTCCTGCTCCATCCACTTTACCTTCACCTTCTCCTTTCTCCCTTCTCACTTCTTCCTTTATCATGATTGGTATATTTTTTTGTGTTCGAATCCCGAAAATTGCTTCTGTATATTAGGCCACTTCTGTCCTCCTTCCATCCTTGTCCCCTTCTTTTCCTCCTATGACACATGAAAATAGAATTGTAGTTGACAATCGAAGTCAAAAAATAAGTAACATAAAATAGATAAAGACAAAGACGATCCAGCCGCTTTAGTCCGGTATTAGTTTGTGTTTTCGCTTTCGCTTTTCTTTCTGTATTGTGTTGTATATTGAGATTGTGTATGTTTGTGTCTGTGGTGCGACAAATGAAAATCTATTATGGAAATTTGAGTCGACTTGGCTTTTTAGTCGCTATGTCTAATCTGGAGAATATGGTGAACACAGTGTCTGTGCTGATAGGTAGGCGAGAGGTGAATAAAGATGCCCAAAGTCGGTCCGTGTGAAGCTAATATTCAGCATCTTCAGGCAAGTCTTCCGGTTCTGGTGATTGTAATTCGGAATCATCGGGGTGCATCTAATATATGGACGAATGATTAGCCTTGCTGTGTCTGCATCACTTGTGATGAAAGAAATGTAACATTTAGGCTGCGCCGCACGGATGGATATAACCCAACCAAATCGAACCAACCCAACCAAACCGAACCAGCCCATCCAATAATTTTCACATTTGCATTTGCTTTGGGGAAACTCACAAGTTCAGTCCATTTATCTTTGCAAGCTGTAGATGTGAATCCAGTCCCGACTTTTTGGGCCACGATGCGCCATTTTTCTTGCTCGTAATCATGGACCGCTGTTCGAAGTTTTTGAACCTGTGAGTTTTATCAGTTATTGATTATTTAAAGAACCTAGATCAATGAATAACTTACCGTTTCGTCAGTCCATTGAGTAGTCTTAGCCTTCAACTTTGTGCAATACCGAACCTGTAATGTCCCCGAAGAACGTCCTGGAAAAAACTCTGCAATTTGTTTCCAAGTCAAAGCTTTATTTTCCTTCAAGTCCACCAGTAACTGGTCATCTTCTGGAGTAAACTTCAGCTTTGGACCCCTTGGTCTTGCAGCAGGCAGAGGCATCCCGGCAGTACCGACCACACTAGGCGCACCTTGCGACATCATACTCGACTCCGGCGCTTCACCAAGACGAGGAAATTTTGCGCCTCGAGGTCCTTGATTTGGCAATGCATGACTGTGAAAAGCTTGAGGTCCGCCACCATAACCACCCATCGTTTGTTGAGACATTTGTGAAGATATGCCTTGCATCTGCCCATGCATGTGGCCTGCCGGCACTCCTCCCATCCCCATTCCCAACTCATCATGAGCTCTCGGTCTTTTTCCTACACTAGATGCTTGCTGCATTGGTGCACCTATATATCCTCTCATTTGCTGCCCACCACCGTATTGAGGCGATTGGTGGTGGGCCATGCTGTGTGGATCTAGCAACACTTGGTGGTGGTGCTGCTGCTGTTGCTGCTGCTGCTGCTGTTGTTGATGATGATGCGCTCCAAGATGAAGAGATTCGAGACCTGGCGTGCCAACTTGTTGGAGCTCGGGGTGATGCGACCCGTAAACGCGCTCTGGATGTTCTTCGGATTGAGCAGCATAGTCGATATAAGGATCGTGCCCATGATTGTGGCGTGAATAGCCAGACATGCATGGATTCCTCCACAGCGAACTGCCGACGCAGGTCGCTAGGGGTAACTCTAAAAGATGTTGAAGTATTGCCGCAGCGCGTTGTGTTTCCAGAACGCTTGTTGTGGTTTTCTGACCTGTTGTTTACAAAACAGATGCGGCTGTGCGCGTTTCGAAAATTTATCTATATAATGCCGTTATATAGGTGAGAGCCGAATAACGCATACCTTGGTAATATGCGTTAACCTCAAAACAAGATGTTTGCCCAAAATGTTTCCAAAAATTTCGGCGATTTCTCGTGGGAATAAGGCACCACAAGTCAGGATCGCTGTATGACGAATAGGTAAGAGGAAAGAAAAATTTCAAAGAGAGAGGGCGGAGCATCTGCCTTTATCTGTCGTCTGATCTATAAGGTTGAGCTTGCATAGACATCAATGGCGTAGGGCAGTAGCAGTAATTAAAATGACCAAAGCGTTCCAACGATTTGTACCGAACGAGACAACTTCCGTGTTGCGCAATGTCAATGATGCATGCTGGTGGAAACTCTTTAGCGATGTTCTCTGCTGGGGAGATGGGATTTTGATTATGCCTGATTTCCCGTTTAGGCTTCCAAGGTGACAAGATCCCGAGCTGATGCTTGTAACGCTCGAGGCATGTTAATCGAAAGAAGCTTCGCACACAAGGAAGGGGGTGATGAGTAGACCCGCCAAGAAGATTTGGTATCGAAACTAGGCAGAGTGGAGATATACAAGCATGGGAAGAATGTGGCATCCTCAGGGCATAGAACTCTGGAAGCAGTATAGAAGCTTTTGAAACAAGAAAATGGGTTGTGGCGAGGATAAGAAACCGGCAGCAGGGATTTAGGCCCACTTCACCCAACCATCTAAACTCCTGGATGAACTTTAGTTCCCGAACCGACTTATTTACCTCCTCGAAGTGTGGAGAAGTATGGCCATGTTCCACGGCGCTGCGACCTCTTTCTAGGTTTGAAGCATGAATAATAACGAAATTGTTTTAATGCCCAGGGATTCGATGGTTAAAAATAGTATTGACGTGAGATGTGATAGGAGAATGACGGATTGAAGAACGGAGATGAATTAAATGGCAAAGTAATGCTTTGATCTACCAAATTGGTTCCTTTACCTTGGACATGGCAGCGTTGCCAGGCTGAATTTGGACTTTTGCCGGCAGAGAGTGGTAGAGTGGTATTGGAAGCGGATAATGACTGATCAATAAGCCATGTGTAGGCGACAGGAGACGGTGGTCCCAGTCCCAAATTCTCGACTGCATAACTAGGTAGTACAGTAGGTACCTACTTAATGGTGATTTAAGGGTAACATTGTAACATTGGCCTCCACACCATCCCACTATCATCCATCATCCGTCATCCATACAGATCCAAGGGTTATATATATAAATCCCCGATCGTGACCGCTGGGAATTCCCCTTTTTTCCTGTACGTACTTACTTAAGTCGTGCGAGATTTTGTCATTTGATTGATTGATTGATTGATTGACTGACTGATTGATTGATTGATTAATCAAATTTAATCCCCATTAAAAAGCCACAAGAACTAAAATGACGCATGAAATGATAGTGTACCAGTAACAGTAACGGAGATTTGAAACTCAAAGGCTGTAAAAATGACAAATAGAGGAGTAAAAATTTTGATCCTTGGATGGTTTGGGATGTTGGATGTTGGATGTTGGATGTTGGATGTTGGATGTTGGATGTTGGATGGATGAGCCTTATCGACATCGACCCTGCTGTTTAACCCCCGGTGAAGAAGGCTGAAGAAGAATGGCAGAAGGTTCGTGAAAGATCCCTTTGATGATCCCTTTGATGATCCCTTTTTCACCATGTAGATTTCTATACTTTTGTCGTCGTATTTTCATTTGCCATTGTGCTTTTGGCTCTTTTTTCCCTTCTTCTTTTCTTTTTGCTTTTACCTGGTGGAGATATTTGATGTGTGATGGATGGAAGAAACATCCCTGGATTTAGTAGAAACCCCCACAATTGTAACATCTTAAGTCTTATATTCATTCGTAAGAGGAAAGTTCACACTTCGAACAGAGCCAAAAAGATGCATCAAAGCCCTCTTTACCCTGTTAACTCTTCGATAAAATTGGTGAAATTGGTGAATTATTTGCGACATTGCCCCGTTAATGCTCTTCGACCGTCGGACTCCCACCCAACATCTTCTGCTCAAGGCATTGATGTTGGTTACCAGGGTGGTCTGGTCTGTAACGCCCTCAAAAAGTAATATAATCATTGACTTTATTCCTTTTACTAAATCCCTAGGTAAGCATGAATGATCGGAGCAGGGGAGGATACCAATGTGGACAGAGCTGAATATTGTCTGTCTAGAAGAGGAAGACACAATTGAAGAATCGTACGGATTTTTCCTCGTAACAAGGTTGTGTGTGTCGATTGTTGCTTCTCCTGATACTATTGCTGTATGCTTCCAGTATACCGATCCAATCGACTGAAAGATGCTTGATTGGCAGAGAGGAACGAAACAAAAGGGGGAATACATATCGCTAAGAAAATGTAATATTGAATGGGACGAAGACGAAAGGAGGAAGAGGAGATGGAGAAATTAAGTGAAAGGAAAGCTTAATTCTGAATTGGAATTTGGAATTTAGATTTTGGGATTTCGAATTCCGACTTTTGGCTTTGGCAGAGAGAAAGAAATATTTCATTTACAGATACAGATACACCTTCGGAGGAAAGCGAGGAAGGAACCACTATTAACCTTAATATTATACCTAATATATATTGATTATAGTATCGAATCATATTAAAATATACCCGCAATTTCTTTTTAGTCTTTGTGTTCATTTATATTGTATGTAAATTGACAAGAGAGTAGCCTCCTAGGATGAAGGATATGTGAAGATCCGAACGAGCGATAGGATGATATAGTCAGTATACGGCCTCACTTCAGCCATGATAACAGACATTGAAGCCGTTGAATAACACCGTCTACGAAGCAATATTTCATTCGTGACATCCAAAAACAATTCCTACTCATCTACACATTCCCCTATAGATATCAAATCGATAACTGTCCACTTCCGAAAAATACCCGATTCCATCATGAAATGAAGACCTGTAACTTCCCTTCTCATCAAAAATCAAACCTTGAAAGTAAAATCAATATAAAAGTTTCAATTTACATTTGAAAAACCTATCAATAGCATCATTGGATTCTATTCAATATTCTCTATCAAATACAAATGAAAAGATGAAAAATTTCAAAAATTGATATTTTGATGTATAGTATATGACTTTGAAAACGTGTATCAAAATGTTCAAAACGAACAAATTGTGGGCGTGAGATTTGTGACAGATATGGTGCCTAAGGCACTCCTTGATACAGGTGGTAATAAATTGAACAAGTTTGTCTCAAGTGACAGAAACGCAGATGCCGTAGAGATGCCAGAAGGCCCCCCAGGCTCAACACGGAAACTTGATCATGACCCACAGGCGAACCTATTAGGCCAGTCATATTGTTACTCTTTTTGTTTTCATCATTCGGGTGAAGAAGGATCAGCTTTCGAGGATTATATAGTTATGCTTTTGTTACTGTAGTTATCAAAGGCAGGAAGGAGTGATGGTGATGGGTGAGGAGAGAAGTTTGATTTTTGGATATGGAGTGGTGAAGATGTGTTGCGGGTGGAGATGATAACACAACCTGAAAAGTACAACTCACGCATAAATCAACAAGGAAATAAATATATTTTTATACCTAAGTAATGGTTGCTAGCCAAGAGATATTGTTTTGCTAGTAGTGTAGTTATATATGAATACTATGTATGTATGGACTGTATGTAGGAAGATATTGATGAATAAACCATTAGCATAGAACACAACAGTAGGTACCTAAAGTTCCCCGGTACGTAACCTAACCCTGCCACACAGCTATAAAGCACCCACCGGTACCTGCTAGCAACCGTTTTAGAGTGGTAATAAGCTAACCGACGAACCTGCATACGGCAGATGTAAATATGGGTATGGTATCACTGGCGCATACAATACAATAACCTTACAGTACGTACTAGGTAATGGTACATCCATGATATGCTGCAGGTCCCAAACAAGAATTAATGGCTCACTCACTCAAGTCTGATCCTCTTCCCCTCCCCCCGACCCTCGACTAAAACTAAAACCCCGGCCCCACCAACCAATGAATGAAACGAGCAAAACCCTATTCCAAGGTCCACCAGACCAGGTCTTGGTGGATTTTTGACATTTTGATAGCTAGACTAGAACATCTACTCCGGACTCCGTTGATAAACAATAAACATGTACTGCGTAAAATAACCCTAAAAACTTATAAGGTTACGGTATTTATCATATGATCATGCCATAACATAACATAACATAACCACAAAACGTCAAGGTTCAAGATGCAAGATATCAACTTTTTACACTCAACATGTCCTTTGGATACATATGTATTCTTAATAAGCTTAGTGTTACATTTGATACATACTCCGTGCTATAAATACTCACATCACATCACATCACATCACATTACTCTAGCTACTTAATAAAAGCATTGATTGATCGATGAAGGATAAATATAGCGACAGCGATAATTTGTACCCAACCCCCGACCCCCAACCCTCTACCCTCTACCGGCTTCGTCGATCATACATCCATCATACATGTGATAAAGTGCAGGAAAGGAGGCTCGCGACGAACGAGCGTGCTGTGTAACATTAGACTAGACTAGACTCTAGTGGACCCTGGAGAGAGAGTGCTGTGTGGACAGTAGATAGATACCTAGGTAGGTATTGGATGTTGGATAATGAAGCAAAAAAAAAATTAAAAAAAATTAAAGAGTGGACAGTGGGTTCATTCTATTGTGGAAACAGCTATGTAACGTGAGAAATACGGAGGTCAGCCGTATTGTATCAGAGATGAGGACAAATACCTAGTAGTACCTACCTACCTAGGTACCTAGCTATGTGTGAATTTGAGGTTTAATCATTCTGATGAAGATGGAATATTCGTCCGGTATTGAGCGACGAGATTGTTTTGGACATTTAGTTCGAGTGGGGAACATTTACAGAAATCTCAAATCCTCAAATTAACACAAAGCGGCTCGGGAGGTATCACTGTGGTATAACCGAATTTATTTCATTTTGCTACCATATTATTCATCTACAAAAAATACATTGTTACAATGCGCACTCCGCATTAAACGCCGAGTGCCCATCCTAATTGAATACAGATGCACGCTAATTAATTCATCTTCCCAGTTCCAATCTTCTCATAACATCCTGCTTCTCTTTTTTTTTTCATACCCCTAAGTGTCATTATTCTACGCAAGCTTGTCTTCACTGTCAACCCAGATATCCTCCAATTCGGCAAAGTTTTGGAAATGTAAAGGTCGGTGTACGTCGTTGTAGAATGGAGCAGGTGTATCAATCTTCACATGTACTGGCTTCTTCTCCAAGCTTCCAAAAGCACTTCCCATGAAACTGTAGTTCCATGAGTTGGTCTCAGGTACCAAGAAGTATCCACGGATCTTGTCACTAAGTAAAAGCTGACACTTCTCGCCCATGTTCGTGCTGAAGCCCTGCGGCTGGTCGCTACCAAGGTCTTTGTTTTCTGCACCCCATTTGTAACCATGAGGCGTGAGCGCCCACGATGCTAGTGACACACTTCCTGGGGTGAATGAAACCGTCATGCTGATTGTCTTTTTATCCCATGACTTGTGCGCATTCATGAGACGTGCATGTTGAGTGACATCCATAGCTGTCATGTACGGCGGTTCGTTACCAGAAACAGTATGAATAATTCCGAGAGGTTCCATTTGGTCAAGATATTCGTGCTGTGGTAACTGCTGAGGCAATTGTACGTCGCGTGTACTACCAATTTGCGGTACCATTACAATGCAACGAATCTCCTTCACTTGGTCGTTGTCTGGAGGGGATGAACCATATAGATATCCAGCTACTTGAACTCTCAAATCCGCAATGGTAATAAAGCGCTTCAAGATATTCTTGGGCATGATATACGTGTAATGATCATCTTCTTTAACATCGTCAGAGGATATATAAATATTGTTGGATCGCGTCCTCAAGTTCGAGGTTGCAATCGCTCTCGTTCTCCATTCAGTCTTTGATGCAAAGGTTTGTTGCTCGAACTGCGAGGTAGTTGTAACAATGATATCCTCTCCGTGAACGTTTTGAGTCTTGGTTGTGACAGCTGTAAGCTGTTGCTGCTCTTGTTGCTGCTTTTCAATCTCGGCCGCTTGCTGACGTTGCATTGACGGAGCACTAATTTCCATACCCAAGATGATGTCACGCACTTCACTGCTGGTAAGACTGGAAGTGTTGACATTGTTCTTTTTGCCGTAGTCATTAAGGATGAGATCGCGCAGTTGAGTTTCGACCTTGATCCAATCTTCGTCTGATAATGTGGGCCAAATATGATGCTCTTGAGTGATCACAGTCTTATCAGGTCGAAGCAATAACTTCGTCTTATCCTGATTTACATGTAAAGCACGTAAGATAAGGATCAAACGCGAGAAGGCGGTGTATGAGGAAATTGACTTGAGCCATTCGTCGTAAAGGTTGAAGAGAACCATTTGAGGTTCAGTGGCACGAAGAATCATGTCACCGAGCTTCTCGACTTTCATGGCAGCCTGGAATGGTAATTGCAATTCGGAAGCGCGAATGGAGATGTTCGGAAAGTCAAGCAAATGCACTTCAAGTGGATCAAGAAGACCCTTTCTCGTAACGATAAGCTGTTTCGGTTGCTCTTCGATGGGCAATGATCTAATGAGAGCAGCAACTTCTTCAGCAGTCTTCCACTTAGCCAATTGTCCTAGACGTTTCTGTCCTGCCCAAACACTTGTATGAATAATCTTCAAGAAGAGTTGACCCGTGCGAGGATTGAAGATAAAAATTGCTCCGTTAATCGGTTTGGTCGTCAGGTTACCCTCGAAAGTCTTGTGGATGGTAACACGATAAACATTTGTGTCATCAATGAAAAGCTGAATCTGGTTGCTGAAAAGTTCGGAGTAATTTTGAGAATTCAAAAACTCTTGATTACTTTCAGATGCGTACAATTGGAGACCCTTCCTGATACGTTCGCGCAAGACATAAAGGGCTGGGTTTGCCTTCATGATTTTGGCCATAGCCTGCTGAATCAATTGCTTGAGACCGGGGAAGTATTGCCCATACGCCGAGTAGAGATTGTAGGCAAGATCAATACCAATCATTAGACCTGTGGCGGAAGGATAGATACTCATACTGTCAGTTGTGTAATCGAGGTATTTTGCGCGGACATATCGTTCAATGTCGTGAGAATCATAGTCTCCGTAACGAAGTTGGACATCTACCCAGAATTTGTTCGTTGTAGTAGCTTCAATTACATCTTTCGTATCGAATAAAATAGATGGGCGGGTTACATTCCACTTGTGGCTTGCAAACAGTAGAATATCGGCACAGGAGCTGTTCATCTTGTAGGACTTTCTAGGATGAATAGTCTCTTTCTGTACTGTCTCAATACCAAGTTGTTCAAGTTCCTATAAGGTCGGGAAAGTCAGTAATTGCTTGTGAGGAAGGATGTAGAGGGTACGGATCAACTAACTTGATCAAATACTTGACAGAGATCCATGACCACACTCTCATGTATCTTCTGCCAAAGATGTGCTCTGAAGATCTGGATAAGTGATATCTTCAAAGTTGGAATCTTGCCGTGCAAGAAAATACCAGTTAGATCCAGTTGAACTTGGAAACCAACATACACATTGGCTCTGTTGATTGTCTAGATTTAAACGAAACGTCAGCTTTTTATTCATTATCTTAAAGCGCGCGGGACATTGCAAAGTGAATTTAGGAGGCCAGGCCATGCATGAAATAAATCGCACGCCGAGCTCCAAAAATGTGCCTCATGAGACATCACTTTCTCAGTCCAAATTTGACAATCAAATACACTCTCATGCTAGAAAGAAAATCATGTAACTCACAGGTGACCACCAAAGAGTAAAGCGACGATTGGGGATTTGATTAAGACCCGATCTTTGAGCGTTTGTTAACTTCTTGAATTTCATAGACCTGTATTTTGAAATGTTAGTAAACTTCTATTTAAACTTGGGGGTAAGGGTCTACTCGCTCTTCAAATCCACTTGCTTTTTCCCAAAAGAGACCTTCCCATGATGGAAATGCTGTCGCCTTAAAGAGTGTGTGTTCAAGAATGGTTTCAACACCACCAAGTGCTTGAATAACATCGGTACGATAGGCATTGAGGTTCCACAATTTACCATCGTGACGTTGACTAGTCCACCAAAATGGATTACTCTTCATAAGTTGGTATGTCTTGAACTCCGTACGTGCGCGAAACCCTTTATCGAAACTCAAAGTGCTTCTATCTTTCTGGAAAAGTGTGTTGATACGAGGTAATCCACGATCCCAACTATCTTCGAGATCCTCAAGTGTCAATCTTCGATTCTGCTGGTTTGCCTCCTGACGTTTCTGAGAATATTCAGTCCACACACGCTGAGAGTCGATAAATTCAGCTTCCCATGGTATAATGTATCTGAAAATGTTAGGGATAAGAGTGTCTTCATCATGGCTCATTCCTGCGCGATAATGTGTAACACCAACGTCTGTCTGCTTGGACCATCTTTTGTCACTTGTAGGAATGAGGATATGTGATCCAGAAATCATACCAAGACCACCAAGTTCCTTGGGTGTATAGAAAACAGCAGGAGGGAAACGAGAAGGCATCTTAGAATTAAGACCAATCTTAACTCGGGTCTGAATTTTAGTCTCACATTTCACGATGGTATCCAGTAAGTTGACTGTTGACACAGCTGCTTCACGATAATATGTGAAGAGGGCGATCAAGGTTGTATTCCATTTATTGGCAATCTTTGTGAATGTGGTTGACCCAGAGGACATCAGAATTTGACGAATGCGATTATTGAATTTCGCGATATCTTCCTCTGTGACCTGCAAGAACGCATGTGCCGTTCTCTCCTTGCTGGTGTTATCGACTAAGGACCATACGCTGTCCTTAACAGGAAATTCGTCGTTCTGGTTACGAATCTTAGGAAGAATTCGTACTTCGAAACCGCACATGGAAAAGAGTAAATTCGGGTTGTCTCGGCTGTATACGCTTGAAAAGGTATCATCCCATTCGATCGTGGTAACAGATCTTGGTAAGCGGTTCTTCAAGTCCCAGAAAACAGCGCGGCCGAGATTGACGTCGTGTCTCATGAGACGCATTCTAGAATCTCTTGGCCAGCATTTCTTGTTCTTGTAGCCGATGACATTTTCAAAATTAGGATCAGGTTGCTCTGTAAGAAAACGCTGGATAAGATCGCGCGATTCGTCGGCCGTAAAGCGGAAGAACACCCAGATACGATCAATATATCTCGTGTATAGACGAATTGGATGCCTTGTTTCGGTCTCCCGATCACGGAATTGGAGGAAATCGTTAGGACCTGCTGGTGGCCCAGCAATTTCACTAGCGCGTTGGAGGCCAAGAAGCAAGAGGTCGAGAACAAGTCCATAGTACTGGAAAACGAAGGCCGAGAATTGAAGACCTCTGATCATTCCGTAACTGTTGACGTGATTCATATCTTTGTAGGTCAATTGAACGTTATTTTTAGATGATATGTAATCAGCCAGGTTGTGGTCCATGATAAGTCGAAGTAAACGATTAAGAAGAGTTAAATCGATCTTCTCGTACACCTTGGATAGTTGTGTTTCGATCATAACATTACACTCTCCATCTGCAGTCTCCCATACTTTGTCGAGGTTATTAATACCTTGAGCCCATTTGTAGGTCAGTAAGGGCGGGACCTCGGAATCGGAAGGCTTGATCCAGGCAGGGAAAAGGTGGCGCTGATCAGCTTGATACCAGAGGTATTGGTCAAGATAGGCATCACTGATCTTTTCCACAGGCTCGATATCATATACAGGGTTGATTGTGCTATAATTGTCGTTCATATCGATTCCTACTTCTTTGAAAGCTCTCTGTGTCAGTAGGAAGCGCTTGATTCTCTCCAAAGTGGTTCCAGGACTGTCATAAGCCTGCTCAATCAATGCCAGTTCCTCACGCTGACTTTGGTTCAATCGCCCCTTCACAGAATATGCTTCGCGAAGACGTTCCAAAGCAAGAATGAGGATTTTGGTATCGTGCTTGTAGGAAACACTAGGGAATGGAATTGGTGAGAATTTTCGTGACTCCAGCCAATGGACCGTAGTTGTATAGATGGCGACAGCTTCTTCAGATGACACGTATGGACCGTCTTTCATATAGTTATGCTGCCTCTCTTGTTCAGCCTTAAGCCAAAGTCTTGTAAGACGACCGAGATTCTTCTTTGCAACGGTTTTGTCCACAGTCGCTCCTCTACGAATACGCTCACGATTGTAGTGAGCAACGGAGATCCACCAATCTGCCTTACTCTTCACATAACGAAGAATGATATTCTCGATAGGTGCCGGTAAACCTGGAACTTTCCAAGGGATATTACTCTTCCAGCATCTCCATGCCTCTGAAAGATGTTGAAGTACCGTTTGAACCTTGTTTTGCTTGATACCCTCCGGCATCATATCAAGAAGATCGGCCATGACCGATGCTCGCAACTCAAGATCAAAGTGCGACTCAACACGTTGTTTCGTGACAGTCTTTGCAACACCTTTGCTATGACGTCCTTCAAACTGCCTAGAGAGGAGGTTCCCAAGCCATCTTTCTAGTAATGGAATTATACCACGCATGAAAAAGAGCCAAACTCTCCAAGCAGGTGCCCAGAAACCACAACCAGGTCCTTTACCTACAGGTCCAGAATTGAATCGATAATATATTAAATGCTTCAGATCTTTACATGAGCGAATCTGATGCATCAGCTTGTACTTGTAACGATACATTCCAGTCAGCTGACCAACATGGTTAAAAGCATATAGAATACCATCCGCGAGTTGAAAAGCATCGATATTGCCAAGACGGTACTGAACTTGTGCGTCAACGATCAGCTTGGTCATCTTCAAGATCTCTCGCATGAGATGGAACGCATTTCCGAATCGAGACTTCTTTCTCTCCTTCGTTGTCAATGTCTTAACAGGCTTTAAATTGAAATTATAATCAAGATGTAGGTATGTGAGGTTCTTGCGATGAATAAGAAGATTTAGCATATTGAAACCCTGCCTGCAGACCTGAAGTCCAGCTTCAACCCAATCAATTGTTGTTTGCTGGAAGAATTTCGTTTGCTTCAACGACTTCATCAAACTCTGTTTACTCTGTGCTTTCGGCTTGCGCTTATGCAGCTCGTTCAAGACATAAGTCTTCAGAAGCTTCTGATACGAAACTCGGACCTTCACTGGTTGACCCTGAGGGCAATGCTCAAGGTACCATTGCTTTACTAGAGGTACGTCTTGTGCCCGAACCATGCGACCAGATCTTCGATTAAACGGAAATGGTGCCCACCACAAAGAGATTGCTGAAGCGGTCTCGCTTGTGTACAACTCCTCATCCGCCAGAAATGGCTCAGCACCACCTGGTAATCTGAAAGCGTCTTCTTCCGGTTCTTCATTATTTCCGGGTCCGAATATCTCGTCTTCGTGACTAATAGTGATATTTTTAGGGGCGACGGATCTTGAAGAGATTGGGTTGATGACGGGATCGAAATAAAATGCTGGTAAACTTGGATCCTCGGCACGAACGTATACCACTTGCGGGTGCGAGAACCAGGAAAGCTTAACGCTGCGAGGAAGTGAATTGTATAAGTAGGGATATGCTACACGATATTCTGTCCGAATTGGAGCTCGGAAGATGATGCGATCAATAGCATTGAACTCTCCAAAATCTTCGTCATTAGGATCCACATCTTTATATAAGGGTTCAAAACGAGGACCGCCGGGAATCGCAACATTCAAAGCTTTGGCTGTTTGAAAGCTTTTCAACTCGAACATGTGAAAGTAGTTCTTGTCAACCAAATCACTCAGTAATGGCCGACTCAATCGATATAAAGTTGCCATTTGAGGTAACGTAAGGTTCCATTCCTTGTAACTCGGGCCGTTGATATGTGGAGTATCAAGAAGTGGTCGATTCTCGTAAAACCATTCAAAAACAGCGCCGTCTTCCCCCTCATCAAGTTCCAGTTGAATTGGCTCCAGTGGCTCGACGTCTTCAATGTTCTCCGACCATGATAGGGGCGGTTCTTCGTCGTCGAATGGCGGGAATCTCATCCTCTTGAAATGTCTTCTGTCACTTTTCTCTCTTCTCATACAAATCCACATCGTAGCCCATTGTGCGTGGAACACTGGCTCTATAACTCGTGGAATCTCATTAACCAAAGTCAGGCAACCATTGACATGGTACAGCACCTTTACCTCCCTCGCAGACTCCCAAGGCATTGGCATGTTCTCCAACAATTTCATCACGGCATGTGGCATAAACTTGAGTGCACCAAGATAGCTCCGTTTGTCGCTGCTGAACTTCTTTTGCGATACATCTCCAATGTCCTTAACGATCTTTCGCAGGTGCTCTGGGGGCATATCAGCTTTCTGAGTTTCTACGAAGCCACCTTTTCGTTTTTCGCCGAATCGATTTCGCTGAGATCGTAACCAGTCCTTCTTCTTCTGTGCAAACTTCGCAACATGTGGATCCGCTGGTGGTCGATAACCTGGAGGAGGAGGAGCACCGGGTGGCGCGCCCAGAGGCATTGATGGAGGCGCCGAAGAGCTCCATCCTGGCGGTGGAGGTGGTGGTATTGATGACATTTTTAATGTCTTGGGTACCGAGTCCCAAATTCCATCAAAAGTCCCCTTCTGAATAAAAGTTCACTTTATTGTTGATGATATAAAGTGGATGGATATCTTGACAATCGCGAGCGCGTTTAGATAAATTTTAACACTACTCGGACGAGCTCAGGTAAGGCGCTAGTGCACCCATCTGATAAATCTTAGTTTTAGTTAGCTGCCTGAATGTTCGATTATGTAAGTAATGGGCGTCAATTATTCCACCTCATGATCTAACCATATTCGCAATAGCTCAAGCGAAATATCGACGCACCCAGAGTTTTTCGAAATTGATTGAAAACTCAAGATCCATCGACAACACCAACGACTTCAATCGACCACAGAACCAAAAATTCGCCAATATGTCGTCCAACAGATTGACCTACAGACGCCGAAACCCGTGAGTCTCAATTATCTGTTGTTCGAAAAGCCATATATTGATTAAAATAGATACAACACTCGATCCAACAAGGTCAGAGTTGTTAAGACTCCCGGCGGCGAGCTTCGTTACCTCCACATCAAGAAGGCCGGTACTGCACCAAAGTGCGGTGACTGCGGAATCAAGTTGCCAGGTGTAAGTTAATATTTCTCGACGGTTTGCGGGGGACAGCGGAAAGTCGAAAGTGGCTCAGAAATGGAGAATACAAGCGCGAAGCATCTATCTACGTATCCAATTGCCACCTATCGATCACCAATATATGGCTTCCGGGCTCTCGACAGCAGCGACACTTCATTATGATGGATATTTGGTCACGTAAATGGTGATCGAAGTGCTAATTCATTTTCTACAGATCCCAGCTCTCCGACCCCGCGAATACTCCCAAATCTCCCGACCAAAGAAGACCGTTCAACGTGCCTACGGAGGATCAAGATGTGCCAACTGCGTTAGAGATCGCATTGTCAGAGCTTTCTTGATCGAGGAGCAGAAGATTGTCAAGAAGGTTCTCAAGGAGTCTCAACAAAAGAAGCGTTAAGTGGTTGATTAGTTCTGGGTCCTTTGGTGTTCGACTGGGAAGGCTGGATGAATCGCAGCAGGAAATAGCTGTATAAATCTCAGGGCTTCCACGAATCTATGAGCTTCGACTATACTGAGTGCTTGTCCATTGTGAGGTTGGCGTCAGAATGCGCAAAGTGAACGAGGCTCGATTTGGATCTGTTCACCGGTTAGTGAAGCAGACAAATGATCAGGTTTTTCGAGCAACTATGAAGATCTTGCAAAGAAAAGTTCGAAGTAATTTAAGAGTACGTGAGCCGGTTGTTTTATCCAATCCATTAGTTTCATTCGACAAGCCGGACATTCGCAGAGATGTACATCCCCAATATCAAACCATGACAGACTCCTGAATCTAGCCTGGAAGCCTATTTGAATCATGCATAGATTCCATCAATATGGAATGTTGTGACTTTCAATTTGTGGTATCGTGATATCAGGTTGATTCGAACAGCCTTATCCTGCACAATTTTGTCGAAAGTCCCAATACAATAAATCTAGTCTCGAAAGGTGGTACAAATCGCTTTCCAAATGCTTCAATCTCAAAGGTACCAAAAATCATTGTATTTCATCGATATTGCGATCCGTGTGCTAGCGCTCAAAAAAGCTAAGGTTATCTTATCCCAAAGTTATCAAGATGATTGTTCACATAATTGTGCGACCTTAACCTTATTGCATTAAAGAAAAACTCAATAACTACCTCATCTCACCGATCATAAAATTTGGTTCGAGATTGGGTCTTATCAGCTAGGTATCGGTATCATTATCTTCAGCGGATTTTCGGTAATGTAATTGAATAATCATGTCCTGACTCGGATTTATACTTTGATTTGTATTGCGATTGTCTGTCACTCCTTGCACACCGATGTATGTTGGTTGCCCAGACAAAACAGCGCGTTGACTCATTGCCCTGTCTGCCGCGTGAGCTCTGTCTCATAACCAGGTTGACATCATAAGAGTTGCCAACATCAAGTTGCCAATCTCAGCGGTAAGTTTCTGTCCGCGGATTTATATTTTTGAACCATAGATAGCTTCTACTTGTACATACTACAACCTAATACACTCAGCGCAATAATCAATGGCGCCGAACAATAACAGCCCGCTATTCGCGTCAGGGCGACCTTCTTCCTCGAATTCCGAGGAAAGAGCTGCTGCCGAAGACGATGCCCTTCTTGGTAATCGACGAAAGAAATCCTATGAAGCGAAGAGACCTGGATTCTGGCGGGAGATCGGGCTCTTTACTTGGGCTGTTGTCGCTACTGCTGCTGTCATCGTACTAGGCGTTCTATTATCGCGAAGCCAACAATCCCCTAAGAAGACGAAGCAAAATGGGAAGCGCAATCTCATTTTCATGGTGAGTGATGGAATGGGCCCGGCATCTTTGAGCTTGACGAGAAGCTTCCGACAATTTCAAGGAGATTTACCCATCAATGATATTCTTCAACTCGATCAACATTTCATCGGATCATCCCGTACGAGATCAAGCAGCAGTCTTGTCACAGACAGTGCAGCAGGAGCTACAGCATTCAGTTGTGGAAGGAAGAGCTATAACGGTGCTATTTCTATGCTGCCAGATCATAGCCCTTGCGGCACTGTACTTGAAGCTGCAAAGAGGGCTGGCTATATAACTGGCTGTGGGTTACAAAGCACCCGAATTAATTCAGGGAACCATCGAAATGCTAACTTCTCCAGTGGTTGTTACAACAGATATAACGGATGCGACTCCCGCTTGCTTTGCCTCGCACGTTGATTACCGATTGCAGGAGGACTCAATAGCTTTACAGGAGGTTGGTGAGCACCCTCTTGGACACCGAGTTGTTGATTTGATGCTGGGTGGTGGACGCTGTCACTTCTTACCCAATACATCAGAATCGAGTTGCAGAGCTGATAGTCGTGATGTCACAAAATTGGCGCAAGACAAATATGGATGGACTTATATCGATACCAGAGATGACTTCGACAAGTTGAAGCTCGGAAAGAATGTTCAACTGCCGTTGTTAGGCCTCTTTTCCGACACAGACGTTCCTTTTGAGCTTGATAGACGGAACATGAATGATATCTACCCTTCTCTTGATGAAATGGCAAGAACAGCTTTGACCGCACTCGAAGCCGCAACAAAAGACAGCGATAAAGGATTCTTCCTTATGATCGAGGGGAGTCGAATTGATCATGCTGGCCATGGCAATGACCCAGTAAGTTTCAATCGATCATTTCAGGTGTTGTCGAAAAACCTGTCAGAACGAGGACCATGACTGACTGTTGTTCACAGGCTGCGCAAGTTCATGAAGTACTCGCATACGATCGAGCTTTTCGAAGTGTCATTGATTTCCTGGACAAGAGTGATACTGAAGGTGCCCTCGTTTCTACTAGTGACCACGAAACTGGGGGTTTATCTGTTGCCAGACGTAAGATATAACAACAGCTTTTCATGACATGACCCATTGCTAATTTCACACTCAGAACTCAATCCTTCATACCCACAATATTTATGGTACCCCGAGGTACTAGCGAATGCTTCCCATTCTTCAGAATATCTTTCTCGAGCTTTACGGGCTCATATTGCTTCCGGGGCGTCCGCCCGGGGAGAAGCTGCGTACAGACGATTTGTGAAAGAGGAACTCGTTGAGGGGGGTCTTGGAGTAATGGACGCAAGTGATGAAGAGATCGACCTCATAATTAGCAATCCGGCTCTTTCTGCTTATGCATTTGCTGATATCATCAGCCGCAGAGCACAAATTGGCTGGTCAACTCATGGTCACTCTGCCGTTGATGTTAATATCTATGGTTACGGAGCTGATGTCCTCCGTGGAAACCACGAGAACATCGAGGTTGGCAAATTTCTGAGGGATTATCTCAGTGTCGACGTTGATGCAATCACGACAGAGCTAAACAGCAAGAAGGCTAGTGGTCAAAGTCTCTCAGTCGCCTCAGAGCCTGATGTTCCCGATTTCGGACATTATGAAGAAAGACTTAAGAAAAACCTGCCACAGTAGATTTCAAGTGCTATCTTCTCGTTTCGTTATACCCAGACTTGTTGGAAGTTGAAACATTTTAATTGTACTTAATTCTTTCTGAAAATCGTTGAGCATGATCATAGCTTCCCGTGACCCATCCTTAGCAAACTATTTCTTCCGATCAGGGTAATACAAAGATCATCTTTGCCCGTCCCAATCTTCTCAATTTTTCCTTTATACCCTGCATGAAACAATCTCCTTTACAGTTAGAGGCTCAACAAACAGCTGATGCGGGTCCCACCATCTCATCTTCTTGTGTAGCTGTTTGAGGTTTGCGAAAGTTACCAAACTTAAGCATCAACATCACCTTTTTACAATCAATTCCATGGTTTAATTCCGATTTGATGATCTGCTATCTGCTCGCGATCTTTCGCTACTCATCGGGATATTTTCTAGTCTAAGTGCTTCGTTTGAATGTTCGGGGATGATGAGCCGCCTTACAGCTCAGAGTTATCTTCACATACAGCAAATGAAGACTCACATTATAGAAAACTAATGTATCACGTTAGTTATTGATATGTTTTCTCTTTCCGGGGGAAACCATAAATCATGCATGCCTGTGTTTCCTGTATAAATATACTTATGTAGCTTTGTATCCCGAAGTCTTCTCTTCTCTTGTGCTGTATCTGTGATCGTGATCTACCTAACCATTCGAGTTGATCTCCATCTTCCATCTCAATCCATCATCCAGCTTCCATATTCCACACCTCGCCTGAGCCAAACAAAACCCAAGCAGAATGTGTAATTACTGGAGCATAGAACCTCTATGCGGGCACAGAACACTGCACGCAGGATCCAACTGTTACCTTCTCTACGCACAACTAGCGCGTATCAACGACCCCCGAGAATCAGCACGACCAGGTCTTCCCTTCGACCTCCCGCGGGAATGCTTGCCGAATCGTTGGAATGTTCTTCCAAAGTTTGTTAATGAGTATTGTTCGTGGGAGTGTAGGAATAATGGATTGTATGCGGATAGGAGGTGTGGGGAGAGGGATGCTGGGTATGGGCCTGGGAGTGAGAGGATAGGGGTTGGGTGGAGATATTGAAGATGAGCTTGATGTGGAAGTTGGTAGTTGGAAATTGGGATGGGATAGTTGATTTGGGTTAGGGTTGTTATAGCCTAATTGTGCAGGAACGGCCTTTTAAAGAATTGGAGAATTGGCTCCTTCACGGACATTATCAGCGTCGATATTTGGATCAGATATTAGTGTCGAAAAGTGGGCTGGGTGTAGAATCTCATTGCAGGAGTTTTGGGATCAATGCAAATATGACTTGAATTCACGGCATCTTCAAGTGCTTGGGACTTCAATAAGTGAAATTGAGCCATGTATTTCGGCGCAGCAGGATTAAGTATCATTAGTTTAAAATCTTCATTGTTGATACTATTACATCAAAAGTTTCGTCGAGTATATGCCCAGTATGCCTTGTATGGTAATTTCCATTCTCTTGCCAGCAGTTCCGGCCTAAATATGTCGAAATCTAGCTTTTCTAGTTTTTCTAGCCATAATCTCGTAGGAACTGCTTGCATGAAGACGCCAAATCCTCTTTCAATATCGCTAACTTCGGTGTTCTCACTTTCTGCATAGTAGTGACCATCCTCACCTTGATGCTCAAATTCGTGACCTGCATCTTTACCTGCTTGGAGATTCTTCAACATCTCCCTGGCGGTGATCAAATGATCATTCGCTCTTGTTGCCACTGTGAATATAGCATCTTTTAACCCAGGAGCTTCAGCTCCATGTCTTAAAACATCTTCTTCTTTGACACCAGCTTTTGCCATAACATCCAATGGCAGAACAACTGCACCTTGACGTCCTCCAGCATTACCACCAAGAGCACCCCCAAAAGCTGCATTGTTGCTATGATGATTTGGTGGCGGCGGAAATGCTATCAGAGGCAAACCTCTTAAGACTGCAGTAATTCCAGCCGCTTTACCAATATGACTTGCAACATGATCTGCTGCCATAGATTGAAGAGGTAAAGCTGCTAATGTCAAATACATTAACGTAGAATATGTATTTTCCGCGTACATCTCAACCGCATCCATATTTGTATAAGGTCGATTATCCATATATTGCTCTCTCGCATTGATGACTTTCATGAACCATCCTTTCATCACACTTGTGCTGATTCCATCATATCGCGATTGAAGGGATGTGAGCGCATGATGTAGAAGAATAGCGACAGGTTCTTTTGGAGGCGTATTGGCAAATGTTCGATTCAAATTATCTCGCCAGAATTGCATTCGCAATGCTCCGACAGTTGGATTTGAGACAATATCTGGTATTCGAGCTAATTCAATGTTGAGAGCACGAATGGAAAGGTAGGCATCTCTTGTTGAGGGAGGAATAAATGTCTGTAGAGTATATGATGGCGAATCAAATTTTCTAGAATCGATTAGACATGGGGGTTTGAAAAACTCACAAAACTCGCAGGACTAACTGGATAAGATTGGAACAATATGTCCTGGCCCGGTTGATATCTTCTTCCGTCAATCTGGAGGCATATGGCGCGGGTGTGCTATAAGAAGTGGTAGCATAGGCGCATCTCGAATTGACATATGTCTTGGAACAGCTTTGAAGCCGCCGCAGAGTTTGAGATTTGTACATTAGAATATATATTCCTAAAATGGCCTGATCATGAATGGACAACAATATTGTCTTCTTTTGAAATATCGACAGTCGCAAAATTACACGGTATGTACATGTAGAAATGAAATCATTGACAAAATAATCGACAAGAGTAATATGATAACCTTAACCTCTTATCCCGACGTCACTGAATTCTAAATTATCTTCTTGTCGCGTCCACCCATCCATCGCGTGACTTCGCGTTTCCATCAAATCGGCAAGTAGAATATTACTCACTTACACTTGCTTTTGTTTGGGTTTCAATTTGAAATGATTGATTTAATTCGCCTGACATCTTCGTAGCTTCGCAGATATGGAGGGACCTCCAGCGAAAAGAAGAAGATTCTTCACAGAAAAAGCTGAGGGATTGGAGTTTTCACAAGGGCAGGAGGCAATAAATGTACCAAACGAAATCGACGCGCTGTCTCCAGCAATTGAGAGTTCCACAAACGAAATCGCAGACAAAGATCCTCAAGATGATCCAGTCGCGGAGGAGAGAACTCCTGCTGAAGAATCGCAGACTTCATTCGACCAGGAAACGTTCGAAAACTTCATTGGCGACAAAGTTACTTCAGAAGAACTGAAGGGGCTACGAGAAGCGTCCGGAAATGATATCGAGAGGGCTGTGAATATGTACTTTGATGGATCTTGGAAACGGTCTACTGTTGTTTCGGGACTCAATCGATCTTCGTCGAACTCCAAAAACACCGTCAGTTCCTTCTTGAAGTCTGCCAATGGCGGTTCTGTCAACGGCTCCAAACCAGCCTCTCCAGAGCCAAACGCCTCGTCGAGAACAGTCTCACCGCATCGAATCATGCCAGAATACCGGTATATAGGAGCTTTCGGGGTTGGAGGATGGGCTACAAAGAGTGGAACAAATCTCATCAAGCATGGCGAAGTTGTACGGATAGAACGTCAAAAGATACAACCACCCAAAGCACCGGCTGGAAGAGGGAAAGGCAAAACATCAGTCGCACAACCATTACTAAAACCTAATAGTGCTGCAGCAAGGCGTGTCGATGTCATTGTACGCTTCACCAATTCGAAAGGATTTGAAGTCGGCCGTCTTCCTCGGGAAACCGCAAACTGGGTTTCTACCTTAATTGATCAAAGGATATGCAAGTTTGAGGGTACATGTGTATATGCACCAGAAAGAATTCGTACCAGCGACACTGTCTTTCTCCAACTCCGATGTTCATTATTAAAGACTGCTTTCGAAGATCGTGGTTTTCAGGTACCGGATAATCGAACTACTGGTCTTTTCGAAGAGAAAGAAAGTTCTGAAGAGAAGGAATTAAGGCTACGCCAGGTTGCGTTGGTAAAATTATTTGAGGAGATTAACCTGCTTCCCACGCAAACGAATGAAGCAACAGCGAAACATAAACGTCAGGGACTACTTAGTGCCGCGGAGGCAGCTGAACATTATGACAAGGACGAATCGAAGGTTCCTGATTCAGGTGCCCCGACTCCTCCATCTGAAGAAGCAGAGGAGGGAAAGGAGCTTGAGCAAGACCAACTTGACACTCTATACAGCAAAGCTCAATCCTTTGATTTCAATGCTCCCGAGGCTGAGCCAGCAGAAAGTTTTGCGATGGATTTACGGCCGTATCAAAAGCAAGCATTGTATTGGATGATGGCGAAGGAACGTGATGAGAAAGATAATAAGAGAGAGGCCTCAATGCATCCTTTGTGGGAAGAATATGCTTGGCCTACGAAGGACATGGATGATAACGAGGTTATTCACGTGGTTGATCAAGACAAATTCTATGTCAATCCATATTCTGGAGCGCTTTCCTTGGAGTTTCCTCTTCAAGAACAACATTGCCTTGGAGGTATTCTTGCCGATGAGATGGGTCTAGGGAAGACTATCGAGATGATGAGTCTTATCCACTCAAATAAGTCTGATGTGGCTATTCAACTCGACGAGAAACGCTCGAAAGCCACATCCGTGAATAATTTACCTCGACTTCCAGCCAATACGTCATCAGTAGAAAGAGCTCCTTGCACAACTCTTGTGGTGGCACCAATGTCACTTCTTGCTCAATGGCAAAGTGAAGCCGAAAATGCTTCTAAGGATGGAACTATGAAGAGTATTGTTTACTATGGAAGTGATAAAACTGCAAACCTTCAGGCTCTTTGCTGCGAGGCTAATGCGGCATCGGCCCCTAATGTTGTTATTACAAGTTATGGAGTCATTTTATCCGAATTCAGTCAGGTTACTGCTAGGAACGGTGATAGAGGCGGTCATGGAGGCTTATTTTCCCTTTCATTCTTTCGGGTGATTTTGGACGAGGCTCATCATATTAAAAATAGGCAGTCCAAAACTGCGAAAGCATGTAAGTTAACTTGGACACCTATTTATATCCCGGCATCTTCGCCATTTGCTATCAAGATTTTGAGAATCCTTTATACTAACTAAATTTTCCAGGCTATGAAATCGCTGCCGAGCATCGATGGGCGCTTACCGGTACACCTATCGTTAATCGATTGGAAGATCTTTTCAGCTTGGTCCGATTCCTAAGAGTAGAACCTTGGAGTAATTTCTCCTTTTGGAAAACATTTATCACAATTCCATTCGAATCCAAAGAGTTTATGCGTGCCCTGGACGTCGTTCAGACAGTCCTTGAACCATTAGTACTTCGTCGAACAAAAGACATGAAAACACCAAGCGGTGAAGCTTTGGTTCCTCTACCAAAGAAGACTATCGATATCGTCGAAATCGAGCTGTCAGAAGCCGAACGCGACGTCTACGATCATATCTTCACAAGAGCAAAGCGCACTTTTTCTGCCAATATCGAAGCAGGCACAGTCCTCAAAGCCTATACCAGTATATTTGCCCAAATCCTCCGACTTCGCCAATCATGTTGTCATCCCATTTTAACCCGTAACCAAACCTTAGTAGCAGATGAAGAAGATGCCGCTGAAGCGGCAGACGCCGCAAGTGGTCTCTCAGACGACATGGATCTTCAAAACCTCATCGAGCGATTCAAACTCAACGAAGAAGCAGTCGATAACAATATTTTCGGCGCGCACGTTCTTGAACAGATTCGTGATGAAGCCGAAAACGAATGTCCTATTTGTTCCGAAGAACCAATGATCGAACAAACCGTTACAGGATGCTGGCATTCAGCATGTAAGAAATGTCTACTAGATTACATCAAACATCAAACCGACAAAGGAGAATCGCCTCGCTGTTTTAGCTGTCGTGAACTCCTCAACTCACATGACATATTCGAAGTAGTAAAAGACGAAGGTCATCCAGAAAGCAAAAACGGAAAACCAAAAATAAGTCTCCAGCGAATCGGCTCAAACGGATCCGCTAAAATCGCAGCTCTCTTAACCCACCTCAAAACCCTCCGCAAGGAATCCCCATCAACAAAATCCGTCGTCTTTAGCCAATTTACTTCCTTCCTCTCTCTAATCGAACCAGCCCTAACTAGTTCCTCAATCCCTTTCCTCCGTCTCGATGGGTCCATGGCTCAAAAAGCTCGAGCAGCAGTCCTTACACAATTCAAAAATAGTGAAAAAGGCGTAGTACTTCTCCTTAGTTTAAGGGCGGGAGGTGTAGGTCTTAATTTGACGATGGCAAAAAGAGTTTTTATGATGGATCCGTGGTGGAGTTTTGCGGTTGAGGCACAAGCTATTGATCGTGTTCATCGAATGGGTCAAGTAGATGAGGTGCTCGTCAAGAGATTTATTGTTAAGGGTAGTGTAGAGGAACGGATGTTGAGGGTACAGGAGAGGAAAAGGTTTATGTGAGTTTTTCGAGGTTTTTCTTTTCCTTCTTTTCCTATGTTGTGCTTGAGAAATAAAAATGCGATGCTAATGTTTGTTGATAGTGCGAGTTCGCTGGGTATGATGAGTGATGAGGAAAAGAAATTACAGCGAATCGAGGATATTAAAGAACTCCTTTCTTAGTTGAAATGAGGATATAGATGGTTGTATACCTATTATTGTATTTGTCTATATTAGCTTCCTGTCCTATACTACCTAGCAAATTAATCGGTTCTTGGGAGTTAAATATGTTAAATATGGAACAAATAAATAAATAAATGGGCACTCACGAATAGAAAATACATTTATTTACCTCAAGGAGAGATCGTACATCCTAGATCTTTCCGCGTGCATGAGGGCGAGACTTAACATATGCTAGTTCTCCAAATGCACAAAAAATCACATCTTCTACCGGGATATCTCCCAAAGAGGAGAAGGATACCATGCCAAACAAATTCCTTGTAGGTATGGAATCCCACATTCTCGGCAATTGGGATAGGACGATTCTCTTCGGAAAAGCTGTTGCTTTCATGTCCCTCCATACCTACCCAGTTAGGTAACGATGCATACATACACCAAAAGGATAGAAGCACCCAAAAAAAGATGAAAAGAAAACATACAACAGTGGGGATTCGCTGGTGGTCACCCACCCAACTACTAATCCACCGATCTGAAGCTTGTGTATGGCAGAGCGGACGGGATGCCCAATTCTCTTCAGTCTATGGTCGTATGTGGAAGAACCAATGTTGATTGAGCATATATTTCAGGTGTGTTATATACGAGATATGTTTGAGATAATACTTGAGTAGGGATATATATACACATACAAAGACTTCTATTCGGTAGATTGTTTATTATTCATTTTTACATTCTATTTTATTATATACATAAAAATTTTAATGACATACATAATCATTCTGATCGTGGACGATATCTGATTACTCATTTCCTTGGATTTATATTTATAGATAATATATTCCAACCGGTAAAGACCTCGTTGATCAATCTCTAGGCCACCAGTGGGCAATTGGGAATAATCTAAATAACTCTTATTCATGGCACCAACTTATGAGCTTTCGAATTGACTGTCTTGGTGCAATACTAAGATACTCCGACAGAACTCTTAGTTTGAGGATTTCTCCATTAGATCATTGGATCAGCTATCACTCTCTTCAAAAGCTTCATACCCAGTAACTTCTTCGACACAATCATCCCCAGCAGCAGCCTCTCCTAGGAGCCCCTCCATAATTCCCACCGCCTTTCCAGCAGCACATCTGACCTGTTCAGGATACGAGGAGGTCTCTCCTTCCCCAGACTGCAGCCCCTCAATATCCCTCAACCGACTAATCCAAAATTTCCACCTTTCCAAACAAAGTCCCGACCGTCCAGAATAAAGCGCACCACCACTAAGACTCTTCTCCTCATAGCTACTCAACTCTTTATCACCAATTCGCTCAAAGAGATACGACCCGCTATGCTCAATCCATTGCGCTGCAGCTAGGATATGATAATCCCGGATGTCTGCTACAGGAGATTCTTCTTCCAGCGCTGCCCGCAGAGACCAGATTGGAAAATGGATCCAAGTCACGAGTTTGCTGTGTAGAAGACGAGCGGCGAAACTGTTGAGGTTCCACCATTGTTGGAAGGGCGTTATGGTATCTTCTGCAGTGGATGGTTCTGGGAATTATTCTTTATCAGCACATAATTAAGTCACTTAAGTAATGAGAATAGATAGTTATCAACAAGACAAGATAGAATACTCGCATACCAATCCATGCTTCACGAAACGCCACCACTATGAGTGGAAGATCTTCCCAAAGCTTTCTCTCAGACTGTAAGATAGAACTATATATCAACACGAATGTACACAATTCGAATGATACTGATACGTACCTTCCAGACAATGACAGGAATTGATGGAAGGCGTACCAAAGCCTTTATCAAGTCGACGAATTTTGCCTGCGAAGAATGATCACTGGGTATCTGTTTCGCGATTTCAATAAAGGTACTCCAAGTTTCTAGAAGAAAACTCTCGATTGCTTCTTTGACTTATTCTCCGCTTTCACTACGTTTCATGGGATTTAAATCATCAAGTGCGATTGCGGCTGTTTCCGCTGATGTATATATGATACTTTCTTCTTGTAGATAATCCTTCAAGATGTCAAATGTCTTTTGCTCGATGATCCATAAGTTATCGTCTTCTAGCGATTGGAGGCGTAGGATAAGTTCTGCCATGGTGTTTGCCCTAGTTAGGTAAATTTACTTATTGACTGGTTTTCAGAGAGTGGAAGTTATTTATGAAATATGAGTGAGTCACCGCCTTGTGGTAACCTAACGTCGACCTCAACCGGTACCTATCATCCACTCTATAATCAAGCTAGGTACCTAGTAATCTTCTGGATTAACGAAATTATTTCGGGAAGGCCAGTTAAACATTTATTAGAGTACAAAAGTACAAAGTACTTATATCTAGATTCCATTTCCAAAAGACTATTTTCAGAAATCTGATTTCGTTTGCAAAATACAAGAACACCAAATTTGGATCCCAGAAAAAGTTCACTGAAATTGCTGTGTTGATTTCAGAATATCAGACGTAGCAAGAGAACATACAAATTGCCAAATTCTCCTCAGTCTATGTTCGTATATAGCAGACCTGGTTTTGGCTGTGGACATATTCCCAGTGTGTTGTATACGAGATACCCTTCAAGCAGTGGTCAATCTAGGTATCTATACAAATATAAAAACTCATTCGCGGTGTATTAATCATTATACATTTACACATTCTATTCTATCCTATCTATACTATACTAATAAATCATCTCTAATCAAACACACAAATACACCTTTCTGTACATTTCCACCTCAAACAAACTAACTACCCCATCGAATGATACTGCTGCTGTCCACACGGTCCATTGGAGACATAAAACGCATTATTAGTAGCCGAAGTCCCCGCGGCAGAGGTATAAAAATAATTCGCCACAACACTACCATCACACGTCCCGGCACTAGCAGACAAATAACAACTCCCTGAGTTCAGGAATAACGATCCAGCACAGCCTCCTGCATTTGTCTGACAAGCAACGCAACAATCATATGCTGAGGCAGCAGTAGTGGCCGCGAGGACGTTATTGAGAAAGCGGTTTTGAGTGATGGATTGGCCGTTAAAGGATGAGATGACGTTGTTGGGGCCGCAGGCGGCGTAGACAGTGGGGGTTGCGCCGGAGATTTGGCTGATGGTCTGGGTGCTGGTTACGGTGGTGGTGGAGGTTGCGGCGATGGTGTTGGAGATTGTGGAGATGAGGGTGGAGATTAGGGTTGTGGAGGCATCAGCGAGCATTACGCTCGTAGTTGTGGTGATGGTGGAGGTGGAGATTTCCGTGATGTAGGGAGTGGCGAGGTTGGTGATTGTTGAAGACGCTATTTCCGTAATTGTGGTGGTGGATTCAATTTTTATGGTTGATGTGCATCCAATGAATGCTGGGTAGGATGTGCTGATTCCAAGGAGGGGAATTGTGGATGTTGGTATCGAACTACTGTATGCAGTGCCAGAACTGATAGTTGAGTTTGCGCTGATTATAGGAGTAAGGCTAACTCTACTGGAAGTCGTGACACCAGTTGGTACATAGATTGAAGACGTCGCATTTTGAATTGGACTGATGTTGCCGCTGATGGCTGTGCCAGTCGTTTTGATGATTGTTGGTGCAGAGCCGGAGCCGGCAATGTACTGAGATGTAGTGTTGTAGTAATAATGTCTAGAAAAAGATGAAGATGGGACTGGTCCTCGATTTCCTGTACTTTGTTCTTCATTCTTTGAACTATATTGAAAAGCTGAGGCGGTTTTCGTGAACGACTTCAAGGTGGTTGGCTCTTGATTATTCAATTGGCCTGGCTGGGTAACAGTATAGTATGTATCCTTTTCATAAGTAAGGGTAGATGTCACAGTGACTGTGATGGTGACTGGTTCCTGAGGAGGCCGAACAGGTCCACATTCGTCACGCTTGACTGGAGAAACGTTGGATGAGGCAATCGGTGTGAAGCCATTCTTAGCTGCAATGGAAACGGTTGATGGACTTCCAGTGACTGTCATGGTGACGGTATTAGTCTTGGTCTCAACAATAGTATTTGTTAGGATGACTGTATCCAGGATAGTCGATATACTGCTAAAAGTGTCGGTAACTTGAGGAATTGTTGTTGTTTCAGTAATTGTGGTGAATTCACCCACTGTAAGGGTGGTAGGCATCAAGGTCAAGGAAATTGAAGGAGTGGAAGTGATTATGCTAGTATCGATCTGGGTTGATGTCAATGTCTCAACGGACGTAATAACAGTTAAGGGTTTTGTTGAATCGAAGGATGTGGTGCATGACAATTGATCGTCAGTTGCTAAAGCTGAGGCAGTGCCATTTGACAAAATGGCGGAAAAGACTGGAGTCGCAAGGGCAACGAATGGAAGGAGCGTGGAAAACATCGTGACGATTAGTTTTCTATAACTTTAGGAAATGAAAGAAAGTTTTAAGGAGTCAAAAATCTCGACCTGAGAAAACTTTGCAAGACAGCATACCATTGAATTAAGTACTTCTCGAAGCTGCACCTCCCTTATTGCGCCATGCCAAAGGAGCTCCCGCATTCGGACATGTCCGGGGACAATGGTCCTACACTCTGCTTCTCAGAATAGCGATAAAATTCAATTCACCAAGAAATAAATTGAGGTTGAATGCTGAGTGCTGCTGCCAAGATGAATAGCTTAAAATGTTGGGGTTCTGAACTGGTGCTAGACGTTCTGGAGTCGAGATTAGGTACATAAGCAGCAAGTATCTTTTCTCATACAGGGGAATGGAGAAGAACAGTTTCTGGCACTATTATACCATGTGCATTTTTAGATCCACGTCAAGGGAGAAAGATAAGAAAGTGGATATCTCTAGATCTATTAATTCGAGCTTAAACGAACTCTTGGTACCGAGAAGCTTGAAGTCCTGTTGCTTGGGTCTAAAACGGATCGAGGACACTTCCCACGAGCCTGGGTGAGTTGTGTAAATCTAGAACTTAAAAGATCCAAAGGTCGATGCTCATGCACGTGCCATTATGGAACGATGATAGCAAAAATAGTCAGCTAGATTGATGTGAACAAGCTGAAAGCAGATTACATTCGCTTATTCTATCCAGTTCCCGACTAATGCAGGGGGGTCTTACTATTTCAAAAATGGGCTGACTATTACTGAAGTAGCTAGTCTACCAAAGAATGGGAGCAAAACGTGGAAGAAATGTTTACGATTGGATACCACGAGAGAAAAACTGAGCGATTCCGGGGAAGTCCCCTTTTTATCTAATTTCCGTGGCGGTACCAACTTGTCAGGTAGATCTTTTCAGCTATGGTATTCGAACTAACGATGCTTAACCTAACCAACTACCATGCCTACAACTTTGTTTAAATTCAGGATCGTTCTTGGTATTGAAAGGTAAAGACTAGCTCAGTTCCTTCATTTTATGGTTGTATGTTGCAAATTTTGGGTTGTTTGGTGATATACTGAATGGACATGACTATGCCAAGAACCACGGAAAATAGGCCAAGGTTGACCATACGAATTGTGTCCAAATATTTTGATTGGAATTGTGAATCAACAATTGAAAAACGGATAAAAATATCAAAGCGAATAAAGCAAATAGTGGCTCTTGTATACTTTGAATATTTTTAAAGTTGAACAGAATAATTGGATTACTGATGGTATTCCCGGTCTGGCCTGCTATTTCTCTTCCGAATAGTATGGTCTGTATACATGGTCTTTGTGTGGTAAGCTAACCTGCACTTGCTACAAATACAACTAAGATTTTGAATCTGCCTAATCTTGGAATCAAAAAGAATCAAGCAGCTTTGCTCTAAAAGTCTTCTATATCTTCTGTGGCTTAAGAACGATTGCCCAATTCATACTGAATTGGTATATACTCAAGCTTCAACGAGGAATTGACAGTAAGCGGAGATACAAACCATCACTACAGTCTATCAATCTTTTTTTCAATTCTCATCTATACTTTTCATACCCAATTTCCTCCCTAATCCTCGCCTCGACCTTCTCTATCGTCGCACTATCATACACTTCCTCCAATTTCTTGCCCTCCTTAAAAACAAGCTTCTCGTGTTTTGTTGCCTCTTCCCTTGTCATACACACCAGATCTCTTGCTCTGACTTTGCTTGCCTTCTGACCCTCGATACTTGCATCCAATGTGCTTCCCTCCTCAGGTTTTCTCCATCTCGTCAACGCTAATCTGGTCGATATCCCGCTCAGCGCCGACTTTCCTTTATACACCTCCTCAACTATGTATCCGACATCAGCCGATGTTAATGGAACTTTCAATCCTTGTGCATCCTCATTTGCGGTTGTTGCCCGAGCGAGTTTTTCTTCAAAACCTTGCAATTGAGCCAATATTCCATCGTACATCTTTTCTCGACCTTTGGCGGGTACGTATTCGCATGGATAACCTGTGATTTGAAGGATCAAATGATTGGCAACTACATATCCAAAGACGGCGGGCATAGTGCCTAAAACTGGCAAGATTCGCACGCGGAAATCGGGTAACACACCCAAGTCGCCAACTGAGCCTTTCTTGAATTCCTCCTCGGGTAGGGGCAAAAGTTGAGCTTTTCCTGGTCCAGGCTTTTCTGTTGAGTATACCACGTTGATGCCAGATGTAATACCTAATAGACGAAGTCTCCTTCGAGTAGAACGGGAAAGGGGATCGTCTGTACTAGCAGAGATATCTCCAACAAAGACTCTGGTTGGGTCGGATTTGCATCCTGCGCCCATGGATGAAATCACTGGTAGTTTGTTTCTGTAACAATATTCCAGCAATTCCACCTTACTATCGATATTATCAATAGCATCCACAATATAATCCGGCTTTCTACCGTTCCATTCTGCAAGTAAAGAGTCCGCTGCTTTGGCATGGAAAAGTTCATTTCTCAAATCGAAATTTACCCATGGCGCGATTTGTTGTAGACGATTCTCCAAACATCCTACTTTTGGTGTGCCTACATCTGCGAGTGTTGCAACAGCATGTCGATTGAGGGATGAGAGAGTAACTTGGTCGAAATCAATGAGACGTATATGTGAAACTCCTGAACGCGCAAGAGCTGCCGTGCAATGCGATCCAACACCTCCACAACCAACCACAATGACAAATGCTGAGCGCAACTTTTGTAGTCCATCGTCTTTCAAAAAAACTCGATTCCGGGCTAATTGTTCTAAAATGAGTTCTGCACAGATTAGTCATGCCCGTAGTATCTCCCTGAAGAATTGAAAGTACCATCATCATAATCCCCTCTTCTCGCTCTCTCCGCCAATGCAGCACCTCTCTCATCTTCTTTACTTATGCCCATACCCTTAGGCGCGATCCCCATATCCGTAAGCTTCACTTCTTTCGTCAGCATAAGCACTTGAATTCAATTCCGTTCTCTTTCTAGACGGTAGATCTCGACATACCAAATCAGCATGATGATCTCGTCCCAAACTAGGTATTGAGCTCTTCAAATCTTCCACTTTTTCTTGCCTCCTCAGAGCCTGGTAACTGAAAATTGCGCCTGCTACCACCGCACCAGATACAAGCGCAGTAGCTGTAAATTGCGCTTGTGAAGAGCTGCCCACGCGATTGATCAAATTCGACATTTTGGATTATGTCAATGGTATAATTGTAAGAGTTAAAAATTCATAGGTCTTCGTAATATTCGTAATAGTAAAGACAGGAGTAGGCTATATCAAAATTATGCCTATTTATAAGTTATAATAAGTTATAAACAAGCCATTGCAGAATTTATGCATATTATCACAATGGCAATATTTGTTGAAACTTTTTTTGAGCTTCACCTGCAGAGGACGGAAATCTCCGTCGCGGGGTGCCTCGGCTATTGATTGGTGAAAAATGGGGGCCATATGGGGCGAAAGCAAACAACCAGTTACTTATCTTACCTCAATTGAACTTACAATACAATGTCTATGTCCACGAGAAGCATGCCAAAATTGTTCAACCCTATCAATCTTAAACACATCAGAAAAATGGCTTCCGCACCAGCAGCACATATCAAATCTCTCGACCACCTCGTCCTAACAGTTGCCTCTATACCCCGCAGCACCCAATGGTACAAGACGAATTTGGGCATGCAATCCGAGCAGTTCGTCTCAAGTTCTACCCCAGATATAACGCGTCATTCTTTGGTCTTTGGTTCACAGAAGATAAATCTACATGAGCTTGGAAAGGTAAACCGTTCCTTTACTCCCTGTCACTTCATGACATCTGAATTCTAAACCGGTTCAAATATTAGGAATTTGAACCCAAAGCCCAGAATGTGAAAGACGGAAGTGCAGATTTATGCTTTCTGACGGATGATGATGTGAAAGATGTTCGTAGACGTCTAATAGATGCTGGTGTGGAAATGGTAGATTTGAGCCCCGAAAAGACCGACGAGGGAGTTGTGAATCGCACAGGTGCCCGAGGCAAGCTGAGAAGTGTTTACTGCAGAGACCCAGACGGGAATTTGATCGAGTAAGTCAAGGACCTCCCCTTGAACTCATTGAGTATATTTTGATGACCATTGAAGGATCTCCAACTATATCTAAAAACTATGAAACATGATTTGACATCATACCATTTTTGAAATGGGTATATTACGCCTTCTTTCCTTTCCCGATGGTCGTTATTTATAATCATCGTCGTCATTATACCCCATTTGTTACTCCATTACCTGACTAATAACACCACGCTGGAGGTCCTTAGGAGTAAATTACGAGAAATACTACTGTCTCAGGACGTTCATAACGACATCCCTCCCAAGTCGTAACAGTTTGCTCTCTTCCTCTATTAGAGCTTTGTCCTCTACATGTGAAAAGTCGCCCGCCAGGAACTTTTCGTTTTGAATCAAATCCTCGTTCCTTCTTTGATGCTGCGGCGAGTCTCTCATAGCCCACGCTCGACTGGTAGCTTCAACATTCCTTATGAGAAGCTCTCGAGCCTCTTCTTGGGATGTAGGTATAGGCATTGCAGAGATGTCAGCTGGTGTTAATGGTGGCGAAACATCATACAGATCCTCATCAGGGGCAGTAAAGGCTTCACTCTCCGAGATGGGAGACACAGCAGATTCAGAGTCATCGATAAGGTCAACAGAAGTAGCTTCCAAAGGCTCTGCAGTATCTTGGTTCGTCCTGTCCGGTGGGCTAATTTGTGTTTCGGCCGCTGAGGAGACATTTTTCAGCCCGGCCTTTACTATGTTTCGGAGTAACCTCCCTTCATTATTTATATAGGCCTTGTAGAATGTCTTATCGATCATTGCCGCTGCATGAAGATCCTCGAAATTATCTAGGAGTGACAGAATGCGTAGGCTAATGGCGTCTCTGGTCGCCTCTTTTGCTTTTTCGGCCTCGATAATACACGCTTTTGTGCTAATTTGAGCTGGCAGCTCAAAGATCTCTTCCGGAGCCATATTTTGTGGACCCTTGCCCTTACTTAATGCCCATCCATGTTTGCCGGAAACATCGTGAAGCGTAAGGCCTATGATGGTGTTCGAGATGTCATTGATTTTGCTCCTGAAGTTAGGAGCAAAATCACAGACACCAATATGAGTCTGAGGAGGACTAGGCATCAGTCGCAAGCAGCCGATCAATTCCTTTAGACTACACTTTGATAATAGTTTAGGAAAAAGAGGTGAGATCCCCAGCTCGTTATAAACCAGCATAAGCCAGCCTAGGTTAGTGGCATCGCAGGTACGGGATCCTCTTGGGCATCGAACCGTGGACAGTTCAAGTGATCCTACATGAATTGATCTCTCCGCGTTTTGCTGTGGCCTTTGAAGGTACTCATTTATGACGCTTGCACAATAATCGATGACTTGTTCCATGTATATAGCCCTACGCGCTCTAATCGAATCCTTGATAACCTGGGGCCAAAGTTCTGTACCTTGAGTATCACCATCGTCTTTCGAGTTAAGGATAATGCTTCGAGAAATACGTGTAAATAGATCTCTTGCGCCAAATGTGTACGCAATAAGGAGGAGTTCTTCAGGATTGCTCTCGGCCGCTCGGGATTCCCATTGAGGTAGCCATCGATACTCCACTTGTAACTCCACCGGGGATGTGCACCTGTATCTCAGGCATACATCTGCGATACTAACAAACAACGGGAAATTAATATCGTCCTTTGGAAGCTTTTGGGTGTGTCCATGGATAGCATGAAGCAGGAGAGCTAGAGCCTCGTGGTTGTTGGGCTCCATCTGTGGCATGCGATAGACATTTACTCTATTCCCGTCCTTTCCGTCCTTTTCAACAATCCTGGACGGCGCTTTGGGCAGATCATTCATCATATTCACCGGGATGTTAGGACCAGGAGAGAGCATATGAAAGAATAAGGGCGACACATCGTCTGGGCTCAAAAAATGGGATGACACTCGAAATCTGATGATCGGAAGTCTATCGGAAGGGCGATTTGCAAACTCTAAGATTGTGTCCCCATTCTTATAAATGACAGACTCACGGACGACTCTATTTTGTGCATGACCTGTCTCGAATAAGCTTTCCGATTCTTCGATATCATGCTTCAGTTTATCGAAGTTCAAAGATCGTATCTTGTACTTTTCGAAGAATTCTGGCTTTTCCGACCTCACCCGACGAACACTGGTGTCTCGCCATTTTGTGATAACACTTTTGCGATGCTCTTTATCTGCTAAGAAAATCTCAAGCTGACGTTGAGATGCATCCGGTTCATAAGCAGTGTATGTTACCACAAGAGAAGTATGAAGGGTGTTGAGAAGTGTTTCCTGGAAGGCTTTATAATCCCGAATGGCTGATAGCCACTGGTTATTAATCTGAAATGGTAAAGACGCGTCATTGCCTGATCCGCTGCTAACAGATGATCGCGTGTCCAACGGACCTATGTTGGATTCAAATGATGGATTCCGCGCATAATGCTCCTCTAGAGTTGTCATACGTTTCAGTTTCATGAAAAATATGACATTATCGTAAATAGATTTAATAATAAACAAAGAACTTACGCGATTTCTCAATCAATTTTCGACAATGTTTTAGGGATTGCTCTCTTTGCCTTTTGTAAATTTCCCAGGTCGCATCTACATTTTTAGGTTCCGGTCCCACCAGCGCTCTGCGCAGCCTTCTCACATTTTCCTGCAATTGTATGTAATTAGGATCGTGCAAGGCGCCAATGAAGAGATCTTGCGACAAATTACATTTGGTCGGTTCGATTTCCGGGGGAGAAACGGGAGAGCTGACGATCAGATCGCTATGAGGGGGCTACAACGATGTTAACAAAATGAACTTGGTATCAATAGGAATATTTTGGAAGCAGACATCAATCATCAAGCCAGAGCTATTAGCTATAGCAGGTTCTTCCCTTGTGGTAATTGTGGTAGTTGCTCTTCTCCCAGGCCAGAGTGAGAACCGTCCTGGCTTTTGGTGCGGGCAGGAATTTGGTCCGCATGCGTACGATTGCTGTCGTCCCATCCTCGACATGTTGAAGTGGTTTTATTGTCTTTTTTGTGAACAGTTTATCGAGGTCGTATCTTTTTTCAATCATGATGGAAGACTTCGCAGCGAATCAACATGAAATGTCAATATATGTAAGACTGTTGACGAGACATTCTCTTTGCTAAAGGCAGTGTAATGCCAAGGTCTTGAACCAAAGATTTGTGGGGCGGCTGAGTTGATCAGTTTGTGGGGTGGTAGTATGGTTATCCTTGTAATCCATGTGGCTCTCATGTCGCAAAATATATAACAACCGCTGCATCATCGAAAGCATATTGTGTATATATAAATAAAGTTTGTATACAAATTTTGAGGATAGGTGCCAAATGTGCAGATTTGACACTGAGAGCAATAATACAATGGCAAGATGTCATTTCGTTCCCTCCCGAACTCACAGGATTTTTAAGGATCTCTGTGTACGAGCATAGCCGCAGTATAGGAGATCGTTGTTTCTCTAGTTGCTCTCATCGGGACACTCCCTTCGGATAATGAATGTTGGGGGAAACAGATAGACTACCTACCAATGTACTGGAAAGGAACGATGGTCTAGAAGTATAGCATGTTTCTGCCATGAAATGGCTTTGCCGAAGGTCACATGGAAGTAAGACGATTGAGTTTACACCCAGTTCTTCTAACGCGTACACGGCTAACAGTGATATTAAGATTGGCGCAGATCCTGCGTCCAGCACCTACCTGTCTTTCAAGCGGTTCTTTCTAGAATTCTCCTTGCGAGCAACATCACAGATGTCCCAGTAGCACTCTCAACTAAAGGAGGAACTAATGAAAGTTTCTTTCTCATACAAATATCTTGATCAAGGACTATTACCAACTCTCGAAAAATTCGGTGTTTATGTGGAATGTGAACTCAAATTTAGAGGATGGCCACCATGGGCGAGCCGTGCAGAATTTAAGATACATTCCATACCTCTAGCCATTGGCCAGTCCTTGAAGGTGTCAGCTCGGCCAACAGAACAAGGAAGCTTGAAGGAAGTATTTCGATTCCAGTACTCGAGACAATCTAGAACCCTCTTGAAGCTTTTTTCTTGCAAATATGACGCAACGCTTCCCCAAATGAGTGTCAATACTGTCCTACGTGAGAATACACATCGAATGTACACAATTTTAGTGGCTCATAGCCTCTACCGGGCCACAATTTGTTTTTGATTGGCTTTATGATAGAAAGGCCAAAGACAAGACCCCAGAAGATATATCTGCCATCTCAACAGATGGATTAATGTAAAAGCTCAAGAAAGGTTGTTAGTGGATGAGTTTCCTTCAAGATCAACTGGTATTTTCGAGCACTTGCTGATGCTCAATCGACAGTTTTAGGACACGAGCTCTCTTCCGATTCGAAAAGTCGCTGAGTCCTACGGATGAGCCTTTTCGGGGTTGGAACTAAATATACTACTACAATTAGATGAAATGCTAGTCAGATCCTGCCACAACAAATGCTATGATAACGGGCGAACATTTGAAGGAGCTGGGTTGAGAGCTAATCCTATTAATTTTACTGTACCATCTAATGTTTTCTGACGGAGATACATTATTGGTTTATCGAAAATGAATCTGGGATCAAATAGTATTCATTCACTCTCGATAACATATTCCTCAAGCCTTATGCCTCAAACCCAATTTTTTACATCTACACAAGCAGCGAACCAGAATCCGATCTCACAACCGTCCCCGTAACACTACTATCCTTCATCAACCACAAATACGATTCTGCAATCTCCTCCGGCAACGCAACATGCTTCGTCAAAAGCTTCTTTTCCATCTCCTCAAAAATCGCCGTTTTCAGCTCCTCTCCAAACCCATCCCACAATTCCGTCTTCACCGGACCCGGGCTCACAACATTAACCCTCACAGGCGCCAATTCCACCGCCAACGCCCTCGCCATGCCATGCAACCCCGCTGCATAACTTGAAATCACACTCCATCCCGCAGCGGGTTTATCCGCCGTCGACCCCGTCGTCAACGTAATAGAAGCCTTGGGGCCCTCACTCAAATATCTACTGCCAACTTTCGCTACCATCAACTGTCCAAAAAATCGCACCTGTCCCATCTTATGCATATCCTCTAACGATGTATCTTTCAACGCAACGATAGAAATTGGGTCCCCAGCCGTGAAAACTATATGATCTACTTTTCCCGTCCGTTCAAACAATTTCTCAACGTCGGATTCGAGGGTAAATTTGGAAAGATCGCATACATATCCCGCGATTTCACCGTCTGGATAGCTATTCTGTAGTTTCTGGACTGCTTTGGCGACGCGATCGGCTGACGAGGAGGAGATTGTAACCGAAGCACCACTTTCAAGTGAGGCTTCTGCGACACTATATCCGATTCCGGATGAACCACCAATGACGATGACGTGTTTCCCAGCGAGCTTTTGGTATTTTCCTGGCATTTTTGCTACGGTCAAGATATCTCCCTAAAAATATATATGTATGTATGTATATGTGACTCCGAATAAATACAAAGGATTGATGAGTTCCCACTAAAGAGGGAAAAAATAGTCATATAAATACAATTTCATTAAACTAGCTGTGAAGTACCTTGCACCTTAAAACCGATAAATCCGGGTACCACCATCAACAGGGAGAGGGGAAATGCACGGACTAACCTAAGAAATCAAACGATTAGTAAGTCGTTCGCAACCCATGCTGACAGAAAGTGCAAAAACCCGAGGGGCTTACCAATGGGAAACTTTTAAAAATGACGCAGTAACATCCCTCCCATCCTGCTTTTTGCTTCTTCCCCTATCATTCTCCGCTTGATGTATTCATATTGCTGTACGTGGAATAACTACTTGGCTAGGTATCGAAGCTGACTGACTAAGTCTAGTACCCCACTTTCCGGCCACCCCTCTTTCTGGACATCTCAAAAAACCATTCCATTTTCAGTAATCTATTTCATTCAATTTTTAATAATTCAACAATCATTTAATCAATTGATCAAAAATTTAAATACATTATAATTTATAAGATATCGAAAGTATTGTCACAAATCACCTACATCTAAGATTATAGTGGTATTATGAGAGTCGGTGATTTAGCTGCCGACTACATGGGGGTTCCTTATCGCCCGATTAGGAACCTAGGAATCCTAGAACAAGTATTCTAGGCAACTATAACGTAATAGGACAAGTGTCCTAACTCTACGAAATAGGCTAGGATAAAGATTATTCTAGGATATTTATCCTAGGACGATTTCCCTAGGATATCAACTATCCTAGGGAGGGGATTATCCTGAGGCGATTGTGGTAGGAAAGGATTGCTAGGATTAGCCTACCAGGATAGAAATCACGTGATGGAGCCTCCAGGAGCGTGGGCTCCTCGAGGCTCCTGGAAGGGCCTAGTATATAGTCAGAATAGTTTCATAGTTTAGGAGCTTCGTGCTCAACTTAGTTATCAATTAGTTTACCTACATTCCAATTGATCTAGTAACGTATTCACTTTCAAGTAGATAACCAGTAATTAATAGCCTTAACCCACAACTACCAACCATACGAAACCTCAGGCAGCCGCTGCCTCGACCAGATCGTTACAACTATAACTATTAGATTTATCTATATTTTCGTCTTTAAAAAACAAATATAGATATTACTTTAATAAATTAAATTCTTTATTAAATTCTACACCAATTGAAAAATATAACTTTTTGAATATTATTAGAAAGCAAGAATAAAAGCTTTAATAATCAAAAATATCAAAAAAGAATAAAAAACTTCAGATTTATAATTTCAAAATCATATTAAATTTCTATTCAATAGATTATTATTTGAAAATAACAACAAAGAGATTATTTTTCAATATCCTTTTTCAAATAATGATTTTATTCTTCAATAGAATAAAAATACATCTTTTATTAAATGAAAAACCTTTCAAAAAGCAAATGATATTCAAAAATATATATATATAATGATTCAAGAAAAAGAAACTGATCTTTCAATATATCGATTACTTTTTCGAAAGATTTCTAAAAAGTTTGATACTAAAAACTATACACTTATACAAACAAAATATTGAATAAAACAATTAGAATTCAAATTAAAATATATTGTACCTAAAAAAAGAAGGAAGATTCGGACTAGCTCGAATTCGAAGTTTGCAGGGATTAAAGCTATTCGATAGACGCAAATTGAGACTGAAGATCGTGAAATTGATAAGAATGATTCTGATGATGATTATGAAACAGATTCTATAAACGATTGTATTGAAATACAATAGTTGTTGAGTTATTGAAGTTTAAAATTTATATAATGGTTTTTTTTGAGGTGTCCGGAAAGTGGGGTACTAGACTTACATAGTGATATTCAGACATTGCGTTATCAATATTACACTCTCCATTCCCTTTGTAAGATGAATATCTGCTAGAATCACTAAAGAACTACTCCTCCAGTATTGAAGAAGAGATGGAAAAAATGGATTACATTGGCAGTATGTTATCTGCAGAAATTCAAGTGGCGCGGATATATATGTCAGTCAGAATTATATCAGCTGCTGGCCATACTTCTCCAAGAGCTTTCAGGTCAGATAATCTGATTTATCGCCCCATCTGTTCATAACATAGATAATATCACACTGGAGGTATTATACAAGAGCACGGATTTCACTCCTGAATGAGTGAAAGTAATTTTCAATGAGATTAACGCTTTTGACCCTCCTCATACTATCATAATGTACAAAATGTTATACCAAATTCATAATTATACGTTCAACCATCGGCCATTGATCTGTTTCCTTCTTACCTATGAAAGTATTAGTATTTCATTCAGTAACAATGATAGGGTTAGTAACTTACCATAGGCGCGAGAATTGTAACACCAGCTCCCAATGCCAAGACAGTAGCCACCAAACTCAACTTATTAAACGCCTTGCCCAAAATATCAAAAGCAGCGCTAGGCGTAACTCTTGTTCCAAAAACATCAATACCATATGCGAAGACCAGACTAGTACTTTCTAGTAGAGCAGGACTGGTAATGATACCTTTAATACCTAGAACTTCACGTTTGTGGGTGATGATAAGTTTTGGGTCGAATTCGATGACAGGCGAGTAACGAAGAAGTCCTTCTTCTTGCTCGGCGGGGATAGGGTCTCGGCCGACTGGTCGACGGGGATCAAGAAGGAAACGGGGAATGCTAACGATGGAGTTGGATTCCAGGGTGCAAAGAAGCTGACGAGTAGTGATGCCTTGGCGAGTCTGAGAAACAGACATGTGAGTTATTGCTTCAGGAACCACAAATGATTGGCTGACCACATGAGGAAGAACTGGGCCAGCATTTATTACATCTAATGGGTCAAGGCTTGAAGCATTCATGTTCGAGCCAAGCGGTCCACGATCATTAGGAATAGGGGATTCGTAAAGGTCGGTGACGACGAGTTTATGTCCTTTGGAACCTTGCAAAGAGGTGGTGGTTGATATTTCATCGCTCCAGAAAGAATATGCAAACCAATTCTCGGTAAAGACAGAGGCAATAGATTTCTTAGTGTCAACACCCTCGTGATGCACGGCATAAAGAAGGTCGCCTGAAACGGTATCAAGGAGATAGAAGGAGGCAGTTGATGTTAGATCGGAGACGGCAGTCACCAAAATGACGTTGGGATTTAAATACTTGTAAAGAACAGTACGGTCACCAAGAACACGACCAATCGATGCAACTGGATCATGTACGGGCTTGGCCACCACACCTACGACCCTTTGACCAGTCGGTGGGTGAAATGACCAAGTGAAGACAGGCTTGGCATCAAGACCTTGGGTATCAAATTTCAAACCCTTGACTTCCCCGTTCTCACCACGAACCACAAGTGATCCCTTTGGTGCCCAATCTTTTGGTATATCACCAGGATTTCCATTGACGCCTATGGGTAGTACCCATCTTCCAGAATCGCTGTCAACGACGGCCGCGCTCTGAACAGCTGGCCACTGACCAGGGTTTATAGCCTCAAGTCCCTGTCCAGTGGTGGTATTCACGATAATATACTCTCCTTGACTACCTCGGACTGTTGTTGTACTTTTAGAATTATCGACATATATAGATTTGACGTCCCATTCCTTGCCAACTGGTATATCGAAAGCTTTCGAACTCCATACAACACTTCCTTGCGATCCGGCATCAAGTGCATATAATCGACCTCTTTGAGTAGCAACGATAACTAACTTGTTGAAACCAAAGGAATCTCGTGCCAAAACGCCTTCCTTTGGTGCTGCCAAATCCGCAGGTAAGATGGCACTCAAAATTTGAGTTGGTAGCTTTTGCAAATATGCAGGAAGGTATTGTAAATCATTGATATGACGCTTAACTCGGTGGATGTACGCAGCCCAGGGGCTGCTGTGAGCTTCGGCCTCGAGTGTCTCGGCCAATGATTCTGATACCGGAATATCAGCCCATTCAGCAGCCACAATACCAGAAAGGCCCTCAGGACGAGACCAGGCTACAGCACCATTGAGCACCAAAACCCAATCCTGCTCCACACTGACCATAGCTGATCTAACAGCATAATTATCAGGAGCTTTTTGTACCACTTCTGATGCACCATGGAGAAATTGGAGTCGACCATGTTCCTTTTCTGCTTTAATCGGCCATCTGCCCAAAATTCCATGAGACATTGATGAGAAAATAAAGGTTTCGTCCTCGGTAAAACGGGTAAAATAGACGTTAGCACCTTGTGAACTAATTGAGAAAGCGCCTTTTCCAGCAAGCTTCGGAATTTCATATGCTTTGCTGATGCTACCACTCTTCATGTCAATGTGATAAACATCCGCTCGATTCGAAGTTGCCGACTGACTGTGTACCAAGAAATGTGGTAGGGATTGAACCAAATTAGGAGCGTGAATAGATACTTTTGTAAGCTCGCCATCTGATGACTTTAGAGGTAATGTCTGCAAGTCGCTTGGTTTACCCAGAATATTGACTTTAAGATTCTTCAAGGACCTATCGGTCCAAGCAATGATTGGTGTAGCAGAATTAGCTCCCACAAGCAAGACATCCTCTGGGGTATGGACATCTCCTTTGGTCGAGAGAGTATATTCAGTGACTCGTTGACCTGTCAAATGGTCCAAAGTAGTAACCTTCACACTGTACCCTCCCCAAGAACCATGCAGAGTGACAACAAAAATGTCTCTAACATTTGTGCTGATTTGCAAAGGGAAATCGCCACTTGCATCAACATATTCCCATACAACATCTCCATTGTCTCCATTTAATTTTCGTACCACGACTTTTCCAGCATCTTCGAATAAAGTCAAAACGTCCTTGACATTATCAAATCCCTCAACAACTTCCAAATCTTTAGCTATTCCTGAGAAAGTATTGCCCCATCTTTCTCTTCCATTCTTCGCGTCCCAAGTATCAACCCTGTTGCCCAAAGCACTAACCACTGTACCAGCTCCCTCAACTGGTCGTAGAAGCCCTTTCCCGCTATTGTTATAATTCGCCAAAATCTGTCGCCATCTGACTTGACCTGTACTTGGATTTACAGCCCCAAGAACTCCCAAATCACTCAATGTATATAACAATGCGCCTTGTTCATTTTCCCTAGGTTTGTAGAAGAATGTTGTCTCTGGTTGTGGGATGCCTAGTAATTCGTGGTGATAGTCGACAATGTATGCTTCATCTGCGAAAACTGCAAGGGTACGTGGAAGTATTGACAGAGTCAGACAGAGTAGATTTAGAGGAAGTCGCATAATGAATGATGTTGAATTAGGTGTGGACCTCCAATGTGGCATGAAGCTCTGGTTATCTATTGTAAAGTGGGAACGTAAGATTTCGGAGCGGATTAATTAATCACCGATTGGATATATTCGCCTCCTCAGTTGCAACTACATATTTATTGAGAGCTCAATTGAAGTACCTTAACAAGGGCACGCACTTGGGAAATATTGACTGGGTTGAGCCAAATAATGTAGACTTCCAAGTGACGTCCATCCCCAATGCTTTCAGCTCACCTCAACAAATTCTTACCTCACACGAGCTTCCGCCAATATTTCCTTCAGGATTGTTTAAGTATACAGAGAGAAGCATTTAACTTACATTGGTTGGCCAAACTGATCCTTAGCTCACAAGACATATTTCCATTAAGTTCATAATGCTTGCAGCTTCAGCGAACTGCTAATTATCGACGGCTAACATGGGTGTTGTCAAGGTACATCCATTGTAAGCAACTTGTTCCTCTATATATTCATGTTATTCATCTCTATAGTTTCTCTTTAAGAAAATAAAATTCAAGCCCCTATGCAATCTTGCTACTACCTCAAGATGTTACTGTGATTCTTGGAAAAGTTAATATTTTGAGAGAAAGGGGAAATCTGAATTGGCGAGTTTGTCTCTCCACATGGATGGTTATGCTTAGAGTTGAGTATTATTCAAGATTCTAATGTCTTTATATACATTAAACTACTCTACAAAGTTCAATACAAGTACATCCCGTGTTCCTTGTTCAACTACTTCAGATTCAATGATAAATGCAGACCCTATCTGTAACAACTACCCATCTCAATTGCCATCAATACCAAGAAGAACATCCCTTAATTCCCTCCAACTCCTAATTTTCGGCGGACATAAATCCAAACACCCATCTTCCACCTCACAAAAATGAATCGAGAATATTCCCTCCACCATCGCAGGTTTCATATCCCTCATCTCACTATCCCCACAATAAACCAAATCATCCGACCTAACATTCAAAAATCCCAAAACCTTCGAAAAAAGTCCGTCTGTCTTTGATACCCCAAAGTCATTCGTCGTAGCAAGAAAATCAACAAATCCATCAATACCCAATCCCTTCAATGTTCTCTCCTGCGCATCTTGTGGCCCTTCAGTTATTACAACGATTTTCTTCCCCATCTCCTTAACTGTAGATAGTAACTCTACAACACCACATCCCAACTCTAACGATTCCATCAAAGTCTCCTCATACAAATCCAAAAGTCCCTCTATAAAATCCGTGTCTTGAGGGAGGGAGAAATCTTCCAGAAGAGAAATAAATCTCTCCCGTCGATATCAAACGAAGTTTTCCCATCCGAAAACGCATTTGTAGTTTTCCATTTCAAGATGAATGCATACACTTTCTATAATTCAGATAAATAAATTGTGAATTTTGAGGAAATTTCTTCGAGGATTTTGGTTGTGGCGATGCCGGAAGCATGACGAAATGAATGTAATGTATCATCGAGATCGAAACCTATCCAGGGTTTTTCTGAAATCATTTTGCGGAGCTTTTGCTTTTGCTTTTGTGTGGATAATTCTTTATGTGTATTCATTTTCGATGTGGTATTCTTGTGTGTGAACTAGAAGTGATTTGTTAGTGTGATTTGATGGGAGGACAAGTTGATATAGTATTGAGAGTAAATTGGAAATGGAGAGAACAAGTGGAAATTCTGGAGTTGTGTAACTGACACAGGAAGGATATGAGAATGAGTGGTAGAAGATCTATGACTAGAGTATTTTTGAGCCTGTTCTGATATTCATCCTTATATAAACACCAAATCAAGTAGTAAATCCTAACCTACAAATCCAAGCCGGCAAATCCAAACCTGCAAATCCAATACACAACCCCAACAAACAAATAATCAAATACTCAAATACAAATCCAATCCAATCCAATCCAATCCAATCCAATCCAATCCAATATCAAAAGACCCACTCTCATAGACCTATAAACTCAATCCGAGTCCTTATACACAAACCCACACCCACACCCACAACCCCTCTCTCAAAACTTCAATTCCATCTCCTCATCCTTCTTCTTCCTTCTCTTCTTCAAAGAAATAACAAAAAAGATGTTCATTTACTTACACTCTTGAATTATATTTTTGTTTAAATCTTCTTTTAAATCTTTCTCCCTCTCTCTCACTCTCTTTCTTTAAAAAATAATAATAATATAAAACCTCAAATAAAATAATAAAATAATAAAATAATAAAATAATAAAATAATAAAATAATAAAATAATAAAATAATAAAATAATCATAAAGAAAATAAACAATAAAAAAGATAAGAATATCAAAAATATAAAAACATCCAAGAAATAAAATCATCCGAGTCAAAGATTTTAAATATACTAAATTCGTGAAGCAAGGGACAAGAAGGATTAAGGTTTTGAAGACGAGAGTTATAGATTATACTACTTACTCAACTATTGAGTATATATTACAACGGGTAACATATCTCGCATCACATGACACTTAATCAACAATATCATGTGATGAATAGACAGGATAGACAGACTATCCAATTAATATAAAGGTCTATATAATCAAGATGTATTTCATTATTATAAAGCTTCGAGTTCAAGATCAATGATTTAGTATAATCTACTATTAGTTACAAATTGTAATTATATCGTTGTTACTTAAGTCCCTGTTTGATATTTAATTATAAACCACCTCGAGAGCCTAGAGCACTTCCACGTGATCTAGACGACAACCCTCGCAACAGTATACTAGTAATAAATAATATCACGAGAATTTCTCTTCTTAATTCTTAAGGGTTTTTTTCTTAGATCTTTTTCAATCTCCGGGGTAGCAATGATGGTATTGAGGAGTAAATCTTTAATCAATCTAATTCAATCTAATCTAATTAACTAGTATTAAAACAATATTATTTATATAAAGTATATAATATGAGAATAATAATAATAATAATAATAACAAAAGTGATATTTCAATATTTTCAACATTTCAATATAAATCTCAGTACTTATTCAATAAATAACCAAAAGTGAATCTATTTATATAGGTAGTATTAAGTTCTTATTTGATATAAATCTATTCATTCCATACAAACAAGAGAGGCAATACTAGTATCATCTATCATCCATCAGAACATCTCTGTCTCTGATCCTCTTCACTAAACTCCAATTTTCCCTTTTCCTCTTTTTCCATCCCATCCATCCATCCCATACCCATTCCATACAAACAAAAATAATCCGTCCATGGGTAAAGGGGTATATCCATCAAGCGCCTTTTGCAAAAGCAAGTCAAAAATTCCCTTCCCAGTAAGTGTATAAATAAGCCAATGCAATACCATGCCCAGTATGCATCCGAAGCTATCCCAAACGCCGATATTTACAAATAATTCATGATGAATGAAATAAATGCCTTATTAATGAGCTCCAACTCCCATGCCACTTCCAACTCAAATTTCATTTCCGTCATCCAATGCTGATAAATCTTCATAATCAGGAATTGGTGGTCCATCATAAACTTCCGTGTCGATATAAGTAGGAGGACTAGCAGGAACATTCTCATATAAAGGAGGTTGTTCCTCATCCCATGAGATACCCAAACCTGATCTCTCGGTAACTGTCATTTTGAAATGCATTCTCAATACTCTTGCTCCTCCAGTTGGTGTTACTTGAGATGGTTTCTTGATCGGTGCGAATTCTTCCGAAACAATCATCTCAACGATGAGAGTATGGAAAACTTCGGTACCATCCTCAGATGTCATGTCGCAAATTGGTTTTGCATCTGGACGAATAGAAATTGGGAATTCAATTTCGATGGCTCCATCTGCTGTATCGTAATTTGATTTCCATCCGGATTTAATCTCCTCGGTAGCTAAGGTACGACAATCTTGGTGAGCGGCACCTTTCTTGTTCTCTCCTTCCTTTGTCACTTTGGCGGCATGTTTGGGACATGCCGGTGAGATAACTCTATGGGTTTCATCCAAACGCCATGTTAAACGTTTTAACTTCCAATGATTTTGTGTCTTTGCATCTGCATTTCGATTCACAACACCATCCATGCGCATTGATATGTTTGATTCTCCAATTGGGTAGATAACTGCAGGGAGTTGGGCATTTGCTATTAAATTGGTTGGTGGGAAGATTCGCATTGAACTTCGAGGAATGTCGGAAGGAATAATAGCGCGCTTGATGTTGAGGACGTGGGAGAGTTTCATCGGTTCGCCAGTCTTTGGTACAAGCGTAGCCTTGAGAACATATTCGATATTAGATAATGAACTCTTCATGCTCGCCGGTAAATGTCCGGGAAGGAGAAAGCTAAAGGGGAAATCATGTTCGCCTGAAGATTGAGTTAGCATCCTGAAACAAAAAAGATGAATATGAACTAATATGTACCTTTTCGAAGAGTAGCTGGACCTTGAAGGAAATTCCAAGTGGTTAAATCATTTGATTGATGAGCGCACTCATTGCAATGCGCATGAAATGGTTTCTTTTGCGTCACCTCCAATGCCAATCGCATCTTGAATGACTCAATCGCAAACTTCTCATCATGAATATGTAATTTCAATTGTCCAGAGAGTAATGCGCCAGTACTCGAAACTGTCGAACCGTAAAGAACCAAGGGTGGTGACTCAATGGCACAATCCAGTGTTGCACCATGAGATATAGGGGCTGTTTTCGAAGATGTCTTTGGTGAATGAAGACCAGGTATTAAGATACGTTTATGAGTGAGGGAAAGATCATGCATCTTTGTTCCTTTATCTTCTGTGATAGAAGAGGCTGCTGATGGTGTACGACTTTTCAAGGCCGGTCTACTGTTTGAATTCCTTCTTGGACCTTTCTTCCCTTCGGTTGGAAGGTCGAATGGGTGCGAATGAGATCGAAAGAAGGAAGTGACGTGCTGCATAGTAGTTGCCGGCATGGTGGCGTTTTGGTGGCGTCTTCGACAGGGAAAATAGACTTTTCCTTTCTGCACAACAGTATTAAAAACTGCTTCTAGTATTAAACTCTCATTCGTGTTGGAGGTTGTCAAGTCGGAGGAGAATTAAGAGTAATGGGTGGCAGGTGGCAGGTGGCAGGTGGCAGGTGGCAGGTGGAAGGTGGAAGGTGGAAGGTGGAAGGTGACAGAGTCGAAAGTCTTTTTGGTGGTGTGATTGTTATGAGGGAAGAGAAGATGATGTAATGAACAAAGCTTTTTAAGTATATGAATATCCTGGTATATTTGGGTGAGATGATGGTGAATTGGAATATTATATTTGATCTCAAACACCTTGACGGAGGAGGTGGAAAGGATTTGAGCTATATAAAAATGATGTTCAAGGGAACCATCAGCCCCAAGCTTGATATCATTCACTCATTGCATTGTGATTTTTAGCAAAGTGACACTATTCTAATTTCTTACCCATCTCCATTCTTCCCCTTACCTCTAAAGGAATTTTATGTGTCAGAGGGATTTCTAGTGAACCAAAATTTGAAGTCTGTGATTGAAAATTTGCACATTTCCCTGGTTACTCATAGCCTAAAAAAATAAAACTTACAAAATTTCAACCCTTGATGCCCCTCACATGGGAAGATTCATGTACATCCTTGTGTGATTGAGGGTCTGTGCAGTGTGTCCGCTGGTGGTGCCTGGCCACACTTCCTCGAGTCGTACTAAAATTTAATTATTATGGGGGAAAATTCTATTTTATGTCTGGTCCAGCGTTCGTGTTTCAGCGGTTAAACATCGCATGAGTCGGAATGTTTGCACTAGAACAATTGCATTCCTACACCGTAGAGCCAGCCAGTATCCAGTTTCCAGTTCTAGGGAGGACGTGCCTAGGCAATAATGAAGAAAATCTTTCTATGAGTGCATTAGGTTTCTCTCGTGGTTTTATACTTCACACTCACCGGTGAAGGTTTCAGGAGCCCATTCAGGGTCACATTTGATCTCCCGAGGAACTCTGGAGTCTGCATTGGTGCACATTGTCTGGAGACTGGAGAATTGATAGACTCCGGATACAGAGTAGAGACTAATACGCTATGGAGGAAGTGTATGCTATGCCACTGTATGGTAGAACTACTCGTACGGCGTGCGTACCGATATACCCGATGCCGATGCCGCAACTTTTACTTCCAACTTCCAAGCTCCAAACTTTTCTTTTTCTTTTTCTTTTTCTCTTTCTCTTTCTCTTTCTCTTTCTCTTTCTCTTTCTTTCTCTCTGCCCTCCCTCCTGCTTGTCTGTAAGGATCCAGAAATATTTGATTTTCCTTTTTACAGAGTAGTTACTACTTAGTTAGGCATTCTTCACAGTTTCCTTGTTGGAAATTACGTTTAGCTTCTTCTGGGGTACGCCCCTGTGGATCAGGTACATTAACGTCAAAGTTTTTTTTCGAGCCAGTCATTCAAACAGCTCGTGAGGAATTTGATTGATGACTGGTTGATGTGCGTGCCTGTATGGTTGAAGCACGGCAACAAGTTCATCATCCCATCCTTTCTTTTTGGCTTGCATATTCCATACGAGTATTAGGTAGGTAGCCAGCTACTCGGTTGCTTGACAAGTTGACACCCAAGGATCAAAGACCTGAGTCTCGATGTACTAGCAACAGCGATGTTGTCATTGATTACTAGGCACTTTCCAATCGTACTTCCTCACCAATTATACCATATTGCGACTTTTCCAGCCGCAATGATGGAAATACAAGGCTATTTGGAAGATCATTGAGGGATCTCATGCCAAGAGATTCTGATGGATGGAACGATGTTGCGCTAGAGATGGACAAGTGCCTTGGACTGTAGTGCTTAGTTATTAGGTCCTGGTGGATGACAACCTCCACGAACACGATAAATCAACCTCAATTCATATGGAGCGTCGTGTTCGTTCAACGGAGTTATCCTTCCCAATTTCCTGACAACTCGTGGTCAATTCCGAAAGACCATTTTAGTACCAGTGACAACGGCCACAACACGAAGGACACGAAGTATACGATGGTGATATCATGACATGGTGATGATACAGTAGGGACTTTTTAATGTGGGCTTTGTAATATTCTTACGACTATGTGCAACCAGTCCAGTCACCCATACTCCCTCAGGCCATAGGGCTCTGAGCTCAGAACTCACGCCATCGGATGAAATATGGAGAATCTGGAAGATCATTAAAATCACTTAACACATGCTTATTACTCGATCAAAACCGAGAATTTCATCAAAATATCGGAGTGGGCCGAACACGAACTCTGATTGATTGAGCGAGTGAATGATTGACTTCCTAGTGTGTGTCTCTGTTGTCAAGATGATTCGCAATACAATATGCTTCTGGCCATCTGCAACGAAACATCATGCACTTACGCATGATACTATACTCATGGTGCAATCGATTTCAACACATGTGAGGAAATGATACAATTGAAACAATACAGAGTACGACTCCTCAGGACTCTCTATTTATGAGTTTGTGACTCGTTCGCCGTGGATGAATCAATTCCCCCCACAGAATTGGCTTTCAACATTTTACTTTCTCCTCGGAGACAGTCAGTCATGTGCTTGACGCCTTCAAATTTCATCCTTCATGTCGACCGACGGTGTTTGACTTCATTTAATGCATGCGAGAATAAGCGCAACATGGTAGAATTTTCCAATTCACAATACCTTGATACACCGGGTACCGTTCATCAACCTTTCCCGTCAGAAATCTCAAAAATCGGGAAACAGTTGCCAGATCCGGTCTGACGTGACACAATAACCGCATAACCATGTGATTTCATCGAGTAAGAAAAATCACATCCGACCAAAACCTGGAACAACGAACCTCCGTCTTCCTCTGTCTCTTTCTACAATTCCCAATTCCAGACTCGATCGATCTCTCAATCATCCAATGGAACTCGGAAGGAAGTCCATCTAAAATCCCATTTGATCACATTCAATACCTATTACATAACAATAAACCTTATGTTGTCAAAATCCTCCACCACTTTCAAGTTTCATGCCTCATCAATGGGCATTAAGAGTGGAAAAATCTTTGGAGACTCGGGAGGGTTTGCAGTCAGATTCACTCGAGTCTCGATGGATGAGATCCACAACATTCTTATGTACCTAGGTATCCACCGTTAATTTTTCTTAGATCTTCCAAGCCGGGTTCCAGATGGATGTTACTAAATTAGTACTGCAGGAGAAATTTTCATAAGAATTTTTGGACTTCCGTCGCTTCGCTCACGGTCCAACGTCCATCAAAATCTGTTTTGTACTCCACTCATATACCGCATGTACCCTCGATTATACTTTTCTAGTATTCTAGAAGTCTGATGTTTTGCGTACTAAGCATTCTACCGAGAAAAATCATCTGCATGGCGTGACAAAATATTCCGATTGGATCATAAAGACAACTTGAAGTCTAATGACTCAGGGGAAAAAATTTATGTGTTCCCCGGTTCGGCCACCTTCAGATGAAATTTTCTATGACCAGCAGGGCAAAAAAAGGTTGGACTTTCCTCTTTCTCTCTTTTCTTTCACCGATCAGGTTCAATTCTGTGGATCACTGTGCCTCCACAATTAAGCGGGAGAGCCGAAATAGGAGGTCTCCCAGAAATCCAGATGGTGAAAGCCTTATTATTTTTCAAGTTTTTGTTGCACGTCTCAAATTTTGAGGCCCATCATCACTATGGAAACGAACGGTGAATATGAAAAATTGGTTGCAGAATGTGGAGATTTCTTTTGTGTGCATGGTTGCAATTGACAGATCATGGTGAAACAAAGCTTGAGGTCCGGGCTGGGTGTATGTGGTTCTTTCAAGACAAATGATCACCCTCGTGAATAATTTTCTTCAATGTAGGTGGAGAATATTGTGGGTTAGAAGTTGGGTTTTGTAGAGGGGTTCGAAAATTGAAATGGTTTGAATTTGATGGATCAATTTGTCTTGCTGGCATGTTGGAGATGACCGAGTGTGTCGTTGTCTTTTCCCCACGAACAAGAGAGTCCAGATGAAGGAGGAGAGTATTGAAGTTGATACTTTCCTGCCCTGCAGCAAAGCTATAGCCATATGGATCTTCTCTGGTCAAGCAGTAGTACTGTGTTTGGAAGCTTTAAGAGCCTAATACCAACCTCGACTTGATCAATTCATAATGAATAGAGTAAATACTTCTTTTTTATGTTTGGGAAGGAAACAAAAGGAATAGGAATAGGAGTCCCTTGCAAGCAAGTCAGCTAAATCATTAGAAATATTTACAACTTCAAGTCTTCAAATTCCTCCAGTTTTTCAAGCGTCAACCTGTCACCAGTACCTCGATCTCTACCAAATCCTCAACAACATCACCTCCCCAACTACGTCACCTCCACCACACTTTTCCGCATCACAACCTCATCCCAAAAACACTTCTCCTCCAAGAACGCACGCTCCCTCCTGATCCTGATCCTGATCCTGATCATCCCTTCCCTTTCCACACTAAGCCCTAAAGCATTCAAAATCATCTCGAACCCCACCACCAATTTTACCAAACCCTCTGTCTGACCCACTTGGAAAAGTTCCTCTAGTGCGGAAAATGAGAGGGAAATCGGTGCAAAAGAAAGAATTTTTGATATATGCAGGGATCTATCGAATCTTTGCAATGTTCAACTCCTCCAAGCTTTATCCCGTTCAAGAAAGAATCCACGGGCCGACCTGGAAAAATGATGTCAAGAGGAAGTCTTTTTATATATCCTCGAAAATATTTGGTGATGTATTGATTGATATGTTTGTATGTTTCTCATCCAAAATGTTGACAAAAGGAATCCACAACGGGATGGTATTGACCTACGCAGGACTCGAACCTGCAATCTCTTGATGCCGGACCTCAGGAATTAATCCTGAATGAATGGTCGTAGTCAAGCGCCTTGCCATTGGGCCAGCAGGCCAGTTGTTATTACTGGTTGTTGTTGTTGTTGTTGGGGCAGGGGGTGGGTTTGAGGTATATATTGAGGGTTTGGGATATAAGGGGTTTGAGGTTTGAGGTTTGATAATGAAAAGTGAGTAGGCTTTTTGATGGATAGGGTTTTGTAAGATTATAAGGACGTAAGAAAGTAAGTCTTTATTGTATAGGGCTCAATAAGAGAAGTTGATGATGATGTTTTGTATTATATTATTTATTCAATTTTATAAAAGAATAAGTTATTCTTCTTTTTAATTTCTTTTATCTCTCTCTTTCTTTCTCTCTCTCTTTTTATTTGAATTTTTTTTGGTTTTTTTAATATCTTATAAATATATCTTTATAAATTATTATTATTTTATATATATATATATATATATCAATATAAATAATAAACATCTTATCAAATACTCATTAAATACTTTTTAAACTTTTATCAATTTTCTTTTCATATAAAAATTATTAAATTCGAAATTTATTATCAATCTTCTAATTAAAGAAATATATCTCAGTACTACAAGATAATATATTATATTATTTAAATAATATTTTTAATATAATTGTTGGTATCACTTCAGTGATACGAATGCAGTGTATAGTATTCTTGTTGTATTTGTTTATAGATGATTATTATCTATCTAAAGAAGAGGGACCTATTTATATTGAAAGGGGTTACAGGCTAGAATACAGTAGTTGTACAGCTCTCTTTATGTACGGCCTTCCTTTCGAGGTTGATCACATAATGTACCGACAATATAAGATGTTTAAATAATGAAATTTCATAATAATTATCTTGAGATTGAATTTCTAAAAATTTTATATATCAAAAAAGACTCTTGGCTGGCTTCTTTTTATTATTAATTATTAATTTTTTAATTAATTATCTATTCCATCATATTCCAGGGAAGAGTAAAAGTATAATACCAAGCTATGCCTGTCAATGAAGTCAATGAAATTATAGAGATTGACGCAAATATGATACATAGCTTAGCTACACTTTAGACAAGATAATTGCTAATGCAGGATTTCTTTCAATATCTTACTTTTGAAAGCGGTCTTCTATTTATCTAATTATCTCCGACTTTACGCGTATGCAGCCCAGCCTATAGGTATTAGTAGGCATTTGATTAAAGAGATAAGCTCGCTACGACATATGGGAAGCATGGAGTGATAGAAGAGAAATGCAAAACATACCTGCATACAAAACCGCCAGATTCCTCTCATCGCTCGCTTGATTGATCAAATCATTGACTGTAGCTTCCACACTTAATGTTTTGGACAACTTCTTGTTAACTACGGTCAAAGCTTTATCAGCCTCACTCGGTTGATTGACTGCTTGCCTTTCACCACCTCTCTCGTGTCCCACACGGAATTCCGGTGCAACGCTTTGCGCCACCTGCAGTTTTGCGAGTCGTACCGGTGATATAGACCAGCTGTACAATGGATCATATCGCAGAACATCAAGGATCGTCATAATACTATAGACTTCTTTACGTAAAGCAGAAAGAGTGAATTCACAGCATCTTCGGAACACGCCTTCGGTTTTCGTAATGCCCATTCCGTCGACAATATCGCGAGTGAGGCGGAAAGGTACTAATTCAGGGACCGGAAGAACCCGACCCATTTCAAAAGCCACACCAAGATCAATATGTACCACTTCACCGCTTTCAAAATCAAGAAGAATATTGTGACCATGTCTATCACCCAGTCCGAGGACGTGGCCTAGTATCGATATGGCAGCCGTGCTACGCGTGTATGCTAGACGTTTAGTGAACCATTCGTCAGGATCGTTGAAGTGTTCTATGAAGAAATAATGCATAACGGGATGAAAATGATCGGTGACCGATCTGAATTTCTTGATTCGTACTTCAGTTGGCTGGCCTTGAACCTCCCCAATCTCTTTACGACATATAGTTCCTTTCAGGTCTTTTGGATAGAAGCGCTCATGTGCTGGCATGAGATATTCATGCAACGGGATTGTGCTTGGCACGAACTCGATGACCCCAGCTATGGAGGTCAATGGCAGGACTTTGTAGGTCCTAATGCTCAGGTTTCTTTGTCGAGTAGCTCTGTTCGTTTTCAACAATTCGCTGACTTGAGCAAATACCTGTTCCATGATGGCATCTTGGCGCAGATCATCATTACCACCTTTTACCTATTATATGTTAGCTGTAATACTTGCATCCAACTATCTCGGATTCCTACCAATTGTTTAAATCGCGCCCCGTTATCCGCCACGGCGGTGATGATCTTCGGTGCACTTACTCCAGATGCTATACTCATCTGTGACTCGAACCTAACCATCTTTGGAACCTTGGAATAATTTTTGTCTGCACGAAGGTCTATTTGTATTGTCGGAGGAGGTATGGAGTACTTCCTCACAATATTGTTGAGTTTTAATCCGGCAGGGGAATCTTTAATCGAGAGCTTTTTACCAATTTTGTACTTCTGCTCATCTTTCTCGCCTGCGAGCTGAGTATATGGCTGTATGACAAAACCCAAAGCGGCCCAAATTTCCCGCGAGTTCCCAGCTCTTTGGAGTTGCTCTGAAACCTTGAGAGTGGCTTTGTTCCTTGAAATAGCTATCTCATCTTTGGTATTTGGCCGACTGTGAGACCCAGCATATATCTGGTACATGCCATGATATGGGTGATCCATGCAGATTCGTAATACTAGGTTGAAGAGAAGCTGCTGAAATTTCGAATCATTATCAAGCAAACGAGAACTGAGTTGGTTCATCAGTGTAGCAAATTTTCGACTAGGTACCTTGGGCAAAATTTTGGCGACAGCTTCATTGGCAAAATTTTCCGCGGAATGTTCAAGCCAAAGTGCTGTAAACCGTAGCGCATTGCTATCATGGTTATCCGAAGCAGCTAAAGCGAGAAGATAATTCTCCAAGCATTGGCGCAAAAACTCGTCTCTGTTGGAGCAATGGCGACGATATTCTCGCTCGTCTAGTCCGAGCCATGTCTTGGCCTTCTTTAGATAATTATGATGCCTTGTTCTCTCTGTCGACGATGTTGCCTTTCTCAAAAGTTCTTCGTAGTCAGCGACATCACTGGATCTCATCTCGCTTAACTTCTTCATTCGCTCCAAATCTTTCAAACTATCAGGGTCCTGTAGTTGTTGATCACAAAAAACGGCGAATTGGTGGAAGACTTTCGCAGCTTCATGACCGTCGGACGTTTTCAGGTCCTTGAGGGCAGGTTTTAGATATTTTTCAATGATACGATCAGGCTTCTCGAGTCTGGCTTCGGAGACTTGGTGACCAATTTTAGATAGAAGATCAGGACGACCAACAGGAATAGTCTGTGCTTTTAAGAAGGATGCATTGTCCAAGACCCGTAATATGCCTATCGAAGATGTCATTTCACCTTGCTCCCACAATGCATCTGCGGTCTCCATATGAACCGCAGCTTCAATTTCCATACCAAGGGATTGGCAGGGTTTGATAAGATCGATTAATGAAGTTGTCAGAGATAATGATTCTTGCAGGGCGCCATGAGCACGATTCAACGATGAAGAGATGAGTGCAACATGTACCTCAACTAGTCTTGTATCTTTGCAAGAGAGGTTGAGTATATCTCGAAGGCGTGGTTGCTGGCTCAGGGTACTTAAAGCTGTTCCCCGACAAGAAATCATCTGGCTAATGTCATCAAACCTAATTTCATATTAGCCATGATTATAGTAAAATTTGACAAGTACTACTACCTTCCGGTCTTCATCCATTCAGAGCGATTCCGAAATCTTGACAGGACCTCTTCTAATTCTCCGGACCCCCGGGAGCTGAGCACCTCATCCATTTCGGAAAGAGCCGCCAATGTTCTAAGTGATTCGTGTAGGGCACTGGCGCTAAGGTCATCTCGCACGAGGCGTTCCATTGTGCCCTCAAGTCCTTCGTCTATTGCTTTCATGAGTGTTCCGCGGTTTGTAGCAATATGAGCTGATTGGAAAGCTTTGTAGATTGTTACTGAGTGATTGTCGCTAGCAGGAACTGGAATGTCCCATTGCTCCAGTTTACGGGCGGTACGAAACATAGAATCTAAGGATGTACCAGCTACTCCAGAACTCTGTTGTGCTTGCAGCAGAGAGAGCGAAAGACCACTCAAGCTAAGCATATCTAGAGCCTTAACAAGAGATTGTGCATCCTGAGCGGCTCTAGGGTCTTGCTGCTTGATATGGCTATCATATTGTGCACCTCTGAAGGCGAGACTTTTGGGCCCATCTTTCTCATATTCTAGCCTTGCCAATATCGTGCTTAAGCTGGCTGTCTGTTGCACCCCATAATATAGATCTGGGTCGTCAATGTTCTCAAAAATTGCGAGCAGCAGATCTGACGGAAGTTCGGGAGCTTCACCGCCATCTTTCGTCGTTAAAGAACGTCGAGATGATTTGACTGGAATCGATTGATGTTCTTCAACAAATATCAAAGCTGTTTTAAACATTCCACAATGTATGGCGGCTGTAGCTACTTTGAGATAGTCGAGATCTAGCCAATTCAAACGATCCGCCGAGGAATTCTCGTGTGGAAGGGGTTGAGTACGTAAATATAAAATCGAGTTGATCAGAATTTTCAGGTTGTTCCTATCGGCGGCTTGGCTTCTGGAAAACCACGCCGCGAATGCATCAGAAATTTGGTTGCGGCTATTTTTCTCTGCCGGTAAATCCGTCGAAAGTACGAGGTGGAGAATGAACGGAAATGCTTGATCAGCAAACTCTGGTACATCCCTAAGGACTGGGGCTAGAGCGCGGAGTATGGGGTCTTTAGGGACAGCTCTGACCAACGCAATAGAGAGGTCTTGTAGCCAATTAGGAGAAAGGATGAACGTTGCTTCCAGATGAGTCCCTAAGCTAGTCATATCATCCGGTAGTTCTGCGACCTCACATGGCGGAACGGGATAAGGATTCCACGCTGATGCTTCGAAAACTGGTGGCGGTAGACTCTGGCGACCAATTTCTAAAATCTCCTGGTTCGAAGTTGTAATAATGATACGTAAAGTTGTTTCGGCAATTCCCGCTGCCGAACTATCATCCCCCAAAAGTATCGACTGAAGAAGACTCAATATGCATGCCCGCGATGGAAGATTAACTTCGGATGATGTCTTAAGTTCCTTTATTTTTGTCAATGTGGATTCCTGCAGAAGTTCGTGGTGCACGTGCCCAGTTGCCGCAAAGGCTCTTCCGAGTACGCGCGCGGCCCAAGACATGTATTGTTTATTCGACGAATTTCCTCTGCAAGACTTCCACACAACAGCAGCTCTTGCTTCTGCGGCTGCATCTTCGCCGTATATATCGCTCCTGAAAGAAGTAGGGCATTCAAACTCGGAGCATAGCATACGGAGCGCAAGTTTTCGAGCAGGTAGAGTCAGTAAAGTGCCCCCATTCCTCTCATCCTCCAGTAGCCGATCAAGTAATGTGCTTTCTATTGTTCCCTTTTCAGCGTTTCCAATTGCTCGGACTTTTTGAGCAGAGGCCACGAGAGATTTAAAACTTGAACTCAAAGGCCCCGCTAGAGCGGGAGATTCATACCTGGAGGCATACTTCCCAACCCAAAGGTGAAATTTCTGGGCCTTGGAAATTGTAGCGTGATGTTGACTCTCCTGGGTTGTGCTAGATCTACGCTCCTGCATGAATACACGTAAAGATCCGAGTATCGAAAGGGTAATGCTTGCAACAAAAGATGGAGACAGCTTTAGGTATTCCGAGCCCTGTATTAATAGATATTGCAAAATACCAATAGCATCATCTGCACATTCAGGATCCTTGATGTAAGGCCTTATAGATCGAAGAAGCATTTCCAAAGGATAACCTCGAGTCGCAGCATTTCCGGCAAGTGAGATTAAAACACGAAGTTTTCGCAATACAGAGCAAGCATGCAGCGACCCAAGTGCAGGATGGATAGTCCTAAGTAGTTTTCTAGCAATGAAAGCTACTAAACTTGGAGTGTATAGATCGCCTGCCTCATGCACTGTCCTCGTACACAAATGTTTGATTTCATGTAGGAGGTATTTTGCTTTGAATGCAGGTTGCTGACCCGGAGGCAAGATAATCTCAGACGAGCTCAGAGATTTGATCTCTACCATGATTTCGGCGGCATATACTAAGTTCTCATCCTTGGCGAATGACTTTTCGACATGTTGCTCTTGGTCTATGACATTAAACAAGGTAGCGAGTATATCTGTAAAATGCAGATTGACACATTCTAAGAACAATTCTTTGCCGAGGCGATTTTTCAGTCGGGCCTCACCACTTATACGTTTCTGGTCGCTCGAGGGGGGTATGCTTATATTGTTTGCAATACAATATGCCATCGCCCTCGAAAAACATTTCTGAAGTAATTGGGTTGCGGGAATATTCAAAAGCTCAGCGAGGTGGTCCAGTTGGGCCTCATGACCCCGCATCATTATGATGGCGCAGGTCTCTTCCTGGGCGAATACCAATAAGTCACCAAGAGCGGCAAAGCCAAATATTTGGTACGGTATATCGTCCATCGCCTCTACCTCGAGCCAAGTGTAGAGAATTTGAGGGGCAAACAATGCGAATAGCTCCTGTGAACTTGCTACTGCGAGCGCAGAAGCAACATAGGACAAGCACCAAGTGGCATGTCGCACAGCACCCGCAATTCTACCCGGAGTTTCAAAAATATGGTAAATGCATCTTCGCAGAAGAGTTGACCAACGGGAAGCTAGTTTTGCCAGGACATAAAGTCGAAACGCGATGCCTTCCAAGACCTCTGGCGCAGAAGGTAAAAGGTCAAGCACATCTACGAATATTTTGTCATGCTCTTTCAAGGTGAAAAGCTCAAATATTTCCGAGATCTGATCACCAATGAAGAACTTCGTAGAAGTATTACCTTTTTCGAGAAGCTTTAATAGACTAGTACGTGGTGACGGCTGAGAAGGGGCATTCCCATAATTCTGATTTGCTCGCAAAAGTTGTAGCAGCATATTAACAATGCCTAGCTGGACGACTGTAGAATCGGAGCTCCTCTCAATTCGTAAAATAAACCAATCATAGAGTTGCTTAGCATGTTTCATGAAAGAGTTTTGTTCCTCCATTGACCAGAAAGGCAAAAGTCCTATCATTACGTCCAAGCATGCGCACATGGCAATTTCGCTGGCAAGAAAATCGTCTGATGAAAGTACATACCCAACACGCTGGAAAAGGCGATAGGCATCAGTCTCTACAAGAACAAGATCGGATTGAAGTACATCGCGTATCAGTGAACGACACGAAAGTATCTCTTCATCCTTCATAGAGACCAGCTTATTGATAAAAGAGGTTGGCACCGTGCAACATTCTGGGGCGTTATTCATGTCAGCAACAAGCATTAGTCTGCCTATTGTATCTATAAAGAAGGATGAAGAACTCATTTCCAATCCCATGGCTCGCCTGGGGACATTCAAGTTTTGCGCTTCCTTTGCTGACTGACTTCGCTGGGTGGGAAATTCGTCATCAATATCCATGGGGTCATCATTAGCTACTGAGCTTGACTCCTGATCTATACGGCGGCGCTTGACGTCTTCCGAGATAAGGCTCAAAAACTGCAGAAATTGAGGGTTTTGCTCCGCGACATGCTTGAATTGAGTGGAATCGCAAGGAGGGAGATGAGGCTGGATTGTTTGCAAAAGAGTATGTACAAACTCGTCGGTGGCCTGAAAATCTTTGGCATCTGATGTTTTCAAGAATTCCAATAACTCACCGCCTAAGCCTCGAAGGTCTTCCCTTAAATGAGGTAACTGCTCTAAATGCGAATTATCAAAATGCGGTAATAGATCAAGGCTAATGATGCATGCATTCAATGAGCCTCGATACATGTCAGTGGAGACCTGTGGAGAACGTTCTGCTTCTGCATTGAAGCTTCTCCAAATCTGTAGAAGCTCGCTACATTTGGATGTCAGAAATTCGATGATCAGTCTCCGAGCAGAACTGAAATGAGCGCTATCTAATTTGAAGACTACATCATTATCACTGGTAGATTTCGGACAGTATCGGCACACAAAATCTGCCGCGGAGGGTGCACTGCCGTCAAGTAGTAAAAGAAAACGAAGAACCTTTTCCCTGTCTAAGTGTTGTTGCCATGCTTGAAAGAGTGCACCTCCTATAGGACGGCCGTTTGAGTATACAGGCAAACTCGGCAGGCCAAGACTCGTTCGTAACAATGCAACGAAGTTAAAAGGGTGTAGATGCTTCCCATACTGAGCAATGAATAATCTATCGGCTTAAGATGTGTTAGTCTCGATCAAGAGATAGCCAATGACATTCGCACCTGGATTCCATCTCCCAAAAAGCCAACAGATCACATGCTGGCAGGCTGCCAGGCTCGCACCAGGTGCTTCGCTAACTTTGACCTGTAGTAAATGATTGACTAGGAAAATGGACGATTCGCAAAGGACTGGCGGGCCACTAATATCCGCTGTGGTGATGATGGCATTCACACTGTCTTCAATATCACGATAATCTACCAGGTGTTTGGCGTGAATTGCATGAAGTGCTAGAGCAGCAGCGCGGCATGTCCCCGCAAAAGTGAGCGATTTAGCTCCGTTATGCCAGAGCTGTTTCCAATCTGTTGACGACTCGTCTGCAGCACATACTTGATATGTACAACTGTGTTTCCATTGTCAGTTATAGCAGATTAGTCTTAACAAAGTACTCACCTTGCTATACCAAGTAAAGCCCATGACGCAATGTTACCACGCTTGTCTAAAGCACAATTACCCAAATGAGCTAGTAATTCTTTCAGAAAAGAAGGCTGGAGTTTATAATTTTGCAGTAAGAATGGAATTAGCTGCAGACCAGCTAACAGAATCTTCTGATCGCCAGACTTGAGAGGATCGAGTAATCCTTCAGATGAACACGAAATGCGTTGTCGCTTTCGTGGGTAATTATCCGAATCATCCGAATCACCTCCCACTTTTGGTTTCACTTGATGTATGTGCTCCTTGACTCTCACTAATCGTTCTAGGATGGCCATGGCGAGTAGGTTTGCCCAATTACGCTCAGCAGCCGTGCCAGCCGTGCGATTGTTGTGAGATTTGAGTCGGAAACAATGTAGACGAAAAGGATCGCGGCTCATCTTTCGAGAACTTAGATCCAAAATCTCCACATCGTCTAACTGGAGCTGATCACTATTTTCTCGCCGAGAATAATCTGCCCTCAAAGTAACAAGTAAATCGTTTAAATTACTCTCTAACTCGACATCCTCATTGCTCATAATATTGCTCTCTAGGTGCAGATGAATATGGAACAAACTAATTAGCATTTCATCTCGCACAGAGTTAATCTTTTCGTCCTTGTACAGTGATTTACCTTGCCAAAGCCGACATATTAAAGGAATCAACTCCCGACCAATTGAAAACGAAAATGAGATATATTCTTCAGCAAAAGATGACAAAATGATATTAAGGACAGAGAATGCTAAACGATGTAGCGTGCTTACATTCGCTTTCAGGTACTGAAGCAAGCGCATCATCACGGTGCCCACCCGCTCAAGAGTTGGAAATGAATGATCGTTGGTAGTAGAAAGAAGTGGGATGAGGATTTGACAGAGGGCTTCTACGTCATGTTCAGACACCGAGTTCGACCTCTTTGGAATACTTCCCAGCCCGGAGGGAGATTTACGCAGTGATGGATGGCTAATCCCCTTGCCAGACTCCAATAGATCTTCGTTAGTGTCTCCCAGGTACAACTCGATACCATCGACGGAAAAGTCTATAAGTTCAGTTCGAACATCCTTGACACCCGCTGCATTCGCTGGTCTCTCGAGCAGGTAACCCAGCGTCTTAAGATAATTATTTACTATCGGCCGGAAATAGTCTCCAGTTGATGTGGGAATCGTGTCAATAATGTGAATTATCAGAGCATTCACGGTCTTCTTCTTGAACTTGTATATTCCAGCCTCCACTATGGAACATAAGGCCTTGCTAGATTGTTCTAGCTTGGTGGTCGACTTCACAGCTGTTGGCTTTCTTGACTTTCCATCTGTGGACCTATTTGACTTTGTAGGAAGTAGATATTTTCGTTTTTCCTCGATGACAATTTCGAAGAGAATCTCGAAAAATTCGTGGCACTTAGCGTCTGTAGGCCGATCGCTCCTGGTGTCTAAATTAGTCCAAAACTTTCACATAGAATGAATATCTGACATACACATCATCAGACTTGAGGATACCATGGAAGATGTTAGGTAAATCTAGTCCTCGCCAGTTAGCAAATGTAATCTGTCAAGCACATTCATGGTTTAGGTGGATTTACCTTTCAGATAATCTTTGAATAAATCGGGCTTTCTAGTCTTGAGAATATCTGGGATTTGTTTAACTTGTGCATCGGAAACTGCCAATCAAGAATGTTAATTACCAATAACCTTATCTAAAGGTTTCTTTCTACGATCTGCATATGGATGCGACATATTAAAAGACTGCGATCACAAAGATTTGACCCATTCCCTAAGTTGGAGCTCACACAGTTGTTGTGGATATGGGATGTACCGCCGGACTTGCGATTTATGGTAATATGAGACGAGCTCCAAAGTCCTCCAAGGGTCAGTACAAGTGCAATCAAAAAGTACCTAGGTAGGTATGGCAGTTAAGATACTTTCGCGTCTGTGAGGTTTGCAGAAGCCAGCAGTATCATCTAATTGTGATATTGCGAAGGTTGTCAGTGGTTTGGTCGATGCTTAATTATTTAAGTGGTTAACCCTCCGCGACGCGATTTTTCGTGTGCAGGACAGCTTCAAAAATAACATCGCTTGTTTTGCTCCATCAAATAATTTTTTATATGATCATAGAGAGCACAAACTACCACTTGCAGCATCTGCGACAGAGACACCATTACGACTTGCCATGAAAGGAATACGAATATACCCTTTTAAACTTTTATGAGTTCTGTGCCAGATCAATTCCCTGTGTCAAAAGCTTCGGCGCATCCTTCTCAACCATGGCAGAGCAGTCAAGTAGCTTGAATGAAATCCAAGCCTTACATTCGGACCTCCTTGCACTATCAAATTCTCGTCTTTCGAACCTCGAACGATTAGCGATTGAGCTCGATGCTCATATCGCAGCTTTTCGTAACCTTTTGAACCACAAGAGTCGAAATGAGCAAAGTCGGAAGAGTATCGAGGAGGGTGTGTACTTTCCTATGACCTCGAATCATCCATGAAGAATCAAAATTAATATGAGTATGATAGGGAAAGTCGAGCGAGATGGACAGATTTATAAGATCAACGACGACTTTAAGCAGGGAACATATCAACTGGCGGACGAATTGAATCTTGATGAGGTCGAGGCATCCCAAATCTTCTTCGACGCACAAGATGATGCCGATGCGACAGGGCGCTCAATTTTATCCTGCTCTATAATCCGCTTCCATCAGCGACGGAAGCTCTTGTTGGATTGTTTGCGGCTTACACTTCAGCGAAATGCCGAGTTAGAGGGCGACTCGGAGCAGGAGAAGGAACTGAAGGCTTACCTAGAATATATCATCACAGAGTCAACCCGTAGTGAACCTACAACCACAACTAAAAGTGGAGCTGCAACCTCAATCAAAACAAGCACTGCGCCAACATTTATTTCAAGATGCATTTCTACTATGGGAGATATCAGGCATTGGCTCCAGAAGATTTCGGACAAAGTTAGTAGTTTATCTGTATTGGGACAACCATCGCAACCGGATCTTTTAGAAATCATGGAGTATCAGCGCCACAGTCTGGTCAAACAACATGAGTTACTCGGTGTTATCATACTCTATCTGGTAAAAGAAAACCATTCCGTCGAGGGAGATTTCGAGCTGCTCTTGGGGATTTTGAAGAAAGCGGATAAATATGATAATCTTCTGGGTAAGCCTTCTCCATACTTGGAAATTGGATCAACCTACTACGGAATATCTTCAATTTTGGAACAACACGCTTTTTGACTAACAAATTATTACAGTGCATCATTTTCCCGCTTTAGCTGCTTACATTTGGCGTTATGGTTCCCCAGAAGGTGGGTCAACGATACAAGATGCAAGAGCGCTGGATAAGAAGATCAGCGTCAAAACGGACCAGAATTCATGGGTGTTACCTTATGCTCATGCCGCATTCCGAGCATGGTGGTTGGCGGAGTATAGTGGATGGTATGTGGAACACCATGACGGACTACCACATGGCATTAATCTAGAAGATGGTGAGCTAAAATTCATGCATTTTCCAGTCTCCAAGTCACTAATCAAATATCAGAGGCCAAGCAGCGGTCTCAGCAGTTTAATGAGGCTCTTAAGGATGGGGCTTTTGATTTTATGCTGTCTCTTTCTGCTGATGTCAAAGCCGCAACTTGGTCCGAACCGTCACGCCAAGGGTTTCGGTTATGGCTACAGAGAAAGGCACCTCAGCTGTTGTCCGATTCTGTATCTTTCTCGGATTTTTTTGAAGATCAATTCATGGAGCAATTACAGACATTCATCGAAAGTTTCATAACGAATCTACCAGACGTATTGAGAAGGTTGAGGATAGATGAGGATGAGCAACGTCAACTCAGTCATGAGCATGAGCACGATCTAGATCTGGAGCGATTCATAGTTATCATTTCTTATGCCTTTGACGGCCGCCCAAAAGCTGCTTTGGACGGATTTTGGGACGTCCCAGATGGTGTTTTAATCGGTTTCATGTATTGGGCTTCTCGACGTGCATCAACCCCGCTGGTTTCGGCATTTTGTGAAATGCTCCAGGCAATTTCAGGTGATGATGAGTGTGCCACTGCTGCACACGAATTTTTGCTCGACGAAAGTCCTCAAGCCGGAAAAATGAAGCGTGCTCATGCCCTCACATGGAATCAAATTTTTAAAGAGCTAACATTTTTCACAAATAAACTTCGAGATCAACCAGTGCCACAAGCTCAGGCCTATCGTCATGGGAAGCCGAACCATGACCAGGCCGAACTAGAGCCAGAATCTTATATCATGCTGGAGTCCTATCTTCGCCTCATATCTCAGCTCTGTTCGCATAGTGCAATTGCCAGATTATTTTTGATGCAGCATCCATCATATCAACTCACAGACCTGCTCTTCCAACTTGCATCTAGTTCTATTCCACCTCGATTTAGAGCCGGTGCTTTCACGGCACTACGTTCTTTGCTAAGCAACAAAACAAAGGCAGCAGGCGAGTATTTGTGGACAGCTCTGGATATATGGACTTCTGGTGGATACGTCCATAATCCTAGCACTCAAAGAAATACAGCCCCACCATCTTATGCACCTGACGCAATTCTCCGGAAGTTTGCTACGGGCTTTGAAGAACCCGATGCGTTTATTCTGCTACTCCATGCTCTTGTATTACCTTACGAAGAAGATAGTGCCTTGCGAGATGGCTTACCATTCCCCGAACTTCTCGGAGCTTCTAGTCGCATGCCTGGAATAGATCCCTACGTTGATTTCGCAGTTGGCCAAGTTTTTGGATCAAGAATGAGTGAAATAACGGATCCTATACAGTTGAGACTGCTGCAGTTGACTTGTCTTACTTTTATCACGACTTGCTTGGAAAGTTTCAACGAAGATCTCGTGATATTTGCAAATCGTTCTAACGTCTCAGTCGACACTGCTATAAAAACGTCCGATCTGCAGACTTACGTTTTATTGCATCCATTTTCTAGGGTAATGGAGTGGATGTACAACTCCAGCGTGATGGATGCTATATTTGCTGCAATTCATCAAGACGTTAGCGAAGTCGTCAGTGCTGCTCCTGATACACCATCAATTATGTGTCTCCTCCAAGGGATACGTGCAGTTACATTGATTATGGACCTGCAGCCAACTTACCGGGACATCGTCCGACCTCTAATAAAGCGTGAGGCAAGTCATCGCCGCACTCCGGTTCCAAATGCCGCGTACGCATCTTTCGAGGACGGAGTACTGAATCACTTGACTATCATTCCTGATTTGGGCTTATACTGTAGCTCTGGCAACCCTGAATTGGTCATGGCATCCCTGAAACTACTCGAGAAGCTTTCCGCATCACCACAGCTTGCTGCTGCCCCTAAGGCAGGTAGCAGAAGGATTGATCGTAATAAGGCAATAGCTGCGTTGGAGGAAAATAATGCAGCGGAGGCCATCTCACGCGCACTACTACAAGAGATAGAAGCCAGTATTGATGAAGCCCAAGGCCCAACATCTGATTCGTATATCATTAAAGTCCAAATATTGGATTTCCTCATCGCCTGCCTCGAGGCTTGTCCAGGGCAGACTACAATAGCGCACCTCCTTCTCGGGTTCCAGTGTAGAAACGATCATTTAGAGGTCGATGTGGATTCTCTTTTCAGCCGTCGAATTTCATTATTTCATTCGATCTTGACCTTGACTAACGATATATCTTTCGAGGGTGGGGATAGCGTCTCCTCATGGCTAGTCTCCCTGAGATACAAGTGCCTACGACTACTTAAGCAGCTATGGCACTCTTCTATTTCGTCCAGCCTTGTTATGATAGAGATGCGGTCTAATAATTCATTTTTCGAATTGTTTATCAGACAAACTCTAATTAAGCCGGGGTTGTTATGGGATGACCGAGATCTCGCAGATCCGGAATTCTTGGATTCAACTTCCGCCTCCTGCCTTTCAAACTTTTTAAACCAACGGGCTGTTGTCTTGCAATACACATCTGCTGAGTTACGCCGGATAGCACTCAGTCATTTGCCTTCCTTAAAGGAGCGGATGTTCAATACATTACTCGGATCGACAATGGTGGAAGAGAACCAGCAAATTGACAATTGTTCGGTTTTTGACCTTTTCGACTTCATGGATATTCCTTTGGATCAATCAATAGCCCTTGGCTCATTATCTTGGCTGAAGGATATTGATATCAGCGTCTGTGAGGAAGTCAATAACGATTCACCTCCATTGTGCAACATGGTGAAACTCGAAGAGCTTCTGACTTTAAGAAGATCTGAGCTCGCTGCTACGAAGAGACTTGAAAACCCTCAAGACGTGACTACATTCAAAAATGAAGCCCAGCTCATGTTTAACTACTACTTCATCGATAACAAGTTGAAGGAACTCCAAGCAGCTCGACACAAGGCGCTGCAGTCTTGGGTTCAGTTATTACTCGTGATGGTAGAGACCATGGCTTATGACGAGTCGACCAAAATAGTATTTGTGTTGCAGACTCTGCAAATAATCCTACCCAGGCTGGAAAACTGCCTTGAAAATGCAGCTGACGCATTTGAGTTAGCCAAACTCACTAAGGCACTCTTGTTTAGTCTAAACCTGGATTCTGACGCTTTCAAGGAAGGTGACTTGGGACAAAATCTAAGTGACAAACTCTTTCATGTGTTCGAATTGTCACTCAGAGCTATCAATGCCGTCGGTGCTAACGGTCCTCTGAAAGAGCTTTTCTATACCATCAGCTATCGCTATCTTACGGGAACGTCGGAAACTGATATTCACGTTAGTACTGAGATAGATAAACCCAATAACCTCGACGGCGGTTCTCGTCGCGCCGGCCGAGGCGATCGCGCTCCAGCTCCTTCTCACCCCGGATTACGCAAACCACATAGCACACAAACTGTCAAATTGGCAGGCGATCGATTAATAGATATAGTTTGCGACGATGTCCTGGTTGGCGAGCAAAATTGCCGAATTGCGGCATTGCTACTTCTTGGAGCCTTGGTGAAAAATGCCAAACAAGAAAACTCCAATTACATTATTGAGTCTCTTAATCGCCTTAATTTCATAAGTATCCTTGTGCACTCCATTGGAGACTTGGGAAATGCTTTACAAGAGACATCACGCGAAGGTAAGAATGTATCCCAGGTCGGAGATGGATACAACTAATTTGATGTAGATGCTGCTATAATACTCTCCGACTTCTATGCGAGATTGGCACTCCTTGTTCACATATCGCAAACTCGCACCGGAGCTACCGCTGTACTTAACTCCGGCCTGTTTCACTCCATTTTGGTTTCAGGGCTGTTTGCCATAGATACCGACCTCGAGATTGGTGAGTCCTTTTAAGTAGATTCTACGCACATGCTAATTTAACTTAGATTTCAATGATTCGGAGGCTGCCAGCAGACATTACAGCTTACTTGCGGCAATAATGAGAGTGATCTGTTGTGCTCTTGTGAGTCGTGGCCTACAAAATGAGCAGAGTTTGGACCAAGGGAGAAGATTTCTCGCCGACAACAGAGCTGCCATCCTAGCTGTACTTAAAAAGTCTGCAGGACTTGGAACTGGTAATGACTCCGCAGAGCAAAGCATTGTTGATATATCGGACTCATTCATGTTACTCATGACTATAACTCGCTTTGTTGATGTAAGTGATATGCCCTCCAATAGCTTAGCTTAGTTCGACTTCTAACAACATTTTTAGTTTGAGGAGATAACTGTTCAGAAACGACCCACTCTGAGATCATTTACTTGAGAGGATAAGTTTGGATCAGATATTTTGTGTATTAAATAGGCGTGGAATGATCAAATAGGGAATTACCCATTATAATGCCTAATCCAAAAATACAAATGAACTGGATGCTCATGCATAGAGTTTAGAATGCCAATTATTATGATTTCATAAATGCTATATTAGCCCTCAAGTGTCCTATACTTCATCATAAGATCTTACCTATTGATCTTTCAACAACAGCTAGCTGGCCATGACGTACTTGCAAGTTTCGCTCTATTCGTACAACACCATAACATTATATCACATGTACTGCTATTTTCTTCTTTAGCTTTTCCAGCGGTGTAGAAGGATAGTTATAGACAATTCATATTGACGTAACATTGATTTAAATAAAATCGGCGCCGAGCTTCGAATCTATCAAACCTCCCTCTCTCTCTTTTAGACTTCATCCCACCGTTTCGTTAATGGGGGCACCATAGATAGCTCTTATCGCCGTTATCGCCTATCGTCTTCCTTGAACAGCACTAATAATCTACGTACCGATCCATAGTCGCGTCTTCCGCAGTTAACCTACATACTAGTACTTCCGTTCCGTTGCAGCCTTTCCCATTTCAATTCCCCCTCCATGCTTACTAAGATTCACAGAAGTATCAAGTACAGTACAAGCAGGAAAAACAGAAGAAAAAAGGAAAAAAGGAAAAAGGAAAAATATATCCGTCTCCAATGTACCGTCACCATTAATGTTGTGACCTGACACGTAGAAAAAGCTGCATTAGGAGTTACAGCATAATCTCCAATCCAGCGAGCGTCCCGAGCTTGCAGCCACACTAAGGTCGACCCCTCACATCGAGAAGGAAGGCGAGACCATATTATTGTGTCCTCTTCAGATCGATGTGGCATTCACACGATCGTGCAGTTGACCTCTCCTCGACATCCTGCAAATCATCTGCCAAAAGAAAGCATCGCGATCCTCAAGGTTCAAACAGCAACTCAACGAATACATCCACCAGTACGTCCAAGGTTGAAGGGCATTCTTCGAAAAAGCTAAAGACGTTACCATCATCGACAAGTCCCGGTCTCCGGCCCAATATGAACAAGACGATGGGGGTTTCGCGCCCAGGTATAATAGATTTAACAAGACCATCGAATTTTCAGCCACATACTGGAGCGAAGAGATTAGTGATTAAGAACCTGAGGATAACTTCTCCGAGCGATAAGGAGGAGTATTTTAGGAAGACTTGGAACGAGTTAGATGATGCTTTGGATTCCGTTTTTAATAATAAACAGCCAGTATCACCATTGGAAGTTCTGTAAGCTAATTCGTTCTCTTGTATCATGCTGTCCGACTGTTTCGATTTTCCTCCATCTCTGCATCGACAATTTTCTTTTGTAGAGCTTCTTTTCTATCCACCTTCATTATGGTGCATATTTTCCTATAAGCAATTACTAATGCTCCAATGTTGCAGGTGTCGTGGAGTCGAATCAATTTGTCGGCGTGGGAAGGAAAAGGCAGATGAGCTATACAGGCATCTAGAAAACCGTTGCCACACACATATCAAGGATAATCTTTTACCAGCTATTGCACGCAATGGAGATTCTAGCCCGGTGGAAACTCTGCGGACAGTGGAGAGAGTATGGGGAATTTGGAGAACTCAATTGGTAGGATTACAGTTGCATTTGTACCAATCTAGGAAAGACTATTAACAATAGAATCAGGTTTTGTTAAGATCCATCTTCAGCTATCTTGATAGAGCATATCTGCTGAATTCGAAAACACTTCCGCAACTTGAAGATATGGGCATACGGCAATTCCGCGAAGTAGTATTTTTGAAGGGAAAGGACACTAGCAAGACGGGAACACAGGTCATATTAGGAATATGCGAGCTTGTGCAATATGATAGAGAAAGCCTGGATACATTCGACTCCGTCCTTCTCCGAGCTTCCATTGCTACAATTCACATTCTTGGTGTATACACAAGTCTCTTCGAGAAACAATTCCAGAATATTTCTTCAGCCTACCTCGAACAGTTTGCATCAGAACGGAGCTCCTCACCACTGAGAGAGTATATATCTTCCTGCGATAATCTGTTACAACGGGAAAGTCTCCGTTGTGATACATATAATTTCGACAGTACTACCAAGAAGACTCTGCTTGATACTGCGCACGACATCTTGATCAAAAATCGGGCTGATGTCCTGTTGGAGACGGTGGCTGTCTCAAAGCTTCTTGAAGATGAAGCTTTGGCATCGCTTAAATCTTTGTATCAGCTTTTGAGACTTTCGGGAATCCAGGATCAGCTAAAGGCGCCTTTCGCCAATCACGTTAAAGCCTTCGGATCATCTATTGCAATGGACAAGGAAAGGGGCGATGAAATGGTTGTTCGTTTACTCGAGCTGAAACGGTCACTGGACGTCATCATCCGCGATGCCTTCAACAAGGATTCGGTGTTTACTTTCTGCCTTCGGGACTCATTTGGACAATTTATAAATGACCGCCAAGTTGCTAAGGCATGGGGTACAAATACTTCTAAAGTTGGAGAAATGATAGCGAAATATATGGATACTTTACTGCGAGGGGGACTCAAAGCTGTGCCTCGTTCTCTTGTATCCGATGCCACAGATCGGAATGAGGCTGAGAAGAAAGGACAAGCTAGTACCGGCGACGAGGACGCAGAATTGGACCGCCAACTGGAACAAGGCCTCGAGCTGTTTCGCTTCATCGAAGGTAAAGATGTTTTTGAAGCGTTTTACAAAAGAGATTTGGCACGCCGTTTGTTGATGGCACGCAGTGCAAGTCAAGATGCGGAGAGGAACATGCTTGCTAAATTAAGGGGCGAATGTGGTAACAGTTTTACTCATAATCTCGAGTCAATGTTCAAGGATCAAGAAATTTCTCGAGATGAAATGATATCATATAAGCAGTCACTCAGTAACACAAGCAAGACCACGCTGGATCTCCAGGTCAGTGTCCTTTCATCTGCTGCCTGGCCAACGTATCCGGATATCGAAGTGAACCTCCCTGCGGAAGTCGCAAAACATATTGAAAAGTATGACCGGCATTACAAGCACAAACACAGTGGGCGTCGATTGACTTGGAAACATTCTCTTGCACACAGCATCGTCAGGGCAACGTTCAACAAGGGTGTAAAGGAACTCCTAGTGAGTGGTTTTCAAGCTGTTGTGCTCGTTCTCTTTAATGAGCTTGAGGATGGTGGCCATCTCTCTTACACGGATATTTCTAAAGCGACGGGTCTTGTCGATGGTGAATTGAAACGAACCCTGCAATCACTTGCATGTGCCAAAGTCCGACCTTTGACTAAGTACCCTAAAGGGAAAGAAATCAGTGAGACAGATACGTTTACCATCAACCTCAATTTCTCAGATCCGAAATTTAGGATCAAGATTAACCAAATTCAATTGAAAGAGACCAAGGAGGAGAATAAAGAAACGCACGAGAAGGTTATTCAAGATAGAAGTTTTGAAACTCAGGCTGCTATTGTTAGGATCATGAAGTCAAGAAAGACAATGACGCATCAGAATTTGGTAGCGGAGGTCATAAATCAAACCAAAGGAAGAGGTGCAGTAGAACCGGCGGAAATCAAGAAACACATTGAGAGTAGGTTTTCACTTTATTGCCCAATATCCTCGCAGCAGTAAATTTAAACTAACAATTCCTTTAGAATTAATCGAGAAGGACTATATCGAGCGCGAAGATGGTGGAGTTTATACATACCTAGCATAGAAGCATAATGTATCTTGTGTAGGATTCCGAATACAATATGGGAACTTGTGGTTATACCTCTGGTTATCTTTAGTGTTACATGAGTATATGAAAATAAATACTTTGCTCTAATAGTTTCCATTTTTTTGAGCGGCATTTATCCTATCCCTTTTTCGATTTATTTAATATGAAAGCTCTTTCATGGAGTACTGAATCGTGATGGTATGAATTTGCGAGTCTCTTCAGGTGGTGAATGGTCGTTACTGGGAAGGTAGCTAGGTAGGTCGGTAGGTGGTTGTACATCTTTCTAAATCATAATAAAAACAATAAAAGAGAACGAACTCTATTTACCTAGGTGATGCAAGAGAAAGGAGGTACAGAAAAGATGGAAAATTCATAAAAGCGAGAGGGAGGGAGAGAGGGAGAGAAAGGAGGGGAAGTAAAATATATTCTAGTAAGATTATAAGATCTTATTGTATGTTCATTTGATGAATGAGGTGGTGTGTGTGTAAGAGTTGGTGATTGTTGTACTTATATTGTATTTTTATTTATATTCATCCTACTTCTTCATATCCTTCTTCATATCCTTCTTCTCATATATCACCCCATGCTCTCTCTATACAGTTGACCATTTGTCCGGCTCCTTGCGCTTTGCTGAGATGATTGTGATTATGATTTATACTCTGTATGTGGAGATTATGGATAGTTGGTTGTGTTTATTTGCCTATGGTTATATGGTGAGTGGTAGTGATGTGGTAGTATGTGGTAGTGATGGAGATGGTATTCGGTGTCATTCGATTCTGTTTATAGAGGGGAGCTTTGGTAGCTCCGGCAAGTTATTGGTTTGCTCGGTTTCGTGGAGAGATTGGGTGATAGAGGTGCTTGGTGGTTGGGTTTGGATTTATGTTGGGGTGTCGCGGGGTGAGAGTCGTGGTACTGAGGGAAAGGTGGCAGAGATCGATGAAGGTGGTTAATTTCGGTTGTCGGAGAATGAGGACGGCGTATAGAATGAATAAACTCGGAAAGTGCCTGATGAGAGCAATCGAGTTGATGTGGTGTGTTTGTCGCGACATAATTAGTATCGCTCAGCATATAAATCGTTCGTCCCCATGTGGAATAATCACTATCTGCCGTATCATCCGTCGGTAGACGCAGCACCACTACCTGTCCCAACTAAGGCTTCCCAAACGGTATCACTATCGGCTTGGGTATCTGCTCATGTTAGCATTTGCAATATACAAGAAGTCTCAGACTTTAGTTCTAGTTCTGGAAGCTCTTACTATCAAGCGCAGCATTAGTAGCATTAGCCGCAACACTTGCCATCAACCACCTCGTAAGTGCAATATCATGACGATGTTTAGCCCTGTCACAACGAACCGCCATTCTTCCCCGTCTGGCAGTAAGCTTTTTGTTACGGATGAAGCTTCTCCTCGTTCCGAACCGCCTTCCATGACCTTTGAAGCGAAAATCCACTACTCTTGTAAGATGACGAAATTCAGCTTCTATTGCCATGTACGCATTGGTAGCCTCATCAAGTTTAGCTCGTGTCTTCTCAAAGGCTTGGTCGTTGATATTTTTTCGGCGTAAATTTTCCTTCAAAAGATTCTCGTATGCCAATTTTCGATGTTCCTCTTCGGAAAGGGGAGCGGGTTCCGGGGGCGTTGGAGAGGAGGAAGCGTTGGTAGGTGATACAGTTGTTAATGGTGGATCAACTGTTTCATGATCCGTGGCAGGTTCGGAGGAAATGGATTCATTCAGGCTGGCCCAGGGAGACTCCATGTCTTGTTGAGAGTTTTGAAGATGGCCAGGTTGGGACATGACTTCGCTTCCTGAAGCGGATGAACGACCACCAGATGGTGACATTGCTCGGAGTGGGCTTCTTGAACGGTATCGACGATCACCAGATTTAGCCGTGTCTGGGGACATACTTCTACCACGGCTTGGATGACCGCCAGACTGGGGAATTTTCGCAGATGTGCTTTTCGAAGAGGAGGGAATGTCGTAAGATTGAGACATCGCTATGAATGAGTCACCAGCTTGAGATATTTTGGCAGATATGCTTTTTAGACGGAAGGGAAGATCGTAAGATTGAGTGGTGGCTACAAATGGATCATCAACTTGAGATATTTCTGCAAAAGTATTTTACAAACTGTTAGAGAGGGGGGTGAGATTCAGGATAAGAGATAGGTAACGATATTTTTTTTTGGGAAATATTTTTTGACCCTGTTTGAAGGGTAAGTCTTAGTGGGGGTAGCTTCAAGCCGGTACATGTGCTAGTGGTTCTAACATCGATCTCGACCTATGGAAGGTAAGTTCCTCGAAACTAACTACGGCGAGCGACCTTACCTCAGAGATTCGAAAATCCTCTTTTAAAGCTGGGGATTTAACAAGCAACTATTTCGGGTTCTTGCAATAAAAGTCTCGAGTGTACTTGATTTGTTAATAAACTTATTCCTTCATCCACCAGTGATCCACTGTGGGAGCAGGAGATATTCTGCGACAGGATCTCTGAAGGGTTTGCCGAATTATAAGGACAAACCTCAAGAACATCTAGAGTCCCTGAATCTCGCTGGAGTCACTCCGTTTATTGAAGGGTATTGTAGAGAAATGCGACACGCGGAAGTCCTAGGGGGCACGCCGCTCCGCTCAGTTGTTGTACACCGAAACTGATATCCAATCATTTTTACATGTACTAAAAAATCAATTGAAAACTTAATTGAAATATTTCCAGCTATTGGCTATTGAACAATGTTTTATTTTAGAATATACAGTTCCGTTTGAATAATTTCAAAATGCTTTTTGGTTTTGTATATCAATTGATAATTTGGTATGTTTTTGAAAGTATGCCATGACTGAAACGGAAGCACGTGAGGTTCATGAAAACTTCCATGAGAACCTAGCTACGGAGTAGTAGTATCATAACCACAACCAACTCCATCGCTTTTGTGGTCAATAGACCTAAAGACACGAATATCAAGGACTATGGCCTACCGGCGCAGAGGTTGATGTGGTAACATTACCTTCAGGCCTTGTACGAAGTCGTACGTAAAGGAGCGTTGTAACATGTGTATAAACAAAATAGCGACCCTCTCAATCCAACACAATACAACTAGTATTGACAATCCAATGTGGCTTTTAATGAAAAATACGAGGTCGTTCCTTTGAGTACAAACAAAAGGAAGCTTACTGTAAATAAAAGTAATTGTATTTGGAAACCCGTGGTGAGTGAGGGATGGAAGTTTTCCACATTGGTTTGTTGGTACTGGCCTTGCAGACTGGGTGAAGAATCTCTGTTCCGAAGACTACCATAAAGACGATCAGGTCTCAGTTCTTTACTTTCCAGAACTTCAAAAATGTATCTTTTTTTCTCTGATGCTTTTAAAAAGAGGCAAGAATCTCCTCTTCAAATTAGGAGAATACACTTGAGGTTAACCCCCTTAGCATTAAGCTTGTCGCAATGCTTTTAGCTGTTTGTCGAATATCGAGATTTTTATCTATGATAATAGACATGAAGATCGCATGCAGCTTGTTCGATCGATGAGAAAGATAGTGATAAGAATGATATTAATTAAGTACTTCTTCATAGAATCAGACTTCGTATTCTGTGCGGAGTATAAGGGGAAAAGCGTGCATGTTCGGAAGATACAATGATAAGTAAACTTGTTCCTATAATGTAGGGTTATATATATACTCTGTATATCCTTGTAAAATGATTAATCGAAAATGCTTATTAATCATTAAAAGCAAAAATCATTCAAGATGAAAACGATGACAAGAGCAACGACAAGATCAATCGATCTCAAAATAGCTTCAATTTACTCTACTATATTAGCTTTATATAATGCGAATTAGATTACACACAACAACCAATATTCTGCTTTACACTATGAATTCTAGAACTCCCAATGCCCAACCCTACTTGTTCCTGAAAATGCTCCATATAATTAATTACCGTCAAGCCATGATCTCTGCCGTGGAAATCCTGGGTGTTCGGAGGATAGATATACTTATATGAACTCGCTTCAATTTAGTATATACCGGTAAGTCATTGACCAGCTGTTGAGCCATGCATGATAAATGATCGCTGCCGTCGCATCCTTTGGCTCCTACACCTTTGGAAATTGCGACATAAGGTTAACATGATTGAAATCTGACATAATCATTGACGCCGAGATCCAAATCAATGTCGCTTGGTTAACAATCCAATCAATCATATCAAATGGCTCATACATATGCGGAAAAGCATTCAAAAATACATTTGTGTTTTATAGTCATAACAGCGCTCTTAGTAAAAGAAAACTGTTGGTGGTTAACTGCACAGGGTTGCAAACGTGCATATGGTGCGACACACTAAAAAGTAATAACCGCCGTTCTACTCCGCTCGTAAACAGAAATTTTCAAAATGATTCGAGACTACCAGCATTATTAGAAAAGGTCAAAGAGCAAGTTGAGCACCGAAAAAACTCATCCACGAACCCGTGCTCAGCCAATCTAGTGCCATGGCAACTCTTCCTCCTCCAGTGATTGTAGTGAAGATCATGTTAACCTGGGCAAACATTCCGATGTTATTCAGTCACAGCGTTGCTTGACCATACAACATGACCAGATGAGCAAACCGAATCTGGTATTGGATTTGTGGAACACGCATGCTTCGCCATGTGAGACGCTCCAATGATCGTATCTAAACCTACACATTCATCGTGAAGTGTGGGTGAACGGCCTGGAGGACGCCGCTAACGTAGCTGGTACTTCCATTTATTTTCGCCATGATCCAAGGTTTGACTGGTATCTAGTCGATGCTGTGTCTTCTCTTAAGAAGGGTTTGATAGCTCTGCTGATCTGTTTTCGATCTTCCTTTGACTTTCTCTTTCTCTGTCTCTTGACTTGTCATTCTTTCCTTTAATCTTTCCTTCATAGGAAACATCCGCTCTTTTACATTCGGTATCACTCGTCTTTTTCAGTTACTCCTGGCGGGCCATTTCCTTTCACCTCAAAGTCAATATCGATCGACCACAACTTGTGGCTATAATTTCTATCAATAAAGGTCGAAGGAATCAATCTTTTGGTCTGCCTTTTTGGCTACAGCGACGCATTTCAGCGACCATTTCATAAGGGTTTCGCTCATTCAGACCTTCGATATCAGTAAAACTCTATCATTCCAATCTCCAGAACCATACATCGATCCACTCCGTCGTCTGGGCTACCCACTCAAACCTGTCATCTGAAACGCGAATCATCAAAAACTGACAGCAGGCACGGGCATAGTCTGTGCTTTATAGATTTCGATTTCTCTTTCGGGAAACCATATCGACCTTTCGGACCTCTTCTTGAACTATTGTTAGCTTCTATTACTGGCCTAATCGATAAAAGCTCTGCTCACTGCGTTTGCCTTTCCGTCTTGTATATTTTTTCTTATTACATTCATTAGCCGTCGACCTGTGGGGCATTGGAAGATATCCAGATTGTCTCAAGCTATACATATTGAAGTCCAAGATACTCAATGAGCATTGTTCGATTCTAATATAACCACGCTATCTATTATTATTCACAATGGGGTGGTTTGGAAGTCAAAATTTGTCTACCAAGTTTGGGTAAGTCTCTTGAGTATGATCCCATCCATACATGTGTCTGATTTGTCTTCCATAGCATTGTACTTGGTAGTGCAATTATAATTGTGTTGGCCGCTGGCATGATTAAAGTATGGTACAACAAAAGAAGGTAAGACGGATATTCAAAATGAAAGAGTTTGACTAAACGTTCTTCTAGACTTGCAAAAAATATAAAAATTGAGGAACTCGAAAAGGCAAATAGTACTCAGGAGAGACTTAATGTAGAGGAACTCGGTGAAGGTGATCTCTTTGGTGTTCGCGCAATCCAGAGAGGTTTCTTTGGAGGCGTCTCACAATCTAGAAGCAATTCTCCTGCTCAATCGATGTTTGGTCCACCATCAACCACTGCGGTAGACTTGTCAGAGGCTACCAGAAATCTTGAGGCCATCAGAGCTCCATCAACAGCTAGCAGTAGCAGCGAAGATAGTCAATCGAGGGTTTCCAGCGAGATTTCTGTTCCTAAATCTACCAAGCATAAGCCTTCACCTCTCCGCTTACAGCCTTCTGATGCAGAGATCAGACGCGCTGCAATGCATAATAGAGCAGGCTCATACATACCGCCACCACCAATCAAGGAGGTTCAATCGAAACCAGACTCGCTTGAGGTTCAATTCGGTACACGTGCAGTTTCTGAGTCACCTCCCATCAGAACTCAATCAGATGAGGATATATCTCAATTACGATACCAAGGGGAAGTCCCACGCAACTTGATGTTTTTAGCAGGTCAACATTCAAGCGTTAGATCTCAAGCTGGGTCCATATACGGCAGTGCCGAATCATCACCAAGAAACCCACCCAAAATTCCTAAAGTTCCCACACCTCCAGCTCCAACCCATGTATTTGGCTTCCCTCCTCGAATTCCCACACGATCACGATCTAGCTCTCCAGAAGAATCATCCAGCAGTGACAGATCCTCATCTTCATCCCCCGAGCTACCCGTCCCATCCATCCCATCCCCATTCCGAACCTCCTACCAACCCAGCACACTCGTCGAAGAAACCAAACCAGAAACCTCCCGCAAACGCCTCTCCTACCAACCCACGCTACCTAGCGAGATTCAAACCGAAGAACCCACGTCGCACCAGCGCGAATCCAGCGCCCCAACCTCCACCCTCACACCCCGCACCTCCATCTTCGACAATGAATCCACCATCCGTCCACCCATTCCTCCCCGGGCCCGTCCCATCACCGGCCAAATATCCCGCACAAACGACTCCATCCGCATCTCGCGCAAATCCTCTCTTCAAGCACAAGCACAAGAACATCGCTACTCGAGAGATAGGGATCTGATGCACTATGATCCTACTGCTGTAGCCTCGTCACGCAATAGAAGTGGGAGTGTTCAGGGACGTGCGGTGGATTTTGATCGCCCGAGGGAAAGTCCGTTTGGTAATTCTAATGCGATTGCGAGTGAGAAGGGGAGTGTGAAGAGTCAGAGGAGTCGGGGGAGTTGGGATAGTGGGAGTAGTGTGAGTACTGGGAGTAGTGGGAGTGAAGGGGTCGATTGGAGAGCTGAGGGGATGGGGAGGAATGTTGCGGAGGATACTATTGTGGAGGCTGCGAAGCCGATTATGAATCGTGGGCGGCGAACTGATGCTAGTGATTTGGTTTGAACTTTGAAGGGAGGCGGGATGGGGTTTGCTTATTTCTGTCTTTGATTTTGCTTGTATCTATTATTGTAAGATTACGTATATTTTAATGGGGGTATTTACCGGTTATGCATATAGGGTTTGGACGTATAGGATGGGATAGGATACGGGCAGGTGGGATAGGACAGGCATGGCATGCCAAAAGTTCAAGATAAAGATTCTTGACTCCCTTTGAGGATTATTTGTTTTGTTGTTGTTGTTGTTTTGTGGGTTGGATCCCATATTACGCTGCGGGAGTGTTTGCAGATATAAACAGATGTATAGATAGAATAAATAGAATATATATATATATAAACAGATATAAGAGTATTATATTTTATTTTTATTTATTTTATTTATTTTCTTCATATATTATAATTCTTCTGATCTAGTGGTTTATGTAATCCTTGATTATACAGATCTTATATTTAAAATCTAGAATTGGAAATTTAAAAGCGGAAAAAAAATTACATTTAAAGAAGTCTTATAAAGAGCTAGATTTCACTTATATATATATATATATTTTATTTTTTTATTTCTTTCTTATATGATTATTTCTCGTCTTATATCGTTATGTACATAAATATATTATTCCATCATATCGTATCTCCATTCAATAGATAATTTACTAAATAGGTAAGGTTGTTTGAACGAATTTAATTACTAGTCATTCCTGGATGGGATGTTGTCGTGGCTTTTGCGATACCTTTTCTTGCGGTTTTGCGTGGGTTATGTTGAAGATGGTGAGATATGTATAGCTGGATATTTGGCAAGGTGGGAGTCCTTAATGAGTGATGCTAGGTGTGTATGAGGTTGAGGTTGGTTGAGCGAGTTGAGCGTACTTTTATTTTGAATATATTTCCATGCGTTTTTGAGATGATTGACTTTGTGTATATATAAAAACGGAAGAGAAGAGCTTGGGTAAGTAAAAGGGATGAGAGTGATGAGGTAGAAATAAGAGATGGTATATGTGGAAAGCGAAGCTTCAAGATGCAGGTAGGTAGTAAGACAACATATGCAATAACGTCTTTGCACGTCTTTGCACCATCGAACTTCGGACGAATGAAACTCAGAATACGGGAATTTCGAGCAATCGACGAGGCGAGACTCGGTGATATCCTGTAATTATATTTGGGAATGAACTCGAGATTTAGCGTGGGAAGATGATACGGGAGAAAATGATGGGGTGCTTGAAAAGAATTGGCGAATTCGTCTTCGGTCGGGGGCCCTACGATACGGATTTTGTCTCAGAATTGGGGAGAGGATCTCAATGGACTATTCTGGAAGAAGGTGAAATGCCAATTCGTTGTTATATGCGATTCTAGATAGTAGATAAATACTAGCTTTTTTGAGAATGAGGTTTTAGATATAGATAGTAAATACCTATTCATACTAAGTTTTTAAGAATGAGGAGGTACATTGGGCTTAAAACCGATCGGATAAATGTTAGACCGTCTCTGTAAATTCAGAGATTTTTGGCTGGCCAACCACACAGACACAACTTTTCATACCGAAATATCACATCGAACCGGCATTATATTCGTCCGCGGAGGGGTTGTAGCATTTCCATCATACAGGCTGCATGGCGGAGTCAAGTATGATTCAAAAGCTCACCTATGGCAGCCCTACGACTATCTAAAATTACGTGGATAAGCTTGTAGTACACTGTGTCACTGTACTATCGCAGTTCGCGGTGTTTAAATTCAGATCCTGCAGCAAGCGAATGCAAGATTGACCTTGATTCCAAAAGTTCCAACGGCAAAAACAATTGATCAACTATGCAGGGGCAGCTTTCAGGGGGGGGTTCTTGTGGAACCTCTTGATTTCTACGGAGTACACTTGCAGGATGGCGAAGTAAAGAATCAATGAAAGAAAAAAAGTGCAATACGATACAGGCATCCATCAAATCGGTGTGAGCGACACTACTCCCTCCGTGTTGTACATCGTAATTGCGGATTTCTTCACGCACGGATTCAAACTAGGTAGGTAGGCAGGTGCATACCTAGGTATTCAAAGTTGTTCGTTCAAGCGAGCAGGCTCAAAAAGAGTTCAGACTTCGGGAGCTCTGGTGACCTTCTCCCTCGAATAGATTAAACAGTTTTTACCCCTTGCTTTAACAAATTGATCTCCTGAAGCGACTTTTCTCTCTCCTGAAGCCTTAAGGCTTGTGAAAGTTTAACACATCTTTAGGAAGCAAACATACTTACTTACTGGGTACTTGAAAGGCAAAATGCAGATCCTTTTCGGACACTCGCTCACTGTCCCAACTTGGCTGGGCTTGATTGATAATTGATCTTCCATACTAATTCAAGCATTAAAATTATGCTTATGACACTTATCAGAAATCGTGCTGGGTTTCCAACTTTCTTTCCATGGATCGAAATTTTTGAATACGGATGTTGGATTTATAAGTGGTTCTCAGAATATTTTATCCCTGTGGTAAGAATGATAAGGAATCAAATTTGATGTTCATGCTCCAATCATTCTTTTGATTTGTAAGCAAAGTCATCATCCTCCCGCAACCCTTTCAAAAATAAAAAATAATAATTCTCTGATACGACGGACTCCAAGTAAAATTACATCTAAAAGCTTCTTAAAGTACCTTGGCAATCAAGATATCCGAAAGAGAACCTCTCGCTCGTTGGAGAAGAATCGTCAAGACTGATACTACATACGGACAAGCTTTGCTGCCATTATACCTTTGTCTATTTTCTGGCATCTTTTCTAACTTTTCCGCCCTTTCCCCTGAGTCGGTTACTTGGCACTTGTCAGAAATCAAATACGAGAAAATCACGCCTCTTCTCGTAGGAACCATCCGAACGAATGATGGAGCAGTTGGACGTGCAGGAGACTGTGATTCGTCCCAAGACAATTCTTTACTCCGCAGTAAAAAGCAAGCTACAAACGAGTTAGCAGGTTACACGGGTGCTTGTACCTGCCAAGAGCATTAGTATTACAAGGATATATGTTAACAATTCATGAATATTGCCCAAGTGGGCGAAGTTCAAATCTCGTGTTCATAATCCCGAAGTACTTTTAATAGTTTTCCCGCCTTAATCCTTCCCTATCTTACTCTAGAGTGATTATCTGATTTAGTACATTTACTTCTCTTACACCCCTCAATCCCCTTTCATTCTCAATTCCATCATCTCTTGCAACTTCTTCAAAAGACAGACACATTCGTTTTCGAAATACTTAATCATACATCACATCAAATCTTGTCCATCGTTCGTGACAACTTAATCGACACTCATTCAACTATTATCAAGTTTTAATTCTCACCCAAACCAAACTCTTCACAATGGCTCGTTACGCTCTCGCTTTCGCTGCGCTCTTCGCAATTGCTCAAGCTATTAGCATCACCTCCCCATCTACCGATGGAGAATGGGACCTCAGCAAAGGCACTCAATCTATCACCTGGTCCTCAGTCTCCACTGATCCTACCACCGTCGATATCTACCTTGTCCACATGGCTTCCAACCCACCTCTCAGCGACAAACTTTTCAGCAACGTCGATATCAGCGTTGGATCTGAGTCTGTTTCCGGTCTTCAATTGCCCACCGGTAACAACTACCAAATCAACTTTGTCAGCCCAGGAAAACCAGAGCAAATCTTGGCTCAATCTCAACAATTCGAGGTCAAGGGATTAGCTGAAAGCGCAAGCAGCACTCTTGCAGGTTACACTGGTGCGTCATCTACTTCTTCCGCTTCTTCCACTTCATCTACCTCTTCCGCTTCTTCTACCTCTACCTCTTCCTCTTCCTCCTCTTCGAGCAGTTCGAGCAGCTCTTCCTCTTCCTCTGAATCTAGCTCGCTGACTTCGAGCTCAGGAACCACCTCCACTGCTACCAGCACTTCTACTGGCACTTCTACCTCCACCTCCACTGGATCATCCACCACTTCCACCGGTACTTCCACCTCTACTGGAACATCCACCTCAACCGGAACTGGATTGGTCGCTTCTGCCTCCGCTAGCCGCGCCACTGCCTCTTCATCCAGCACTTCATCCTCAAACGGAGCTGCCGCTACCGGTATCCCAATGATGGGACTCTTGGCCGGAGCCGTCGCCATGTTCTTGTAAGAGAATTAAATCTCCACATGGGGACTACTGGGGTAGATGGGTGAATGGATGAAAGAATGATTTAGAGTCGATGGTGTAATGATGGATGAGATATCGCGGGGTAGAACGATAAGAAAGAATTGCGTTATGGAATTTTGGGCATCTCGTTCAATCTTTACATTTTCTGTTGCACATTTATTCTCATGATTGAATATGTTTCTAAAATGTACGGTTTTGAGATTCTTTGGTTGGGTACGATGGATACGTATATGTATGGTATGGATGGATGAGAGATTAGCTATAGATAGACAAGATTACTTTTCACGAAGATTTTTTCGTGTATTGGATTTGGATTTGGAAGAAAATTTTAATTTTTGATTTACCTTTTTTACCTTTTTACCTTTTATAACTTGTATTCTTTTTTTTTTTTTGGTTGTCTTTCTCATTTGAATACTGAGTGAGTGAGTGAGTGATTGATAGTGATAAGCAGAAATGATATTCTTCAATTCCCTTTTCTAGAAAAAAAAAAATCTTGTCACAATCATTCATTCATTCATTCATACCGATCCAATATCCAATTTCCCTCTCCTTCTCAGGCTCTCACCCCACCCCACCTTTCAAACTTCTACAAAAACCATTCTAACACTAAACCAAACTAAATTTCTTATAAATCTCCACAATCACGAAGAAAATCATTTTCAAGGTCTTTCTTTCTTTCTTTTACTTACTCTACTTCTCTTTCTCTTGGGGAAGAGAATTTCATACTACTTGGTAATATAAATGAAATGGAAATAGAAATGGAAATAGAAATAGAAATAAAATAGAAATAAAGATGACCAGATACCTACCTACCTGTACTCTGTATTCTGTGTTCTTTGGTGGATGGGTGTGGTGTTTGTTTGTGTATGTATGTATGTATGTAAGCACTGTAAGGTAGGGAGGTAGGTAGGTAGGTTATTCATTAGATTATTCATGAATCATGATTTATTAGATGATTAGCTAGCACGCCATGTGGAGATTTTTCTATGAGATGAGATGAAATGAGGTGAGATGTGTGGTTTTTGGGTGTATGTGTATATGTATGTATGTGTATGTGTATGTGTATGTGTATGTGTATGTGTATGTGTATGTCTATGGGATTAGATAATAGATATTACAATATTATAATATCAGAAAATGAAAATGAAAATGAAGGGATGAATGAATGAAGAGGAGAGATTTGTTAGATTAAGAATTAAAAATTAAGTTATCGAGATGGATATCGAGATATCGGGTAGGGTTATCGGTACGTGGTGTTCATGATTGGTTTATGGTTAAGATTACTCGCTCCTGAGTTTGGGATTTGGGTGGGGTGGGGTGGGGTCGGGTGGTGTGGTGTGCTATGTTGGGTTGTGCGAGGAAGGAAGGAGGGAATGGGGAGATTGGAGATTGGAGATTGGAGATTGGAGATGTGCTTTATGATGATATGATGGATATGCATATATTATACAGAGATATGTAACGAGAGGTAACTTTAAGTCTCTGTATGATTATGGCTCTAGATGGGATATCTTGACATGATATTGATATGTTGTATCACAAACCGACAGATATATAAGATCTTACTTACCTACTTGCCTAGGTACCTAGTAACATAATCAATCCATTCGGAAACTCGACGCATAATGTATACAAGCAAGGTAAGGCGGTGTCACGGAACACAATGTAAGATTGCTCATGCATATCTCCAAGGTATAACCAAGCATATACTTTTATCAAGGCTTGCACGGAGGATTGTTTGTTGTACAAGAAAGTGATAATTTGTTCTTTTGTTGATTAGATTGATTAGGACTTCCGACTTTGATATGTCGGATTAGATGGACCTGAGTTTGGGATGAGGTTGTACGACTTGTGTGGAGATTTGGTGGATGTTGTATGTACGGAGTATGTATGTATATGGTGCGGAGGTTGTATTTAAGGCTGAGGATGTATCATCTATGTTTTATATCCGAATCTGGAAGAGAATCTGTTGATTGTTTTTGAATATAGTGGCTATGGAGTATATATATATATATTTACTAGATAAATATTGATTGTATTTATTATATTTTTGAATTTTATTACTCGGGTTTGGTTTTTGAGTATTAGTCTTTCTTTATTTATTTCAATTTTCAGAGCATGGATTTGTGATACCCTTACAGCTCTCAAGGATATATAAATTCCTATGCGGGACCCACGCGGTACTGTTCTTGATCTGGTACTTTAATTCTGCTCTTCGATAATTATATGAGCAAGTGTTCGATTGTATATTCATTCGTGGCAGACTGTCTAGGGAAAAATCTGCTATACATCAATCTCATGAATATACACAATGCACCAACATCATCTCAAATGAATATCAAGTATATACACAAGCCAGAAACATCTATATGGCAATAATCAATGAGCATACATTTCCAAAATACCCGTTGCATCGAACCGTTCATCGCGAAGGATCAATCCTTTTATTCCTTTACGTTTCAATTTATGTCGGGGATTTTTCTGCTACCTTTTCTTATATGTAAACCTGATACTGGAAGGTTTCCTTGTCAAGCAAGCGATTGCAAGAATCTCCTATTCCTGAATACAAAATCCTCCTTCTGTTTCATGTAGGTTCTTCTTCCAAGTCAAACACAAAAGAACTTCCAACCAAACAAAATTTATGACTTCTTACTTCCAAGAGAAAGTGTGGTTCTGAGATAGAAACGTACATCTTAAAGTCTATCCAGGATTAATATTGAGAATCTTATTCATTGTTTCAAGTGTAATGATGATAATACCTCGAGCTTGAGATTTAATGACGGTCATGCACATATCGCCAATGATGAAGACGTATCTTGACAACGGAAAACCTCTTAAAAAGTAATTAGAAATCTATTTGATTTACTTTACGATCTTGATATTGATCGTTGGTTCAAATCGAGTTTCATGACGAAATTACACGTTTATCAATGAGACGGACTCTCCTCTACCAGGTTTACTCTTACCAGAATAAGAATTGGAATCTTTATATATCTACTCACCCAAACCCAGAAATTCGACACGCACTTAAGGATTGATTTTGATTTGTAAGCCCGTCACATTCATCATTTTATCATTTATTGTACAACTCAATGGGAGAAGGTCAGGCTTTGATATAACATTCATATCTCTCTTCTTCAGCATCATTATCGTGTACTTCATAAATAATAATTACTGACTGGTATTCATACCTTGTACTTTACAGCTATCTATCTATAAAAACCCCAGTGCTTTGCGGATTTTGATAGAGTAGAGAATGTGCAGTTGAACGATATGCTTGATTCAGGAAGTAAAAGAATGGTATCAGAAAATTAAAGCTAGTATTGTATCAGCCAGTTTGCAGACTTTTGACTACTTTCCATATATCAACCGCTGATAATAATAATCTTTGAAGGAGTATTCGTTCTCGTCGTTGTTTTTACGGTGAGAGTTAATGATCATCGGTTTGGTTGACAATAAACTCCCCGTCGTGGTAAGGATAGTAGTAATATTACTTTGCTAGCCTAAGAAAAGACATCGATAGATATCATAAATCAATATTAAATTAAATACAAGCAAAAATCACAATCCATCGTGATCATTCAGAGGTCAAAATTGAGCTTTTGATCCTTGCTAAGCCTGTGAACATAAAAGGGAAAGCCAGCAATCCATCCATATACATGGTAAAGCAATCTTCCATTCAATAGATATTTAAAAACAGAAAATTATATACACTACATCCACTTTCAAGCTCGCAATCTAATTAGAACACAAATCCTCGAGCAACTCGCACTTCATATGCATGAGACAAAAGCAAGAAGATCGAATAAAGATATCTTTCTCTCTGAGCGTAGACATACCACCATAATCCAACAAGCGGAAAAGCAGAACGACAAATTGCATGTGAGATAAATATGTCATTATCTACACACGGATATGAGTTTCAGGTTTCAGCCTCCAAAGCTCGAGTTGGGTGATGCTTTCCAAGGCCTATTTGACACTAATTATTAAAAGTCCACAAAGATTAAGAAACAACAATAGTGGAAATGATGTTCAAATGCATGACAGCACTAAAGCCATTAATTAATGATATTTAAGTGCACCTAGTATTATCAAAGCAGAAAGCTTCATTATCGTCCTTCTAGTATCAATTAGGTAATCCTCATACAACGAAAACAAAAACGATAATATCGATAATTTCAAAGGTATAACAATAACCAATATTCATTTTCCTTGTCCCGTCAATACGAAGAGTGTAGATATTGAAGCAAAGGCAAAAATTATACAATCTAGATAAAATCGTAGCAACTAGATAGATATCTATCCTTAATGAGAAATAATAATAATTGATTATATATTTGTATCTTTTCAAGATTGATGATTTGAGATGGTGGTTTTTATAGCTGAGGATGATTTAGGAATTATTACTGGAAATTTTAAAAGAAAAAAATATTTTGATTATAAATAATCATGATTATAATAATGAACAGGAATATATACAAGATTATCTAGTTTAAATAAATATTATTATCTATAGATAGAAACTAAAATTTAAGTATATATATATATATAAGCCTAAATGTAGGAGATATCAAAAGTATCAAATTTTACTATATCTCATTTACCCCATTAATACAGAAACTGCAATATGTCAATATGTCGATAAACAATAAATAACTAGATCAAGTTAAAGATCTTCCAGCAAGCTTACTATTAATTATTCAATCAGTCACTCACTCACTCACTCAATCCCTCAATCTATCATCACCAGGGCTGGGCAAAGGGTGGGGTATATCCGGGGTAACCGGGGGTAAACCCGGCCGAAAAGTCATTCTGTTGAAGATTTGTAAAATAGAATAATCACTTTATAAAATATTCCACATATTACAATATCTATAAGTAAATATTATTTATATATTATATAATATTAAATATTGAAAGTGTATATAAATATAAATATTATATAATAATAATTTAATATAATTCACTTGAATAATATTATTTTTTAAAATTAAATTAAGCAAATATAAAAATATAAATTTTTTATTTAATTCTTTAAGAATAATTTAAATTTATCAAAACTATTATTATTATTATTATTGAAAGATATAATTGAAATAATTGAATTTATAAAAAAGAAAATAAATTAAATAAGATTAAAAAAAATCTTCTTATAATATAATTTAATATTTATAAATATTTATATAAATCATTTATATAATTAAAAATAACCTCAACCTTAAACGACAATTATAAAATGATTACATGATATTTACCCTACAGTACCCTAGCACCCGCCAATATTTCCAGATAACCACCCTGCAAAACCTCCATAAGGTTCACTCAAGAATCAAAATACCAGACCAGTTTTAAGATACACACAGATTATATTACATACTACACATTCCATCATCCCACCAAATCATAGTTTGAAAAAACCCCCCTCGCAACCAACATATATTCTATTCCTACTAATTAATTTTCCCCCAGATTAACTTTAAACTTTAAACCTCAGACCTCAGACCTCAGACCTCAAACCTCAAACCTCAGACGTCAAACCTCAGACCTCAGATCTTAGATATCGTCTACTAGACACGTATTAATTACACCTCATTATAAGCAAGAAAGGAGGAGATTTAGACTAAGACACATGTATATATATATACAATATATTATTAAGTATATAATTCCAGATGAGAAATAAAGTTAGTGTATGTATAATAAACGAAGAAACTGATAAAGGAAAAGGAAAGGAAAGAATAAGACATAGTAGAGTAGGGTAGGTAAATACTTCTGCAGCGTGGGATATATATTATTGTATACATAGGAGGAGATGCGGATCTAGAGTTTATTCTTGTGGGAATTAAGTGGTCTGTCTATATAGGTACTTGAGGGATATGATTATCGCAGAAAGGGGTTATTTTTGATTTTTTTTATCATGGATTTTAAGCTGTGTTATGTGAGTATATAAGAGAGATGGCTTGTTTCTAGTATACTATATGCATTTTTCTATTCTTCATTTTCCATTCTTTCCTCTTTACTCCAACCTTCTCCCCTTTACACCCGTAATTACCCTAATTATTTCTCCATCCAACTTCCTTCCACCAGCTCCATCACAACCCTCCGCCTCACACGATTCCCATAAGCCCTTCCATCCATTCCCACCCACCACTCCATTCCATTCCATTCCATTATCTTTTTCCTTTGACTTCCAACTTTTCCTCTCCTTTCCTTTCTCTTCCTCATCCATTCTCTCCACATTCCCTAGCACTAATCTCCCGCGTCTAGAATCCCTCAATGCATCCTCTAGTTCCCTAACTACTTCATCCCACTTTTCTATTTCTAGTTTATCTTCTTCTTCCCTGATTATTCGATCTCGCATATTCATTGTTGTTTCGTAGCTTGCTGCTAATATTAAATGGTGAGATAATATGAAGGTTATCCATTGCCATGGGGAGGAGACTATGTATTTGGCTATGAGATATGCGAGAGGGAAGGCAACGAGGATGTTGAAAAGAACTATGAGGGGTTAGTTAGTGTGGTTGATAAATGAGGTATGTGATAAGAGTGATAATTCTTGTATGTAGTATATAAAGATTAATCGTTGGAACTCTGAAAGTCAAGTAGGGAGAAAGAAATAAACATACCGAAACCAATACTAAGACCCCATTTCTCCCAGTTAATCCATCCTTTGGCCTTGTTACCCTGCCTGTCATCATTCTTTTCCTCTCCATTCTCTCCAGCCTCTCTATATCCATCCCTCTCAACTTTCTCTCTCCTTAATCTCTCCATAAAATTCAACTGCTCTTTATTCCACTCCTCTCTAACATGTTTCTCTGGTCGTGCTCCCAAACCCACATTTTCCGAGTAGGATTTAAAGGGCGGAAGTCCACGATCTCGCATCTGACCATCACTCCTGTGAGTGCGTTTTGTCGACATTGTAATTGTTGATATTTCGTTGTATGAATAATGTCTTCGTATGCTGAGTATATGCTCCAGATAATAAAACTTCCCACTCAGAGCCGAAAAGCCGAAAATTCGTGAAGTTGAAATATGTAAGGTAGTAAGATCGATAAATCTTCGACTCGCAGTTATGGTAAATGACCAAGATTGTTGTTGATATTGAGGTGTTTAATACTAGATCTGATGTCAAGATTGATAATTATCCGCGTAGATACGAGAACATCAGGCACTTTTATCTTTTTTCCTCTCTCTATCTTCTCTTCTTCCCTTTGATCTCTTTCCCACTTGTCGTTTTGTAATCACACCTTAAACCTCCTTCCTTTCCCTCTTAAATCCTCCCTAAGCCCTCCAAATACAGACCAGGAATCCGAATAATCAAGAGACTACAAGAAAGCCTCGAACCGTAGCAAACGCAAAAGCTGTAGAGATAGTAAAAACCGTAGAAGTCGTAGCAATCAACAATCCTATCCTACCCCATCACTATCCTCCAATCCTCCACCAACAATCCTAAACAACTTCCCACAAACCAAAGTCCACAAGATAAAACCGCAGAAATCAGGACCCCAGAATCCAGAAACACAAAAAGGTAGCATAAAACCCCTTAGCACCGTAATACAACCCGGTAAGCACAAGATCACTGTAGTCAATGTAACCACTGTAACCTCTAGCCACAAATCGCGCGAGCTGGCTGCAATTCAATATCTCTCTCTTATCCAGCTTTCTCCTTTTTCTTTTTTGTATCGTATTATATCGCCGCTATAGCTTTCAGTTAGTGATATATCCCGTTACAAAACGTCAAACTTGAACCATCAACGTAAACCATCACGTAACCTACCTAGATACCGAGTAACTTAAATCAAAGCGACAATCTTAAATACTTCCAAACTTCCAAAAGTCAACGTACCTACCTACCTACCTACCTACCTACCTAGTAAACAAGAACCCCTAGCACCACCAGAAAAACGTGAATGGCAAAAATCATGAAATACGACCTCGCGACCTCGTAATATATCAAAAACACCAAAGTGAATACCTACCTCCGTACCTAATACTCGAATCCATATATAAAAGACCTCGGGACTACTAGAACGCTGTGCATGTGTGCGTGCGCTCCATTCTATTCATTACCTACCTAGCTAGGTCCTTACTACCAGCCGACCTATCAACGTACTACCTATCTATAAATGAATATTTCAACTCCCTTCTCATTTGAATGATACTAGGTTTTGCCAACGCTCCGCTCCTTCAAGTTTTCAAGTTTTCAACCACTCAACTCATCTTCTCACCTCACTCTTCTCTTCTCATCTCAAAAACATAAAGATATAATACAAAAATAAAACAAGAAGCCTTTTAAAAACATCACCCATGACTAGGTAGGTACCTACTACACCCCCTCTCCTTTACCTCTACCATCTTCATCTTGCCTGCCTGTCCATTACCAAAATAAAACTCCCAAAACATAAATACGACTCATCAATTCTCCCAACTTTTAAGACCATCCATAATAGAAAGTGTCTGACTTGCCCAATTATGATGTCCAGCCTGATCAGAAATAATATCCATATCAATCTCGTCCCTATTCTCATCCCTTCTGATCCTTTCTCTGACAACAGTACCATTACTTTCAGTACTATCCTCCGAGCTCATCGTATCAAGCATCCTCCTTTTTAGAACCATTCTCGTCATGCCGCCATCAACACTATATCCCCGTCCATGCATACCAATAACATCTCCAGCTTGACCACCTCTAGTTTGGTAACTCAGTCCCCGCTGCTCCTCCATCCTTGCATTGTTTCTAGTACTGATAATATCCATCAACTCCAACTTTCTCTCTGCTCCTTCGGCCCTTCTTCTCCACGTCTCCACTTCCTCCCTTGCTTCTCTCAGTTGCTCCGCCAGACTTATATGCTCAGTATCAGAGATCGACCTCATTTCAACCATCCGTTGTAAATGCCGTACTTGTTCAGTCTTCTCATTTACCTGTTGTTGAAGACTGCATATTTGCGAATGTAAGACTGTATTTCCGCGACTCAAAGTATTCTTTGAAAGCGTTGAATCATGAGCAAGTAGCGATTGCGAATGTAGAAATTTATGTGTAGCTTCAAACTCGGATGATGTTAGAGCCAAAGTTTCTGAGCTACCAATACTACTATATGCACCATCCATTCCAGCTGTTCGAATTTTCATGGATGGTTGATTCCCCACTGGCTTAAGTGGAACAGAGAGCGAGTTGAAAGTAGAAAGTGGTAGTTTCAACGAAGATACAGAATCCTCGTGAGAATCCTCAGTTATAGCTTTAGGTGAGGTAGATTCTGGTACGAAATCTCTCAAAACTCTCTTTGGAGCTGGTATTTTGGTAGGCGATGACTGTTCTTTAGTCTGTTGAAATCGTTGGGCTAAACCGATATTGCGGAAAGACCGAATAGACTTTCCAGATTTAATGGATGCAATTGATCTTGATGGTGATGGTGGCGGATTGATGGTATAAGGTGAAATAACACCACCGCCTCTTCGATTATCGACAGACGTTGCAGCTGCCGGTCGAGCAGATTTAGCTGGAGTTGGTGATATCGGTGGAGGAGGTGTTGCCTTTACAGTGTCGAATTTCTCTGCTATGGCCCTTACGCTGACCTTCTTGGGCGTCCTAGTGGGCTCGGGAGTGGGAATCTTCCGTAAACGGGGTTCTGCATGATGCTCTATGACTGACCTAGAAGGTTCACTCTTGTGGTGGTCTTCACTTGATTTTGACGAACGACTCTCGGATTTTCGCTTCCGGAACATTTCTCTAATCGAAGCTACTTTTGACAAGGTAGCTGGCGAAGCAGTTTCATGAGGACGTTTTACTTTCGCCTGCGTGACTTTGGGCTCCACTGATGTTGTAACGAGAGGTGCAGCAGAACCAGTCTTTTGTGAAAAATTACTTTTACTGCTGGAATGACCGTCGGGCCTATGTATTGTTGCAGACTTTGGCGTGTTGGAAACATTGCTGCGAGGTGCTTGAGGTCGTGAAAAGTTTGGTGTATGAGGTTTCTCAGCTTCCGTTCTTTCATGAAAGTCTACCCCAGAATCATGTTTTGTTGACTTCTGGAATTTTTCTGTAGACCTTACCGATTTCATTGACAAATCAGGCGATTCCAGAGCCTGCCCCAGCACAGCTAAGGATGCCAAGTCATCCTCATGTGAAACGCGAGAGATTGGATCGATAGGACTATTCCCCTTTGAGGGATCAGAACCTGTAAAACCTGGAAATCTCCGAAGATCCTTGCTCTCCTGAGCATGAGATGTACTGGGCGCGAATCTGATATGATTATCTCTGCTGGGTGGGTTATTCCGATTAGGCGACGAAGAGCCTTGCATAGAGTTTCGATTGTTATCATGCAAGAGACCAGATAAACTGGTTGTCTTCGTCTCCTTGGACTGCCCATCTGGTAATTGTCTAATCGATTGTGCTTTAGGTGTTTTATCATGACCAAAATCTTTGGGATCTGTGTCAGGTAACAGAACCTCAGCTTCAGTTGATTTGCTTTCGAAACTTCGAACAATACATTTGGCATGGCGTTCATTAGTATGTTCAACAGCTGGGCTCTTTTGATCACTTCCTTTCCCGTTTCTTGTAGAAGGAGGTGGACCACCACTTTGTGGAGTTTGCATGAAACTCAGCTTACTATCTCCAAAGTCGTTTTCATCGGGATGCTCTTGTACCAAAGCCGCCGAAAGAGCACTCGTAGATTTTGTATTCTTAAGAGCTTCTCCCGGTAGCAATCGTTGACGTGATCGTTGCTTTGTGACTAATAAGGAATCTAGCTGCGAGGAATGAGCGGAGTCGTCAAGTGCTTGCTGTTGCGTAACCTCTCCGCAGTTACCCAGTGTATCGATATGCACTGGACATGAACGATGAGAGAGCTTACGCTGTGGAGGTGTTGGGGATTGACTCCTGTCAATATTCCTGTCGGGTTTATCATAAGTCCAGTCAGGAGGTCTCCGCAAGGAGAAGGACTCCGACATTGAAGGGCGTAACATAGGTGTTTTTTTACCCCGAAGACCTGCGTTCTTGCATCCATCAACGGCTGTGAGTGCGTCTAGGTTCTTCATATGACGAACTATATCACGCCAATGCGTGATGAGCATCTCCATAATTTCGCAGGCAACCTTGATTTTGTCAACTGTATTGTTGAAAGTGACTCCCTCCTCTGCACTTTTGTATTTCTTTCTCTCCTTCTTAGTTTTTGGTGGACTCAAAGGAGTGAGAACCAAACTACCATGGCCGTTGGCTAAGCGGATATTGTAGTTGTCCATTAGATCACCGACAAGGAGGGGGCCGAAACAAACTCCTAACGGTTTGTAGCCCATAAGATCTGAAGTAGGGAGAGGTCTGCCTTTATCGTCTTCCCTTCGTGCCGTTTCGGCTGCACGACCGACCATACAGAGCAGCCCTAAAACTGCACAGATAAGTTCCCTTCTATATGTTGATCTTAAAGTTGATATAGATAAAGCAATAAGTCTCGCTCGGACCTTACTATGCTTCGTTCGTGTCAACTCCGGATCACTTCTAAGATTTGTTTGGATGGATACTAGAGCATCGAACAGTGGAAGTGATCCCAATATACCACCAGGGATGCCAGAGAGGAATCTCTTAAATGCAGATGCAACGTCGTGCACATCACAATCGATATGGTCTGGTAAAGTCGGACATCTTACTGTTCCCGCAATATGTCCTTCGTCACCTTTAGGACAGTAGTGTTCATAAATGAGGCCGATTGTGTGTTGGGAGCCCGGTATACGAAAAATACCTCGGGTAGTAGGAGCTGCACATCAATCAGCACTTAGAAATTATATACCGGATTGTAATTCGAAACATACCATGCTGTATCAAGTATTGTGCTGTAGCACGGATACAAGTTGGTAAAGTCAAGCTGCTCGGGGCATATTCGGCCGGAAGGTATAATAGACTTGACCCACACAAACGAACAAGTTCAACCAAATCTCTATCTTTGAGTGAGTCGCGTCTGCCCTTCATTCGCAAGGAGTCACTAATGCTGCGCATTCTTTTGAGATCTCGACGTTCCGCTTTTTTGGACTTGACAACAGGCGTTTGAGATGAGGATGTCCGCCTGAAGATCTTTCGGGATAGCCAATTACCATGTTTATCAGGTCCATCTTCGATGCACTAAATCTAATAAGCATTTGAGGTGATGGGATGTAAGCATTAACTTACAGGAGCGTCCTCGTATTCACTTGGGATAAATTTTCGTACGCCATGCTACGGAGCATTAGCTTTGTTCCTCGTCACGATGAAACCATTTGCAGACCTTATCCGCCAGTCGGTTGAATTCTTCTATAAAATGTGTACGATCATCCGAGTCGTCATTCTCAGACTCACCACCACCACTTGAAGAAGTCCAGGTATTACTACTGCAAAGACCACGTCGAATTCTAGGCTGCTGCCCGATATCGGAAGACACCTCGGCGTGGGAAGGACCATCTCCATATAAGCCTAAGGAAATATTTGGATCTGATGGAAATGCTCTGATAGATGCCCGTCTGATAGGAACCCCTTGGCTTCGTAGTAAATTTTGTGCAATACTTGCATCATCTATGAATAGAGGTGCTTCTTGCTGTTGTCGTCTGAGGGATAAAGTAGCTGATGATGCTCTTGAGTTAAGACGATAACTGTTAGCTGGCATTTTGATTGCTGGATGATATCCAGCAACCTTTAATTGTTGCTTGTCATTTGTAAATATTTTTTGGGACGTATTCTTCAGTGTCAACAGAAATGGCAGATTGGCTTTCTAGGAAAATGGTTCCTGCCCTTTTCAAGACTAAGAGAAAGACTAAATGCATTCTCTATGGCCTTTTTAATGACAAAAGAAGAAACCGCGACTTAAACTTATCCATTCTCAACGATGAACCACTATAAAGTTCAAAATAAAATCTTCATTCCGAAATGATAAATCCACTTAGAATCAGCTGAAGCCCTCGGCCATGTTCGAAATGCACCGGTAGTCCGTCAAAGCATTCTAAAGGGGGTAAAATCTCTGAATTGCAAGTCCTATGCTGCCCATCATCCATATATATTCACAAGCCAATCCCAAAACGTGCCATGTTATCCTTAGCCCGAGCCGATAAAATGGTATTAACGAATATGAATAAATCGCCCCATCACATCTATTTGTGGCCATTTTAATGACCAGTGAGATCAGGTTTGTACCTGTACGCCAAATCGCTATGCAACGCCTATCCATCCTCGTAGTATCATGGCCAATATCGGACAGGCTCAATCATCGTCTTCTCCATGTAAGAGTACATACTGCAAAATATCCGATAAAGAGATCACACCCTTCAAATGCTGCTCTTCATCTATAACCACCAATCGATGCACTCTAGATTTTCGAATCGTGTCAAAGATCGAATCCAACCTGTCTTCTTCACTGCAAGTATAAATCCCGGCAAAGTCTTCTGCCCTATTGGCCAAAGCTTCTCCCACAGTCAAAGTCAGACCATCGTATACACCGCCCTTGATAATCGTGATTACATCGACAGCCTCGAAAAGATTAAGCACTCGCGAATCTTTGTCAACAATAGGAACGCTCGAAATGCTGTGTTTGACCATCATATGTATGACGTCGATCACCGGAGTGTCCATATTTGCGGTTTGTAGGTCCCCATAAGTTCCTAGTTTGATGTCCGATACACTTTTCTTCAAGAATTCCGTCTCCTCGACATTGACACTAATAAACTTCAGGATACGATATTGTGTAATCACACTGACCACCATCTCTTTGCCCGTCTCGTCATCGACATCAACCAGCGGGATACGGCGGGCCCGGGTTTGTAACATTTCGCGACAGGCATCGTAAAGAGGTCGCGCAGGATGTACTGACACTGTCTCTAAAGGTAGTACGCCAATTGCCTTTTCGATATCTGTGATGAAGTCAGCCTGATGCCCCGCCGATCTAAAATTTTGGACTCTACCTCTTAAGCTACTCAACTTAAATTGATCTATTTGATTAAGAGCTTCTGGATTCTGCCAGTAATATTGGATAACATTTATATAGTCGGAAGTCGTAAGAAGTCCAGCAAAGGTTGAGGTGTGGGAATCCCATAGCGGGGCTGAAACGATACCTATAAGGTTCAAAGATCAGCATTGAGGTATAATCTGGTAGGGTTGTGGCTGTTGTGTACCATTTTGTAGGAGGATGGTCAAGCTCTTCTTGACCAGTAAATCGGTATTAAGGATGATAAGTCGAAAGGAAAGAGGTAGAACATCGTAGCTGGTACGGCGCTTGAGGAAATCTCGAATTGATTTCTGTTGAATCAAACATGTCAGCTCCGCGTAGTACTCGAAGTACAAACCCCCACGACTATCCCATAAATGATTTTATATGACTATACTGATAGAGCAAGCGATAAGTGAAATTATCTTACCAGACCCTTCTGCTGGTCCCTGTCGAGCGCGCTCATCGGCTTTTCCTCCGGCTTCTCCTCCGGCTTTTCCTCCTGCGGCAGCTCCTGCAGCCTTTCTTGATGCATCTCGGCGAGCTTCCCTCTTGGAAGAAGGAATGTTGAAGGTTGAGCGATGCGCGACTCGTGATCATGTCTAGCGATAACCTGTGGTTGTGATGTAAAGGAATCTGCGGGATTGGGCGCCGCTGGCCGTATCTCTTCTGCCATATCAGACATGGATTATGCTTGGGACAATTCGTGGGGAGCACATCGATATTGGGAGGTTGAACAGAGGCAGAGATGATTGAAACTTCAATAAGAAATAAATTGAAGTATAATCATGAAGAGAGTCGTCGGTTGTACTGTAAGGAGATTGATAGTATTGAATCGTGAAGCTTGAAATGGTAGTAATCTTATTAGGTTGAACTTTGAAAGCTAGAACAAAAGTCACGAAGAAGGTGGGGCAAGGATTTTCATGTGGGTGAAGGTAGTAGTAGCCTAGTAGGTAATAATAAAGTTGTAAAGATTGATTGTTTTCTGGGGAATTTCCATGATCAGCCAAAAATCGATCCTCTTCTGGATTTTGCATTATGGTGTCACTTTATTTACCGTAATATCGTAATGTAAGTAGGTAAGTAGGTAAGTAGGTAAGTACAGTACTCGACAAGTACTCGAGTAAGATCTTTCATGACTGAGGAGGCACCTACTGCGTAGAATAGATAGATAGATAGATATCTGATATCTTACTAATTTATTATCAGTTCAATGTACCGGTACCTAACTTTGTCCCACCTTCATCCATTATTACCTCTACCTTATACCTACTATACCTGCCTGGCAGCCTACCTAGTAATTAAGCTCACGATTCTAAGATCTTCATGTTCGAGCGTGAGGGGAACCCCTGAGCGGCTCGTCATTTCTTGACATCGATGCTCTCAGTACTGTACTGCTAATATATAAAGATATCCAGCGTCCAGTTCCTTTGAAGCAGTCTCATGTAATAGAGGCATCAACGATGGCAAGTGTGTGTGTCAAAGGTGATATGAAGAGTTTGAGTAAAACTACTTGGGTGAGAAGACTACAATCGTCCGATCTGTCTTGGATCACTCGATACAGCTACTTTAAATAGGTATGGACACCATTGTTGGCGTCATCCAGTCATGATCTTTTTGGGAATTCCCGTTACTGTCTCGGTTCTCTTCCCCGGATTAGTTCTCTGAGTATCCACTCACTATACCCATTTTGAAATGCAAGGACATTTTCTGACCATGCCAGCTCATACCATCCACCTATGGAAGTGATCAAAAATCACTTCGCAGAAAAGAAAAGGTCATCTCGACACTCATTTTTACCCAGACATGACTCTGAATTGGTGTCATTCTCCCGACTGGATCATCCAAAGATGGGAGGGACTTCTCCATGTCTTATCTACTTCGGTGGGACGACATTATTCGTAATGGTAAGAGTAAATCAACAAATTCCGGCATCGATTGAAGAGACTCGAGGATCCAAAGTAAATTCAAACAACCTTCTAGAAATCCGCTTTCAGATCCCCCTCTTAGGATGAAGAGACTACTATCTTGGGTAACGTAGGCGTTCATTCATCTTAACCGTCTAGTATAGCCAACGCTCCTTGAGGCTCTTTCCCCCGTACTTGGACCTACATGCATGAACTCGAATTCAACAGTCGTTGTGGCTAACATACCTGCATCTTCCTCGGAAAATATTTCGAATGGTGGCTGTCACCAAATCTCTTCATGACAGGATGAATTCAGCATCTTGCGTAATCAGAAGTGGAAGATATGACGGCAACTTTAATGCCTGAAGCCCCTCTATATGGAGTTCAATCCACATCATTTGATCTTCAAGAATCAGTGCCCTCACTCGGAAAACACGTCGATATAAAATAGTTGGTATAGGTACCACCAAACCCGGCTTCGAGAATAATCCTTGTCTTATCCATTGGCTATTCTGGTGGTGCTTGAAGTGGGTTGTATGCGTTTGCATCTGCATCTTTTTTATTGGGGCAAAATATCGGTGTAAATGGGTAGTGTACCATACTCCGTACTCTGTACATAAATTGATGGATGTGGATACGTGATAGATGAATCAATGTGAAAAGGTTTTTTGGCATACTCGAGTACAAGTGAAGATTTGTTTGTCGAAGGATCGTAATAATTGTGGTTGGTAGCATAAGGTTTTCCATGGGTACTGAGCATTTAATGTGTCGGGATTTGAATGTTATGTTGTTTGTGCATGAAGTTGTCGATGACATACTTTTATTTTTGAGATAGCCTTTTGAACGGACTACCCAGGTTCAGGGTACCAGCACGTAGAACTAACTGACTAGTAATTAATGCAAATAAATATCGAGTTTGAATTATTGTCGAGCATGGGGAGAGAGCGATAGTGCTGATATGAAAATATGAAAATCATCAGATAAGGAGAGAAAGTGGTTCAACAGTTATGTTAAGTGTATCTTGTCTTATAACAATCTAAGACACTTGGCCGACTTTTTGAACTTTTAGGAGTCATTCTAAAGGGAAGAGATTTTTTGGATGTTTTGATACTTCCTAATCTATGACTTCTATCTATGATTCTATGCTATCTATTGGATATCTTTAGCCACGATTAGCCGCGAGGCTCCAGCTAGTTTTCGTTTGTTGGAAGAGGAGGCTGGAGATTTGCAGGGGATCTACATAAAATCCGTAGTTGTAGCGAATAACCCTAACATGTTCGACTGAGATACTAAGCAAAATACAGTTGGGTTATGGGAAGAAAGGTGTGAGGTTGTTGATGGCTTGTTGAAACATTGTAGACTTGCTCATGAGACCTTTCTTTCATAAAACATAAGACGTGAGTGATTCTAGATATCTATCTGGATGTATTAAAAATCAATACTCGGAACATCTCTAATATCAGAATCTTATCTAAATAAAAACAAAAGTGATTTCATATATAATCTATATACTATCTAGTATATCAATAAATAATATAATAAATATCATGTTTTAAGATCAATAAGAATAATAAACTACATGTGATTGATTTATGACAACTTCAAGTCTCCAACTTTAACTCGATCTTTTCTATTTTAGCTATAGTATAAAGTAGACCCATGGTCCGTGCGTTGACTTTCTATGGCGTTGTAGCGTGTACAAGCCGGCGGTGGTGTGCAATTAAGTAAGTGAAAGACCGAAAGCTGCTTGGGAACCAAAAAAGCTTCCGCCCAAGTCAATCCTCGAACCTTCTTTATCAAGATTTAATCCACTCAATAATTTACATCGCTACTCCCCTTCGAATGCTCGTAGAACCTTCCTATAATATAATACGAAACGGAAATTGATGCCATTTCCCCTTCCTATAGCTTCGCTTTGTCCTGTCCGACTACTCGCCCTCATTCCAACAACAAAAACAACTGAATCCCGACCCTACAATTTACCACCATCACTAGTCCTACGGGACTGAACATCGAGAAATGGGTGGTGTCTGCTCTTCTTGCTGCGGAGGTATGCATCGTAGATTATATCTTTGGAGTCATCTACTTATCTACAGACTGTGCAGGTAAATCCCGAGATGGCTTATATGAGCCAGTGCTTGCAGAAAGCGAAAGAGAAGCGGTGGCAGACCTTCTACAATACCTCGAGAACGTAAGGAATGCATATGATGATAATGTATTTGATGTCTAACGATGCTCTCAGCGCGGCGAGACCGACTTTTTCTCCGGCGAACCTCTACGAGCTTTAAGTACCTTGGTATTTTCTGATAATGTCGATCTTCAGCGAAGTGCTAGTTTAACATTTGCTGAGATAACCGAACGAGGTACGTCGTTTTATACACCTGGATGGATGTAAATACGCAATGTCCGACTCGAGAAGGGAGTGCATGGCTCGTATCGATGATGGACCGCCTCGCATACAAGTTCCCCGATGACAGAGTTCAGGGCAGAGAGCATTAGAATATTTGTATTGCAGGGGTGTAAGTACTGACACCTTTCAGATGTCCGTGAAGTAGATAGAGATACCCTCGAGCCGATACTCTTCCTCCTGCAAAGTCCAGATATCGAGGTGCAACGAGCGGCTAGCGCAGCTCTTGGGAATCTCGCAGTCAACAGTGAGTTATGCTTTCCCTGCTGTATGCACTAATCTGACACACGACGCAGCGGAAAACAAAGTAGCAATCGTACTTCTTGGAGGCCTTACACCTCTCATCCGACAGATGATGTCTCCAAATGTTGAGGTGCAATGCAACGCTGTTGGTTGTATTACCAATTTAGCAACACACGAGGATAATAAGGCCAAGATCGCACGATCAGGGGCATTAGGGCCTCTCACTCGTCTAGCAAAATCTAAGGATATGCGTGTGCAGAGAAATGCTACTGGTGCATTATTGAACATGACCCATTCCGGTAAGGAACAACCTTGTCGAGATAATATTTCCAGACACTGACAATATTCAGATGAGAATCGCCAGCAGCTAGTTAATGCTGGTGCCATACCGGTTCTAGTACAGCTCCTCTCTTCTTCAGATGTAGATGTACAATACTACTGCACAACAGCTTTGAGTAATATCGCCGTTGATGCTAATAACCGCAAAAAACTCGCCCTGAACGAGAACAGACTCATACAGTCTCTTGTGAACCTCATGGATTCATCATCACCTAAAGTTCAATGTCAAGCAGCTCTAGCTCTACGAAATTTAGCTTCCGACGAGAAGTACCAACTGGAAATTGTGCGCGCTCGCGGTTTAGCTCCATTATTACGACTTTTACAATCCTCATATCTACCATTAATACTTTCAGCTGTCGCTTGCATACGCAACATATCGATACATCCATTGAACGAGTCCCCAATTATTGATGCTGGGTTCCTTAAACCATTGGTCGATTTACTAGGTTCCACCGACAATGAAGAAATTCAGTGCCACGCCATTTCGACACTTCGTAACCTTGCTGCTAGTTCTGATCGAAACAAGGAGCTTGTTTTACAAGCCGGAGCTGTTCAAAAATGCAAACAACTTGTTCTGGATGTGGCCCTTAGTGTTCAATCCGAAATGACTGCTGCAATCGCTGTATTGGCATTAAGTGACGATCTCAAGACCCAACTTCTCAACCTAGGGGTGTTCGATGTCCTCATTCCATTAACAGATTCCGCGAGTATCGAAGTTCAAGGTAACAGTGCTGCGGCGCTTGGTAACTTGTCTTCCAAAGGTAAGTTTAATAATGGGTTCATGCTTTACGACTTGGAATGCTAATCAATTGCAGTCGGCGATTACTCTATCTTCATTTCAGCCTGGACAGAACCACACGGAGGCATTCACGGTTACTTAAAGCGCTTCCTTGCTAGCGGAGATCCAACCTTCCAACACATTGCAATCTGGACATTATTACAACTATTAGAATCCGAGGATAAGAAGTTGATAGCTTTGATTGGGAAATCGGAAGAGATTGTACAAATGATCAAGACTATTTCCGACAAACAAATTGAATCTGACGACGAAGGTGAAGAGGATGGTGAAGGAGAAGTTGTTCAACTTGCTCAAAGATCATTACAACTACTCGGACAGAGTGGAAAGTCATCCCATATCGAAGGTTGAGCCATTACATGGGAAAAGATTTCTTTGTTATTTGCATCTAGCTATGGGAAGGGCACGGTGTTAGGAGTATAATCAAAGGCATAATAGTTTGTAGCGAGCATTGGCAGAGCGGGGGGCGCTGCACAACTTTATTTCTGTTTTTCATGACAAACCTTCAGAGGTTCCTGTTACTACGGTATATCTTTTCACGACGTCTCCCTTCAATAACTTATTACAGCTCATATGGAACTTTAGTTGTTATTCATGTAATTAGATAGGACGTTATGATATCCAATTTCAATAATTGCTAGGAATATCAGGAATTCTCACATGACATTCGTGGTAAAAGACAGCAGAACAGGTTGTCTTAATGGGACTTGGTCATTCCCTGTGATTGTATCAGGGCTTCACTCGTCATTTACCATTAGAGCACTTCGAAGAATCATATGTACTTATTCATGAGTTGATACGCTTCTCCTCTAAATTGATGAGTTTCATCTGTTCATCATGTCGTAAACCAGGTATATATACTTTGAAACCAAGTTCTTTTCGGCTCTGGCTGCAATTCATTCTCAAACCATTTCCTATCGCCCAATGGTAGAACTCTAGCGATGATTTTCCCCTTAATAAGAGCCATAGGTACCGGACCAAACAACCTCGAATCCCTCGACCATTCCAAATTATCCCCCACCAACCAACAATGACCCTGAGGAATCTACAATCCAATTAGCCCCTTTTCCCTTGTAAATCCATCTCCCCGTCCCGCCTAAAAACTCACCCTAATCATCTTCGTATCCCCCGTCTCCGGCGTCCCCATCATAACACAATCCCCCTCCAACCCCAACACCCTCTTGAACGCCTTCTCCCCAGGCTCAAGTACAGAGTCAAAAGTCACTATATCCCCTACTTTTACGTTGCGGCCGCGTCGGCTTGACCGGTCGACTAGAAACCATTCGTTGCCTACGGACATGGTGGGCAGCATTGAGGGTCCTGCGGCAGTTAGGAGTGAATAGATGTACGTGTGGAAACAGTGGTATATGAAGAGCGACTTTATGGTCCAGCTGAGGATGCGGAGGTAGTGTGGGAGGTCGGGGTGTTGTGTCCAGGCGGGTCGGTGGAGCGTGTGTAGGTTGTGGGTGCGGTTTGGGGGTGCGGCGCGGGAGGTGGAGGGGAGGGAAAGGGATTTTGCGGGGTGAGAGAGGAGGGCTCGGTGGAGGGGTTTGAATATCATGGCATGCTTTTTGTTGGAAGTCGAAACATTCAATATGTATAGGTATGTAGTTTTGTGTGGGAGCGAAGTCCTTGGTGCACGTTTTGTTAACCCGTGATATGTATGTATGGTGATTGATATCTGTAGAAATGGAAATTTATGATTACGTAAGCAATGATAATAAATTCTCTCCCACATTATTACAACATCAAAACCAAGGTCTCAAGCTGTCCTGTCGCAACAACAGATACTCGCAACCACGACCGTTTAAAATATGTCAACCTCGCGCTGCGTATTCAACGCTGCATCTGCTCTGCGACGCATATTTCTTGCACCCATTGACCACTCATCCACACCACTCCTCCGCCCATCCACCTTCTCCTCGCATCTCACCCGCATCCACGCAAGCCATACCCAGCAGCGCACCCTCCTAAAGAGCACCTCTTGCGCCGTCCCAGAACAGCGACTTCCGCGCGATGAAGAAATCAAAGATGTAAGCGTCCGTCTCAAAAACCACGAACAAAAGCTCGACCCCCCAAAACCCACCTCCGCAATCCTCAAATCGATAAACCTCAAAACACACATGTTACAAATCATCGCATATAGCGATGATGGTGAACCTCCTATTGCGAAAATTATTGATAAGGAGGAGGCGGCGAGACAGAAGAGATTGGCGAAGAAGAAGAAGAATCCTGCTGCGGTGACGAAGACGATTGAGATGAATTGGGCGATTGGGAAGAATGATTTGGGGCATAGGTTGCAGAGGATTAGGAGTTTTGGAGAAGGGGAATAAAGTTGAGGTTGTGGGAAGGGAAGAGGAAGGGGAGGAAAGGAGGGGAGGAGGGTGGAGGAAAAGGAAGGAGGGAAATGGTGGAGGGGGTGGAGGGGATGGAGGGGATGGAAGGAAGGAGGGAAGGAAGGAGGGGAGGGAAAGAAATGGAAGGAAAGAGATGGAGAAATGGAAAGGAAGGAAGAGAATAAATAGGGAAGAAATGGAAATGGAATGAATTGAATCAATAATATAATCAATTCATATATATGTATATGTACTCTCAAAGAAAAAGTAAACTGAACTAAACTAAACTAAACTATAACAATTATTCCAATCATTCCAATCACGCAAAAAGAGAGATATATATATCTATAAATACATATCAATATCCTCATCTCATTTTATATTATAAACATTATATTATATACTATACATTATACATCATATACTATATACCATATACTATATCCTATACACTATACATCATATACTATATATATATCATATATACACTAAACCAATCTCGAGATAAATCTTCGAGGTGGATTTTCTATTTAGTAAGTAAATAAGTAAGTAAAGTAAGTAAATAAATAAATAAATAAATAAATAAATAAATAAATAAATAAATAAATAAATAAATAAATAAATAAATAAATAAATAAATAAATAAATAAATAAATAAATAAATAAATAAATAAATAAATAAATAAATAAATAAATAAATAAATAAATAAATAAATAAATAAATAAATAAGTAAGTGAATAAATAAATAAATAAAATTAGATATGTAGATAGATAAATGCGATGAAATATCAATATCAATATCTAAATATCAATATCAATATCTAAATATCAATATATAATAACAAAGAGAAGAGAAGAGAAGAAAAAAGGAGAGAATCTTATCTCAAATCTCTCTCTCTTCTTTCTTCAGAGAAAAAAATAATCCTTATAAATAGAGTGACAGAACAACAGAATATAAGACAGATAGATTACTAGTTATTATTATAATCAAAATGATAATCAAAATGACAGTCATATATACAGAAAGCAAATCACAAAATATAAAATTTAGGTGGCTAGGTGGCTAGGTACTTAGGTATATATGTATGTATGTATGTATAGAAGAATTTTTTATTCTCATGCTATTTTCTCTTCTCTTCTTTTCTAATCCTATCTCATCTTTTCTTCTTACTGCATCTTCTGCTATGCAATGCAATGCTAATTATGCAATGCTATACTCTCAGAGCTTTGGTGAAAAGGAAAACGGCAAAGCCAAATGAAGACTCCCAAGCAAGACGCATCGAGGGTTTCATTTTCTTCATCCACTATTCCATTCCACTACACTTCATTTCGCTCCATTCCATAACTATGCAATTGCAATTGCGCTTCCACCAACGAAATACTCCCCCTTTCCCACAATCCCATCCATAACCCATAGGACATATAAGAATCAACCATGACGAGCAACTCCAAACCCTACCCTACCCTACCCAGATCCATCCTCATTCCCATTCCCAACCCATACAGAGTTCAAACTCTATCACATCACCATCCTAAACCCCATAAAAAGAAAAGATCACTGCAATCTAAACCCAACGCAAAAGGATGCAAAAAACAAAACAAAAACGAAAGCTAATATACCAGCACTTGGTATTTAGGTCACGTGAAGAAAATAGTAGTGTGCATAAGTCACATCTTATTGAATGACCATATATGGATATCCGATAAAAACTCCTTTGGATATCCGGTTAACAAAGGAAAAAGGAGCCGTGAATAATTCGTGATGCATGTCGAGAAAGGTTATGTTATGCGAGCTGACGTGTAAAGTTGTATTTTGTGGGGGAAGTTCATCAAACATGTTGATTGATGTTTTGCATGAAGTGTGGGTGATTTTGTGGAGTATCTCGATGTAATCGCCGAATGTGAAATATCCGATGCATGGGATCGTGAATCGTAATCGAAAAAATTTGAGTTTGATCGATGGCTCTTTTTTCGAAAATGCAAATCTCCCAGAAGAAATCTTATGTTCGTGGTTGAAAATTCCCCTTCAGACTCGAGCTACTGGTGAACTTTGCCCCTCTCGTCTTCTTCTTTCTTCCTCAACTCTAATCATTCTTGCAACGGCTTCATTTTCTCTCAATCTACCTTCGGCTAATCCACCAGATCTAGTCTGACCTGCAATCAAATATCCAGAACTTTCTTCCAATTCAAATGGTGTAATGGGACCGGGACTACCCAAAGGGAGTAATCTAGGGCTGACAGGTTTAGATCCTGGTGCGCATGGTACACCAGGAGATGAAGTTACTGAAGCATGTACCATACGTGCTTGTTCGATCATATCCCTTTGGTATTTTTGTAGCTTTCGTTTAATGTCCGAAGATCGTCTCTGATGATTTGGATTTGTAGATTTTTGACGTTGACTCTTTGGAGGAAGTTGAAGATTGCCACCATTTAATATCGGTGAAGCGACACTTGGGGCGGGAGATGTGGGTGCGGGCTTATAGTTTGAAGGGTAGTATTTTCCTTTTGGCATGACCAAAGTTTCTGGCAAGGTAAATGGAGAGCTGATGATTGAAGGAGGACTACGAACGGTCGCATCGGAAGATGGTGAATCCATCGGTGATAACACGGAAGACATTGTAAGTGATTTTACCTCTGGCGAGGCTCTTGAACGTGAAGTTGATAATAGAACAGCTGATTTGAGGGTTTCTGGGTTTTCGTCTGCAAATCCGGGAAAATATCCTCTATAAATCTTTGTTAGAACAATGGCATAAAAAGTCTCCCGGCATAGTCCTTGCTCTTCGATAACGTCCTAACAAAACAAATTATGCTTAGGTATGCTTACCCTGGTAATTCCCCACGACCTGTCAATGGTGTATAAACTCGTTTTCTTGTTATAGATTGTTCAATGGTGATGGGAATTGAATTGCTTTTCTTTGGAGTATTAAATGTAGATATTGTATCAACTGAATATATTTCAAATCACGAGTCAGCCTTGAAATATATCTACTAAATTCGTGGGTGGCGGCGGGGGAGAAAGCGGGAAAGGCTTGAGCTTGCGTCAAAAGGGTAGAAGCGTAATAACTTACCATGTGCTCCGAGAGTACCATGACGTGGAGATGAATTTGTACTACCGGGACTATTGCTAGTACTAATAATCTCTTTAGTTCTTGATTGCAAGGCAAGACCCTTTAAAGATGTAATGACTTCATCATCTGAAGAAGACGAGTAGGATGGTTTTGCGTGAGGACGTTCGGGAGTAGTAAAGTTATCACCTCTGCTACCATCGGTAGTATAGTAAGAAGTGTTCTTATAGGAATGATAACTGGCCATTTTGAAAGAGGAGAAACAAATGGTTGGCGGATAATTCTTGGGTACATTCATTCATATGAGTTGATATTTATTTGCAACTTTGCGACCTTTGGGACCTTTGGGATTTCCTGGGGCAATGCACTGGTCTATCCTTTCTTGGCGTTTGCGGAGGAAGCTCTCGCTCGTTCGGTTCACTGGTCGTCTGTTTATGTATCTGTAGGTAGAAAAGGCGAAGGCTTGAATCGTGAAAATGGTGAAGGGGTGAAACGTGAATCGTGAAACGTGAATCGTGATCCGTGGAATGGAGATTTGCAAATGGTCTTGCGCAAGGTAATCTAGTCACACCGGGAGTAGCAAAACAAGTCGAAGGAATGGTAATTGGTGGGATCGATGAAACGTCAAGTCAAGTGATATTGGCTGGTATATTGCTTGAGTACGAAATTGGTTTGGTGAGTTAAATGCTGTTCCACTTTCTTGCTTTGGGATGGTGTTGGCATTTGACTTTGTTTCCTTAGGATTTGGGAGATTCGTTCTCGGATTGGTGTAGCGTGAGGGTCGTGTGTCGTTGGGTGAAATGGAGATATGGAACTCCAGGGCTTATGTATGGCGCAGGTAGTATGTACCATGTAGGTAGGGTTTGACTTTCTCTGCCTTGTCTCTTGTATTTGATTTTCCGTTAGGAAGCCAAGTGTGTGTTGCACTGATGGCTTATAAACGTGGGGAATAGATCGTCGGAGATGATAAAGCATTCGTCGTCTACGCTTACTCTGTTCTGCTCCCTCTATGAGTCTATGCTTACTCTTTGTTCCTAGGTAGGTAGGTATGGTAGGGATTAAAATCAACAAATGGTACAAGTGTATGAAGGAAGCAACGGCAACCAAGCCAAGAGCATTCGGATGTATTGTGCCGATTTTAAAGTCTCGGGGTTTATTCTTCTTTAGGGTTTTATTCAATGGGATTGATGAAGGGTTGATGAAGGGTTGATTAAGGGTTGATGAATGATTGATGGCTCTTGGTGTTTTCGTTTTTCTGGTCCTTTGGTCCTTCGTGATGGTAAGGGAGGGGGGAAGTATGTATGATGAATGAGGAACAGCTATGCTATGGTTTATCTTGCTATCTTAGAATCGCATGAGTACGAAGCGCAAGGTATATATATGTATGTATATAAGAGGTATGATTTTAGAGAAGAAAAGTAATCATTCAACTACTTGGTTGATTGGTAGGTAGGTTATTTGTTTTACTTTGGTCGTCAAGTGAAATCTCTTCTCAAATTCTTAAGCTTAAGTGAAATGAGTCAAAGAAATATGGACAAAGAGAAAAATCGTATCATCCATCTCATCCATCCATCCATCCATCCATCCATAACCATATCATCCAAGCCTTTTTGCTTTGGTGTTTCTGTGTGAATCTCCGCAAGATCTGCAGAAAGGGTCAAGGGTGAAAAATAAAGGAAACAACAGAAGGGAAGGGAATTACTAGGGAATCACTAGGGAATGAATTAATTAATCAATTAATCAACGGTTTAACAACTTTTTGATTTTGGTTTTGTCTTGTTGTTTATGGATCAGTGTGGGTCATCGTGGGTCAGCATGGGTTAAACCTTCTGGTGATGTCAGTGCACATGAAAATGATAATTTTTTATTCCCGGGAAAATTGATGCCTTTGATAATAGAAAATGGCCATACATTGGCATACAATTTTTGATTGGAAGCCTTTAAAGGTATTACTTCAATGGATAACATAGCTTGGATACATACATCCGAGACTGTTGACTCTGATGGAAAATACATGGAGAGTAGACTGACTACCTACCTAGTATTAATTTCGTATTTTCGTATTTCAACATTTCTCAGATCATACCTACATATCATACATACATACATACATACACACATCCACACATACACACACCCACACATACACACACCCACACATACACACACCCACACATACACACGCCTTCGAGTACAAAACTATCTTCCCTATCAGTCTTCCCTACCTCCCTACCGTGTCTACCTAATTCTTACTTAATAATGTGTCTGCTTAGTTTGACAGATTACGCTAAAACTCTTAAACTAGTTCCGGAATTCCCGCTTCCCCGTTTGGATCATTGTGTGATTGATCTTCTACCTTTAACACCACGTATGGAAGGAAGTACCAAGAACACTTGGTATCGGGGCTGTACGAAGCTTTGATGGGAAGCTATGGTACGTACCTAGTAACCTACCCGGTAACCAACCCTAGTAAGCCTAGTAAGCCTAGTAAGCCTAGTAGTAAACGCTTCCTCAATCTTTGGGTCGAATTGGAAATTCCTTTCCTTTCGTTTCGACAAACGCCACACGGCCTGATTGTCATTTTCTTTTCTTTAAATACCAACAAAAGGTCATCTTCTTCAGGTCATTGAAGAAGGTGCCAGATCTTACCAGGGTTTTATTTTCCTCTCAACTCTTCACTCTTCACTCCTCCCTCACTCTTCACTCCTCCCTCACTCTTCATCTTTTCTCCTTCCCAATCCTCTTTGGTATATATATACCGACTTTTTATATACCGACTTTTCCCTTTTAATTTATGGGTCGGTCTACATTTTGTACATATAATGGCGGTAATGTATCATGCAAAGTCCCTACTTTCTGCGACATAGCACGATGCCCAACATCTTCCAGCAACCTCATAGGTGTTTTGTTGTAACTTGTAAGTATGTATGTGGTATGTACCTCTCAAACCCGAAAAGATCCACAGCTACTTCTTATCAACGTCGATTATTTCCATATTCAGCTTTACCAACACCAACGCTGCAACCAACGCTGCAACCACCACGTCGTTATTTCCATTATGGGACCTTCTGGCGTTAATATTATGACTGCTCATATTCACCCCAGATGGACCCCTTTCAAAATATTCACCAATCCTATCTTACCTAGTGATTATTTGAAGGTAATGAACTTCTTATCACCGCCATGGATAATCGGGTTGATCTACCGCTTTTTGGTTTTGGTTGGCGCCTTGTTTCACTGCACAAAAATCATAAATCCTTCACCATATATTCTTACCCGGAGATGCTTTTACTTTTGTGGAAAGGCTGAAGAAGATCTTTTGTGATTTCTTGCAGTAACCTGCAGCCTCGCCAAGTTATAACGTTGAGGGGTTTAAAACTTTCAAAGGGTCGTATCTCTTTTCATGTCGTGATCCGACTCGTTGACTCGTGCCACACGGATATATGCAAGGCGTATGGTGGTAATCTCACGTCATTCCCAAAAGTTTTGATACTGACACAGCATATTTGTGGTGGATTGAACCATCAACCTTATGGCGTTCTGTTTCGTCACTCGTCAACTTCGCATGAATCATGAAAGTAGTTCTCATGTTGACTCGAGGAGTTAAAGTATTACGATATTGAATACTTACATGGGAAGCTGCTATTCATGTGCCAAGTTTGATTGTCGAAATTTATACCTATTTATTGAGGATCATCAAGCTGGAAAAGATACGTGCCGTTGTTGTACTAAGTGTTGATTAAACGGCGAGTGCCGAGATTGGACCTGGGTTTCATTGAGATTACCTCTATTCAAACTTTCTACCTACTCGCCACAAAGCCAACATTTTTCCGTATGGCCGATAATCTCATATTCTGCACAATCACAAAACCTAGGATATCTTGCCTGTGAGTGATTTAGCTTCCTCAACAGTTGTTTATATGATCATGAATACAAAGGCCACTTTTGGCTGGCAGTAAAAGTCAGAAATATGACCACCGTTGAAGATGTGAAGTCAAAGGAACACTTCAAGCTCTAAGCCTCACTTCAACGAAGTATAGCTATTTGCCATGGTAGCAAATGATATTTTAATTTCATTTACACTATAAAATACTTTTATTCTTCATTTTTCGAGTTATTGATTCGTTCCTATGGAGCAGAATAGTAATATGAATTTCATATGGTGGAAACATGACGATGGAAGAGTCAGGCGATACTAATTTGTCAGAGGATTTGGAACTAATCATTGTATCTCCAGAACACCCCTTAAGTCACGCCAAAAGAAAACAATAGCCAGACATATACTCACTTCATCCAGACATTGAATCTACACGGCAGATACTTTGGAAGAAGAACCCTAAATCCGAGCCCTAAACCCTCATACAATACATGTCATACAACGCCAACTTTCAACAAATTCACAAAGGCGTCGTGACGGAGTGGTTAACGTGATTGACTAGAAATCAATTCCTTTCGGGGGCGCATGTTCGAATCATGCCGACGTCGATATCTTTTTGATTATCTACCCTTTTTGAAATTTTACTGACTTGATGGATGTATGAAAGAAGATGTCATTACTCGTATCAATCCCTAAAAACTTAGAGTGTAGGTTAGAAATTTGGAATTGTACAGTGGAGAAATTTTCAAAAAAGTATGGATACTAGTATGGATACATTGAGGTTTTCAGAGCGGAGATGTTGAGGATGCGAGGATGAGGTTATGTATTTGTGGGGCCGGGAGTTGTGGAATGATAAATATGGTAGGGGCGGTAGGGCTCCATGTTTTGCCGATATGGGTGATTGGAAAGAGAGAAAAGGGGGAAGAGGGAAGGTGGCTGGTTAATAACTTAGTACTCCGTAAGGTAGGTAGGTAGGTAGGGTATGGTGATAAATACTAGGTATTCTTTGAAAATCGTAGTATGCATAGGTAGATTTTATATTTGTGTAGGTACCTAATATAGGAGTACCTTGTCTTTTTATACCTACCTAATTGCCTAATTGTCTGAGTGTCTGATTGCCTAATAAGTGCCTAACCGCCTTCATGATCAGGGACCCACTTTGACGTTCTCTCTCATCGAGTATACTTTCTATAGGGCAGAGTGTGATGGGATGGATGATGAATGATGAATGAATGATAGTATCATTGGATACGGTCAGTCAGTCACTTACTTACTTACTTACGGAGGTCTGTCTGGATAGATAACTTTGAACAAGGATTTTAATCTTATTGGTGGTTAATTATCTAACCTATTCTGTCTAGTTTAATCACTGATAATTTATTTTTGGATTGCTTGCTTAGCTGATTTGTTTATTTCGTCATCGTCTTTGATTTTTGCTATGTAGTATGTAGGCTGTTTTAGATGGTCGGGACTCGGCTGTATGTTAGTCGCGCGCGTGGGGTTGGTTTGTTGGGGTTGGGTTTTTGGAGTACTGGTTGGTTGAGTTGAGCGGTTGAGCAGCGAGCTTTGGATGAGTAGGTAGGACAGGTGGGTGTTTCAATGGATGTTTTTGGATGTATTGTGATAGGTAGGTAAATAATGTTGGAAGTTGGAAGTTGGATGGTAGGGGAGCGAAGAGAGGGCATCGCGCACAGCGCTTCCTTGATTTTTTTGGATTTTTTTTGGTTCTTTGGTATTTTTGGGAGGTTGGGGGTTTGGGGAAAAGGATTGGATTGGATTGAATTGCTGTTTTGTACTGTGGGTTTGGGGTTTGCGATTCGGGGTTTATATTTTATATTCGTTGAGAACATTGCAAGTTATTGGGTAAGGGACGATACAACGGATAAATCAACAAGGTACGAGATTCGAGATTCGAGATTCGAGATTCAGACTCAGATTTATAGGTTGAAGGAGAGGCTACGAAAGTAAAAGGAAAAAAAAAAGAAAATAATACGAGTACATACCTAAACATGGTATTTATGAGATAGGATTGTAAATAGCTTCGACTTCGCGATACGAGTATTTGTTTTGCAGGACCAGAACCATATTCTCTAATCATACATTTATTTACGTTATCTTCGAAATCACAATCACAATCACAATCAAGATCGATACGAAGCAAGTTATTCCTTTCGTCAAAATATCTCCCATCTTCGCCCAAAATACAAAATACAATACATCCACGCGCGTATAAACACAAATCACTCACTCAGTTCAAGATGTCAATCCTCGATCGTATAAATCCACTCGGATATGGAGTTGGACGAACCACGCATGCGATATGGAGATTTTTACAATTCGTCATGGCTCTGACTGTTATTGGATTATATGGAACTGATCTAGCCAAAGCGAATAGAGAACATAAATATTCGGATGGAAAATGGGTATGTTCTATTTTCCTTCTCCCTCTCATCCTCCTCCCCGTCCCACCTCAACCCCTCAACTTCCAAACTAACACACATCCCCAGGTCTACGCAGTAATAACCGCCTCCCTCTCCGCAGCAACCTCTCTCCTCCATCTAATCCCCCTCTTTAACCTCATCCCCGTCCTCTTTCTCTGGGATGCTATCCTATTTATTCTTTGGATTGCCCTCTTTGGTCTCTTTGGAAATATGTATATACATGAGAGAGCAGAAGGAGATGCGGGGGTGCAGAGGATGAAAAATGCTGTTTGGGTGGATTTGGTTAATGCGATTTTATGGGCGGGGAGTACGGCTGGTATGGTACTTTTTTGGAGTAGAGAGAAGAGGACTAGGTGGACGGGGAGGGCGAGTGGGAGGGCTGGTAGTCCGGGAGTTTAGGTGGTGGTGGGGTGGTAGAGGCTGGGATGGGGATGAGGAAGGGGAGATTAAGTTGAGAGAGGATGTGGGATGATGGAAGTGTGAGGGTTTTGGGTTATTGATTGAAAGATGCTGTGGAGCAGCGTCTTATCGATGAATGTCTATGGCCCTGCATCAGCTTCCAACAATCGCGATACCTTTTTGAAAATCAAACATCAACACCACAACAAATCCCATCATCCACATAACAACCATCTTAAAATCCGAGCATCAATAGCTGAGGCGAGGCAAGAATTGAGGCGAGGCAAAAACGGCAGGACAGGGCAGGATATAGGACTTTTGATGAAGCAACGACGAACAATGATATCATCGTGGAGGTTCCACCCAGATAATAAGTTTCGCTGGTTTCACATGGGTTTGAGAAACATAATCTTACCTGATCTTATCCTATTGGTTTTTTGATATGGATAGCAGAAGGCGGAGGTGGAATGGAATGGAAATGAAATCGAATGGAGTATAATTACTAGGAAGATACCAGATTAGTTGGTTTTTGGTTTTGGTTTTCATATTTAGTTGTGGTTGTTACGATACCCTGTCTTGATTAATTTAGCAATTCACTATTCACTATTCACTATTCATAACATTTATCCCATCCTCCATCCCGTCCGATCACACCCCTCTCACCAGCTCTGTACCCGTACGAATGATAATGATACCAGATGTCCCTAATAATCCCACAAAGAAAGTATCTGAATAGCCCGTTTGGCTTAGCGGTAAAGCGCATCACTAGTAATTCTTCGTGTTACTACCTATCTCTTGCTGAATGGGTAGGAACACGAATGGATAATGATGAGATCCTAGGTTCGATTCCTAGAACGGGCATGATTTTTGGGGTTTTGGGTTTGGGTTTTGGGTGCTGGTGGAAGGGGAGGGTTGGATGGATGGTTAAAGGGAGGAGAGGGGGTGGATGGAGGAAAGGGAGGGGGGGTGGAAGGAATGGAAAAGGAGGAGGAAAGAGGAGGAGGAGGAAAGAGGAGGGAGGAGGAGAGGAGGAGAGGGAGGAAGAGGGAGGAAGAGGAAGGAGAGGGAGGGTTTGGATGAGATTGAGGAGGTGTGTTTGAGGAAATGATTGATTGCTTGGTGATAATCTTATAAATTATTCAAATAGATATACAAATAATAATTAAACAAAGAGAGATATTATTTATGTTTATTTAGATTCTGTTTTCAATATAGACTTTTATAATGAATTTGGATTTTGTTTTTGAATTTATTATATCATTTATATTTCTAATAATAAATAAATATTTTAGGATATTTATATTTGTTTTATTTGAACATTTATATATATATCACAGATTCACTAGTCATTCCTGGCTAATCGCTATGGATACCTAAGCATTTATATTTATATAATTAATATTCTTTTTAACAAGATTATCTTCTCTTCTTCTTTATGTAGGCATCGAGTGTAACTTTTAGAAGTGTACGAACTTCCATTCCCTGTACTTCGAGAATAACTCAAATACCCTTTGAAAGACTTATAGTGTGCAATTCCTGCAGTTCGAAAGGACGATATCGTCCAACCTTTACCAGACTCTTATGAATAACAAATTCTCGATCCGGAGCAAGATTGCCATGATCTTTCCATCCTCTTACCTTTTGGAAGACATCCATGACGAGCTTGGCAAAATTTCCAGTAATAGAGTCAACTTCCAAGGTCGTGATTAAAACGTCGAGTTCGGATCGTGCCGTTCGGATCATCCCGAGGGATTGGTTGCCGGAAGGGTCATCAGAGTTGATTTGTGATGGAGCCATGAGCCAAGGGAGCTTCTTGTCGCCCAAATTTCGCAGCAAGTTTTGAAAGAGAACAAACTTTTCTGCACTGATGTTCTCGGAAAATCCTGCTTCCAGGTCAAACGATACGATGCAATCTCCTTCTACACGTGATGAATGATGAAGAGCAACGAAACAAGCATCATAGCCGTTTTACCTGAAATATTCCCATAGAGTCTGGTTGAAGCTTGCCTCGGGTTTCTCACAGATGATGGCAATACTATTTTTGGGATTTTCCTCTTCACTTAGCTTTTGAGCTACAATCGTGACACAATATTGAAAAGCTTATGGTTCTATAGCGTCAAGTACAATATCGTTGCTCGGCTGAAGCCTGCTGCTTTGAGTTCATTGTCCCAACGATCAATATTCACGTATGGCTCCCATTTGCGATTATCTGACTCTCCAAGCCACCATCCTGAGAAATTGCTGTATATATAATTAGACACTCGAAAGCTGGTGCAAAACTTTGAGAGAACGAGCTGGCCTCGAGGTAATAACAATGGTTATAGATTTTGGAGCGTCTAAGACAGACTTGGAGTTGTGTGGACTATGTTGGCAGTGAGGATTAAGTCATACGGGTTAAAAATCTTGACTTAATGGGTCTCGGGAAATATCGAATATCTTGAATTCCATATTCATGGCGTTTGCAAAACGTTCACGAGCCTTGGGGGAAAAGCCAGCAGATATATCAGAGAATGTGTATTTGGAGTATCGTGGAAATTGGTCCGAGTTTTGTAGTCCCCGCAGATGAGTTCCGTGGTGCCTCCGGTGCCGGCGCCAATCTCAGGTATGCGCAAGTCGGGCACTGCATCAGAAAGTGCACAGATGAAGTCACCATAATCGAAGCTGACTGGATCGTAAACATGAGCGACAGCGTTCTCTCGCAAGAGGAGCTCTAAAGTGTCAACTGATCCTGTAAAGATCTGTTGTATGTTGTTTCTGATTCGCATGATGGCCTCGACAAATGAAAACACCAGTGGAGAAGAATAGGCTACATTAGTAGGGTCCCCCATTTTACGAAATTGCTCATCAGCAGAGAGAGGAACTAGCACTGATGTGTTTTCTAATACTGCATGTTTATCCGCCGAAGCCTCATCAGTGGTTTTTCCAGCCAGGTGCGATATTTCACTAGATGAGGCATGCATGGCTTCAGACCTCTCAACCGCTCACGGGACTCAACAATAGATAGAAGTGCCAGCCCTTCTATTATCTGCTTGCAGCATTGCTGGAGGTAATATTTTAACCAGGGAGGCCGCAGGCTTGAAGTCATAGTCGGTAAGCCACCCGAGGCGTGCTACGCCATAAATGTCTTTGTCAGATAGAGAGCATCATCGGCTAGCTGGATAAGTCTCAATCCATGCAGGAGCAGACATGGACTTCCATCATTTGTCACGCTTTCAATCGCTAGCTCGCCGTTCACAGAGGAGCATGAAGCTGTGTAATCGAGGTTGATACTACCGCGAGTTACTTGTAGCTCCTCAATAAAGGTAGGCACATGTGGTCCGGCAAATTTTCTACAAAGTCCTTTAGTCAAAGCAGCTAGTCCGACCTAGAAACTTGCATTGATGGCTACCGGATGCAGGATAAAATGAGAATTTTTTTGACGCGGATTCGTTCCAAATTTTGGCTGCTGCAATCATGTCTGTCGTTGAAGTTGCCAGGTGCTCGACTCTACGGAAAATAGGACCATAGGTAAGCCCGATTATACCATTTCCTCGTACCAACGTGTCGGAACAACTTGCCTTGGCAAATTGTATATTATAGGTTTTGGGAGGCGGAAATAGGGTATGTGCGTCGTCCTACTGACCCCTTACAATGCCCAATCCAAGTGGAAGCTCTGTATAATGAAATTGTAGATTCAAACAAGTTTTCAGGATTTTTGGTATCATTATAATTGATAGAATGGAGGGATGTCACGACTTCCAATGGTTTCTCCTCGTCAAGAACAATGGCTGTCAAAACTGTGTACAATAAACCGAGGGCTGTCTTCGATGTCGCTCACCTGGCAAAAAGCTTCTCCAGCCATCGATACATATGAAGCAAAAGGGAACACCACGTCTCCCTTGACCTTGTGATCTACCAGCCATAGAACATCCTCTAAGCTGATCATGATCCTGCAAACCGGATCAAGGTCTGTGGTATGCGGGACCCGAAATCCTAAAAGTTCATGCTGACCAAAAATCCTCGACCTCCAAGCTTTTGTGACCCGAATTTCGTACCAATATGAAGTTGCATGATTCCAAGAATATGGCGGAAGGTCCGTAAGCATTTCCGCTTCTGGAATCAATCCGTGCTAGTCGATGACAAATCCATGCTGGTACAGCATCCCAAAAGCTGCCAATATACTGTGTGTACTATAAGAGGACCGAACCAGGTCAGAAAATAGGTATAGGCAGCACCTATAGTAGCGCACATCTGTCTAAGAGAGCCAGCTAATGTTGAGTGAGGGCCGATTTCGAGCAATATGTTTCCTGCGAGTCCTTCCGTTCCCAACAAAGATTTTGAAGGCCGCGTTAAATCGTACCGGCGATATCAAGTTGGCCACCCAATAATCTGTAGACAGAGATTCTGCCGAAACTTATTTTTCGCCCCATACGCTTAGGAACATCGATACAGGTAGATTCTTTCTACAGATACTTCTGAGTTTTAACTCATCCTGCATCAAATTCCTATATTGGCTGGAAAGTGGCTTCATGTGAGGTAAGTGATAGGCGATATCTACTTTGAGTCGGCGTGCTAAGATGCCATGTTAATGAGGTTTTATTTCTTCGATGACATCCAAAATAACATTTTCATCGCCAGGAGATGCTTGCAGAGTCAGGACTATATTCACGTGCAATAACGACACCGGGTTTGAAAAATTCGCTAACTTCCTCAGAGCCAAGTCCAACCACAACCATAGCCCCCTTCAACTTTTGGTTTGTAGTCACAAATCCAGGGTAATAGGCGATTATGATGGCTTCTTCCATGCCAATAGCATCTGTAGCGTACGCAGCAGCTATTTCACCACTAGAATGACTCACTACCGCGCTCGGTTGAACCCCGGTTGCATTGAACATGTTGAAAACTGCAATCTGTAGCGCTGTGCATAAAGGTTGGGGAATCTCTGCGCGGTTTACTTTACTTGTTTCGATGGCTTGCATAGTTCTGCTTCAATTGACTAGGCTGGTGGGTTCTGCAAGCTCTGCAAAATGGTATCCGATGATGAATACAGTATTAGACGGATGTTCGTTTTTGTAACAATGAAAGGAGTTGAAGAATTGACGAACGCCTTAAGTGCTTCCGTAGTCATCACTTATTGTGAACACAACGTTAAAAAAAAGCAGATGCGCCGTAACTACCGGCGTTGATGGTGTGGTAGAATAAATTCCAATTGTTCAGTTCGCAGCAATATACTTCCTGCTGGAATATCATCAAAGTGGCAGCGTGAACCGAGCATTGAGTGTTGTAATTTGAAAGATAGACTACGTAATACAGGTCCAGCCACGGTATTGTAAGCACATTACACTAAGAAGTGAAGGATTGAAGTAGAATAGTTTTTTTAACCTTCTTCCATTACATCAATAGTTTCAACCTCAGAGGTGAGTGCATCCGCCAACTTTCAAATAAGTGATGCGGACTTGTCCAAGAATGGTACAAAGTAAAACTACCTCAAATTTCGAATTTCGAGGAATATCATAAAGAATGTTTTGGTGTCAATATCTCTACCGTCTACAACACATCAGATCTCATCTTATCAAGAATTTCCTTCCAAGCTTGATCTACTTTGGAAAGTGTTCATTTGGTTGTGCATATTTCAGCTTGTGGATGGTTACTCTTCTAGCACGATGGTTGGTTGAGAATAACTTCTCAAATGCGACAATTCTTAAATTGCAATCATCATATTTGAATTAGCCGCTATAGTGACCACGCATTTGTGACCCAAAACGACTCATGCTACTAGCAAAGGTGCCAGCCTTCTTTTTGGACATGATAAAAACAAGTAGTTAACTGGAGATATTACTAGTATTTCGCGTAACTCCTCCGAAGTAAATGGCTCATGAAACCTTTTGTTCTTGTCCTTCAAAACCCATCCTCGCATTGCAAAGCCTAGACATGCTCTGTGCTATTCGCAACTATATCTGCTGAAGGCCATATCTCGAAAACCGCTTGGCACACTGCTCAGAGAATCCTTGCCCAAAGCTAGTGTTGAAATCCAGTTCTATAGAGTACCATTAGAATACAACAGTCTCGAAACTAATGAGGACAACCTACCATCGGACCATATCTTCATTCTTTCATTTTTTGTGATTGTTTCTTCGAAATGCACGACTTGCTTGCCAAACGATTCCTGTCGCCATCTCAAGATCCCTAAAATTGCCATTCTTGAGTCTTCAGATTCGGAATAATGAGTTTGAGTACCGCCTCAATATGGAATTGAAGATATAATCGAACGATCCGAGCCCTGTCAAGCCTCATTGTAAGTCATATCCTAATACCAAAGATAAATAAGAACGAACTTATCAAGACCTAGGACCACTGAATACTTGATCTAATCTTGAAGGTAGTATTCGATAAACGCCTGTGTAGTTTCTTTCCACAAACTCGGATAATTCTCAACCAAATCATGTCGGATGGGTGTCTTAGCGTTATGTGGTAGAATGCTCCAAAATTTACCTTCAGCTGATGTCCTTCCTTACCGGGCAAACTACTCAGGTTATATGCTCGAGGTGATGAAGCTTGAAAGCCATTAAATAAATCGCCTTGGCTTGAGATACTCCAGATCAAATGCGATTTGGTCACGGAATTTGTGATAGCAAATAAAGCCTCCGGATAGAGCAGCCTCGATGGAGTCAAGACACCCAAATGAGCAGACACAAGTTCGGCACCGATTCTTAATAGAGCTTGAGCGGGAAGCTGTGTAGGGTCAGTGTTACGGCCCGAGTCGGTGAGTATTAGAAACGTGAGTCAGATTTAATAGTATGCTGAATCGAACATGCGGAGTCTGTCAGAGTGCGATTACTTTCACCTGTGTATTAATCACCCGGAGAGTAACGACATGCTTCTCGTCAGCCATTTTGACTTACACTCAATGACTTAAAATGTGCTAAAACTTATACTATGCAGAGTACTCACTCATCAAGTCCGCAATAACGCTTTGCATACCGTGAAATTATTGATGATTAAGAGGTGCCGTTCGTGTATGGCAGTCTCTAAAGGAAAGGAAGATCAATAGGCACACAATGGAATGTACCCAGTCGACATGCTTACTTGGCAAGCCAGATTAAATAACGTAATGAACAAACCATGACTTGCATAATCACCCTAACATCAAACTTTGAGTATGTAAACCACTTGCAGAGTGAGTTAATAGTCTTTTAGACATGACCCCAAGATCATTCTCCGGTAAGAAATAGATGACAACACCATAAAGCCAAGAACACTCCTGAAGTAAGTAGACCTTTCAATGGGCATTTGTACTCGGGTCCATAGCCTTGAAGACAATGTGTTGTTGTCACATCCTTTTTTGTTGGACTCCGGTAGCTTGACATGACAAAGCTGTTGCAGCTGTTGCTTTGGTAAGGAGGTACGTGCATGCTAGTACTATCTCGGGAATCTTTCACATCATCTAACAACGACAACAAGAGCAACAACAACTGATAATTGTGTGCCCAAATGGAAGACCAGAAGATTACCTGAGAAAGTAATATAAATACCAGGGAGATTTTAAGACCTCCGCGGAATATTCAGCATCTCATATTTTATCCAATCAAATGCGATAAATCTTACAATATCACCTAAGTCCGATAGATTATCTTATCAGATTTTAGTTCGACAAACATCTCCAAAACCCCATCAGGTCAACATTATTTCTAGCACTGCTGTGCGCAAACGCGTCTATTTTTCACTATTCGGGAACGTATCTTGGCAAATACCAACTAGAATTGTATAATATTTCGGGAATCAATGAGCATTATGGCCGATCCAATTCATTCACACTTCTTTTGCTTTCAAATCTCGCATGGAATCATGTCGTTCGGCACAGCACATGAAAGACAGGCCGGAAGTATCCTTACTTCGTCAACTTATATATTGATATAGTATTTTCTACTCCAATATTCATTATCTTTATCACTCTTCATCTTCTCAACTTGATTCACGTTTTCATTCACATATACCGTGAGAGTTGTGGGAACCCAACAATGTCTTCAAGTACAGCAGAAACTGCTTCCCAACCGGGTAGAAACCCCACACTTGCCTCAACTTCATCCTTAGATGACAAACCTGTGAGACTCGAAGGATCAGATGGGGATGCCTTTACAACAGATTCTGAGAAGGGTCCAATATTCAGCAGCCCAACCCCTGAGCCGGGGCACGTGAGAACTGTTACTGGTTGGAAATGGATTCTCGTTTGTGTTGGTTTCTATGTCGCTACCTTCTTGTATGGCTTGGACAATACTATTGCCGCTGATATTCAATCCGCTGTACTCAGAACTTATGGCGATATTTCAAAGTTATCTTGGTTGGGTACTGGTTTCCCGCTAGGGTCCATTGCTACGATTCTTACTATGTGAGTATGACATCCTTCGATGAATATGTAGATGCTAATTATATTCTTAGTGGTAAAGCTTATAGTACTTTCAATGTCAAGTGGACCCATATCATTTCAGTCGTCATCTTCATCGTTGGTAGTGCTGTATGCGGTGCTGCTCCAAACATGAATGCACTCATTGTTGGAAGAGTGATTGCTGGTGTAGGAGGAGCTGGCATGTACCTCGGAACCTTGAATTTGGTCACCATCAATACTACCATTCAAGAACGTCCTCTTTATCTTGGGGGTGTTGGTATTAGTTGGGGTCTTGGAACGATTCTTGGCCCTGTGATTGGAGGAGCTTTTGCAGATTCAGGAGCAACTTGGAGATGGGTAAGTATCCTGCTAAAAAGTCAACTCACAAATACTAACAGGCTGATAAGGCTTTCTATATCAATCTCGTCATCTTTGGTATCGCAGTGCCGGCTCTTCTCCTGATCCCATCATTCGATCCACAGCCTGACCTGGACATATTCCACAAAGTCAAGCATATTGACTGGATTGGAGCTCTATTGAACGCTGGTCTCTTTACCTCATTCGTCATTGCTCTTACCTTTGGTGGTGCCAACTGGGCCTGGAATGATGGTCGGACCATTGGTACATTCGTCGCCTGTGGTGTCATCTTCATCCTTTTTGCAATCCAACAACAATTTTGCATTTTCACCACACCCGAGGATCGACTATTCCCAGTCCAATTCCTCAAATCACGAACTATGATTCTCCTGTTCATCTGTACCGCAGCAGCAGGAACAGCACTCTTCGTTCCTATCTTTTATATTCCCCTCTTCTTCCAATTCTCCAAAGGAGATGATGGTATTGAAGCCGCTGTCAGACTCCTGCCACTTATCGTCCTCTATATTGTAACCGTCATGTCACAAGGAATACTCATGCCCAAAGTAGGCTATTACTGGCCGTTCTTCGTTCTCTGGGGCATGTTTGCTCTCAGTGGAGGTGCCGCAATGACCACAGTCACCACCTCCACAAACGCAGGTTCCATCTACGGTTGGAGTATCCTCATCGCCATTGGTTGCGGTATGATCACCCAAGCCTCATACAGTATCGCACCCGCTATCCTCGGCCGTGATGATCGTGGCCAAGAAGTCCCTGACTCCATTGGATATATCAATGTAGCTCAAATCGGTGGTGTAGTCATCGGTCTCACGGTCTCTGGTACAGTATTTCAGAGTACGGCATTTAGAAATGTTAATGCGGCATTCGAAGGCCAGCACTTCTCGGCAGACCAAATCAGAAGTGCAATTGCCGGATCCCAAAGTGCACTATTTCAAAGTGTGTCGCAGGAACTGAGGGATAAGGCGATTGAGGGTATTGTGCAGGCGATCGATCAAACTTATTATTTGGTAGTGGCTGGTGCGGCTTTGACATTAGTGTTGAGCTTCCTGTTGAAGAGAGAAAAGTTATTTATGAAGATGGCGGCTGTAGGAGGATAGATGACGGGATAGACCAAGAAATATCTGGATAAGGTGGGTGGGAATCTGGTTAAGGTAGATGCCTAATGGTGTTCATTAATGATCATACGATTGGACGAATTACACTGCATCGCTTGCGGATATCAGGACAAACCTAATATCTGGAGCTCTTTGGGATGGCGTTAGAAGATATATTCATATCTAGGAAGGGAAGTCAATGCTTGCATGCTGTTGGATTATGGAATTATAAGATGAGATGTATCTAATAAAGAATCAATAAAAATTATTGTCTAATCAATCTTCTCTGGAACTTTGTTTGTCCTAGTCACCCAGTTAAACTCGTGGCGAACTATTCTGTATGAGTTCTACTAATCATAAATCGGTAGGTAGGTAGGTATTCAACTAATTCCTAGCGTCTCCTCTTGACGATGAAGCAAAAGCAGAAGCGAGGTGGATCGCGAGGTCTGTCCGTCTGGCTAAAATTGAGATGGGGCGAGAGTAAAAAGACAAGCGCAGCTAGATAATAGGAGAGGAAATGTAATGTGTAATATGTAAATATGTATACTTCGATCAAAACGGCTCCCAAAATTGGTCAAACTTCTTTTTAACAAATGGAAGTTTAGTAGGAGTATTTTCTTCCGAAGTCCCCAGTGAGCTATCATTCCCAAAATAGGAATTCTAGGTTTGTTAGGTAATTATCGACACGATTGCTTTATCAGAGCTTTCACATATTCCTTTTGGGAGTATGCATTTGAGGACCTAAGATTATTGTGAGGAAGGGAAGAGGAATGATATAAGGGATACTTGAGCTGTATTCAAGGTGTCTATTGATCTCAACACCCCGAAAACATACGTGATCATACATTAGGCACGGCCATACTCAGCTTGAGCATGATGAAGACCAAAGTTCAGCAGATATTACAAATATGATACAATTTTTAAGCTATCATAAATATTATCTCCTCAAAGGCTTATACTTATCACTAGCATGACGAGCCTCCCAACCTCTAGCCTTCTGTTTTGGTTTCAGCGCTGGGATTCTCGTCCTCTTGAACTCAAGATCCCATCCTTCGATTCCTGCTCTCTGCATAACTCCCTTAGTACCCTCATCCCATTCACTTCTGAAGAGTCCCAATCCTATGGGTTGTACATCATGTCTATCCTTGAAACCCCTCAAGTTGAATCGATCACGCTGATAAAATTCTTTTAGTGCTGCCACGTCCAGAATTTGTCCTGGCTTTTGCTCCAATACGAAAATCGAGTATCGGTGATATGGTGATCCTTTTTGCGCGAAAGGTGGTAGCCATGGGAGGATTAATTGGCTTTCTGGGTTGGCTTTAGATAGCGGTAATGAGTCTTGTACTGGGGAGACTGGAATATTGGCAGCGAGATAATGACATCTCGTGTTAAAGTGATCGTTCTCCACATTCGGAACATCTGCATCCACAACCACCACACTGACGAGTCTCTCTCCTTTGTCAAAGACCTGGACCTTTAATCTAGCTGGAAATTCACTGACTCTAGAATCCACATAGTCTCCCGGTTGAACATTTCGGCTTTGGAAAGCGAGACGGACTTCGGCGGTAGGTTCGAAATGAGGAAGAAGATCAGGGACAATCGAAAATTGCTCTATACGTTGAACAATCACTTTGCGTTGATAATCGCGCCATTTTCGATCTGCTAGGTAGCGGTAGATAGGTTTGTTCATATCACCTAAGAAATTTAGCAATGCAACAGAAAGCAACAACTTTTGCAATTTCCATACCTTCACCATCCTCAAATCGCTTCTTGATCAAAGGATCATTGATGTCTGCCTGGATCTTTAAATACTCGATATACCTCCTTATACTATCCAGTCTGGTCTGTTTCTGCCTCTCACCCCCGCTAATTGAAGCATCCTGTGCCTCCAAGTTCTTGAGCCTCAATCTCTCCTTCGCGATCATTTCTAACTTTTCCTCTCTGTCCGCTTGTAAGATCTTTCGAGCTTCCTGGAAACATTGATATGGTAGTTGTTCAAACGGAATATTGGCAGAACTCTTCAACGCCGCGCGACGACGTCTGGATCCTATGGGCATAATACCCTGCCTCATCAACTTCCGTTCATTTTCTGGCCTTACAACAGTCGCCGGGTCGAGACCAGCTGGTGCTGCTTCCTGAACTGCAGCTTCTGCATTGAATGTCGTGGAGCTCGTAAACGTTCGTATTGATCTTGCAGATAGACATAATGACGGAGTTTTCTGTAGGCATCGTGCCATTGGCCCTACGGCCTTTTGACAAGGAGGCATTGCGATGCGGTGTTGATATGTGACGTTCTGACAAAATTATCGAAGGCCAATATCAAATATTGGCGGGACTTGCCGAAGAATTGCCGAGGAAATTTAATTTTGGCCTAGCCTCGTCGAGATTCATTGAAATCAACGACGACAGCGACCTCACAAAATTCAAGTCGTACGAACATGGCGACGAAAGGACTTCAAAGCTTCACGAGAAGCTTGAATGCTTTCCGCACATCAATAAACAGTGCGAGAGATCCATTAACAGTATGTCGTATAGATTGACGGCTGGGAGTGAATCTGAGTACTGATTTTACTATAGCAATGCCTAGCACCACAATTTACGAGATCAATGGCAACAGAGGCGCCGTTACCGTCCAGTATCTCCCAAAGATATGAACCCAGTATTCTCACAAATACATCAGATATCGCGTCTGATCCTTTCAGTACATATTCCTTGCGAAATTCCTCCATCTATCCGCTAACACCCCGCAGACCCCCCAGTTTTAACCACTATCTATAAATTCCCGACCATGGAACCTCTCCGTTTCGAATCCTACCCAGGTAAACATCTTCACCTCCCTCTCCGTCGAGATCTTCTTCATCGCGCTGTAGTATTCGAAGGCGACAATACCCGTCAAGGAACTGCATCCTCCAAAACCCGCTGGGATGTCCATGGTTCTCATCGAAAAGTCCGTCCGCAAAAAGGAACCGGTAGTGCTCGTCTTGGCTGGAAGCAATCGCCATTAATTCTTGGAGGAGGAAAATCATTTGGTCCTCACCCAAGAGACTTTGGAACAGACTTACCGAGAAAAATATACGATATTGCGTGGCGGACGGCGCTGAGTTGGAGATATAGAAGAGGACAATTGATTGTTTGCGAAGATGGAATGACATTTGATTACCCAAAAACGAGATATGCGAAGAAAGTTTTTGAGGATTTAGGATGGGGGAAGCAGAATGGAAGGACGTTGATTGTGACGGATGGTTTCAGGAAGAACCTGTCCAGCGTCGTTGACAAGCATGATGCGACGGTGTTGGAAGTGAGTGATGTGGATGTTAAGGATTTGTTGGAGTTGTCGAGGGTTGTGATAGAGAAGAGTGCGTTGGATCATATATTGGAAGAGCACCAGAGTGATCTTGTTAAGAAGGTTAGGAGTGCTGCGTGATGAATGAGCTATGGTAATATATTTCAAGCTCTTTCTCTTGTGTATATAGTATTGTACGAAAAATGAACGATTTCTAGATGGAAGGCATAGTACTGGTGTGTGCTCGAGAGAAGTCTCTATTGGTGAAAATACCGATGTTTGTTCGGCATACTTCTATCGCATCATGATGTCATGAAGGAGATTCAGGGAGTTTTGGAGTTGATTGTATCTGCCACCACATTCAACAGTGTACAAGCACTATTTCCAGCTGTCCAGGCGCAGTCACAAGAATGAAGGATTCTTAACGATTATGTTCATATGACTGAAGACGTTTGAGATGTCGGACTCATCGAATAATCTTCAGTTGTGGCATTTTTCTGGGACGAGTCGCACAACTAGGCTTGCTTCCGTTCTCAGAATTCATCGTCACTGCCGTTTCTAGCTACAAGTACCGAAATCTGCTGATATGCAACAAAATTGGCATACCAAACGAAGGAAACTTGCAGTGTGCCGGAGAATTTAGTCAAGAGTTTATCTGAATTGTCCTTTGCGTTATTGCATATTTATCATCTGTTCCATTATAAAAGTTAAAGAAGGCATGAAGGTATGCTACTGATCGTGCCAAGCGTTTTCCACAACTAAGGATAATTCATAACTATTTCTTGTCTGCTCAACTGAAGATCTCTTTCTATGTTTTGCTTGTGCTAGATAATTGTTGTCGAATTTTACTTTGCCTTTGTGTATAAAAGTAATGCTGTTGGAATGAAAGCGTGGATGAGAGGCCAGACCCCTCGCTGTGGTGATACGAAGGAAAGGGAGGGAAGTGAGGACTGTAGAAATTTCTAAGATTTGGAGGTTAAACCATGTAAGTCTAGTCCCTACAGATGGGACAAAGTTGTCTAGAAACATAGACATGATATCTAAATACCTGTATGACAGGCTCAACGATCGCATTGAAGGATTTAAGTATGTGTGGGTCCAGATGTTGGACTTTTTATATGTCACCAGCAGGTACGCCGCTCTCCGGAGTGGAATTTCCCACCATGACTAGACCATGTAGTTAGACAGCTTTTTATGATCTTCCTACCTGAATATTTTAGCTTAGCACTTTCGTAAAAATTCAGAACCTGTGGCTTGGCAACTGCTCAAGAAACTTACTGAGAAGGAACCTAGTTGAATTGCCACCCCGTAATACACTAGTTTCCTTTTTTCTATTACATTAGATAACGGAAAGTGAGTGTAACTAAAGAATTTTCAGTGTCAGGTGTGGGGTTCTAATATGGACATATTCAATATTGTTGCGTTCGTTTCATGCTCCAATTAATTCAAAGCAGGGTTAATTTCAGTTGATTTGCTTCCTAAAGACTTCTAACCCATTGCTAGTAGTAAGCACTACCATGAAATGTGCCCCAAAATTTTTATCATGACACCTGCTCTAAATGCGGTGATCCAATGGATTTGCTCATGGTGCATACTTGCACTAGATAACATTGGTTCTGTAGTATCAGGGCGATCAAAGTGCCGTCTGCATTGGATATTCCATAGACGGTGGATGCCGAGGTTGACTAGAGTTATTGTAGGACGTCCGATGGAATGCGTATCATGATGCATCTAGGCCATAAATCCGATGTCAGATCTTTCAAGCCTCTGGCATACCGGCAGGATTAGCAAATCACTTGAAGCTGTAAGTGGTTATGTAGATTTTTTTTAGGGTAGATCAGAATTTATATCTGGATCATATTGTGCTTATCGATATCGAGAAGGGTAAGAAACACTATTTAGCTGAGAAATCTGCTAAAAAACCTCTAATAGAGGAAAAGTTTTCGCTAAATTAAAGGAGTGCTTTAGTGTGTGGGCCCGGGCCACATTGGGACCGGGAGACCAGCTGCTTCATGATTAGCATTACATAGCTTCATACCCTTGATGATCACTTCAAGCTAAAGCGTCTAGGTTGAAAAATTACCACATCTCCTCTTTCATATGATCTAATTAATCTGGAAGGTAGTACTAGTGACATAGTTTAACCTTCATTATGAGTCTGCCTTTCAGGACACAGTCTTCTTTCCGAAGAAGTTTGTCCTGTTGCATCAACTGAGGTTCGCACAGCCCATTGCCAAATATCTATATAAGACTTGCTTCTTCTCTTCTTCATTTCCTTCCTCAAGCTCTACAATCTGAACGGTGAATGACCAGGATAGAGCCTAATTGTGCCATCAGCTCGAAGTTGCAAACATGTCTCAACAGCTCTTCTTTTCTTTAACTCAATCCAAATAGATGACTTGAACCAACAAAAATGTAAGTGATCCATGAATTCTTTTACCAGAAATAAAAATGCTAGTAACTCTTTTGTTAGCTAAACCGAAGCATTGAAAGGCTCAATTGAGACAGCTCCTCCTAAAGCAAATGACAACTGCCCAAAAAGTTAAGTTGACTTATCGATTCTTCTCTGGCATGACATGCTAACATATTTTCTGCTGCTCATCGCCCAAAGCTCAGTTTCTACAGTCTGCCCTGTAGGTAAGTTGACTAATTGATTCCCTTTCAAAAATGTAATGCTAACCCTTCTTCCCAAAATCATCCCAAAGTTTAGTGCTCGCTCATGCTGTTTAAAACTAGATCACAGAAAAGCTGATTTATAGGGTTCCTTTTGAAATATCTAATACTGCATTCCCTATCTTATCTAAAATGAGATGGCACTTCCCAACAATAGGCAAGTTAATTCGTGGACTTTCCACAAGGATAATGCTGATTACTTTTCTCAACTCGGCCTAAAACTAAGATCTCAAACCCCTCGAGAAATAGATTAACATTTATGGTATCAGTGAGTTGATTTCCGAGTTTGTCATTAAGAAAATGCTGACCTCCCCGCTTCCTTCAACCACGCAAAGCTTTAGACCCCAGTTGACACAACTCTTTTCGCCGAAAGAAAATTGCGGGGTAAAGAGGCAAGTTGATTTATGAATTCTGCTGTAAGATTAACATGCTAATTATTACTGCTTCCTTGGAAATCGGATAAAAAGGCACATCTGCAGAATAGTTATCATAAATGCCTCTATTCTGCCGAATTTATTACAAGAAGATTAGATGAAGGAAATGATGGGTTGCAGGCAAGTTAACTCATAGACTTCTCCAAAAACCATGCTGATCATTTTGCGCATATAATCTTTGACAGAGTTCCTCGAAAAATTAGAGGAGATGATACAAATGGCTGGATCTCACCGTTCACCAATCTCCTGGGTATAAATTTTACGGTTCTTGGTGGTAGGTCTTTGAAGCACAACTAAAACTTGCTAGAAGAGTTTGTGGCTAATCATGAGATGGAATCAATTGATTTTTCTTAGGGCTAATCGCAGATTTTCTTAATGCGGGAAAAGCTTGATTGAATTTGGGAGAAAACTGTAGCAATGCATCATGTTTGTTTTGCTGGGAGGATGGAATATAAGAATCTTTAGCTTAGACTTAATGAACAGATATCAGGGAAATTTTGGGAGAAGGGTGGCAGGGTGGGGCGTATCATGTATCATGTACCATTTCCATTTTTGCAGGAGTTTGTGCTTGTTCAAATAGCGGCTTTCATGTAATTATATAATTCACAATTGTCATATGATTGAAGAAATGATCTTTGACATGTGGTGTTCCATGAGATTGTGAGATTAGGATGACATTGTAGATATAAAACTGCTTGTTTTTGCGTAGGTTCTGCAAACGATAATCTCTCCATCAATTGGTATATAGAGCCTAGACTGACTCTGTGATCTGGAATGTATTATGCTGCCTTTATTAACATGAAGTTGTTGATAAACACATACGAGTGACTGAAACCAACAAAAAACTGCTATTTTACACGCTATAAATCAAAGACCTAAAGAGAGTAAAATCTAGGATTATAGCTGAAGACACTAGCCCCATAGCATGACAATATCACCCTAGGGCCTAATTAGACTCAGTTCCCAATCTTCTGAGAGTGTCTTACCGGACTTGGATGTCGTCCAAAAGTCAGAATTTCGATCAGTCGCACTTGCTTCGAAGTACCTCCACTTCTTTTCTTATATTGTAGACTTGATGCAAGAATATATCCTCATTTGTAAACAGTGGCCGAAGTAATCTTGCATACTCATCCCAAATCACACACACGACCAGTAGAAAATAATTCACCCAGCTCACCTCCAAAAAATCTATCCGCCCCATACAAACACAAACTATACATCCCATCTTAAGTTCTTGGGGTTCATCTTTTGAGATCTTGGGGAGATTGAAAATCAAACCATGTATGTAAATATTCAGACGTCATGACCAACTCGCCAAATTTAGTTTCGCCCTACATACAATAACATTCATTCCCCCACTAACGCTAGCCTCTTTGGCTCATCACATGCCCGCGCGTTCCCATCCACGCGTTTTTGTGGATTTGTTTTTTTGAATAAACCCACCCAAGCATCAACAAGCTCAGCCTCGTCGCACAACATTATCCAATATCCTCAACCCAAAATATCTCAACTCGATTTAAACCCATAACCTCATACCTCATACCTCAAACCCCAAACCTCCAAGATCCAAAGTACTCACCAAACCATCAATCAAAATCTCACCATGTCCGAAACACCCAGCACTCCCCGCATAACCTCTCCTTATCTAAATTCCTTCACATCGCGCACCGTACGCATGGTGGGACAAGTTACACAGTTGAGGGGTGAGCAGGCGAGTATTGATTGTGATGGGCCTGTTACTCTTATTCTCAGCCGAGTGAGTCATTTTTCATTTCACATGCTCATATTTCACTGTTCATGTTTCGTACATCTATTTCCTCTACTCATTTCCTATTTGTAATCCTGTTCATATCCCCCATTCCTCCCCCCCTTGTTTCCCCAGCAAGAAACCGACACAATATCACGAACCAAAAGCTAAACTGTCACCAACCCAGGATTCCCACCTCCAAGTCGGCTCGGCCATCGAGATCGTCGGAAAAGTAAATCAAGATCTCAGCGTCAAAGTATTAAAAGCTACAGATTTCGGCACAAATTTCAGTATGTTTCCCTTACATATTCTCTCCTTTTCCCTTCCTTAATTTCTTTCCTCGTCATTTCCCACTTCGTCTCTTTCACCATACTCCTCATCCCTCTCCCGCATCCCTCTTTTCACCCAACCATAAAGCAACAAAACAACCCACTAATCTCCCCCTCCCCTCAGATTTCGCAGCAATGACCGCCCTAGTCGACGCAAATCATCGATACAAAGAAATCTGGTACAGCGAGGACTCCTAAACTACTCTTAGTGTATCCACGCAATCGCATCGAGGGAAGAAAACTCAACACTATGACATGACATTGGCTTGCAATAAGATGCACACTTCGGAGCAACGTTACCTACAAGAGGATTTCCATTAATTTAAGAAGAGAAGAAGAGAGAGCTTATGAATGAGATACTAAGATGAAATGAGATATAATACGATATACTCTCTCTTTCTACAGGCAAAAGAGAGACAAAAATATGATAGAGAAATGGCTTTTAGGGTGTGGATGTGGATGAGGAGATATACCTACAAATGGAAAAGATGATGCACAGACGAGTAGCGCTGCGATGATAATTCTTACATTATATCATATACCTCTCTACCTCTCTACCTAGGTATCTAAAGAAAGAACAGCAAGATGTTGACCTTGCTCCAAAGATACACACATACTATGCTGTGTATACAAACAATACAAAACTATTGCGTAAATATACATGACCATAAACATTAAACATTAAACATCAAACCCCAAACAAAGAACCCAGAATTTCATCCACGAGTTCCACATCCTCAGTCCAAAAAATACAATCACGCATACATAGATAGGTATGTAAGATCTTATTACATAACATAACCAATCCATTGTTTTTATCTACCTAGTAACCTACCTAACGCTCCTCCAATACTCCAACAATAACTAACTAGCTACCCAAGAAAATTCGTAAAACCTTGCTGATATCATAACGCTACTAATAACTATCTACCTATATATACCTACAATCGCAATGTAGTAATTTCCGCCAACCAATTCTTTAAGATTTCAAATCTCAAATCTCAAATCTTAAATCTTAAATCTTAAATCTTAAATCCCAAGATCCCTATACTCCGCAAACCCGGATACATTCATCCTAGAATAGCACGAAAAACCAAAAAAGAAACGCCGTGCTACTAGGAAAGTTGGGAAACCCCGTTCTTTTCCATACCTTTGTATGCCAACGCTACCCGAGAGAAAAAAAATCCAAACACCACAATAATGCAACCCATCAATCATAAGAGAATACAAATTCAAGTTCGTGTTATTTGTTCGTAAGTGAAAGACGTCGTAAACAAATTAGGCCGTCTCATCTGCTGTTGTTTCCTCCGTCGGTTCCTGCTTGATCTCCACATCTTTCTCCTTTTGCTTTTCTTTTGCATTTGGTGTAGTAGAAACGGAATCGAAACCAAAATTATCCCAATCAAGAGGTCCTCCCGCCGAAGTATGATTAAACCCAGGAAATATTCGTGGTGGCGAAGAAGGCATTGGTACATCTGTTGAAAAGAAATCTTCATCGTATTGTTGAAGATTGTAAGATCCATTTTCGAAGCTAGGAAGATCAGGTAAATTATTAAAATCGAGGTGTTGAGAGGGGGATTGGATGGGGTTATCAGACATGAGCTGGTTCAATTGGGCAGTAAAAGGTGACTCGAAGATAGCATTGCCACGAGGAGTCCGACGACTAGATCCAGGGGTTTTGCTTGGTGTTTTAGGAGGTGCCAAAAGATGGCTTGCCGATTTTACCGAGCGACTAGATCTTGTTACACTCCTGGTGATGGGCCTATGGCTTGGAGTTACTCGAGTCGGAGTTTTGAATGGATTTGCGACTGGGGTTTTTTGAATTGGCGTGGTGGAACGAGCAAATTGCTCCTCAATTAATCTCATAAGTTCAGCTTCCTCTTCTAGATCAAATGGAGCCGAACAATTCTCCTTGTTCATCGGTCCAGTGACTGCATCTTTGGCGTTGTGAATGTCAATTTGAACGACATTCGCAGTAACTTCGCCTAGGACTTTAGGGGATGAATCTTTACGTGGTGAAGGAAACAAAAGTCGCCGTGCGGTGTCCTCTTCTGGCTCATCTCCTACTTCAATATGACTGTTATGTGTCCACCTAGCTGGACTAGATTGTAAAGCTCTCCTTAGTGCCGCGGAAGCTGAATCTGAGGTCATTGCGTTCATCTTTTTAGTAGGACGGAGACTGTTTGCTCGACGCATTCCGTTTGGACGATCATGACTATTAGGTATCTGATTGGCAGAGTTCAACCCGTCGAGGTCAATGGGGGACATACGGTCAGTACCAGAAGGAACCGCAGGCTGTTGATAGAAGGCATCCGATGGGGGTAAATTGATCTCTAATTGTGGGAAATTTGCTTCAGATGTGGGTATAGTAGCAGTAACCTTAGGTTTGGAAGGTCGCTTTTTCTTTGTATCAGGGTCTTTGCCCCACTTTGCTTCTGGACGTTGAGACTTGTATTTCGACATCCAAATACCACAGGCTATGATAATTAGTGACTGAGTACCTCAAACGCTATGTATAACTTACGATTGCAAAGAATGAATGCCTTGTACTGTTTTTGATCTTCACCAGCAGCAAGGGCTTTTTTAATAAGGAGATACGAAGTGGGGAGGCCGGTATCATCTCTTGAAAGAATGTTAATGGCTGTTACTCTTCCAGCCTCTTCAGAGTATTCATGGTAGCCTGGAGCACCTTGACATTCTTGTGACCATGCTCGGCGCCAAGTTGGAGTTTCTATAGCGCCACAATTCTCACAATATTGAGGCATTTGTCCATTCCTGAGGGCATTCTCCAACTTCTGCTTAATAGACGCCTTCTTAGCTTCTGTTTGGCTGGGTGCATTGGGAGTTTCAGTCATATAATGTGGATTCTCAGACCAGGTTTGAGATCGCTGAAACGTAGGCGGAAGAATCGGTTCATTCGCAGGAATAGCCGGAAGAGCCATAGATCCAGTGGAAGCGGTCCGAGAAAAGTTTCCGGATGCTGGACGAGGCTGTGGTGGTGGAGGTCCTGCAGGGACATGCATTTGGGATATTGGTTGGTTCGTGAACTCACTGGTTGGTGGAGTGGGTAGATGTAAGTTCGGCTGTGATGGATCTACACTAGGAGCAGTTTGGGCTTGAGAAGGCGGCCGAGAATTGGGGCGGGCATCTAGCTTTAAAGGGGGTAATGACTGTCCATCTTCGGACATAACACTATTCCGCCTAGATTTTGGTTGTACTGCCTTGGGAGGTTTTGGTTTAGCCTGTTCACTGAGAAGCATCCGTTTAGGGAGCAGTTCCATGGGGCCTGGTGTTTCTTCTTGGATATGGAATCCACCATTAAGATTCGAATTTGTAGGCTGCGTTTTGCGAGGTCCTCGGCGTTTGGTGCTCTTTTTTGCAATCATAATATCCTCTCCATCAATTGGGCGCGAGATTTCATCATCTTCTCCGAAAAGGTCGTCTAGATCATCTAAGTTACCGCTCATGAAGCCGGAGTCTAATCTAGGCATAGGTGGCAGTGAAGGACTCGAAAGACAAGGGGGACTTGATCGTATTGATGGTGTTGCATTTCGTAAGACTGGTGGAGATGACGCGATGTCTTGAGGTGTAAATCCTGGACTAGCGATATGCTCCGGTGAGGGATGGGCTGATTCAATTGAGAGTCTGAGACGATCTTCTGGAGGGAGTGAAGGCTCTAATTGTGAATAGGCTGGTGAGTGTGCTTGAGGCATCTCCAATTGAGGATTCGACCCCTGTCGAAGCCCACTTTGTGACTGTGGTCTGTGCTGACTGACTGGTTGTGGTAGGATTGGTACTGGGGTGGGGGATCGAGGAACTTCCTGTAAATGATTACCTGCGGCTAAGCCTCCAGATGGAGCTAGCGGTCTGAAAGCACGTATAGATCCTGCAGTACTTGCTGTGACTCGAAGTGAGTCAGACCCTGAGCCAAATGCCGACCTATTACTCCAGTCCGCCTGAGTGATCTTCGCCCTTCTCTTCGGAGCTGGGCCATCCTCTCCCTCCGTCCCTTCTTCATATCCAGAGGTGTTGCCTCCGACTTCAGGGCGTGGGTTCTTCGGAGGACGACCACGTCTTCCTCTCTTGACAGTTGTCCTCGAAGGGGGTCTAACTATCTTATGGTCTCTGGCAGCAATCGGTACTGGTTCCTCACGTACGGTTGCAGGCGCCGGGGGTAAAGTTTGATTATAAGAATTTACCGGCGGAAGACTGGGACTGAGAAGCTGATTGACCACTTCCATGCTAGTTCCCTTGTTATTCGACATGGCAGCCGGGGTTGGTGTCCTATTCAACATCTGAGGTGGGGCGTTTTCCTGCGATTTTGATAAAGAATTCCATTCTTGCTGATCATATCTCGGTGTTGAAATGTTTTGCTTCGGATTTCCCATGGTGTTTCTATACTCGATTGGTGATACTGTTTGAGGGACTAGACGAAGCTTAACTTCCAAAGTTTCCTTCACTCCATTCGCAAATAAACCCATTATATTCTTGCATACTCGCCCAGTAATAATCTTTTGTGACTGATGTATAAAGTTATTTGACGTAGGAGGCATCGTCAAAGCCCGAGAAAGCATACCTTGTCCTACCAGAGGACTATCATCTTCAGAAAAATCGTAGGCATAAACGGTAAAATCTCGTCCGGGTCGAGGAAGCAGTTCTGGGCTACATTCGATAATGGCTTGTAAACATGTGTAAAGATCGATAACACCGATTGAATTCTTCTCGTCCATGGCGATAGATTGAATTTGAAGTACTTGCGGCCACCGTGCTAAACAATTGGTTTTGCATTCATCATCGAAAGTGTAGAGTACCTTGACTATCATATTCCTACTGTAAGCAATGTGATCAATTTAAAGCTCTATAGCAATGTACCTACGTCTCATTGGTCTAACCACCATCCCATTTTCACCGGAATCATTGTTATTTGCTGGCGGAGGAGCTTGAGGTGGTTGATTTTGTAATTGAGGATTTCCCATTGGTACCCCTGCCGGAGACGACATGACGAGCTTTCCTCAGCTTCAATACCTGGGTCCTAAAGTCTTGAAGTATTGAATCGTTGCGGAATTTGATCAATTAAGACTGTTGAGATTGGTATAAAATCATCCATTAAAGGTTGTATTGAAAACGTGAGGAGTTTTGGTGGCCCTAAGGTAAATTTCGCGTCTAAACGTGTACCGCTACCGCTGTTTACGCGTTGAGAGCTTTGTGAAGTTGGCGCTAGCAAGAAAACTAGTAACTCTTAATTTGATCTTTGTTAAATGTAAAAGGCTGGAATTCCATAATCATCGATACAAGTTCTTGATTTCTTCGATTTGTGGAGGTTGTTCAAGTAGATATGAAGTAACTAATTGTGAATATATGGGTATCTTGAATGGAGGTTTAAAGGTACCTATAGAATGTACCCTCTTTCCAATCTAGACGTCGCGAATAATTGAACAATCGGCTAGCAAGGATATCTAGCCTCGTAGTCTGCATCCTAGCGCGAGGCTGTAGGTTCGGCTATCAACCAATAGTATAGCAGAAATCAAGATGTAAAAATGAAAATTGCGTCACTGAGATACTCGGCTCTCTCTTCAACGAAAAGATTTATCGAAAGGCAGCACCATCAGCCGGATCAATAATGAACACAAGTTATTTGAGTGAATGTTTCGACGTTCAAGTATTCGGGGGATATCTCTAGCTTTATACACTTTTCGGCTAGAGACGAATCTTTTGATATCCCGCCTAATCAATAAATAAAATCAATGACTCAGCCCCTATTTCGATCCGACTACCTCAATCACATGATAACAGCTTCCAATAAGATTTAATATTTTATTTGCATTTCTTTTTTATTGCGACCGCTAATAATTTATCGACTTCACAAAATAATTTATACCTTAGGCGATGGCTTTTATCCTTCTCATCGTTGCACGAATACCCATATCATACATTAAAAACATGTACATGACTTACTAAAAGCTCTCACTGTGAGGATTTAGGACTTTGGAACTTGCTCTTGCTCTTGCTCCCATACAAGATGTCCTAGTTCATTCTTCGTTGTTTTCCTTTCGATGATCTCCGCCACCACTTCCTTTACACCTTGTTTTCCTTCCGTCGCTTGGAGGAAGTGATTGACAACTTGGAACATCGACTTTCCACCTTCCCGCACTACCTTCTCGACTTCAATTTCCCTTGGAACTCCAAACTTAAATGGATATTCATGGTAATCGCGATCGCTGAGTAGTTTTATCCGCTGTGATCCTTCAACTGCAAAGAATGGATCCGCAACATTGTCCTCTGGGCTGATGTCTTCCAAGGTTCGTGGTTGCCATTGGGGAGAGTTATCCTTGCGGACAAGCAATGATTGTATGCCTTCCGTGAAATCCGGATGACGCATAAATTTAGCAGCAATTTGGTATTCTCTTTGGAAAGTCTCGGTAATCGACCAATCTTTGCCAATGCGCATTTGACGTAGTGCTACATGAACACTCGTAGGTGATCGCTGATGCAAGGTAGCAAGAGTTCTTTCAATCCATCCCTTGATTGGGTTTTCCGGGGCTTCCAGACCGTATTGCGCCGCCGCCGCCGCCGCTTCGGCCGCTTCGGCCTCTAGGAGAACATGCTCGGCCTTTAGACCAGCAATAATTTCAGAAACACTTGATTTACTGAAGTGACGATCGATAGCCTTTCGCAATTCGCCACTGATGAGCATTGGTTCATCATGAGGCAGACCTGTGCAGTATTCCTCAATAGTGCTATTGATTAATTGTGCTCTTTGCTCTAGGGTTTCGAAATCCTTAAATCGTAATTCCGCCAAACGCTTCTCCAAGCTCGGTAAAGACGTTGAGTGGATATAATGTGTTGCAATTCCAGAATAAAAGGCATTGACTCCCTTCAGCCGCTCACTAGTCAACGCGAGGTAAGTTCCAACAGATCCAGCCATCCTAGGTAAAAAGAATGAAGCTCCGACATCTGGAAAGAAGCCTATAGTAGTTTCAGGCATAGCGAACACCGTCCTTTCAGTAGCTATTCGAAATGGAGCATGTATACTCAATCCAACACCACCACCCATCGTAATTCCATCTATAAAAGCAATGTAGGGTTTTTGATAAGTTGCAATAAGGTGATCGAGCTTATATTCGAGAGCAAAGTAGTCTGTAGACCGGGCTTGTCCTTCTGGTCCTTGGGTATTATCCTTAGCAAGCGCTGCCACATCTCCACCAGCACAGAAAGCCTTGGGTCCAGATCCTTTGACAATGATCACATTCGCCATGTCAGATTTCGACCATTCCTGCAGTCTTGGTACAATTTTTCGAATCATCGATCCATTGAGGGAATGTAACTTTGCAGGTCTGTTGAGCTCGATGGTTCTCACTCCATATAAAGTATTGAATAGCACATCTTCCTTTTCGTCCCCTTCCAGTTCTTTGATAACTTCGGCTTGGGCATATGAAGGAGCATCTGAAGACGTCGCCATCTATAATACATATTAGCATTCAGTCTTAAAGATCGAGAAAAATTTCCCAAACCTGTGCTCTTCCCGCAAATGCAGGATTGATAACCTTAGCTCTCAAAGGCATAATTGGAAATCTTAAGCCACAAGAGCGGACTGCTGCTCCAGCTCTACAACCCAAATATACTCCGAACATCAAGAAAGAAGGATGACACCGCCGCGCTTGAAAAGGACTCCGGAGAAGGTAAAGTTCTCTGGACCTCGGAAGTAAAGTCTCATCGGTTATTTTTGTCCCCGCGCAAAATACAGCCCGGTCAGATTTAAGGTTTTACGCTAAGCTATTCTTGGAGCTCGCGACCGCGATGGGAATTTTTGGTGCCTGGAAACTTTGACGACATAGATCATTGATGAAGTTATTGAATTATTAATCTACGAAATTAACATCTTAATCATGGCGGATGCAGCAAAGATACAGTAAGAATCTTGTACTTCTGTGGATTCTCTCTGCACATACTAATTTATTCTTCAGAGAACTTCTCGCAAAGCCTCGCAATGAGCTCACGTATGTCCAGCACTTCCCTCCAACTATACACCAGACTTATCAGACTAACCTTCATCAGTGAGTTCGAGGTCGCCCAAATCGAAGAACACGAATTCACATCTGGTCCCCTCTCCCTTCTTCAGGCTGCTGTCCGCTCTCATGGGCAAGTATTGATTTCCTGCCGTAACAATCGAAAATTACTTGCGCGCGTCAAGGCTTTTGATCGTCATTGCAATATGGTGTTGGAGAATGTGAAGGAGATGTGGACTGAGACGCCAAGGTTGACCGGTGGCGGAAAAGGAAGACCAGTTAATAAGGATAGATTTATCAGTAAGATGTGAGTATTCTGTACTTGGATTGTCAATTGGACATTGCGCGGACCGTGAGATCAGAGTTGGACGAGAAACTACGAGTAAATGATGCCACGTATCAGTTGATGGAAGGCAGCATGGGGAACACAGCTAACACGATTCGACTCTTCCAGGTTTTTAAGAGGAGATTCCGTTATTCTAGTCCTTCTAAGCTGAACGGTCGACATTCGAAGGTCAAGATATATGGATGGACAGAAGAGGGGATCAGCCAAGGATCTATCAAAAAACACCCGACAGGACCTGTGGAGGAAATAAATGTGATAGTTTCGGGCGTTGTCAAGATCAACGCGCATACCAAATCAGCTTATAGCTATGAATTCAATGCACGCATGAGAAAGTTCATGCCAAATAGGGAACCAATTTTATGGAGAATAGGAATATTAGATGAGAAAGAAACTCTCTTTAAATTTCAGATGGGATACATCGCTGGTGACTTGCTATTGTGATATGAATATCATTCATGGATCATCCCTAGAGGTTAGTCTCATTTGTTTGTCTCTTCTATTTGTCTTCCACTTTCAGAATTATGATGAACAAATCATAGCTTTTTAACCCTTAATGGCATTTACGTACCTTGAAGACCAAAAAACAACTCTAATTTTTTCCTGAAATTCTTTTGATTCCTTACTTTCTGTTCAATACAAAATCACATGGTCTCCGAATCAAGCTGACATTTCAAATACAGACATATTTTTAAAAGTATAAGTTTCATAATGCATGTTGATTAAGCGCTACGTTACTAGCAAGGCATAAAACTTTGAATCACCTCAAACCAATTCATAATCCGAATCTCCAAGCCCAGCAAGCCCTAAGAAGAACTCACTCAATCCCCAAGCTCCAGGATCTGGAACCTGTTCGAAACCAGTACCGCCGATATACACAGTTCTTCCTAAACTAGCCTTCATTCCTTTTGTACCTTCAGCACCTTTCCTGGATGCTTCAGCTGCTTTCTTAACATCTCCTGTCTTGATTAAGGTCTCAATGAATGGGTGTAAGGCGTCTACTACAGTGCGGTCTCCGGGCTTGGCTGGTGTGTACCTTGAAAGGGCTTCGGAAGCGGACTGCAATGCCTTTGCCCAAAATTCTGGTGTTACTTGCCCGGCAAAAGCATTCTCGCGAAGAGCAGCTAAGAGGGAATTAAGGAAGATAGCATAGAGAGCTCCAGATGTACCATCCATACTGTTTTCGACTACTTGAACGATTTTTGCAAGGTCGACAACAGCGTCACCGGTTAAGTTCTCTTTTGAGATGGTTGAGAGCACAGCTGCACATTTCATAAGCTCGCTGTAGAATCATCAAATTGTAACGGAACACTTACCTTCAGCTCCTCTCTTGAGGCCAATGCCGCAATCTCCATCCCCAACAACTGTATCAAATCGAGTGACATCAGGTTCAGCGGCAATCATTCGCTGAAGTCCAGCTGTTAAAGCCGTCTTTGTTGTTGCCGGATCCAATTTCAAACCGCTAGGTTTAACCTCTTCTTCAGCACCGGCGGAGCCGGTTCTAGTTGCTGTAGATTTAGCCTCCCATGTTTCCTTTCTGATAGGAGCTGCCCATCCAGTTGCCTCAGTCGATGCATCCAATAATTGTAACATACTAGGTCCGCCAATATTGGTATTAACAACATTAAGAAGTGATATACTAAATCCAAGACCATTCAAACTTGTCATATAAGTTCCAGCAAGGATTCTGACCGGCTTGATGTTATAGGACTTTTCAAGCTGACCAGCAACTTCTGCTGTAATACCACCTAACTCCAGCACGCTAACACCTCCAAGATTGTTGACTAAAAGTACGACTTCATTCGAGTTGACATTCAAGAATGCTCGGTCTTTGTCTTTTGAATCCAATAATTGCGTAAGCATTCTTTTGACAAGTTCGGGTAGATCAACCTTGGCTCTACCACTACCAGGCTCATTATGAATTCCCATTCCAATCTCGACCTCTTCAAAAGCGAGGCTTTCAGGGGAATTTGGATTTGGAGGTGCTCGACCTGGAACATGGACATGGTCAAGGGAAGCTCCCACACTGGCAATATTATCTGCTGTTAATTTTCCAACATTGTAAACATCCTCCAGGCTAGCGCCAGTGGCTGCCAATGCTCCTGTGATCTTATGTACCAATACTGTGCCAGCAATACCTCTTCTGCCAACTTTTCCAGCCTTCGCACGACCAACTCCAACATCATCTCCAACTACTAGCATCTCGACCTTTAACCCCGCAGCTTTTGCTTTCTCCACTGCCATACCGAAATTCAACACATCTCCGGTGTAATTCATAACCGTCACCAAGATTCCCTTCTCGGTATCAACTCTTGACATTACACATCTGCGAATTTGCTCGGCACTCGGTGAAGCGAATATAGTACCTGCAACAGATGCTGCCAGTAACCCCTCACCAACGAATGCTCCGAAACTAGGTTCATGTCCACTTCCCCCACCTGATATTATAGATACTTGAGAAGCATGTCCGGGTCTTCTGTAGACAATTTTGTTTTCTTCGTCGAGGGCCACGGAGGGATTGGTGAGAGTGAGGGCATGGAGAGCAGAGTTCACTAAGAGAGTGGGATCATTGACGAAATGTTTTGCTGCCATTGTTTATATCGTAATTGAGATAGTTGACAGGATTTGTTCAGGAGATAAGGACGCAGAGTGAGATGAGAGCAGCGATAAAATCGTAGAGGGAAAGTTTGTAGAGCAGAGGTATGAGAGTTGTGACGTGAATACCTATATACAGTAGATACGAGGAACTCGAAGTAGGAGAAATTGGAGGAAAGAAAAAGAATAGGAGGGGCGAATGACTCCAACCAAGCCGGATTAAATATGGATTAAATATGGATTAAATATGCATCCTCCATACTCTTTCATCACATCACCGCAATGTTTAACCGTTAATCCAAGAGATCAACAAGCTGGAAGCGGGGCATTCATGTTAATGCGGGGTGGATGCAGGGATCCGCGACAGGGACAAATCCTTTCGTGGGGGCATAAGCCGGCAAAACCGTGGGGGCACCAAAATCTTTTTCCGAACCAGTGAAGAACCCAATTTCATAGTAAAACTTATTAGTTCGTTCTAAGCCCAATTCAAGCTTCCATCTAACAACCGCGAGCCATCGATCCCGCTCACATTGAGTTACACCCATATCGCAATGTCACAAATCCCAATCGTAGCCGTTCCTGGCCAACTCCTCGGTCCCAGTAGCGAATATCTTCCAGGTCCAGGTACACACATCCATTCCTCGAACCTCTACGCCTCCATCCTCGGACCCATCAAAACCGTAGCACCACCCAAACCCAGCTATCCGCAAAAACGAGCCACCAAGATTACGCCGGCGGCACCCATACCACTCTCTACTATCTCCGTTGAAAGAGCTACTGTTACGGGAGACAAGGCGGAAATTATACCTGAGGTGAATAGCACGGTTTTATGCCGAGTTACGAGAATCACCCCGCGACAAGCGACAGTGGCGATATTGGTTGTAGGAGAGACGGTTTTGGAGGGGGAATGGCAGGGTCTGATTAGAGTGCAGGATGTGAGAGCTACGGAGAAGGATAAGGTTAAGATTTTTGAGAGTTTTAGACCGGGGGATATTGTGAGGGCTGTGGTGGTGAGTTCTCTTCTTCTTTCTGAAATGACTATTTATAAAGACGAACTGATGCTAATTTGGCAATGATGCTAGATTTCATTAGGTGATCAGTCGAATTATTACCTTAGTACGGCGAGAAATGAGTTGGGGGTTATCATGGCAACGAGTGAGGCGGGTAATGCGATGTATCCGGTTAGTTGGAAGGAATATAAAGATCCGGAAACAGGAGCAAGTGAGAGTAGAAAGGTTGCGAAACCGTTTTAGAGATCATGGGAGGTGGGCGACAGGGTCTTTCGACCCCTGTTGTATGTACATGCATAGCGTATGGCGTCCAGGCGTTTATGGATATAAGGATATACCAATTCACACAGAGTTCATCACTTGATATCTTCTGTTTCTTGTCTGATGCTTGAGGCTTGAGTGCTGGAAGTAGTTTACATTTAGATTGCTAGATGGAAATGAATAAGACGAGAGCAGGGGGAGTATGTTAGGAATTTGCAACCCCTCCTCATCGTCCTTAGTCGTGATACGTCTAGATTTTCAAATGATATCAATATATGCTGTACGTGCTATTCACGCCTCCACATTTATTCGCAGGTGATCGATCCTATGCATCTAAAAACCCATACAAGCATAACAACTAGCCCCTACCCATAGATCCAAGAACAACCGCGGACCATATACTATTTTCCCTCAATTCGTTCACACAACCCATATCCGGCAAACGCATAATGAATTACCTAGTAAGACTTATTTTCTTTTGTACGGAGTAGTATGTAATGTATATTGAAAATTCCCGCATATCCGGGATCCGGAAAACTCGTCTTCGCTTGCTATAGCCGGATAGAGGCCCGCGTTTTGCTGATGGATGCGCGTGCACAGCACAGCACAGCCGTTCTTTGCTTTTGTGAGATTAGGTTACTCTTTTTGCATAGCCGTGGTTTTGGTTTTGTTTTTGTTTCCGGGAGTTGAGGTTGGATTGGAGTTTGGATCTCTTTCTCCGTGTGAATTGCTGATGATCTGATGTGATAAATAGGGTTTACAAGGTTACATTGTTGAGCTTGAGAATATCTACTCGAGTGGCAGTTCATGCTCATTCTAAGATTGCCATTCTATTCACTCTGCTCAAAAAATCAACTATCTTGTAAATAAGCTAATGCTGGGTAATTGGTAACTCTTACAATTTTACTAAGTAATTTCTCTCATATGTCATTATGATTGGAAACGCTTTATTGAGCAATATGCTTCAAGGTTCCAGATATCTCACATTGAAAATACAGAAACGTAATGAACGTCTTTTTTCTCTCACAGCTTCATAGTTTACCTTTCGTCTTCTCTATTCCTCCAGCTCTATTCTATCCCATCACCCCAGCTCTATCCAATCCTGTACATCACTCATCAAGACCAAGTCTTCGGGCCAAACGTCTCTCCTTCAGGAAGTACTTTTCGCACTGCGGTACCTGTCATGTCCATTGTTTGGAATACATCTATATTTCCGAACCACTGAATTTCTGTTAGTATTCAAGCATTGGGATAGATGAGATAAGTATCGGTCTGGTATAACAATGTATCTGAGAGGTGTAATGGTGACTAAAAGCTTACTTGGGGTGGTTTAGCATTGGTGAGTTCTAATGTGAAGAAGATGAGAAGGGTGCAGAGTATTAGACCAGTGTCTAGCGCAGCTGAGGTTACATAGTTCTATAGTTCAAATATTAGTTAGTATTCACACATTGTTTAACACCATCGGTCCCGTCCGTCCCATTCCCAAATAAAACCTAGAATAATAAATCGGGAGACATACATAACCTTCCCACCAACCCCTCCATCTCCTCCTAATCCAATACTGGAAAATAAATCCTACAAATCCCCAACATAGATAATCATACCCAGTAGCAGGAGGTATGAGTTGTAATCCTCCAAACATAACGGGAATGATAAGGTATTTGAATGAAGAACGAGGGTATGCTCGACTTAGGATGTAAGTGAGAATGGGTAGGAGAGCTCCGAGCAGGAAATAATAAAGCAGAGGTTGGTAGTATGATTCTGGCGACGAGAAAATACGCGAGGGACCAATGACGCCCCAGATTATACTCGTAGTGAAGAACGCGGAAGGGCCGGGGCAGGTATAAGAGTTCGGTTGGAGAGGTGTGCAGATCCTATTGGCGTGGTTAGCTGCACTTCTTGTTGATTCACGAGCTTAGGAAAGAAAAAGGGAGTCATCGATCGTTTTAGGATAAGTACTAACTCTGGAATATGCGAGATTGCCCAGTTCATTACAGCTATTTGTACAATAGATGACCAGAAAGCAGCTACACACTGCGCGACGAACATTGTTCTAGGAGGAATTTTGAGATAATGACCTAGTTTCAGATCTTGCAGGAAGAACTGGGCTTGGGTCATAGTTATATAGCCTACATTATTATTAAAGTGTACATCGGATACCATGAACACAAGATGCTATCCACCATATGGTTGGGAAACGAATGACAGAAAATAGAAACTAACCATAGGCCTTAAATAACATCAATGCTACTGGACGTCCGGGTAACATATATCCAATCACGAATTCTGTAAAAACATTTAATCCAATTTGAATATTGGTCGTGGCGAATATAATACCAATAGGTACTGTCCAGATGAGAGGAATAGCAATACAAACGATAAAAGCCCACCATGTTAAATGAGTATCCCAGAAAAGAATAACGACGAAAGACAGTGCGAGCATGATAAGTCCAAGAGTGATGTACCACCTATATAAATTCATCAGCATTGGTATATTTATGCGTAATGATACGAAATACAGCAAGCATGGAAAGCGCAAATACCAATCTGGTGCATCTTTATATTTCTTCATGAGTTTCATGTGAATATCATCTTCTTGATTTTGAGCTTGTTTCCATTGTCTCCAAATGGTTTTGCCTTCATATCTACCACGAAATCAATCAGTTTCCTAGATGTCTCCCGCAACTCATCTCGTTAATTCGACTCACAATATAGTATGGACAATAACACTACTAATAGCCGCGAAAGAAAATCCTATAACAAACAGAACCCCATTAGTAACCATATATTCAAAATGCATAAACATACTAAATAGACATCTGAGAACTTACCATAATTCAACGCAAAACCGGTTGACAAAAAAACCGGCGAATATTTCCTATACAACTCTTCACTAAATTCTAGATTCGCATCGAGAATTCGACTGACATTATATGGTTTCCCCGTATTATCATAGCTATGTGAATCGCTCATGGGGAGATAATCCGCATACCATGTTCCGGTATAATGAACACCTAGCGAGCTAATGATGACGAAAATAAATAGACCGATTAAGGTATTGGCGATAGCATACCAGGGACTATTATACATTTAGAAAGAGTCGAGGCTTTTACATCGTTTTGATACTGCAGATGTATCGTTCAATCTTGTTTAAGGGAAGTTCACTCACGGTATTAAGGGCGAATACAAATATCCAGAAACAACAGTCCAATCGAATGTAATAGGAATTAAACCCAAACCCGTAACACCACCGAAGAGTTGATTGACAACGGGATTTTTCGGTGCTATCCAGCAGGCAAATGTGAAATATGAGAGGCCTTGGAAGATCCAGCCGGGGAAAAAATACCATATGAATGAACCTGGCGGAATAAATATAAATAAGTAGCCATCAGATTAGTAATTTGATTAGAAAGGAGAATATACCACTCATGATATACATAAACCATTTATATTTCGAGATACTCCAACCATTTGTTTCAGCTGGGTTCGACGGACTATGGTCATGCAAACTGTGGTCCATACAAATGAGAGGAAATTAGCACATATACTCATATACCAATTCTCGTCATTGGAGATACACATATCTTCTTTTGTGCATCGAGGAACTTTCCAAAGCAATTGCAGAGAAAATAACAAACTTACGCATACATCAACGCACAATTAACCAAATCACTCGGCCAAATCATCGCCGCAGGCCAAACCAACCACCTCCGACACACACCCGCCAAACCAAAACCCAGCATTTGATTCGTGACTGCGAAAAGTAATTGGAAAGCCCATCTATCCCACACACCAGTTAGCTCAACTTCAACTTCTCATCCACATCTTACTCCTCCTCTTTCAAAATGTTACAAGTAAACAGAATACTAGAAAGAAACATACCCAAATTTCTGCCCATAAAACACTTCCTGCGAAATAAGTATATCGGTAGCATAAATCGAAGCACCAGCATACCCTGCATTAGCCATCACCACAACAATAGTATGTTCCTTCATGTTCCACTTTCCCTCCTTTAATATAATTTTCCATGTTCTGGGGCCGCAGAACCAGAAATGAAGGTCCCAGCTCCAGTTGGGTAGGAGAAGATCCCATCCTTTGCCTAGGGGCCAGGCGATTAGTTGGACGCACTGTTGTGTAAGATGTGAATTAGTAGAGGTATTTTCACGGAATGATCAATCCCGGAGGGAGTTAACGTATACGTATTTCACTCCGGCGCTGGTAAAAGTCTATCTAATTCAAAGGAAGATACTCACAACAGTAGTAATAGCAATACTGGGACTCCTCAAACTAAACAAACAATTAATCCCCGCCCCCACAGTCGTAAGTACCAACCCAATACACCAAGCTCGAATCGTGTTGCAGGGAAGCGACGCATCATCTATATTATGCTTTAGCTTTAAGTTTGCCCAAGCTTGAATATAAATATCGCATACCTGTATTACGCACCGCGGCGCGCACTTGCGGATAAGGTGAATTTAACGAGATATTGATCGATGGTTCTGCAGATTTCTCAGGGTCGGGAGAGAGGGATGCAGGAGATGAAATTGAATGGATGGGGAAAGGAAGAGGTAAGTTTGGATCGAGAGAGGAACTCGGGGAAGGGGATATGAAGGGTACTGGAGTACTGATCGTAGCCGAGTGGGACTTTTCGTCGTTACGAGACGAACTCTGGTTTCGATTCAACTGCTCATCCGTTTCATTTTTCACATTCGAGGCCTTGGATTTCAAGCGGTGAGTAAGAAATGAAAATGGCATCGTGTCACTATTTTCCGCCTAAACATAAAATTGTATTTTACATGTACAATCGAGACTTTGAGATCCAAACATTATGGGAATTTGCTAGTTTACTACGTATCAACACGACCAATCTCCCACTCTACCCAAAAACCATCTAGTCACCAAAGAAAACGCCAGCGCTATCAATTGTGTACAAGATGAACAGATAGCTGAGTTTAGCTCGCTATGCTACTCTACATTAAGAAAAGTACAATGAAAATTCCAACACAATATCTTGCGAGAGGGTTTTAAAAGCACCAGAAAGGAAAGTAGATGTGCGATTCTTGCTATTTAATAGTGCGCCATGAGGAATTTCCGAGCTGAAAATCTGAGACAGTGTGACACGGAAACTTTGGCAAATGTTGTTGATCGACCGGAGCGACACATGACCTGATTGATAGGATAAGTACTATTCATGCACGTCATTTGTTTTATCAGATCCAGCCGCATGATATCGTGAATTGAAGAATAAGTATCTGGCCAAGGTTTAAGAGTGAAGGATATAAATAAAAACAAAACTGCGATTTTCTCATCTCTGAAAATATAGAGCTATTCTCTTACGTAAGGAGAATTGCGCAAGCCTTGCTAACATGAACAAAGAACGCCAAAAATTTATCCAGCCTCCATTTTCCCATTTCGTCTACCGGCAGCGCTGTAACTCAACAGAAAGCACGATCCCGGAAGATCCGGATCTGCAAGTGCCATCGGCCAGTAGCAAAAAATGCTCGCAAGGCAAAATTTCTCACTGCTTCGGCAATATAATAAATGAGGGGAAGAAAGAACGGACGTTGTAGTGGATGCACCCATTGATTTACAATCACACATTTAACAATCATACCTTCTAAGACGGTCATCAGCTCCGAATCTCCGGGTTCGGACTCCGCGGCGGGACCCGCCTTATTTCCCCGAGATTCACATGCACGCGCGTCATTAGACTCATTACTCCTTTTGCGGACTCGGAACGCAGTTCTATTCCTCCGTTCGCACTGCGAGCCTCACAAAGTTTAATTTACTAACAAACCCGACTAATTCCTCTGCGGCACAATTGTTCAGAGGTTTTATCGCGTTCGAGCCCCATGCAGTCAGCTTAGAATAGACCCAGGTACATGGGTTTTCTCTGCTGCCTAGTCGCCTCGCTAACCAACAATAGTAAGGACTGCTTCGAATGATCTTCTTGCAGGACTTTATCCAGGAGCATCTCGGATAGATTGGCCGTAAGCAGTTTAGACTTCGATGAAAGGCTAGATCGGAGGGTATGCATGCAGGACGGAGGAATGGTTTGACGTAGTAGAAAATAAGCGTAGACTACGATGGTGGGGTAGCACTATGTTAACATATGAGGCATCCTTTAATGCATACTATGCTCATTGACATCGTTGAGGACCAGAACAGTAAACGAGAAGCGTAAGCCAAACCCTGGTAACATTCCAGCGTAGGATTTTCTGCAAAGCGGTCTGCCGATGAATATCGTAGACTCGTCTTATTTGTGTATCGATAAGCAATACCCTTATCAGTAAGATAGTTCATACAATATTGTTAAGTTACATTGATGCACGCGGCAGACTCGTGGCGCGGTCCAAGCGTGGGGTTCTCAGCCCTCAAGTCTTCGCTGTCGCATGACAGGAGACATCACAATGTTATCTGTTTGACAAAATGAAATGAAATGCAGATTGAACTCGTATCCGAGACTTGAGATAGAGAACATTTTCAGTCAATACTTCGTTTATTACACCTAGACAATGTCTTTATCAGCCCTATAGCCACTTCTTACACACAGCAGCAATCACTTGACTATTGATCTGAGATAGCCTTATACAATAATACCCCGCATTGTCCCGCAACCATCGACAGAGAAAGCCACGAGATGGGGAAATTCAGCCATCAGAGAGTCATAGGACTCTATTCATGATGATACAGCATCTAGAATAGACCATAACTGCCTTATCGCAATCGAAAGATTGTACTTCAATCTGCAAAGCCGCAAAAGGAAGATTCAAACTTACGTCCCTGAATTTCAGTACATGGAAGGCACAAGTGAAGGAATGTGGGATAACGCCATTTCTAGGGAATGAAACACACGAAACTTCTTACGATGGCATAATCCAAGAATGCATGTAAGATATTCGCTCGTTTGCCTTCATTTTTCAACTCTGTGACTTCATCGAGAAGAACGAGGTGGCAGATCGTAGATGCAAGTTCAGTAATCAACAACAGCGCATAGATTGTATTGGCGCGCTTTCCACGCAGGGATAGATGACGCAATAAGGCTGAATACTCGGATAAGTTTCGAACCCTAAGAGGGAAATTCTTTGAAAACAAGAAGATCAGCCGACGGCCTCTAAAAGCGTGGAAAGAATCAAAAGCCTTCTAGAAACGTATTGGTTACATGTGAAATGTAACATTGATCCGTCTAATCGGACCCCCTTCTCCTTCGCGGTAAAACATGAAATATGGATTTGAAAAAAGCCCTCAGCATTGCTGGGCATCTATCATCTTGCACGATGAGGCTCGCTCGGCGAAGGGTAAGCCTGCGCGCACATGTGGAAGTTTTTATGGTGAAAGGAGGCTGGACGGATGAAACTGACGAAGTCTTATATAGATGTAATCGAATGCATTGACCTGCTTCCAAGGTCATACGAGCAGACACAACTCCGGCCGCGGAACCATAATAGCAGCTTCCGCGGCTTATTCCTGCCAAAGAATCTCCCGCAAAGCAAGGCTGTAGCATGTGATAGTGGAAGACAGGCATGTAGCGGAACGATGCCTCAGAGTTTGCCTATCGTAAATGAGCCTTGGAGACGCTTGTCGGCCAGATATCGATGACAACTGCGACAAAAGAAGCGGAGACACATTCAGTGTATGCTTGAACGACCATATATGGCCAGACGGTGAGGCTGTCAGGCTACTATCCTGTGTACGTGTGCAACAATAATTGGGGACAATGGGTGATATAAGCTTGAGTCCGAGTTGTCGTGCAGAAGCACCAGAGGTAGTGGATTGATTGATGGATGAACAATTGAAAAGGGAGTGATGCTATTGAAGAAAATTTCTGAGTTGGGTTGAGCAACCATCATCAAATTCTAACCACGTAGAAGAAAACTTTTGGTTGAGAATGATGTGGCACAACTTGCAGCTATAGATTCAGCCACCAAATGTGACATGACTGTTTAGGACAAATATGTGATACGTCGGTTGAGTAGCATTTAACCGATACCGATGATTCAGCCGAAAAGTGCCGAACTTTGACCGTTGATTTGTGCTTCGGTCAGGAACTCGCTTTGGGCATCCCGTGATACGGGGTAGATCGTTTCAGCGGCGGGTGTCGCTATGGGCATCCACACATCATCCTCTAAAATGTCAAGCCAAACTGAAGTCTGCCTTTCTTTGAATCATGCTATGTAAGTTGCTTGCTGGTTGTTTTAGCACCTGAGCACCCAATCGTCCCTGTCAAGTCACTCGAATCGTTTCATCAAAAATGCCAAAACCTATAAACACATGCGTAAAATTCATCAATCATGATTCTCATGGCTGCATTACAATTGAAGTAAAAATATCTCAGCCTCGACAGCCGAGGATAAAAAAGAGAATCGAAAATGGAAAAGATGAATGATAAATGAAAAACGTATGGCTATGAGAGGGCAGGATTTGATCCTGCCAGCATGCTCAAACTTGGAACCATTATGAAAGCCAATTTCCCATCCAATCATCAAAGGAAAGACCACATGTTATTAGGTTGCCTAAACGTTTGTATCGTTGTTATTGTCCATAGAAGACGTAAAAGTTGTCCGCCAAGGCCATCTCCAGGCATTGAAAATTTTCCCCATTTCACGAAGGATGTTGAACTGCTTTGCGCGATGAAATCTACACATTTCATCAGGTACAATGCTACTATGAGGTTACTATGGCACATACCATCAATTTGATAGAGTTCCATTTATCATTCTTAGATCGCTTTCTCCTAGCATTGTAAAGTACTTGAATTGTGATGGTGTTTTGCAGTGATGGAGCTCCTCCATGCTCTTATTCATGAGAGAACGTTTGTGCCGCAAGCATCGTAAGCGATGTCAGGTCTTCTTCAGCATCAGTATAAGGTTTTACGGATGGCCAAGTTCTATTAGCATCATTAGTACTCGCCGAAGCGAAGGTCGCCGACTGCGACTCCACGAACTCCAACTCTGCATCACTACTCTGAACAGAAAATTCTGGCTTGGAAACATTGAAGTTGATCCATGGGCCGGCATCAGCAATGCGACAAGCTAGCCATAATATGCGTTCCTTTCGTTGCTCGAGCATAGACGGAAGCTCGCGGTATTTCTCTTCTCCATCGGTCTTCTCGTTGAGAAACCATTTTTCAGGGAAGTATTTTTCTGCCCATAGTAACCCGCGCATTCCAAAGTCTTCTGGAAAGGGGCGGACATCATCTTTCTCTGGCAGTGGAAAATTGTTATCTCCAATGCGGCTTAGAGACTTGTAGGGCTTAAGTAACGTATTGAGCATAATAGCCAGAGATTGCCACGGGAACGCTGGTGCCAAAAGCTCCATCGCGCCTGAAAAATGAGACATACGGAACATGAAAACGAGGGAGACGTGGATAAAAGGAAGAACATTTGGATCGCCTATTCTTTGCAATACGATCTCCAATGCAGCATTGCTAAGGTTCTGCGCATGTTTGAATGTCGTCATGGAGGGAGAAGATTCGTCCAGAGCTTCATCCATGTCAACGTCAGCTGCTTTTTCTTCTGAAGAAGGCGCGATAGCTTTCATAAGAGGATTTTCTTTGGACGCAAATCCAAGCATTGCAACACTATTGGAGATGGCAATTTGACAGCCTTGATCCATGAACTTTTTCGTTACTCGCCCGATTTGGCTGTCAAGTAGTGCAAGAAACTCTTGGACCGCAGGTTCAAACCTTTCCATGGTTCTGTTTGTAAACAAATGCCCATGAGCTCGGATAAATGCAGTATCCAAAGGCGGCAATCGATACTGACCTTGCCCATTTTCAGCATTGAGGATAGGATCGAAAAGTGTAAGTATCGATTCTCGTGCAGATGTAAAGGGCACTACAACACACAACGATTTTGCATAGTAATACAGTTGTTGGAGAGCATTTGGGCGTGCTAGAATAGCAAGGTGATGATACAGCCTACCGGTTGTAGGGGCTTTATCGGAAGCCTTCGAATACCAATGACGTGCTACCCCAGTCCAGACCTCTCTGTCCCTGATATCGTCATCTTCAATAGCCATTCTATATCGTCCTAGATCTCCCAAGCACTCAATCCAAGTATCTTCGAAAGCGGGCACAGTCTCATACAACAAAGCCATCATCGAGTATGCCAAGTATATGAATGCAAGCATATGGTCAAGTGAGGCAGGGAGTCGGTGTCTGAGAAGTTCCAGAAAGGAATGAATACCATGACGCCACATTCTAGCAGGCATAGCATACTTTGATGCTAAGCGACGTAGAGCAGGGCTAGCCGATGGATGCTGGGAAGCTAAAAAGAAGTCGTGATGCTCGTGGAGTAAAGTACGGTGCAAAGCGATAAGAGCTTGCCATTGTTCGTTGTTGAGCTTCGGTTGGACGGGGGGATTACCTTGTGTAAGTGTAGCTTGCTTATTATCAACTTCAATACACTTGGCTTCAACCATTACAAGACCAGCATATATGCCTTTGACCTCTGCTACGAGTTGATTTTGAGAGATCGGCCTTGTCTCGGGCTGCAGAATAATGCTGTACTCTTCACTTTGGGATCTTGATTCAGTTTCTGAGGCTATCCTATTGGGTAAGATTACAGACGGTGTGTTGGCCTGCGTATGATGGTGTTGCTGCTGAGGTTGATTTGCATGCAGTGCTGGTCGAATGGAAGTCTGAGGTGCAGATGTTTTCATAGGTCTGCGATTAGCTGGTTTAAACATCTGAGCTCGAGATTTTGAGGCTTGTGTGGAAGCAATGTTGGAGGGATCGAAGGATGATCTTGTAAATGGCGAGTCTTGATCAGGAGTCCACAGTTGTCCCTTTGTAGCCTGTCGCCGAGTTTCGGTATCCGATACAGGAATTTGTCCAGAAGTTGGACGAGCTAGAGATCTTCGCGGCGGAGGTGATTCTGATTCTTCGCGGAATGGTGATACTGAACCTGCTGATATGCCATCTCCGACGGCAGCCCTCTTGCGCGGCTTATCCACTGTGGTTTCTTCATCCTCCATAGTGTTGCCTTCATTTGGTCCTAAGTTCAGTGCCTGAAGGCCAGAAAGCGATCGACTAGGTTGGGTAGAGTTGAGCGGTCGCTTAGATTGTAATTGTAAAGTTGGAGTGGTTGAGCTAGCTGTGGCGGCCTCATTATTTGAAGGTTTCTGGGGTTGTGAATCATCTTTTGTCGTTCTTTGTGCTCTCAGTCAGCCTTACTTTTCCTGGAAATATAGCAACAGCCTTGCATATCTTGCCCCCACAGATGCAATTGTCAGCGGATCAGACTAACCTCTTCAATGCGCTCTCAATCTCGTAAGATTTGCGGAATCGTTTAAGTTCGTCTTGATCAGTTGGGATTTTATCCCGATGGTCCTTTTCTGCATGGTTCCACAAGTCGGTTTCGGAAAGGCATATCTTGCGCTCCAGGCATAATTTGCATGCCCAAGACTGAGTTGTCTTCGTATTTCGGCGCTGATGCTGTATCCATAGATCGCTTACATCTGCTGTTTTCTTCATTTCTAAATTTTTGTCAGCGCCATGTCTACTCATCATAATTCGGGGCGAGGCTTTCAATATTAACATACCGAGTTGGATCTGGAGTCGGGGTGTAGATTGATAGGTAGTACATGCGCCTGGATTTTCAGGTTCCTGCTGACAAATGTGTTGTTTATGCGCTGATTGAAGATAAATTTATTATCGATTTGTAAAAGTTCATTGAATAATCCGAGATCAACGGAAATATATCAATGGCATTGAAAAGTAGAACCTCCTTGATTCTGTATTTGAGAGTTTGCGAAGCCCTCTATATATATATATACATATCTGTGAGCTACTTTCAAATCTTTTTCAACACGTGTGAGGTGAGGCTCTCGACAGATTTAAGGCGAAGGGAAATTGGCGAACCATTTTGCAACCCACCACATTCGGTGAATGGAGCTCGCTCCAAATTAGTTCACCGAAATCTTAGGGACTTTACGTTTAAAAGCTAACAGCGTAGAAACTGCAAGGCCGATCGATTATAGTACACACATATAGAAAAATAAATACAAATAATATATAAATGACGTAAGCGGAAAGACCTCGCACAATCAAACATTAAAATGTAACAGATAAACTAAATGCGCATTTCTTTTGAAATTTGTCTAATTCACTCACTGCTTTGATCTCCAGAGCTTCAATATTGATATTACTGTAGCTACCAGGAAATATTTGAACCAAATAGTGGACGTGCATGGCCCCCAGAATATCCAACCTCCACGTGCGGGAATTCCATTCAGCCTTGAGTCTTAGATAAACCCTCCCTTTTCCAACTCGTTCGCCAGTGTTCTCCAAACCATATACGTGTAGTTCAGGATTCCCTATCGTTAAATTGACCATAAGACCTCGAGGTTCTGCCCGTCGACTCACATTCACATCTCTTTCCTTCATCATGACCTCCTTTCCCTAGGTACCTAGGTACATATTGACATTGGCATTCACATCCACATCCTCAGCATCTATTCAATGGTTTACGAAGTGAGCATGATTGTAGGACAGCATACAGCCGGCCCCTTGTGATACATACTCTCGCGCCGTATTCTAAGCCAAAGTACTATAGTCTCAGCTTTCTAACTATCTACTAATACTATCGGTCATTCATTCACTCGCCAACTCCCCTTTCCAACCACCATACCTACGTGCCTCATCTCTTGTCAATTTCGAAAAAAACTAACTCTTTGGGAACCAAGCCCATTCCTCACCGGTAGCATGGAGTTGACTGATCACAATCGCTGAGGATCAAATGATCCACGACACCTAAATGGCGGTGCATGTTTCAAGAATTCGTAACAACCTCAATTCCTCCATTACAGACTACGCATTTAGCACCTTCAAAACATATGGAACAGACCGTTAATCTCTTGACGCTGTTCTTTTAAGGAGTGTAGCGTTTAGCCATATTGATGGGACGAGTAGAACTACCGTATAAACTTGCTTATGAGAGGTGCCTAAGAACCGTGCACTCAGATGTAAGCCACACGAAGCGTCGTGGCTTTGCTGTGGTGGCCTACGTCTGAGTGCACGGTTCTTAGGCACCTCTCATAAGCAAGTTTATACGGTACGCGCAATCAGAATGAGTCTTTTGCCGAATTCTTGCCTTGTCTCAAAATTACCCACATATTATACATATCTGAAATCCCAAGATGTTTTCAGATGACTTGCTTTTTAACAAAAAAAGAAAGGAGCTTTGAAACTTTAAGATTGTTGCTTTTCTGCCTTCAATCCTCCTTTAATGCGGAATCTAAGCGGGTGTCTTTGTGAGCAAGTTGCAGCACAGATCGCTATACAAACAATGATCGAAAGTTTGATTAATTTCACCGCTTCGTACCATTGAGCTTTTAAATGCCTCGAACAAGGTACTCCGTAGACGTGAAATATTGCAGTTCGGTGTCGGACATTACAAAATTCACGTTGGGGGGCTGGTATATTACACCTACGTTAAGGTCAACAGCATGACTATATTTTCTTATTCGGCGTGCTTTGAGGATGAGGGATCCTCCTTGTTCCTACGTTCTCATTGTTTACCGAGTTGCTCCTTTTACCCGGGCGATCTCAAGGCTCATAGGCATCAGCTGAATCTTAGAAGAACAAATATACTTGTCATCGCTTCTAGATACACAAACCGATTCACAATAAAAGCCCAAGGCGAACTTCACGAGTTTTATTTAGCTTTCATAAGCAGTTTGACGAAGATGTTGCGGCTGGGCACAAAAAGATGCGAATAACCTGGCATTTGCATACGCATAACTTCCCAGCTACTGCCTTGCGCAAGCATAGTAAGGTTTCATTTGCGAGTGCAAACATACATTTCACTGAAAAAGGAAATTGGCAAAGAGGGCCCTACAAGTAAGTTGCCGCGCTTTGCATCGTGACAAACGCGGGTCTAGCATATAAATCTGTACGACCAAAAAGCGCACGGAGACTTCTGCACATACCCACCTAGTTAAATTCATGCTCCCACCCGTTAAACAAATGACTAGGCGAATCCGTCCAGCGTCACGGGGGGCTATTTTGTTTGTAAGCCTCCCTATTTTCGTTTCGCTTCTTTTCAATATCTCCCAAAAGTAGAAGCCTGGCGTTTGCCTTACGGTAGGAAGATGACTTTTCTCTTAAAATATCATGATGGTGATATGAGTGGTACGAAAATTATCTCCTGTTCTCTCGGATCTAAGCGGCCGGCGAAACCCGAAAGGGGCGAAGAGGCGGGTGATCCTACTCCTACTGTACTAGAATTGCATTACAATTCAATTCGTTCACTTCCGCTCGTGTTCCGCTCGTGGGATCAAATATTCCGTCTATGCCCGCCGCAAAGTTCTCTATATTTTTTAAGGAGAATATTTTAGCAGACGAGAACGAAATTTGAAATGGGAAAAGTTCGTTTGTGAAAAGAAGTCCGATCGGCTTATGCATCCAATGCTGGCATCTCATTGGTTTACAGCCGAGTGGCTGTACACGCTTGGTGAATCGTGGCAAAGGCTGTGAGATTATAATTAGTAACAATCTTTGCTGAATCTTCTTGGACTGCATCAGAGATTTCTAATCCCATCTATAGACACATTGGCAATTGTAATCAAATCGAATTTGCACCATTCAGGATACCTGCAAGTTTAACATCAAGTTTTTCCGCTCGGTCGGCAAAATGGTGGCGGTCCGCCACACTGTAAGTACTTGTACCGAGCTGATGATAGAAACTCAAATTTCCACAACCAATATTCGCCTTCAAGCTGTAATGTTACGGCTCAATGATTAGGAATACCTTTCTAGTTACCACGCCATTTGATGCTTGGAATACCCATCGCTCTTGCCTTGCTCCCTTTTGTCATGTTGATGACTGGTACACTACCCGGATAAGCCAAGCTCAAGTTCTCTTGATCTAGATTGCTCGATTGACATCGGCGGGAATGCTAAGCTGTACCAAATATGCAGTTCCCTCTTTTACGAATTTTTGTCCCGTCAACTAATCATGTTCTCAGGAATGTCTGTTGTCGAGCTCTGATGCTTGGATGACCATGGGGGCCACCCGAAAAGCTAATGCTGAGCATATCATTACCATCTTCATTCGGATACTTGTGGTCCAGTAGATTAAGTATGACTAACTTTTGCCATCCAATATCGGCGTGCTTAGGATACTACCGCAGATCGTATCTGTCCAGTACGACGTACCTCATCCAATTGACTCAACTTGCTAGACTCGGTGAAGAATCAATAGCGCATCATCACTCCTTCAGGCTCATTTAGCGTGTTTGCCTTTGCGGAACTGGTCGCTTTGATGCTGACAGTGGTTGAGGCGCTCGTAACAGCTGGCAGGGAATTGCAATGAAATTGGCATTGGTAGGCAACAGCATGCTTTGCGTGTAGACGTTGTATGAATTCAAGGACTACACAGAGGCCACATTGAATGCCCCTTAATCATCAAACTGCCCTCGGTGCTATTTCTGGGTCCATCCATAAGTCTTATTTGAAATGGTAAAGTGGAGATCGCGGTCGACGTGTTTGGGAAATTCGACGGCACATGACTCATCCAGGCAATGTGATGAGTACACATCCTCAGGGGCCCATTGCACATAATCATCCTAGGCCTTCGTGCGAATACGCTGGAAAAGCCAGCAGACATTGTGAGACGAAAATGAGACGGAAATAGACTGGTCGGAAGATACGAAATGCATTGGTCCGTATGAGCTGCTATGAAATTTGGATGTAGGTTCCGCTGCTCCTTGCGATTCTAGCAACTCGGGCTAGAGATTCTCTGGTTAAGAACAATCCTAGCCCTCGACATATTAAATCTGTTGGTGTATTGGATTGTTTGAAATGGTGAATCCATTGGAAGGTCAAACATGCTAAGTGATGGGTCGAGTTTCGAGTTTTGAGACCCAAGCCTATTGGGTAAACTGCTAGTGGTGAGTGATAAAGAGCTTCAAATCACTAGAGTGCAATGCACTGCCTCTAAATGCACATCTTTCCAAATTGATAGAAAGCAAAGGGGCCAACGGCATCACAACGTCAGCCGGGTCCCATAGCATTGACGGCAATTGTCTTGTTCGCGCAGATGATGCATCCGCCTTGCTATAAGTTGATGCCCAATCATTACTATAGTGAGCCTTTCGTTTTTTTGCGTAGCATAATGGAATTTGTCTCGCTTTTGTGAAACAGCTTTTGCCGATATATTATGCTTGTGACTGTAGATAATAATGCGATAGGTGACAGAAAAGGTAAGAAATCGCTCATGGCCCACATAGCTGGAAATAGCCATGGAATTCAATCTATGTTGTTGAAGATATGGATTATAGAAAGTCAGACATCCTGTTAAAGACACATCTTTCTTAGACAGAGTATTCACTTAATTATAGTCACCCCACGATACTAACTTGCACACATACGAGATAGCAACTACCCGCTGGAGCTACCGGTTCCCAGGCCCGCGGGCGCTCAGCACAGCGTCATTCTGATACTACCGCACCAATTTTTGGGTCAGTCTGGTGGCCAAATTTGAAGCATGTCAAGGCTCTGCTAATTAGTATGACTGCAAAAGAGAAACCATACTGCGTACAACATGCACTATAAGTACAGAACCACCGCAATGTCCCTGGTGAGACGCACACTCGGGAGAAACTAGACAAACTTGTTGTCGCCAGAGAAGACCTTTAGCAGTACCATATTGTTTGCCTTTACGCGATAATCATCGGAAAAAGACATGAATTGCCATTACTGGTGCCGTGCATCAGTCTCATGGCCGGCAAATGTTGTATTATCTGGGGTTGGAGAACATATGTAGAACGTTGGACCAACCTGATGTCGTACGGCTGCAAAAATATTGACGCAACATCATCGATTGCGACTTCAAGCAGCGTAATATATAGATCGTTGTGTGATATTGGCGAGAATGAACCAGCGGGGCTTTTATTATACACTTCCGTAGTAATTTGTGGTGTTATGATAATTCTGTTACCCCCACCCATACCATAATGATTTTCATGATTCAACGAAACATCACCTGAATAATCATACGACTTTGAGTGAAATCTTTGCAAATATGAAGACTATGATTTGAACCAGAAATTTAAATTAAAATAGAACTCTTGTTTCTCAATTGACATATACATGATTCGATTTTCTTGGAACGTCCAACAATCACGTAACGCTCCGTACGGTAACATGGAACCGACCAATATCTCTTCGAGAACAAGCGGGGACAGATCAGCGCTGAGGAAATGTGGGCGTCATGTGATAAGCCCACGAACATTTTGTGGTAATGAAGTAGATTTGCTCAAAACAGAGCAGTTTTGCATACGCACTGGCATCTCCATATCTGTGCTATGGCCAATCCTTACTTCTACGAATCTGACTCTTGACGTTGTCGTGACTCGTGCTCATAGCCGTACCAATGGGACTAGATGCCAAGCAAGCACAAAGCATTCTTCAATCGTCTTACGCAGTGCACGAAGGTATCATGTCTATATCACACCAGAGTCGATGATTGATATTAGATCGCATGTGATTTTTGTATCTCAACGCCTTGAAGACGTTGGGGACGAAGAAGAAATGTAATCAATTCGAAAGTCAAAGTCAAGCTGCTTCCTGTTCTTGCATCTAAGCGTCTACTTGTCATTGGTCCTATAATACAACTATGGCACCATGCCTGACTTACAGTATTCGATGCTCTTTCAATATCCTTCATGGACTATGATGGCGGGTTGCATAAGTTATGTTTCCGTGCTGAAAGGGTAGGATGTATTTTTGGCATGGATTGTAACATGATAGTATATTACATGTCGAGGCTACAAAAAGTTTCCTCTAACAAGCTTGTTATTCACTCTACGTCGTAATAGTCAAAGTTCTCTACCTCGCGTCCGAGTGATTGTGAGGTTTTTGCTCTGTCCAATCTACAATTTGGTCGTTAGAATTCCTTTCGCTGCGTGGTAAAGGGGTACTCGAAAAGCTCATGATTACAGGAAGTTTCCTGTTTGCTAAACACCCGATAGATAATGCTTGGTCAAATGAACAAGCAATTAAGCAAGCTACAATAACAAGTGACTGAAATTTGGGATTGAGTCACCACAGTCAGTACCAGTCGGGTGCCGGGACTGGGTACTAACAACTTTTTACACAGTATGGAAAATCTCGGACGCCGTGTGCAATTACGTGTCTGAAGCTGCGGTATTGAAGGTCTTCAACGTCAGGATATTGGGCATCTTCTTCAAACCCAAAATCCCTTCTCTTTGAGATGGCCCTATACTGACCACTTTCTCTCTCCAAGTGGGTTTTTTAAGGCGTATCAATCAAGAAATCTTCTACACTGACTTTCTTGGGTTTGTTGATTAATCCAAAGTCTCATCGGATGGCTGATTGTCTTCTTTTCTTTCAGTGTCTAATGATTGGCAAAATTGCCTCGCGACACCTCATATGGCCCACATTGGGCTGAAATCAATGAGACCGAGCCTAGATTCTGCCAACACGGTCTCAGCACATGCTTTGCAGGCTTTCTTGTTCTAGCTATCATCGCTACTCGCAGTCTTCATAATCTCATCATCGCGCAGCCCTCTTACCGCTAGTCCGTGCTGCTATTAACACCAATCATTCTCAATGCTGCGTCTGCATGTACGACTTCAATGATGCAATCTCGCCTCAGGAGCTTATGTGAAGAGACTGGTTTTCGAATCTACACGTATAACAATGCTATGCTACTTTCCACCGGCGCAGTCTCAAGCTACGCTGTTCTGTGATCTGGGCAGCCTGTAATGATACTTGCCTTCGGTGAGTCAAAGCCCCGAGCAGCATATCATTACCTCAAAATTAACAAATCGCTAGGTAGAAATCATAAGGCACAACGTGAGCCTCTAAAACGAAGCATTTCCAAATTCTAATATCGTTTAAGGGATATCTTGATCAGCAACTGAAGCACGATTTTAATAACCTACGATTTTTGGTTGCCGAGAGGTGCAAGTTTCGTTCTTATTGTTTTCCGCTCCACGAGCACATGATATGCACATGATCATTATGATTACAGTCTGCGGCTAAAACTCCTTAAACAGCCATGCATGTTTGAAGCCCTAGCAGCTACATCTGAGGATGCTTAGCTGCCAAAGTGGGGTGGATATACTAAATGTTAAACATGTAACCCCGGCACAATATAAGAAGCAGCTTGCGGGCGAGGCAACCAATTCTAGATCCATCCTTCAATATTCTTTCGGAAATTATGTCTGAAATTTGCATAGGCTATCCGCTTAAATTGACGAAAGCAGCGATGCTTATATTTGTTTACTTAAATCCTTGCCGGTTTTCGGGAAATGAGCCTTACCAAAGTATTAATATGCTATGAGCTGCTAAAAGATTTGTAACAATATACCGGTAGCTATTACCACGATTTGACGACCATTTTCCAAAAAAGAAAACATACATTTTGATTACATAAATTGCAAATATACATGGCTCGATGGCTAATGAATGGTAGATTAAGATTCGGTTCGGCTGAGGTGTGATTTGCAGCCCTAGTTTGGTAAGGGGTCCAATTGGTTGCCAGTATTTGCATCGAATCATTTTTCTCAACATAGCCAAAAATGTTGTGCAATGACGGAAAAGAACTGTGCGACTTTGCCCGCATATATATAATTGCATGTGCAAGCTGCCATGCTCGAAACCAACAGTTTCATATGTTTATTGATACGATTGGCACAGCTAAGATTAAAAATTACTAACAAGTCACACAATATCACCCTTGGTGTGCAGCCGGATATGCTTTCCCGATAGGAAAGGGACGTCGGTGAATGTATTCGGAGAAATTTCATCATGGCGAGAAGAAAAGGCAGGCAAATGGCTGGGGTCGGTACGGCTTCTCACCTCTTTTGACAGGATGACTTCAATGACTCAAATATCATTCTGGAACAAGCGGCTGCTAAGTACATCTCCTAGGCTGGGTCTCACGCCTACATTTGCGAAGCTTGCCTTACCGGACAACAGCTCCGGTCCACAAAAGCAAGTAATAGCAATGCACGTGATTTGCACGCTAAATGATATGTTATGAATCAAAGCAAGGCTCCAATAAGGAGCTTTCTCCGGGCTGACAGCTAAGTTTTGCCACGACATGAAGATTTCCTCTTGTCGTGTACCAATAGACACGAACATAGCCATTTGTTATCGGGATTTTTGAGAGGCCTTGAAATCTCTCAGATTACCATGATATGCACCGCATAGAAATTGAAAGGCCAGTGTCTTCGATGGCCTGTAACAAAAGAAGCAAGAGGTATTTTCTGAAATGGCTAAGTCTTAGTACACTTCGTGTAATGTAAAAAGAATTTGGCTGTGTGACTGGATAAAGTCTGATGTGATTTTGGTATTGCGGACGCATATCTGCTCTTCGAGGGCTCGTGAAATGCATTTTGAAGCATTCTAAAAAGACAACATTTATATGAGCCTGACTTATGTGATGTTGACTGAGTTTTAATCTTGAGTAAACCTCCTAATTGGACTTGACAAAAAAAACCTGAGATGTTCTCGCTGAAAGTGGCGCCTGAGCCTGTATGGAGCTTTCATACTCAGACCAGAGAGTTTCAATAGTGCTAGCGCCACGAGGCTCACACCACTATCTCCTAATTCATGTTGAAATAATTAGGTCAGTGTTCCATCGACCATGAGACGAGAAAGAACATCTTCAATAGTGGAAGTTTACTTAACCCTGAATCTAGCTTCAGATTTGCATGCTTTGGAATAAATTGCACACCTGCCAACAACAATTTTCGCATATCTATCTCAGCAACTATGAGCCAAGATCTCAAATCCTTTGATTTCAAATAACTAAGAACGGTATGGAGAACCTCATTACACCAACATGATGATAATCTCAGCCTTTAGCTATACCTATGTAACTCATATAATCTCCGGTCTACAACCCGATATTATTGAGGTTGATAAAGGAGGTTGGGAATTGCGGTGGGCTTCGATCCCTAGGCTCAAGCAAACGACACTGGCTTTTCGCACTTAGGATTATATTTATATGGCGATTGGAAGAGGAACTCCACCGCATCTCCATTTTTATGCCGAAGAAAGAAAACTTGTCGCCTTGGACCTAATGTGTCAAGTCAAAACAAGCATAAACTGACCTCAATTGACTCGTACAGGGAGCTGCATATCACAAAGTTTCAGCCCACCTGATCGTTACTGAGATCTTGAGGTAAAACTCCATGACACCCAGGTCTAATGCCTTTCTTGACAGCTGGAGCGTGGCCGTATGACATTTCACTATGTTTTGTTTGTTCTCAGATCTTTTCATTGTATTTAGATCAGCAAAAGGCATTTTTGGTAGCTGCAGCACGGCTGAAGGGTAATGATACTGGCAAGGAGTTGTCTATCTATAACTGCACCAAGATCAAGGAAAGGTATAGGTAAAGTTGATGTAAAACCTTTGCACAAGCTATATGCTAACCCAATCTGAAAGAGTGCCTGCGTATTAAGCTCCTAGAGGTTGACATGCTTAAAGGTCTCAAATACAACATCCTTTTCAAATTATACTAGGTTTTTTTTAATCAGGATTAATAGAGCAGACTTCTTTCCAAAAACCACTTTTTCATCGCGAAGGATACTGGCAACGAGATTTCTGTCAATCACTACTTCAAGATCAAGTACAATCTAAGTTTTGACACATTCCCCTTAATTAAGATTGGGCAACTTCTCCTCGCCATCTACTTTTCCATTCCAGAGGATATTGGCAAGGAGATATTTGTAAATAATTACTCCGATCAAGTACAAGATCCCACTTGGGTTTTGGTAGGTTTCTCTTGGGCTAGGGAGCAAACTTTCTTTCCAGTGGGAATTTGTACTTTGGTTCCCAATAAGTACTATAGTAAGACTTAAGCTTGTCTTTGGAAGCCAATGGTTCATCCTTCAATTTATAGGGCTATCATTGATGTTGATCCCGAGATCTCCAACCTCTGACCTCCACTAGTTCGGATGAATGTCGTAAGAAATCCTTATACATCAACCAAACTTCGGTATTATCATCGATGGTTGTATTCAAACACCTATTATCAAGAACTTTTCTTTAGGTGTTTATGCTTACATTGGTTATGATGGTATTCAAGGTCTGCCAACAGAACCTAAAGGTCAAGAATGTGGAAACTGCTCTTCGGAAGACCTCTTAGCGCAATTTCGTATTCAAGAGAACCAAGAAGGTTCTCTTCATGGTACGCAATTGCTACAGAAACATGGGATGACCTGTCTTTTTATATTTTTCGAAGAATTTCTTATCGGTGTGTCCAGCTATTCTGTTTCGTTTCCGCAAAGGTTGATCTTTCAATATCTATATGTATGGCTAGAGATAATCAGGACTCCTGATTCAGGAGTCTCATGTGTCGCTCCAGAAACGTATATATCCGTATGAGATCAACGTGGGATGTATCAACGTTTGCAGTGCTCCCATGGCTTGGAGTCGGACATAACAGGAGATCTTTCTCTGGTTCTGAAAGAGGATTGTGCGATGTATGTTTGGAAGGAGTCTTCTGGTGACGATAATGGGAATGATGAGGTTTGGAAGGGATGTTCTAGAATGTATCGTCCCGCTCTAGAATGTTGGAAGCACTCTATCGTTCATCTTGTCGCTGAACTTAGATAGTGAGCCCCTATAGTCTTTTAGCATAAAAAATTTCAAGACTAAATAGGATGGAAGAATTTTCACACCACCTTGGGCTATATGACTGCTGCCCTTCAGTCAAAAAGATGAGTATCTCGATCTCGATCCTGAAGACACACTGAGCTAGAGAGGATACACTTCACAGCATGATGTACCTCAAGTGAAAAGTTCACCAAGCATCAAATCAAGATAGAGAAAACCTCTATTCCGCTCCATGAAGGAAAAAGAAACAAAAGTGAATTGAGTAAAGAGCATGTGGAATATCATAAAGAAGATACCCCCACCTTCTATTATAAGGCTGAAGCCGACACCCCAAGCATACGAATTCGGGGCTATGTGAATTGTATTGAGAGAATTGTGGCGATTCTCGTGTATCGTGAGCTCTGCAAGAAGGTTCGTATTATGGATCATGGTGTGTAGGACCATGGTCTTGGGTCATCTTAGCATGAACTGCAGTCTTGGGAGTTTTTCATGGCGTTTCACTGATTATCTGTGTCACCACCGTTTTAGTTGCGTAAGTAGGTTTATGTATGTATATTTGAATTAGACGTTGTGCTAGAGTTCACATCGCTTGTTTTATATGGGGTACTGAGAATATACGGTGTAGAGTTGGCAGGTATTGCATTTCTTGAAGACTAATATGCTACAGAGCTTACCTTTCAAATAGATTACACTACTCATAAACTATTGAAAGGACTATATACCTTCTCTGTTCCAGAATATAAAGGGTTGTACAAATCTTATGCTGTGATGAAAGTAGATGCAGAGGATAAAAATAATCTATGTCAGAAGACCATGTGTTTAAATCTTGTACTTCTCGAACATTACCTCATTCGCAAAGTACATATTGATTCTTACTTAAAAGACATTTAACCGTCTCATATATATATTTCTGAGTTTCAATTTCCAATCGAAAGATATTGATATGTTTTCAAGTATCATTGACCGCCAGCCATCACCTTCACTGTTCTTGGACTATAAGTTAAGGGGAAATGATATACATGTTAGAGTCTTGGTATTTTCATCATACTGTTATAATTGGAAAAGGTATGTTAAAAGAATTTGTGTTTTGATTGAAGTACTTGATTATTATTGGTATAAAACTCTAAGAAAGCAAAATATATTTATTATAAGGATATCACAATATATATATGTATATAAAGAGCATCATGTATACAAAAATTTTCTGTAATCTTTGAAAAATATTATAATAATATTATATAGTAATTAAATTTTATTATTATTATTATTGATATAATATTATATTATAAAAGATTTCACAGTCTATACAGCTAAAACTACATTGTGAGTATATATAATAAGAATTTTAAAAAGAATAAACTTTTAATAATCACCAAAAAAATACATAAAAACACAAATACAATCACAAAAAGCATAAAGAACAAACAATAATTAAACAATAAATCTCTTAATACTCTCTTCAAGGGAAAAAGACTCTATAATTACAGTGTAAGATTACACACACACTACATTTTCATACGCTCTTTCTTTCAATAACCCGCATCTATTACTCATTCAAGATCATAATTAGATCCCTCCCTCTCTTTCCCACTTTCCCTCCCAACCCAACCCTCATGTATAACATGCCAGACAGGCGTAACGTCCATAAAAATGGAACAAAAGCTGATTACAAAATTTTCCTTCCTTCCCTCCGCCGTTAGGAAAAAGAATCAGGTGTGTGTATAAAATAAAGTGAAATGAAAATATGGTATCGAAGTGAACGCCTCCCGGGGTTTGATGCTATGTATGCATAGCCATAGGTATGATGAATATGTTTTTTAAAGAGCGAAAATTGCAAAGAGAGCCGCAGCAAAGAGTCCACCAAAGCCACTGGTGGTCTTGATTGCGCTACCGTTGAAGGTGATGGGTTGAGCGGTGGCGGCAGGTGGAACGTTAGTAGCTCCTGCGGCACCAGATACAACTTGGCTGGTGCTGGCGCTGGCGCTGGTGCTAGATGGGAAAGAGGTAGAGTAACCAGCAGCTTGGGAAGCAGCGGTGGTACCTGGAATAAGGGCTACGCTAGGGGTTGCAGATCCGACAGCTGGGGCTGTGGAGAAAACAACTTGTGGGACTGTAATTGCGGTGGCAATGACGGTAGTGGTTGATGAGGATGGGATAACGGATCCGGAGAGTGAACCAGTTGACTCAGTGCATGGAACGACTATAGTAGTGCTGAGAGTGACGGTTGTAACTGGGGTAGAAGCGACACCTTGAGCGGATGTAGTAGCAGCAGCACCGCTTGAAGGAGCTGGAACGTAGACGGTTGAAGCAGCGGTAACGATAGCTGGGTTGGTAGAGACGTGAGCAGCACAAATACCTTGGAGGTATTTCTGAGCAGCATCAATATCGGATGCGGAAACACCATATGCGGATACACATCCAAAGACGTTGGAAATGAATGAAGAGTCTGGGCAGTAGCAGTTCGAATCAGTGTTAGACTCGCAACCAACCAAGTACATCCAGGTGTTCAAGCATTGAGGTAAAACGTCTGGGCATGGAGCAGTTTCAGTTGGGGTGACTGCACTAGAGGTGGTAGTAAGACCTTGAACTGAGCTGGCTGGAGCAGTGACAGTGATGACAGTTGAGGAAACGATAGTAGAGGATGAGTAAACAGTTGAGAGACTTGAGGTAGTCTCAAAGCTGGTGACGCCTCCGATAGTGTGGGTCAAAGTGACTGGGCAGACAGTAGTAGATGTTTGAATAACAACTGTAGTGATGGCAGTAGTTTGAATGCTAGTGGCCGTTGGAACTGGAATTGAAGTGACACCTTGAACTGATGAAGAAGCAGCGTTGCTTGCAGTAGGGGCTGGAATAGATGTGATACCTGGAGCACTTGAGCCTGGAGCACCTGGGGCACTTGAGGCCGGAGCACTTGAGCCTGGAGCACTTGGAGCACTTGAGCCTGGAGCACTCGAAGCGGGTGCACTTGAGCCTGGAGCACCTGGGGCACTTGAGGCCGGAGCACTTGAGCCTGGGGCGCTTGAAACACTTGGAGCACTTGAACCTGGAGCACTCGAAGCGGGAGCACTTGAACCAGGAGCAGATGAAGCTGGAGCACTAGTTGGGATAATAATGCTAGTAATAACACTTGAAGTAACAACCGTAGATGAAGAGCGAACAGTAGAAGTCGTTGAAGTAGTCTCAAAGCTTGTTACACCTCCGGTGGTATGAGTCAAGGTAACTGGGCAAATAGTGGTTGATTCATGAACAACGACGGTAGTGTAAGCAGTTGTAGCGAGGCTGGTTATGCTGGTAGTGGCATGGGATGAAACTGGAGCAGTTCCGACGGATGTACCGATGATGGAAGAAACCTTCGACGAAGATGGACTAGATCCGGAGGAAACTGGGCAAGCAGTTTGACCAGAAAGGAGGACACCTGAAGATACACATGGAACAGAGGGAGATGCAGAACCAGATGAATGTGGAGCAGTGACTGATGTACCGATGATGGAGCTTGCAGATGATCCTGGAGCAGATGAGGTTGGAGCAGATGATCCTGGGGCGCTCGAAGCTGCAGCAGATGAGGCTGGAGCACTTGAAGCTGGAGCGGATGAATGTGGAGCAGTAACTGATGTACCGATGATGGAGCTTGCAGATGATCCTGGGGCACTTGAAGCTTGAGCAGATGAACCTGGAGCAGAGGATGCTGGTGCAGATGATGCTGGAACGGACGAAGCTGGAGCAGATGAACCTGGAGCGGACGAAGCGGGAGCGGATGAACCTGGAGCGCTTGAGGCTGGTGAACCTGGGCGGCTTGTGGCTGGTGAACCTGGGCGGCTTGAGGCTGGTGAACCTGGAGCGCTCGAAGCTGGTGAACCTGGAGCGCTTGAGGCTGGTGAACCTGGGGCGCTTGAGGCTGGTGAACCTGGAGCGCTCGAAGCTGGTGAACCTGGGGCGCTCGAAGCTGGTGAACCTGGGCGGCTTGAGGCTGGTGAACCTGGAGCGCTCGAAGCTGGTGAACCTGGGGCGCTTGAAGCTGGTGCAGATGAGGCTGGAGCGGATGAACCTGGAATCTCTGTGGCAGTAACTGGGCAAATGGTGGTAGAAATTGGGATACTATAAAAAACATTAGAAAAAAGTACAAAATCGCAGTTATATTAAACTTACATGACAGTAGTCAAAGCAGTCGATCTAGCTGGACAGTCCGTGATAGAAGCAGCGCAAGAAATGATGGTAGAAACAGAGGTAGCGTAAATGGTAGAAGTAGTTAATTGAATAACAGATGAGCTTCCTGGGGCAGAACCGGCTGGGGAAGAGTGAACAGAGGTACCAATAATGCTAGTGGCAGCACTTGAGCTTGGCTTGATTGTAGTCTTGATGCTAGTCTCGATACTTAAACTTGGTGTAACTCCAGTTCCGATGATTGAAGACTTGGTTGAACCGGTTCCGACAAGTGTGTATGAAGTACCTGTTGGTGAAGGAATACTCTTAACTGGAGTGATTTTGCCGGAAGAGGCAACCAAAGTAGTCTTGGATGAAGATTCAAAAGTGTACTTGGAGGATTCGCTGGAAGTGGTCTTGACAGAAGTAGTCTTGATGTGGGTGGTGGATGGGTGTTGAGTGGTAGATGCCGAACTGCAGTCGAATCCTACCGAGCTAATACCAACACTGCAAGATGCTTTTCCTGTAGCGGCAGTGTGGGTTTGCGATGCAGAAGAGTAGACAACGGTAACGTTCTTAGCACCACCACATTGAGTATTGGAGATGATGGAACCTCGACTTGAGCAAGGAGAGACCTGTTTGCAAGTAGATCCATCGCCCATACCATAGTGGAATTCCAAATCACAGTCAAACTCAGTAGTAACGTGAACTGTAGAGATGGAGAAGGCGGAAATACTGCCAGAGCTTGATGATCCGCCAGATTTGGAGGAACCACCACAGGAGAATTGAGGGCAAGATCCGTGGTTTGATGAAGCTGTACCAGAAATGCATTTTCCTCTTGATGTTCTTGGGAACTTAGGATTATCACGTTTGCCGAAAGAGTTTGAGCATGTGAATCCACTGAAGGAGAAATCGTCGTAGAAGCTGAAGCTTCCAGATGTAAGGTCGCCGAAATCCCATCCACCCTTTTGATTTGAAGAGCACTCATTGTTGGTGTTTGAAGGGCAAGAAAAGCTAGACTTGTCTGACCATCCGGTGGCAGCAACAAGCTGGAAGCCGGTGGCCAAAGCCGCAAGGCCCGATAGAGTTTGAAACTTCATTATTATAAAGTTAGTTGATCAACGAGTGTTGGTATGAAATGAAAAAATAGAAAATAATGAATGAATCTTTTGATGCTGCAAAAGAGATGGAGAGTAAAGAAGTGAATGACTTTAACTCCCACAGGGCGATATAATTATAAGAAAGAGCAAATGAAGAAGTTGTAATGAATGGAGTAGAAACCTAACATAAGGATTCTCAGGATCTGTTATATCTTAAGAAACGGTTGGGCCATGACCACTCCCGCACAGCCTTGATCCCTTTCTTTGGGTCTTTCCGTATTGAGCCACTTGGAAACTAGATGTGACCCTTGTCGAACCATAGTCAAGGATTCTATAGACGAAGAGAGTCTTTGAAGAAGCTAATACTGAGCAAGGCTATATCCTTTCAGGCCCATGCATGCGCGCGCCTTTTTATCCTTTTTCTCTTGTTGTGGAGTCTGTGATCCCACACCTAAAAGAAAGGCAGTTGGCTGAGATGTGCCAAGAAGGTCTTTTGGAAAAAGGCAATGCTTGTTCAATCGAGGGGTGCAGATGCCGAAAAGAACAGGTGAAACTTGACCATGCGAACTACTGCAGGTACACCGTCCCAGTCAGGGGTAATTATCATCAAAGATGGATTTATTTGTTCCTCGTATTAGTCGTGCATCATGATGATGCCCAGAAGCCGTAAGAATCAAAGCTTATTGCTTACATTGCAATCAGACGTAAAACTTCGGACAAAACAAACATATATTTTAAGTATTCAACCCATGGTTTATCTATCTCGCCTTGCTTTTTAGTCGATCTAGAAGTTAGACATATGAATTGTTCAATATTCTGTGGCTCCAAGCGCTCATCGCTCCATAGCCATGGGGAAAATACTTATTATTACTTGCGGAGTTGTGACGCACAAAAAGAGACGTGCCTGGCTGAATACAGGTTAACGCTCAGCCGAGCGGCAAAGGAATAAATGATTGGATACTGTACAATTTAGAAGTTATGCAAAGTATCTTTATGGCTTCTTCGGAGATTTTTACTCTTACGAAAGCGATTCCCCGTTGATTTGATTGGAGGTAGTGTTAAGATCGTAGATAGAATTCAGACGTGAGGTGCCAGAGGTGGTAGTCGATTTGGCTTAGATCAATTAGGATGAACCCGCAAATAGATGCTTACCATCACAGCGGCTGTTAATCTCAAATAACATGATGATTGGACAAATCACGATTGTGGTCGGAGTAAAATCAAGGATGAGAGCGCCATTTAGAACATTTTGGGGATGGGAGAGGTTCATGGGGTAGAAGCAGAAGAGGATCAGTGTTTCACGATTCTTGCACAGCCTCTCCGACAGATACGCTCCGTATATAATATGGAGCCGTGGTTATCATTTATCATCTAGACCTCTTCAACCAATCCAAAACCCTCAAAGCTCAAAATATAAAAAGTAAATAAGAAATCTTTTGAAACGACTAAATACCAAAATCCCCGCATGGTGGATATGAGAGGATAATGTTTCGATAATCGATTTAGGATCCGAGAAAGGATTCCCATTCCCGTCATTTCACTCAAATATCATTACGCTCCATTAAGATTTGCTTATGCTCCCCAGGTATGCAAAGGGGCTCGGGTCACATTGAGTGGCATAACTATTCGTAATATTTTGTTAGGATTGGACCTGTACGCAGTATATGGACGATGGAACTTCATCATCCGTTCTTAGGTATTTGGGGGGATAAATGCAACATTGATCCTGTCCTTTCCCATTCGTTGTCCAAACTCAACAGCTATTAATACACTATATTATGAGGTTACAACACATAAACCTTCGGGGTAAGGGGATCGCATATTCCACCAATGTACACATCTCCGTGCCACGGACTCGCGCTGAAATCATTCGAGGTTTTTTTTCTTTGAGCAAAAGAACCTTTTAGGAATTAAGGACCTCAGGTGACATCCCGGACTGACGTTGAAAAAGGATGTGGTAAATTGGTGGATGCTTCAAGAATCAAGGGCCGGGAGCCCTGTTCAAAGCATAATTAATAACTAATAACTTAATTGGTTACTGGTTACTGGTTACCGGTATCAGTCAGTACTATGATAGTCAGGGCCACATAGCTATCTTTTTGAGCTTATCTAATAGTTGAATTGAGTTAAAACTCTATTAGGGAAAAGAAATTATCAAGTTCATTTATATCGGATGTTTTTTATCTTCACAGTCACAGTAGATCATTGACGGCTTTCATCACTGAATGAGAAATTGATTTTTGGCACAGATGAGAAATCTAGGATCGAAAAAGGAAATGCATTTCCGGTCAGGTAGACTAATGCAGGAACGATTCAGGAGCACATACCCGGCTCATTCGATTTCTTCGGAGTGAGATTCTCATCAGGATTTCGTAGGAGTAAACTATGGACAACCTGGGAATGAGACTCCAACCCTACCCTAACTCAACATGAAGGCCGAAATGGTTTGCTTCCCCAATAGTAAGGTCATATATATCAATACCCATATCCTGCATGATAATACCGAACCGAATATTGCAAACCTAAAATTGGTCAGGATGAGCCCATGTCAATATGTATGGCAATTGTGAGATTCAACACTCAACATTCCACATTCGACATTGAATCAGTCCCATCCCAAAATCTCTTTGTGTCCTATCAGACAGCTGCCATCACATGAAACGTTGCTGGGTATTCCTTGATAAAAAAAAGATACCGATAGGCTGTAAGAGGAAACATTTTCGCATGAAACAATCTTAGAACGCCACCAAAACGGAAAATTGTTCAATACGGAGATTGTTGTTTATGTATCATCGTCAAAAGAATCGTGACACAGTTCAATACAAGAGTACATGATCTGGAATAAATGGTTGATGAATGAATCAATGAATCAATGATATGAAGGTCTGAGCAATATATCTTCTGATTCACGACCACTAATGAGTGTACAGACTCGTGAGACAGGTTGGATAACTTCAAAATACGAAGAATAAACTTATAATTCTACAAAAAACCTAATAACTATTATAGTTCAGATTATATATATACTCTATTTGTTTTAATAATAGTTCTATATCTATTAGATAATTCTTAATATTTTTTGGAATTTCTATTTGTGTAATCTTATTTTATTCTTTTTATATAATAGTTTTTAATTTATTTAATATATTTTGTTTATATTTTTGTATATATTATTTTAATATATTTCAAATTGTTTCAATTGAATTTAGATTAAACAACTGAAAGAAATAAGAAAGGTTTTTAATATAATCGAGATCTTTTTTTAAATTATCTATAGTTTATTATTTTTGAAAGCTTTAAATATTTTGTAATATTAAATATATTTTTATTTTATTTATATTCGTCGAATTTTGAATAAAATTGAGTTTTTTTGGATATCCTAAATCGCTATGTAAAATTCTTTTAAGAGGGGTAATTTTATATTTTACAAAATATATATTGAATAGTATTGTTGAATTGAATTAATTGTTTATATCTTTGAATATTTTGAGTTGCGAATATTTACGAATGTACGTGTCTCACAAGTCCGTGCACCCATTGGTGGGCCACTCTATTAGTTCAAATCTTTTACCGAAATATCAATGATATTACATTTTCCACAACCTGCCCAAAGACCAGTCCGACGTCCGTACATATTCCACTGAATCTGATAGACAGATTTGTTCGGATAGATACTCTATCTAAAAGAGAAAAGGTAGAACTAAGAAAGGTACGTGAGGGGTCTCAATAAGGTTAGCGGAGATCAGAGCAAATTAAGATTTGGGTGTCCACTCCACTCCACTGCCCAGGCCCCAGACTCACAGACATGTCCCCGTCCGCCGCCTCCATCTAAATTATGGGACGACATTAGACACAAGAGAAAAAAGATCATAGTCAGTGGCTCAGTGGAGATAACTCTATACAACACATGATCGTGCGCCGAAGAGACCATAATTTCGGTAAACTACTTTTGAATGTTCTTTGTTGAAAATAAATCGTCTTTCCTACGGGTTTGAGGATACCATCCATTTATGGGGCAATACTTTCCTTCAAAGGTATCCCGTCTTTATGATTTTGGAAACGTCACAGCCATTCAAGTTATATGTCCAAAATTCATACCGTTAATGTTAAGATATCGTATGCATAACATACCTAGCATAACATAACTTAGCATGGAAACCCCGGGAAGTATGAAACCACGATCAAAAGTATTCTGTTAGAACTCGGTAAGAGCAATACAAGGAACTAGTTAACTTCGGCAAAGAAGTTCATGCTATAGGAAATGACGAAATGCTATAACCCAAACCATCGAAAACTGGATATCCACATCTTTCTTTCTATGGACCTACCTCCGTACGAACTACTGTCGCTTGAATGAATCGTTTCGACGTTTTGGACTCGGTGGCGGTTGCTAATAACGATGGATGACAATGCGAGTGGACGCGGTCAAAACAGTCTCTAATAGTTTTGGAGCGTGACGGCTTTCAATATTGGGGAATGGAAAGTATCATTTTTGGGATGATTCAGGCTAGTTGCGGGTTTGATGTTTCAAGTGAATGAGATGTACAGAATGGATTTGATGGTATGAATGAAGTTGATATTTTGAGTGGATTCTCTGTCAAAGAAACTATCATTCATTCATTCATTCATTGGGCTGAATCTCAAGTTCCGTGCAAACTGGTTTCATATCGGGAGCTCGAAAAGAGAAGAATGTCAAAACGGCGAAAGAAAATGAGGAAAGTTGTGAATTCCCTATTTCTGAAGCTGTGTCTTCATTGACGGGATGCAGTGATGGGTTTTAATCCTGGGCATTTCTTTCTATCATTTGATAGTGAGCGCAAAGGTTTAAAAAACTCATCGTCTTTCAACAGTATCTAGGTACTTAAGTAGCTACGATATATGGGCGAGCCAAAGTTTGTTTGTAAAATGTCTTTCATTCAGAAACAGGTATCTTGATCTGTCTATGTCTTGCGGGAGATTGTTTCGTTACCTATCGTTATATTCCTTTCGTTAGGATATTACTTGCGAATAGTAATAGTAAACTCAATCCTGTTCCCTTTTTGATTCGCATGTAATTACTTCTCACTTTACTGATATCGTTTCCTTGCGTTCTATGGAAGCTTCAGTTTACTTTCAATTTACTTCTATTGTTCTATTTTCATGTTCACTTTGAATGATATCACTTCACTTCACTTCACTTCACACATCCCATCTCATCTCACCTCATCCTACCTAGACAACAAAACCTATTATTACCTATCTACCTAGCTGCAGGAATTATTTGCTCATTTAACTTTTCGCCTTCTCAGTAGATACCTAGTAAGTCTTATACCTAGTATATCACCTCATTCATTCAAATTATGATATATTAAAAGAAGATAACTTACTTCCTTTCTCTAATACACAAGTAAAAAGTAGTATTCTTATATCTTCAGTTTTTCGGCCTAGAGATCTGAGTCGATAGGTAGCTAAAATTACTAACTAATTACTAACTAATTACTAGGTAAGTAGGTAAGTAGGTAAGTAGGTGGTCTTTGATGGAGTTGTTGTGGTATGTGGATATGAATATATAGATATATAGATTTGGATGTATACACTACTATCCTCATGCATTACGTCATTATAAGGGATTATTTGATAGATATCTATCTAGACTTCTCAATTAGCACGACCTATTTTACTCTACTTTTATGTATGATGGTTTTAGTTGGTTTTATTTCATTTCGTTGCTACTCTAACATTTTAGATGCAGGTCTCTGGGGAATTTACACGTATTTGTCAGTTTATGGTTGGTGCATCTGAATATCTTGATGGTATAATAATAACTTTATTCAAATCATAGGTAGGTTTTTATATATTGCTCAATAAACCACCAGGAGATCTAGCTCCATCAAACCATTATCGTATTTTCTATGGATAAATCTACTAAGATCTATAGAGATATAATTTTGGTTATCAATAGAAGCTCTTTGCTTCTTGTGCCAACCTCTTATATTTCACTTTGCACTGATGTTATAAGACTTACACACTAGGTAATCCTACGATCTTTCCCAAAGACTCGGGAATCTATTCTGTTTCCCCATTGCAAATTCAACAACGATAAAACGAAAACGAATTCAAGATAGAGGATCAGATGATTCAAGTATCAAACTGAGGACTTAGATGAATGCCAGCAAGCTCAATAAAAGTTCGCTATCAACTTTTCAAGACAAGGCACAATACTGGTACATCATGAGAGTATTTTATAAACTATTTAATCTTATATGTTTTCTTCCCCTGATACTTGAACTCGCGCGGCAGTCATAAGAGGAGTTCTTCGCTAACCTCGCGAGAAAATTTAAAGATGTGAGTATTGACTAGATTAAAGTAGCGGGCATGAAATTGATCTCTTCTTCAGAATATCAGTATATGTATTTTCATAATCTTCATATTTCGTCTAACTGCACACAGCATTCGCAAATGATTGCGAGCTATTGATGTTGATTTTGATCGGCGGGATCCTGATGGATTTGTCTTTACGTGTAGGTACTATGTGGTTGTTGTATATATGATTGGTGATGAATTTGCACACAGCTACGCTTTTGTGGATACTGTATATCGTGTTTATGTCTTCAGGGAGCTCATGGAGAGGATTTTGTGGTGGGAGTGATAGGTTCGATGGGAATTATAAGCACTTAAAAGCTCGTCGGAAGTTTGATATACTATTTGTTCAAGTAAAGTTTGTATATTGGATTAGAGGTTTTAAGGCCGTTAATATTGTTTGGGTGATTTGAATTTGAGGAAAGGTTGAAAGGTTCATGATTTCACATCACTAGCATTTAGACTCTCGAGTTTGCTCCCACTTCGAGAGGGTCAGACTCACCAGGAGCACATTTCTCATAGACATCATTACTCGCCACTTTGAAAACCTTCCACCCTAGATAGAGTTCATTATATCACAACTACTCATACATTTAAATGAGTACCCTAGCAACATTATCTATCAACTTAAACTACACTACCACATCAATATCTCACATCCACCTCGTCTCCGCGCTCCCCTTAATAATGCCATCCAACTCACTCGTGGTCCACCCACCATAAAAATCCCCCGGTTGCGGAATAACTTTCTCTCCATCCACAAAACAATCCCATGGCCCAGCATAAAAACTTAAATGACCTTTCAACGCCTCATATTGAGGGGTGGGAGATTCGTACGACCATATTCTGTTGGATATTACATGCTCCCTCGGTTCGGTTGCAGCAGGTTGATCCGAAAAGGAACAAGCTACAGGAAGAGGATGAAATGGAGAGGGTAATGAAATCGAGTAATATGTGGCCCAACCTTTGTATTCACAAAAGGTGGATTTGGTAGTTGGGGTCAAATTGAAATTTGGGGATAGGGATGAGGCGGGAAGGTAATATGCTGTGGTTATGTTAGGTTATGGGTTGAGAGAGGAGAAGGATATTGATGAAGTGTTGTATAGAAAGGGGTGTTAACTGGGTGAATGATATGTTTCTAAAACCCAATATGCATTATTTGTTTCGGCGATGGTTTGTCCTCGGTATTTTACTATGAGATGGCGAGGTGTTTTCTCGAGGAGTGGTGGACGTGGAAAGTTTTGAACGTTAATTCGTGGCTTTGGAGGCATTTTAGGAAGAATCTCGAAATATAAATCAAATCAAATGTATTTAATTACAACAAAAGAGATTCAGGAGATGAATATATAATAGATGGATTTCGTAAATGAGGAGGGGTAGTCAGTTGTATGTACTACTAATGTATGCATGCATAATTAAGTTTGGATGACTAATCAGTCTAAGTTTAAGCGTAGCGCCCCGCAATCACACATGAGATCCAAGTTCACAAGGCTGGATTCTACTCCGAAACCTCCAAATCCTACTTATCTTCATCACAGTACCTATAATACCATAAAAGTATTCTGCTACTTGTCGGGGTAATATTTACCGTTCAATAACATCATGTCGGGACTCGAGAAAGCGCTCTTCAACTTGAAGGTACGTCATTCTACTTATCCTTCACCAAACATCGCACATCGTCACTCGGGCCTGCGCGTCAATATATCTTCAAACTAACTTACCATCCAGTTCACTGCGAAACAAATCAACCGACAAGCCAATAAAGCTGGACAAGCAGAAAAGGCAGAGAAAGATAAACTCAAGAAGGTAGTTATACCCGTCCATCGCATCCGCTCCCAAACCACAACTCACTAACATCGCTCTACAGGCAATCTTACAAGGCCACCCCGACATCGCGAAGATCAACGCCGAAAATGCCATTCGTAAACAAAATGAGAAATTAAATCTACTGAGGTTAGCAAGTAGAATCGATGCCGTGGCTAGTAGAGTACAAACGGCTGTTACCATGAGACAAGTTACCGGCAGCATGACGAATGTAGTGAGAGGAATGGATCAAGCTATGAAAGCTATGGATTTGGAGAAAGTTCGTTCTCTTTTCTACAAATCATCATATTCCAACTCACTCCCTCATATATACATATATGCTAACGAAATAAAATCGATAGATCTCAGCAGTAATGGACCGTTTTGAAACACAATTCGAAGATTTAGATGTAGCAACCGGCTACTACGAAAATGCAACTACCTCCGCAACCGCAGTAGCAACTCCCCAAGAAGACGTGGATAGGTTGATGAACCAAGTTGCTGATGAGGCAGGAATTGAGTTAAAGCAAGAGATGAAGAGTCCTGAAGCGGCGGCTCCTGTCAAATCAAATCCAACCGAAGTAGAAGAGGATGGCTTGGGCGAGAGATTGAGGGCTTTGAGATCGTAAAACTGTCGGGATAGATATGCTGGAAAGATGTTTGGGTATAGGCGTTGAGGTTAAGAACAGAATGAAGAACGGCGAATGGGTTTCGTTTTCTTGGTCGGGGATATATTCGTCAATGGATTCTTTTAAGCACATTCAAATTAGAGTGTTTGCAAGAAATTTAGAGAAATGGATGCCTGGTAATGAATGGTAGGGAACTTGCAGCAATGTATATTCAACCTAGTCTATAAATCCAAGTGGACATGCTCTTATATCAAGATTAACAAGTTATGAAAGAATAATTTCACTGGTATACTAGGTAACCGGCGCTTAATTGATCAAAGGCTTCAATCAAAGCTCCTTTCTTTACAGTATACCAATCAATACCTATCATTACAATATCATCTCATTCCTTTGCCCTCGTACTTCATATTTCAAACGCAACTTCCTTTTCATGACCTTTTGTTTTGTATCCTCGGATTATCTGTATCTTATTCCTACGATAGACCATCATGAGGAATTTCTACAGATGGAGGGGATGGGGTGAGATGTTTGTATGTATCTACATACTTCATAGCATTCTCGAATATCAAAAATCTAGGTAGAGTAGAGCAGGGATAGAGGTCATGGTTGGTTGTATGTGAAATTTGGTGAAAATTTGAAAGATTTGAGGATTTTACTTGGAGATTGAGAGATGGGGTGAGGAGGGGGGAGGGGGGATTGACGTGAGGTGGTATGGTTATAGGGGGTATGATTTGGAAATTGGAGGAAGTTGGAAAGAATATTGGTTTAGATGATGGATCGAGTTTTGCTTGAAAATGCTGGTATTTGTCGGTTCTAGTAAATTTACTCGCAAAGAATTGGAGATTCATAGTCAGCTGTAGTGAGATAGACCAATTCACAGTACACAGTTTAGGATATATATGTACTCTGCCTCAGTGAATATGTACATAACGAACTTCCATTATATTTTTTGTGCTTTTGTTTCCCATTTTAGGAAAAGGAAACCGTCTTCCTTTTCCTTTTTGATTCGAATCTACTTTATTTTAACTATTGCTTTGAGTATTAATGAGGAACAGACATTTTTTGTGATAGATGGGACTGCTAGTATGTGGACAGAATAGATGTGTGGAGCAGCTTTCGGGCGGGAGAAGGACGGCTTCTGCTTTTACTATCTTTGATTGGTGATAATTGGTAGAGAGTGTGTAATTTTGCTTAACATAACATGATATTTTAGTATCGGCTCATTATGTGGAGTTATGTTTGATCTTCTGGTCACTTATTGATGGCCAGGGAAAATTAAGTAGCATAGGACAGGGGGGGAAGCCCAGCTTGACTAACCAGCCTCGACTTAAGCCTTCTTTACGTTAATAGCCATATTATTGTCTGGAGATATCATTCTAAATCATCAAAGGTAGAGATAAATGCTTAATATTTTTTGGTTGGTAGTAGCACTCACTGACATCATTATGCTACATATTTTGGTGAACCAAAAGATTGCATAACAAGGCATATGCATCAACCGAGAACCAGCGAATTGCATTTACTGGAGTCATTATAATACGATTAACAATGTAGCTACTAAAAAGCCATATATGGAAGTCCAAATTTCCGAAGAAGAGCTTTTGTCCTCATTTTGTCGATTCATTGTTTTTTGAATCCTAGAGCTAGAATAAGGGTTAGCGAGCTCGGGCGAAAAGGCATTAACAACACCTCAACGCTTGGCAAACTCCATGTATCTGAGCCCTATGTATTCCATAGAATTCAAGGTTTTTCAACATCTATTATATCAGTTGACCAAGAATTAATTTTGGTTAATCAGAGCGAAATTGTTTTAGGTTGCCAAAAGCAATGACGACTCTACACATAGGTTTTGAGGGAAAGAAGAAAGGTCACGAATCAACAGCATCGTCCAAGAAAGATTCGTTCTTATCACATATACGTAAATGACCTACTGTTGATACTTAAATTATATAAGAACACCTCAAAATCAACCATCAACCGCAAAAAGGCCATAAACATGGTCACCAAAATCCAACCCACAACTTCCACCTATCCATACAAGACTCTAGACGCCAGCGGTTAAAGTTTAAGCCAGCTACAATATGTATATGTACAGGATGAGTATAGAGAGAATGTATACAAGAGTAGTTCGAATTTGTTTATTTTGCTTTACAATCGAAACTTTTCTTAGCTACAATTTCAGAGAGATATAAACAAGTATCTCAGAACATTCAACACATACACATGCGTAGTACACTACAGTCACCAAATACAATCAAATCCACCTACTCCGACTAAAATGTCGACCCCTCGCAGCACCAAATTCAATACCAACACCAGCTCTAGCAACCCCAATAGAAAGCCCTCATCAAGCACACAAAGAACCACACAATCAAACACAAGCACAAGCGGACACCAAAATCAAAGCACACGTAGCACACGCGGCACTAACTCCGGTCCTCCTGAAAAAACTGAAGAGCAAAAACTCGCAGAGACGCAAAGATTAAACGCAGATCTCGATGCTCTGGATGATAAATTTCAACCTTCTTTTCCGAAGAAAAGTCGATTCGCGCATGAGGGGTTGAATCATAAGAAATATGGTATTGGGGGAAGTTCTTCGCCGGGGAGGAAGGTGGTTGAGAGGATTGGGAGAATAATTGAGGGGGAGAGGAAAGGTGGAAGTGGTAGCGAAAGTGTGAATGGTGGTGGAAGAAAGTAAAGTGGGATCTAGAAAGGTGAGGGCGGGGACTTGTTTGTGGTGTGATGTTGAAGTACAATGTGGGAATTCTAGTAGTGTACGGAATGGTTACCGTGTGAAAGTCATTATGCTAGTTGTAATCTTAGTAGCTAGTAAATCCAAACTAGAAAGGGAGAAATATAATCATATTCTTTTAAAAGATAATAGTAATGACACTTATAATATAAAGTCTCAAGTAATTATACTAGAACTTTATTTACAGAATATTCTATTTATTAACTAATATTATATTATAAAATGATTTTAATAATTTATACTACACTTATGATTTATAACAAATAAAAATTGATATTTATATCGTTTAATATTTTTTATTTCTCTTTTTCATCTTTCAATATATATCTTTCAATATTCATCCTTTTTTAAAAAGAAAAATATATCACTTATCTATCTCATACTTCAAAACAATAATAATAATATCAAATACAATATACAATAGATTTCAAAAAGCAATACAAAACAATACAAAAACAATACAAAACAATACAAAACAATACAAAACAATACAAAAATAATACAAAATCAATACAAAATCAATATAAAAACAATACAAAAATAATACAAAAATAATACAAAATCAATACAAAATCAATATAAAAACAATACAAAAATAATACAAAAATGAATAACTTAATTTATACTATAATACTAAAAAATAATAATAAAAAAAACTATATTCACAACCTCTTTTCAAAATAATTTCAAAATCTACTTCACTCCACTTCACAAATTATTCTCCTCATCTCTCAATTCACTTCATCATCCTCTAAATCTTATTGATATTGATATCAATATTTTCTAGTGACCTCGCTATTCACTTCCCTATCCACATTCTTATTCATATTCAAAATCCATCTATCCATTCATCCATCAATCCATCAATCCATCCTTCCACCTATCCACTAAATATTCATCCATCATCCCACCAAAACCCATCACATCACTCCTCCACAAAACAAACAAATCCACATTCATCCCGTTTATCTTCACCATAAATCATCATTATAATGACAACACTACATCAATTCCCTTATACATACCGTACCAACTTTCCAATATACTATACCATACTATACTATTCAAAATACCATACTATATAACCCGACATCTCCACCTCATTATTCACTCTAAATAACCAACCTACCTAGTTAACATTCCCTCTATTTTCTTCCACTTCCCTACAATTTCCTTCTTTCAACTTCCCACTTCAACTGCAACTCCAAATCTACTACATGATATAAAATAAAAAACAAAAACAAAAGCCTGCTCATTTTAAGACTTAAGAGAATCAAGACATAAAAACTCAAAAGATCAAACAAAATAAAATCAACAAACAGAAAGAAAAAAATAACACATCTAGGAACAACGAGTATTTTCTATAATGATCTGAACAATTGTTTGTTCCCTAATAGATTTTTTTTGATAAATTAAAACAGTATTAATTCAGATCCTGAACAACTATTATATTGTAACTATATATTCACCCCTTTTTCAGTCTCGCTTGGAGAATTCTAAGTCAAATCACAAACCACAACTACACAGACTACACAGACTCCTCGATAGCTCAATCAGGTTGTACTTTTGTACGAAGCAGAACTCTCCTAATACAACAAAAGAGGAATTTTCAAAGGTACGCAAGCTCAACACCATCTCATCATGTCTCGCAACCCCAACCAATCTAGCCGATATCCCGCAAACCAGCGGGCAGCCGAATCCGCACGCGGACAAGCAAACAGACAAGTAAGCAGACGAGTGCGCAGTCCCGAGCGCATGTCAGTTCCAGCCGTATCTACCAATCCAACCAATCCATCTACATCTACATCTACATCATTTAATTCTCCCATGACGAGGTCTATATCGTCAAGTTTTGAATTAGCAGGTAGTGAGTATTTGGAGCCGACATTGGCGGAGAGTAAATATGTGCGAAATGCTACGTCTAATAGTGGGGAAGTGCGAGGTTCTAATGATAGCACAGGGAATCAATCTTGGAAGCCATGGGGAGGATTTGCGCAATATGTGGGTATGCAACGCGGACGGAGTGTCGCGAAGAAGGAGATTGGATCGGGTGCTCATCGTGCTCCTGCCGCTGCGGAGTATGAGCAGCGTGGGAGAAGTTCCAGGTACTTGAGAGCTACGGAGATGCAAGATAGACATGAAACTGAGCGGGATAGTGCGGCTATGGACTCGGTTGAGTTTGAGCCGACTATTTACCGTCGTACTCAATCTTCGTTTGCTAATCGTAAGAGCTACAAGTCTTTCGGTGGAAGCAATAATTCAAGCAAAAGGGGATAACCGAGACGTCCAAGACGAAGGACGAAAGACGAAAGACGGAAGATTCGCGAGAATAAAAATTTATGCATTGATCACAACCTCGTTGAGCATGGTGCAAGTGAACTAAAGGATGATTTAATAATGATTTTTGAGATGGGCAAATCGCCATCTGACAGATAGAATACACAACAAAGTCATGAGATATGATGTGGCTTGTAAATAAGGAAGCCCGTGAAGAAAATAAGAAAAATTATGACAAGTTATGCCTTTCGGCGGGTTGATTTGGGCCGTTCCCGTTTCGGCTTGACCTCAACCTTCTCCTCTTCTGACGGTTCTTCATCCTTGATATGATGATCGTGCTCAAAGTCCTCACTGCCCGGCGTGTCTTCAGCATTCTCCGTACTTCTATCATCAAGCTCGGAAGTGATTTCCTCCTTTACGTTCGTTTCCTGGATTTTTTCCTTCATTTCTTGCACGGCCTTTGCACCTTCATCTTCCTCCCCGTTCAAAGCTCGGCACCCAAAGCATCTCCACTTTCCCAAGTCTGCCAAAGCTTTTGTACCAGGTGGTGCTTGACCATTTACAAGTCGACAATTTTTGCATATCAATGCCAGTCGATTCTTGGGGTGTGTTTCATCCTCTCCGAGCAATAAATCTAACACCCGATCGTACCAGTGTCCTTCAGCGACAAACTCTCCATTCTGGGTATGTTGACCCTGTGCATATTGAGATGGACCTGAAAATGCGTTTGGTGCAAATTCGGGAGGGCCTGGCTCGCTACGAGGAGCCATAGGCGGCGGAGATGGAGCAATAAAGGCAGGAGGAGGAGGAGTCCTGTTTCCAAGTGGTTGAGGGGTAGAAGGCTGACTCGGAATTTGATTAGGGCGGGGTATATTTGCTGTCGCAGGTGGGCCCATGCTTGTTCGTGGGGGTTGCGCATCTTTGTTCTTTGAAGTCTTCTTCGCGGATGGAGTTCTCTTCGGTGCAGCAGGTTTTGGTGGAGCGCCACCATATTTCTCAAGAAGTTCTTGTGTGGAGTTGTATTTCGTGGCAGCCTTCAATTTGTCGATAGTCTTGGCCCTTTGGGCTTGTTGTTCCTCCAAACGATGCGTGATGGATTCAACCACATAATCGTAGTATCTCGTTATGCCACTTCGAATGAGATAAATTCTATAATAGTACTAGTATCAGTATGTCATCTAGATAACACGTTTCTTTAGTGATACTAACATTAATGGACTTCCCGCAAGACCAGTATATTCCAAGGCTGTCAAATTCTTCCAACCGATCACTAGAATAACTATAACGAACACCACCAAATATGCGAAACTTGCATATAATGTCCATAATGCCTTCACACGTCTGCCACGGATTCTGCGAGACTCTAGCTGTGCTTGCGATTTGGAGATCTTCTCTGCCAAAGCGGATAGGGTCTTCTCAAAGGAGGCAGGAGAATTATCCTCACGCTGTGAACAAAATATTAAGTTAGTGTGACGCCGTGAATGCACATGTCAAAATGAAGCTTCACATACCTTCCATGGCCAAAGTGAAACCATTTTGAAGATTAATTTTTAAATATGATGATAACGGTAGGAGTCGTCAGTCACCTCATGTTCGAGGCGTATCAACAATAAGTAGTAAAATAAAATGAACAACACTTCGTGGTGTGGAGGGGATGAAGTTTCCAAGGTAATAGCTTCGTCACTTTGTAGCTAAGCTGGCAGGCTGACTCCTATAGGCAGGCATTAACGTGCTAGGTAGTTCGTGGGTAGGGTTGGTTGGGTGGATAGGGTAGGTGGGTAGGTGGGTAGGTGGGTAATTTCGGTGATTGGACTGGCGTGAACCTAGCTAGAATACGGAGGACTCGTAGGTGCATCCATGATAATGGCGTGTGCACAGACTATAATTGGGAACATTTGGCTGTTTGAAGCTGACGAAAGGCATAAAAACGATGCAAATAGCGTTAAACTGCTAGAAACTGGAAACTATGGAACCCGCCGAGCCTCGCGCCAGCCCGTGACACCCTGAACATGCACTTGTGGCTAATTATTACGGGCATTAGAAGTATTTAGAAGCACCAACAAGCACCCGACAGACACTAAACTCTTACAAGCATTGCAAGCATTATCACTATTTTGATTTGATGTACTCGTATTGAGCTACGTTTTATCCCATAGGGAGGGTACATGTAGAGGGTACATGTCCGGGGTAAGAGGCTCACTTTTTAATCCTGTAGGGAGGTGCACCACTCTGGAGCATATCTTATGGGGATTTCGCTTTGTCTTTTATTACCATCATCTGTTCTATAAAATTAACTAGGCAAGACTTAGTTTTAGAAGTTGACAGGTATTGTATCTTATATCTTCAATATTCTACTATTCTACCCATTACTCATACAATGAATAATATTTCTTTTCTTCCTTGATTCAAACTTGCTGATTATGCTCATAAATATATTGCCATTTCACTCGTGTCAAATGTTATCATATGCAGTAATTTATTAATAGTTAAAAAAAAGTAACAGAACTATCTCACTGGCCATATGCGGAAAGAATGTTCCAGGTATGTTTGTTCTCTAAATATGGATCGCAACCTTGCAGATAAATGAGCTGACGAATTCCAAAGAGAATTAAAGCTCAAATAGATAGTCGCATTGAAGAAGAGAAGGCACGACTAAACGCTACAAATCCTTCCGTTCAAAGATCGGCTTCTACATCCTCAATCTCAAGACGACCTGCGAACGTATCCCCCTCTAGAAAGCCACGGAAACTAAGGGCAAAAGACGATGATGAAATAGGTGGCAGAGGCCCAGATCCTGCAGACTTTGAATCTGCTTTTGTGATTGAAGACGAGTCCGAGGCTTCAACTCGAGCTGGGACACCAGCCGGCGAGAGCCTTAATCCAATGGCGGGAAATGCGGATAAGCCCTTGGGCGGCAGTCCTTCTGCTGCGAATGGCAGTGAGAAGTCAGCGGATGCCACCCCAAGAGCTTCTGCTGAGCTTCCAACTGAGGTTAGAACTAAGTTGCGAAAGCTAGAAAAGTTAGAGGGTCGATATCAAGGTGGGGTTGATATGCATAGTTTCGGTCTACATATATTAATGATTTCATAGAGCTTCTCAAGTCATACCGAGTTGCACATGCTCGTGCCGTTTCGATCGAACCCTTCGAAAAAGTCCTCAAAGAGCATACACCTATCGGTTCTATCCAAGAACCGGATTCGCTGGTTGAATATCTCGACCAACAGAAACAACAAGGAGGATTAGTCAGGGACGAACTCACACGGGTATCCGCAGAGCGCGACGAATACAAAAAGAAGTACGAAGAGTCCGAAATACAAAATGCTAGTCTGAGGGAGGAGCTCACGTCTCTTCAAAACTCTACTATCGTTGGTGGAAGTTCCACTACTGGTTCCGCGGAAAAAGCAGAGACTAGTAGCATCAACACCCCATCCACTTCCGTCAAATCCCCTGTTACATCAGCCCTTGGAATTTTCTCTCCCAAGCAGAAGCCACAACCCTCCGACAACAAGGATATTAATGAGGAATTCTTCTCGTACGACGATGAATTACCAAAATTACAATCAGAGATCAAAGCTAAGTCGGCAGAAGTTGATGAGCTAAAATCGAAAGTTTCTTCATTAGAAAAGGATCTTATCGCTGCTAAAGAACTAGGTTCTAGTCTAGCGAAAGATTTGGAAAAGGTAACACTCGAGTTGAACGGTTCCATCAAGGAGGCTACCAGTCTGGCCCAGTCCCGCCAAGAGCAATTAGATATCCAGGAGGGAGAGACTAAAAGGCTCAGTGATAAGTTACAAGCAACCGAAGCACAGCTTGGTGAACTCGAAAAGACCTTTGAAGCCCAAAAGAAAGAGCACTCGGAGAGATGGGGCCAATCAAGAACCACTGAAACACATGTCACCGAGCTCGAGAAGGCCTTGGAAACTGAAAAGAAGGAACACTCAGGAATACTGAGTAAATTAAAAACCACGGAAGCCCAGCTTGCCACACTCGAGGAGACCTTGGAAAATGAAAAGAAACAGAGCTTGGAGAGATTCTCAATCCTGAAATCAGATCTCAAAGACCAAATGACAACGGCAGAGAAGAAGCTCAAGTCCGAGTTGGATAGCCGTAAAGAAGCCGAGCAACAACTTGGGCTCCTAAAAGTTCAGATCAAGGAACTCAATGCGTCAAAAACGAGAGATCTTAAATCCCAGTCGGACGCCCGTGGGGAAGCCGAGAAACGAATAGAGCTACTCGAAGTTCAAATTAAGGAGCTTACAGAGTCGAAGGAAGCAGATGCTAAGCGCGTCAAAGAGCTTGAGGACGAAATTGAAACTCTAAAGACTAACGAGGAGCCGACTCCAGCAGGTGAAGACGTCCTTGCATCCGTCCCACCCACACCATCAACATCGGCACCCTCTACATCCAACAAGAAGAAATCGGACAAGAAGAAGAAGGGCAAGAAAAATGGTAATGCCGCTGCTAATAAAGAGCCCACTCCTGCTTCCGTGAAGGCCCCTAATCTTGAGACTGTTATTGATAATTTGCGAGCTGAACTCGACAAATTCAGGGCTGATATCGCTGATAAGGACAAGCAAATAGCAAAGTTAGTAGCAAACCGCAAGGATGAGGAAGGTCTTAGGGAGGAGATTGAGAATCTTCAAGAAAATTTGCTCATTATTGGTCAAGATCATGTGACGGCTAAGGACACAATCAAGGAACTTCGAGCCGAGAAAGCTGCTCTTGAAGAGAAGACTAGCAATTTAGAGGCTGAAATCAAGGGCCAAGAAAATGGAAAGATATCTTCAGACGAGATGGAGAAGGAGAAAGCTGCTTTAACAGAGCAGCTCGCTCTTGTAGAGTCCAAGCTGCAGGCGACAATAGACTCTGGCATCGAGGATGAAGCAAAGCGATTAGCAGAACGGACTGGCTTGCAAGAAGAAAAGGCTGCTCTTGAAGAAAAGGTTGCCAAGTTAGAGTCTGAGATCGAAACTCACAAGACAGCTTCAGCCAAATTAGAATCTGAAATCGAAATTCACAAGAACGCCACAGCCAGGTTGCAGGAGGAGAAGGTCGCATTTGAAGAAAAGGTTGGCGAGTTAGAGTCTGAAATTGGGACTCACAAGACAAATTCGACTAAATTGGAAGAAGATTTTAAGAAGATCACATCTGAATATGAAGATTTGAAGTCGAAATCAAGCACAATGCAGAAGGACCTTGGTGCCGCCGAGCAATTAGCTACATCACGTTACAGGGAGCTGACAGATCTAAAACAAATCCTACAAAATGCACAACCAGAACTGAAGACTCTGCGCACTGAGAACGCGAACTTGAAGAGTATCAAGGATGAGCTGAACGCTCGTACTTCAGAATTGAGAAGATTGGAAGCTCGAGAGAAAGATCTGAAGGGTGATCTTGCTAGTTTCAAGAAGCAAGCTGCTGATAGAGATGGCGAGATTCGGTCTTTGAATGAGAAGGTTGTTCAGGAGACAAATGGCCGACTTCGAGCCGAGGATGAAGTCCGCATAGCACGCCGTGATTTGCGAAAATCTGAGGCTGAAAAGATTCAACTGGCGGCCTCGGGCGAAAAAGCCATTGAAGAATTATCAAAGGTGCAAGAAGAAGCCGGGAAGTTACGTAGTCGCGTTCAAGATCTTGAAGGACAGGTTTCAAAACTTTCTACTGAGACTAAGGGGCTTCGCGAGGAGGTTGAGTTAAGAGGTTCTCAATACAGCAATGCACAAGGTCTACTTGGAAGCATGAGAGATCAAACAGCTGAGATGGTCATACAATTAAAGGAAAAGAAAGAACAAGCAGAGGGTCTTGAGGAAGAACTCGGTGAAGTCCAGAGATTATTAAGCGAGCGAACTCGAGAGGGAGAAAAAATGCGGGGACTCTTGGCCAAGGTGCATGATCAAGCTAACACCAGGGTCCAGGAAATGAAAGAACGCATGGAAGCTGCCATTGGAGAGCGCGATCGAGCCGAAGATGAAGCTAGTACCAATGCTCGTCGTAGATCTCGAGAAGTAGATGAGCTCAAAACTAAGATTAGAGATTTCGAGCGCCAGATTAAGCGAGCAAGTGAAGACCGAGATGAATTGGAACAATCACAAAAGGAATTCAAAAGACGCCGTGAAGAACTTGAGGTTGTTGCCGAAAAGGCATCCCAGGAATCCAATGATATCCGCTCAGCAATGAGTGAACTCCGAAATGCATTGGATGGTAGTGAAAAGCAACTGCGTGATGCCGAGAAACAGAAAGCGGATGCACGAAAGCTTCTTGAGGAAGCTAATCAACGATATGAAAAACTTCAAAAAGAATTCAAGGCATTACAGATGAAGACATCGAGGTTAAATGACGTTTCTTCGAGATCCAGTATCGATTCTGGGAGATCAAAAAGCCCGGCAAATGGAAGGAGAGATGGTGGTGCCGATACTTATTACGTCAAGACGATTTTGTTACAGTTTTTGGAACAAAAGGATAAGAGAATACAGCAGAATTTGATTAATACAGTTGTTGGACAATTATTACATTTAGATAAGTATGTTTTGTTTTTTTTTTTTGCTTTTTGCTAACTTATTCTATTTGGATTCTTGATGATGATGGTGTACTAATGGAATTCAATTACAGAAATGAACAGGATAAATGGATTGCAGCGATTTCCAGTTGGAAATGAGTAAACAATTGGTAGCGATAAAGCGAAAGTTAGAATTACGTCCTGGAAGGAAGTGGTATTATTCGATGAATGTTTTGTATATTAATATTTTTGTGGATGGTGCTTGGCCTGGATTGGATGAGCGAATGCTTTACAGCGTATTGACAATGAAGGAACGCAAATATCAATGAGATGGAAGAGATAAGTGAGCAATTTTTTTTATGCCTTTAGATTCTGGGACGAAGAATTCATCCTGCTTGTACAGAGTATACCATCATTCATCATTCATCATGTTAGTATAGTTGGTATCAAAGTATCAAAGTGTCAGAGTATTCTTAGAATCGCTACATGATTATTTTTTTTTATCAGAATGGAAGATGAGATGATATGAATATGTAGTTTATTAGGTATTCATTATTCATTATTCATTGTGCTATACTCTGTACTCGAGTAAGAGTTCCTAATATTAATTGGTAACATGAACATGAAACTTCAATGAAATATCCCACTCGTGTATCTCTCACATTCCCATATCGCCTTTTCTCCTTCTCCTTCTCCTTCTCTTTCTTTCTCTGTTGCAAATTTCTTTGTTTCTTGGGGTTTCCCGTTACTTAATACCGGAGAATCCTTAAAAAAAAAAAGCTCAGGAAACAAAAGAATGTAGGAAAACGAAGAAAATCAAGAAAATCAAGGTACTTCAAAATAACTAAAGTAATCCGTGGAACTTCCTCCACTTATGCCTCCTCCGGGAACGTAAATTCTGTTTTTGATTGCGATGGCAGATGTATCGTGCTAGTTGGGAGGGGGGGTTGTTAGTTATATTTTTGTTTTTGTTTTTTTTTTGTGGGTGAGGGGAGAGGAGGTTTAGTGGGGATGTGAGAAGAGGTGGGGATGGGAAGGAAAGGAAAGGAAAGGAAAGGGAAAGGGAAAGGAGGGTTTGTGGATGTGAGTTTAGAGAGATTGTTCTAGGGGTTGAATTGATGGATTATTGGATTGGAATGAATGGAAGAATAGAAGAAAGAATGGAAGAAATGAGACAATGGAATGAATGAAATTAAAGAAGATAAGGTAATTCGATGATTCTCCTCTCCTTTTCTTCTTCTTCTTCTTCTTCAGAAGGACATACATACATAATAGGATAGGGTATAATGAAGTAAAAAAAAATCATAATCAGATATCCCCCCCAAAAAAGAAAGAGAACAAGAAAAAATAGAAAAAGAAGAAAAGAAAACACACACATACCCTCGGAACATCCATCGGAGCATATTCCCTCCACTCATCCGCTAGCACATCATACGCCTCATTCAGCATCAACACTTCCTCCCCCTTATACTCATCTCCCACGCCTCCCATAACAAAAACCTCACTCCCCACCACCGCCGACGCCATGCCCGCCCTCGCTCTCGACATCTTCTTTCTCTCCCCCCACATATTAACCCTAAAATCGTAGACAAAATTCGTATCTCTCACATTTCCTTTCGAATCGTCCCCTTCCGAATCCTGTCCCTTCGAATCTTCTCTACCTCCAATAACGAAAAAAAGTCCCTTATCCCCTATAAACCCATGTGCTGCCTTATACCGCGGTTCCGGAAGCGGAGGAAGTGAAGTGAGGAGTTCGCGGCCGGAGGTGTAGGCTGTGAAGTAGCTTACTGGGGTGGATTGTTGGGGTGTTGATGTCGGTATTGATGTTGATGGAGATGAAGATGGAGATAAAGATGGAGATGAAGATGGAGATGGAGATGAGGAGGGGGAGGAGATATTGAGATTGGTTAGCCCACCCGCGAGGTAGATAGTATTTCCTCTTGAAGCGATAGCCGCAGCTGCTACTTGGAGGGAGGGGGGAATTTCGAGGGCGAGCGCGCTCCAAATGTTGGTCTCGGGGTGGTAGATGTAGGATGTTGGGGTTGTGGTTAGGAGGGTGGGATTCAGAGGGGAGCTTGGGGTTAGGCCGCCGAGGAGATAGATGGCGCCGTTTAGGACGGCGGCGTTGGGGTGGGTTAGGGGATGGGGAGGGTGCGGTGTGTGCTCAGGTGTTGGTTTCGAGGGAATAGCGCTGTGTGAGGGTTGTGGGTTGGAAGGGGTGCGTGGGGTCGTTGGTGGGGATTACCCCGCCGAGTATGTAGATGTAGGGGTCTAGATAGACGGTTGCGTGTTGTTTGCGGGGTGAGATGGGGATAGGTGGGAGGGTGTGCCAGGCGCCGAGGTTGGGGTGGCTGTTGGCATTGGTGTTGATGTTGGAGGGGGATTGAGGGATTGCTGTACTGAGGGATTGAGGGATGAGGGTGAGGTATGTGAGGATGATGGGGAGGGGGTGGAAGTAGAAGGGGATGATCATTGTGATCAATTGATGGATGTGAGTTGTAATATATATACTATACTAAAGCGATGAAACGACAATTGGTAAACGAAGCAAGGAGGAGAACTTATGAGCTTGCGAACCTGATAACTTCTCATTCACGAACTTCAAACTTCAAAATGTAAGAAAAAGGGGGAAATCTAAAACGTATTATAATTCATTACATTCTAGATCTTGGTTCAACCGATGAAATATTCAGACACGCATCATACAAACGATTGGCCAATTTCTCCTGATGTTCATTTCCCCTCAACAAAAATGTGCGTCGCGTGTAACGATGTCACGTCATTGTTTGATTACTGCATAGTGATCACAGCATAGTGATGATTGTTTAATCATTGACCAATGCATTTATATTCTACTGTTGAACAAAATGCATGTCGGGGTTTCCGAAATGGTTGATACGATCGATCGTCAATGAATACCATAGGAGAGTGGGAATTGGAATTTGAAAATTGAATGATGCGTGAGAGGGAATGAGGGGTAGATTAAGCTATGATTACCTAAGTTCGTCCGTATTTTGATGCACCATTTGGTGACACAACATTACGCTATATTAGCTAGTAATGTAACCACTTGGTTAGTTCCCAAGTAGTCAAGGGAGGACGAAGTTGTGGAATAGACATTACAGGTCTTATATTCCTGAATTGGGTCTTGGAGATAAGAGTTTGAGGAGAGTAATGGAAACGGGACCTTAGTTTCTTTGATACTGTGATCAGAATTTCACAGCTGGTTGTTCCATGATGTTTCTCAAGTCAAGCTGTTAAGATACTGGAGAAATCGAATTTTTGAGTGCAGTTACTCAGTATTATTTACTCCTTGGGTAAATCAGAGTGGACTGGATGAGAACAAGCTGAGAAAGATACGATGGATTCAAGCAGAGAGAGATGGGATTGAGGCTTTTGGTTGTGGATCATACACATAAGTTGTGATATCGAGAACGCATCTTTTAGTTCCATGGATAGTGGAGTTTTGCCCAACGGATTTGTTCGCTCGTATCGAGAAGGTCATGGCATATGAGTAGTTGTTTCTTGACCCGGGAATGGACATAATCAGTACTGGTGAAAATAGTGCCATTCGCAGAGGTGTAGTCGGAGAAAGTGACGGCCAATGGTCGGAGTTATTTTAAGTGCAATGAGAGAGATTCTTTCCGAACGAAAAGAGGTTTTAAGACCAGGAGAACATCGGGTAATAACCAACAACCAACTGTACCGGTGTTTTGAAATCGGAGATCTTTTTTCGAAATGTTGTGGTTTATGAGAAAGAATTTCTCTGGTTGGTGTATGTACTTGAAAAGGATAATCTATGAGTGTTTCGGTGCAGATGTCTCTGAAAGGTTTAATTTTTCATTGAATAAACATTATTTGAGAGCATCATGGCCTTTGGATGAATTCAACTATGACAGCATACAACCTGTAATCTGATTGCATGTCCCGCTGGTAGACATGGAATTGACGCTGGCCTTTCCAGGACGACAAAGACTGATGAGGCCTGCTCCTACAATCAAAATTCTTGCTTAAGATCTTTGCGTGGAATATATTCCATAAAGGAGGTATTTGTGATGATGCTTGAAGTAATGACAGTGATAGATGCAAATGACATGATAACGACGGCAACAGAGCAGTATTGAAGATGGAAATCATATTGAAATTGAAATGAAAACAGGGAAACTGGTTGAAAGTATTGTACTCTGCCGTTTCATCCCTGATGATGGAAATCCTCCACATACAGATCTACTGTTGCATGGACATTCGTCAAGTTCCAAGAGAACTTTAACAGATCGGTGTCATGGATGTAGAGTTGGCGTCGTTTTCATCAACGGAACCTATACAGTTTGCTCCCAGAGGAAAAGGGGATTTCAGAAACGGGTCTCTGAGAGCTGGTTGAATTTGAATCAGAAAGCACACGCGAGTCTCAAATTCTGAGCATCTTATGTCCGACCGAATAAGTACCGCGAATATAAGCCCTGTGGCATATGATGTGATCTGGTTGTAACTTTTTCGCTTTCAATGCTTAGAATTGGTGAGGTTTTGAATATTCCAAATTGTCTCCGGTCACGAGTGAGTCTACATCCGAGGTCTGGTGGGTGGACCTTGTCAGTATTTGAATTGTTTCGAGTAGGCCTTTTGAATCACTCAAGACCTTAACACAATCGGGTACCCTGGAACAGCTTAAAATTCGGATATCCACATTGGGAAGAAAAGCATCTAGTGAGTATAGTTGTGAACTCTGTGCCTAAGATCTTATCATCATCTTATTGATTGATGCGGCAAAAGCGGTAATCCATGTATTCCTGCACGTTTTGTACCCAGGTAGGTAAACATGGAGGAGGTGGTCGCTTTTTGTGGCCATGTATTTTATTTTATTAATTTTTTTTAATCTTTTTTGGTTTTTGCCTTTTTCCCTCAGCACAGGGCTGAGTTGTCTTGGATTGCCCCTCATTTGAATCATGATATGAGGGGCGATATTTTTGGGCTGATTGTAGCTGTGCCCAAGATTAAGTATCGGAGGTTATGATAAGTATGAACTACCTTCTTACCTGGGAACGGTTTTTCTTCAATCTTAACGGCGATGGTGTGGCTGGTTAATGGAGAAATGGAGCAAGGATACATGCGCTGACAACTTTGATGGGAAGGTTTCTTCATGAAGATAAATGGTGGTGTGTTGCTGTACGAGTGATATTAGTTGATTTGTTTCGTGGAAGTGGAAGGGTTGGATCGTAAATGGGAATACTGAGGTAGAGGCTACGAGGTCCAAGATCAAGATCCAAGACTCTATAGATGATGAATATATATATTGGATATTGGATATTGGATATTGGGTGCACGAGGACGAAAGACTGGGTATGTACTCCTTATGAGGGGTCGGTATGTATGTAGGCTCTCGGCGAAACCGTGGTTTGTCTACTCGGACGGGGTCCCGTTGTACTGGGTAGGTAAGCATACAAACAGTATCGACGGAATACAACGTTCGATGTGCGATGTCGCATACTTGGAACCGTCCGTCATGTTGATATAAAGATGAAACGAGAGCTTCTGGTGATTAGACACCGATATGACATTTGTATCGAGTTATCTTTCGAGGCAGTGCCCAAGTAGATGATATACTGTTTACTTCTGTCGTTGTGAAGATAACAAACAACATCAATGACTCTAACTCTTCAGTAGTTTCCATCTAGATCCCGTGTTAGTCAATCTAGGTAAGATGCTTTGCAGGTTTTAATCGACCTACCTCGTTAGTGCCTATCTATGGATTGATATAAATCTGCTACTTATTACTATTATATTCTGAAATTTGAGCACATTCATCCATAAATTGCAAACAAACCCTTCCCTTTAACGAAACCATCCATCCATGAAAATCTAAGAACTAACCCCTCCACCAACCCCTACCTAGTATCTCAGTAATCTCTTATCCATCTCTCTACTCTAGATTCTCCTCTTATTATTTCACTTCATTCAGCCTTCTCAATAAATCCTCCCAGTTTTGAAGCTTGCATCTTGCATCTTGCATCTTGCATCTTGAATCGCGATTGACCTAAAATCCTACCTGATGTTCATACAATATTGAATAGAGCCGGATTTTTATAATTATTCATTGTTGATACCTACTTGGTTGATCACGCTATTTATTACTTTGCTCTTCATTGCCCCGAATATCATTTTTATTTTTCTCCCCTCATCCCTCATCCCATTCACCCCCTTATCCGTTCCTATTACCATACATTTGGACCCCAATAAGCTGGTGTTACATTATCATTTTTCCAGATGCAGATTCCTCAACTGTCTATACCTATTCATTGTCTATAATTATCTCAACGCCATATACTCCATCCTAGGTGGCGGTATCACATAATTGTCTGTACACAAACGGATCTTTTTATCTTCAACTGTATATTCATTCCCACTCCTTGGTGATGATATCACATTATCGTTTACGGATCCAGATTCATACTTTAACCTTAACCACATCCATATTCATATCTGCTCTCTTACAGGGGCACGAATCCAAGAAAATCATTCATTCCCCAACCCATCAATCCATCAATCCATCAACTGATGAACCTACCAACCCACCTATAGCTAGTCGCCCAACTGTGGAATACCGGTAACCTTATTAGAAGAGGACAAGACAAGAACTTATTATTAAATTAATTATTTGGTCGAAGCGCCCCTCCTATCAGTTCGTCATAACCCCAAGCAAGCAACTTCACTACTCCTACTCGAGTACTCTTTACTACCACCACCACTACTCAAACACCCACCACACCACAGCCGTAAAAATCAAAACTTTTTAAAAGAAAATATTATTTACTCAGCACCAGCGAGCCACCTACAAGTAATAAGTACTAGCTATCTAGTACCACTGGAAGTCCTCTCTCTCTCTCTCTCTCTCTCTCTCTCTCTCGTCCTTCTCTCCCGCCTCCACTCAAATCCACCCATAAACAACTCCACTCAAGCCAAATACATACTATCATCCACCCATCTCAATCCAAATCCTTTAGTTTCTCATCAACAAATCAACCCACCTCGGACAATTCACCCATACCCTCCCTGATAATGAACGGAGATCGGATAAAGGCTTCTGCAATTGCTAAAGCGAAGGAATCTATAACTAAAAATTCGAATGCGCATGCTATGAAAAAAAGGAAGAAAGATTCGTTAAAACCAATCATCACAACCGAGCAAGACTCTGAATCTTCCAAAATGGCTTCTGTTCAAGCCCGTGCAGGGTAAGTCACCTAAATGTCCCACTTTCTAACCTTCCAACCCTCCTACTGTTCAGGTGCAGCGCCTCGAAATATAACACCCCCTCTCCAACAAGGCGGCGCAAAATGCTGCAGTCTACTTATTTTCTTTCAACATGATGAGTTCAATGCTTCAAAATTTGCTAACTAGAATCGATGATGGAAATAGATCTACTTCGGGAACAAATCGCGATCCATCATCCTCTTCCTCTAGAGAAGACGCTGCAGAAACCACTGCCGACGAAGAAGATTCCGAAGATTACTGCAAAGGAGGTTATCACCCAGTGCAAGTGGGTGAGAACTTCAAGGATGGCAAATATACCGTGGTTCGAAAGTTAGGATGGGGTCATTTCTCGACCGTGTGGCTTTCCAAAGACAACGTCACTCAGAAACATGTTGCTTTGAAGGTTGTACGGTCTGCAGCGCATTACACAGAAACGGCAATAGACGAAATCAAATTACTGAATAAGATTGTTGGTGCTAAGCCAGACCACCCAGGTCGGAAGCATGTTGTTAGTCTGTTGGATTCTTTCGAACATAAAGGTCCTAACGGCACGCACGTTTGCATGGTGTTTGAAGTTCTTGGAGAAAACTTGTTGGGTTTGATCAAAAGATGGAACCACCGCGGAATTCCTATGCCTCTTGTTAAACAAATTACAAAACAAGTTCTATTGGGTCTGGATTATCTACACAGAGAGTGCGGCATTATACACACAGATTTGAAGCCGGAGAACGTACTGATAGAAATTGGAGATGTGGAGCAGATCGTGAAGACATTCGTCAAAGAGGATACAAGCAAGGACAAGGAAGATAATCGAAATGGTCGAAGAAGACGGCGAACTCTTATTACTGGAAGTCAACCATTACCAAGTCCATTGAACGCCAGTTTCAATCATGCAGATCTGATGAGGTTTCCTGGCAGCACTCCAGGTTCCCATGGAAGTTTAAATCAAATGTTAAGCGATAGTAAATATACTCCATTGGAATTACCTGGCAATGGATAAGATTCTAATGGTTGGTGCAATAGGTCGTTCTAACAATTCTTCACCTCAAAAAGAAAAGGCAGATGAGGATAACCACACGACACGAGAGAAGACTGCGTAAGTAGTTATTTCCATGCCATTAAATGTCATTTCTAACCTGATTCTTAGCGATATTCTTACAGATAAGGTCTCTGGTATATCTCTCGACAAAAACTCTGGTGAAAAGAAAAAGGCAGAGGATGCAAACCAATTCGATATAATATCAGTCAAAATAGCCGATTTGGGGAATGCATGCTGGACTGGACATCATTTTACAAATGACATTCAGACAAGGCAATATCGATCACCAGAAGTTATATTGGGTTCAAAATGGGGTGCTTCTACAGATGTTTGGAGTATGGCTGCTATGGTAAATTTGTCCACCCATCTTACAAGTACTATATCTAATCTTTCAATCATTAGGTCTTTGAACTTATTACCGGTGATTACCTCTTCGATCCTCAATCTGGGACCAAATATGGCAAAGATGATGATCATATTGCTCAAATAATCGAACTTCTCGGACCCTTCCCAAAATCCCTTTGCTTGTCTGGCAAATGGTCGCAAGAAATCTTCAATCGAAAAGGTGAACTACGAAATATTCATCGATTGCGTCATTGGGCCCTACCAGATGTATTGAAGGAAAAATATCATTTCAAAGAAGATGAAGCGAAGAAGATTGCAGAATTTTTAACCCCTATGTTGGAATTAACGCCAGAGAAGAGAGCAAATGCTGGAGGGATGGCCAGCGCACCATGGTTGGAAGATACGGCTGGTATGAAAGGGGTGAAGATTGAGGGTTTGGAAGTGGGGAGCAAAGGTGAAGGAATCGAAGGGTGGGCATACGAAGTTAGGAAAAGATAAGAATTAGATTGATGTCTGGAGATGATAGAGCGTAGGGGATGTCTTTCTCATGAAACTCAGGCGTAGATGCTGGGGGTTTGGTGGGTGAATGGCCATTTTCTGGTGGTTGATCTTGTGGGATTCGTATCTACGAAATGGTGGCATTGAAATGCAGTATTTATCACGAACGACGACTTTCACACATAGTATAAATGAGAATCGAGAGATGAGATGACGAGAAGAAATAAGATGTAAAGACGGAAATGGAGAGGTAGTGTAGGGGTAGGGTAGGAGTAGATGAATGGATAGAATGGATGAAATGAATGAAATGTAATTAAATGCCTACCTACCTAGGAAAGCAAGATATAAAATCCAAAATCCAAAATCCAAAATCCAAAATCCAAAATATAAAATATAAAATACAAGATATAAAATATAAAAATGAATATTGAAAATATATAATACTTATATATAGATAATAATCATTGTTTTATTTTATATTAAAACTTATAATAATTATTTTAAATTTTTATATATTTAATTTTTATTTTATATTATTCTATTTATATTATTTTATTTATTTTTAATTGAAATTTAAAAATAATAAGATTATTTATTTTAAGTTTTTATTTGATATAAAATTTATTATCAGCTTGCCGATACTATAATCTTGTTGTATGCGAGGTTTACCCGATAGGTGATAGAAAATGAGAAACTCGTTTAAATGAGTCGCGATCTTAATAATCTGATTGGCCTAAAATACCCCGGTAAATACCCTAGTAAATAATTTAACAAAAAGCTTGATATAAGCCTTACAACCTTGGACAAATCTGACTTGAGTTTTTTTTAACTTAATTCAATTGAAATAATTCAACTTTGAAATCATTCAACTCATTCAATTCAACTCTATTCATTCAATTCATCTTATTCAATTCAAAAGTAATAATAATAATAATAATAATAATATTAAAATTAAATTTTCAATTATCAAAATCAAGCCGATATTCTGTCTACACTCTAATATATATATTTAATATTTAAATTTATTATAAACTTTTTAAAACTTAAATTTTTACTAGACTTTCTCGAAAAGCCAGGGGTCCAGGGGGGGGGCGCAGGTGTCACGAAATCATTTTATAGAGTGTCACGAGGTAACAGTCAACCTGTCTCTATGAGCTTTGACCTTGTTGAAAAGCAAAGCAACTTGTATACAAATTTGTATGGCAACCGCTTCGTATGGTCTCCCACCTTCAGCAAGCTCGGACATATGGTCTGATCCTAGTCACGTGATGGAGCCTCCAGGAGCGTGGGCTCCTGTAGGCTCCTTGGAGCCCTTAGGAGCGTAGGCTCCTGGAGGCTCCCAAAATGGATTAGTATATAGTCAGAATAGTTTCATAGTTTAGGAGCTTCGTGCTCAACTTAGTTATCAATTAGTTTACCTACATTCCAATTGATCTAGTAACGTATTCACCTTCGAGTGGATAACCAGTGATTATTAGCCTTAACCTACAACTACCAACCATACGAAAACCTGAGGCAGCCGCTGCCTCGACCAGATCGTTACAGCAGGCCCCTGGTAAATAGTTATTATTAATGTATAATTATTATATATATTGATTAGTGTATCTAAATAAGTATTTGTAAAAAAGATTTTGAATTTATTTTTATTTTTATTTTTATTTTTATTTTTATTTTTATTTTTATTTTTATTTTTATTTTTATTTTTATTTTTATTTTTATTTTTATTTTTATTTTTATCTGATATCTGATATCTGATATCTGATATATGATATCTGAAATGAAGGAAAGTTGATGTGCTGGAAAGATTTTAACTTTTTATTTGAGATTGATATCTAGATAGGTAGTTTTAGATATCGTAACTGTTTTGGTAGTGTTGTGGTTGTTGTAGTAGTTGTTGTTTTGGAATTTTTTGAGTGGGCTTTGGGATTGAGAGATGAGAGGATGAGGAAAAGGGGGGGGGATTGATTTTGTATGATTTTTTGTATATATGTGTGGTGGTGTACAATTGAGTTATTATTAAGATCATATTATAAGTTAAATAAATAAATAAAATTCCTCTCTCTCTCTTCTCCTTCTCTCTCCTCTCTTATATATACATCTCATCTCATCTCATCTTATTTAGGTGTTTATATCCTATCTTATAGATGAGTGGGTATCTAACTATTTAGTTATCTAGTTAAGTAGTTAAGTAGTTAAGTACCTAGGTAGCTGATAGCTAAGAAAATAAAATACAAAATGCCCCCTCGCCCCTTCCCATCTATTAAGATTTACCCTTACGCCTAATTACTCAAATGTATCTCTAACAAGTCCGGCCTTAAGATGTGAATAAGTGGGTATGGTATATTAATACTCCTTTCTATATACATACAAGATTGAGGAATTATATAAGTGACCGGGAGTAAATGGTTGGTTTCTTGTTGTTCCTAGGTAATTGATGTTACATTTGCATTGCATTGCACATTGATGTACGTCTGACTCCTTTACTCATGTGTCCTAGTATGTAATATCTAGAATAAACAACATATAGATTCGCCATCCAACCATATTTCCCAGTCGTCCCTAAGCTCACGTAGACCTCCTTTTCCCTACAATATATCGAGAATGAAATACTCCAAACAGCATCCAATTTCGCTGAGTCCCAAGTTTTCTTGGCCAACCTACTCCAAATATCGTCTCTCTCCTTTACTTGGACTCCTTCCCTTAGTTCTCCCTCGATTTTTACTAGGACTTCTCTCTATTGTCTTGAATTCAAACTCTCCATTCCCCATACCATTCCCGAAGCCATTTCTTTGGCCGAATAATCCCCTTTGAGTAGTACTTGCTCCTGTAGGCCAGGGTTCATATGGCCCGAAATGTGATTGGGGAGTTTGTGGGATTCCCCATGGATTTGGTTGGCCGAAGTAGTTTGGATGTTGAGGAAGATGTGCTTGAGGATGGGGTTGGGGTTCAGGGTGGAAAGTTGGCGGTTTGGAACGGAACATTCCAAAGGCCATGTTGTTTGCGGCGATGGAAAGGGTGAGAATTAGAGCTACAAAGATCTAGTTGAAATGTTAGCTTGAGGATTGGACATAGGATAAGGTGAATATAAAAAAGGACGTACCATTGCTTTGTAGCTAATAGGCTGAATAAAACTATCCAAAATCTCCGCGAATGTTTTTGCACTGATTCTAGCTCTGCCGACACTATTTGGATCCATAGTCATACAAGCTTCCCAATTATTACAAACCGTTTCCAAAGCAGGTAATCTCATACTACGTTCACATCTGTTCTCCGCGTATTGTTTTGCGCAATGTGCCATCTCAGATAGAACTTCCGCTGTGGCCTTTTGAGATGCTTTGTCAACGTCGCTGCGAATTGTAGTCCAAAATGAGTAAACTCCAAACATTATTAGCCCGACGACAAATGTGTTGAGCGCTAGTTGAGCATAGTAGGAAAGGATGTTGGGAAGATTAGGTCGGGACTCAATGCCGGATAAGAAGGAGGAGAACCAGCCTGGTTTGTCTTCTGCTTGGTTGCGGTCATTCGATCGACTATTTGGCCTTGAGTCTCCTGACTCACTCTCAGTTTCCGAAGCAGATTCCTTTCTGTGATGTCGCACTATTCCCATGGTTTCATCTTCTCTCTCATCTCGATGTTGACGCTTTCGCTTTTTAGCTATTGGTTGTCCTACTAGTTTCATTCTTCGTAAATCATTTCGAGCGCCTGGACTAGTTCCTTTATAATTTGTGCCATATTTTCCAAAAAGTGGTTTACGTGACGAAGCGTGTGATGAGAAGGTCGTCATAGTTTTGCTTGTAGTCTTGGGTATCTCAGGTGTATCCTCTGCATCGGCAGTCTCGCCAGGTGAAGATTCTAGTCCAGAAGCTTCGGAGTAAATATCTGGAGTTTGTGGTTTGCGGGGTGTGGTGAATGCTGGATTTCGAAATGCTGGAGCTGGTGTGGAAGACTTTGTCAGAAAAGAATTCGCTGGTTTGGTAGAAGCTGGTTACCACGTCAGTACAGATGTAACTTTCTTTCAATGGTCCTAAGTTGGGAATACTCACCATTCTCAACTTGTAAAGCATTGAATTGTAGGAAAGGTGATTTTGGGTCCATAGGGCCACCTTTCTCCTGCCATTCAAAGTCCATAGGGCCTTCCCCTGTCCTCCTTGAAGTGTTGCTATACATTTTTTATATATTTTTTTGCTACTTAATAGCAAAATTTGGAGCTCAATAGTGAAGATATGATAAAGTGAGGGGGATACGGTAGGTATTTAGAGAATCAAAAGTAAACAAAAGATTCCGGCTCCTGAGGCAACCAAGCTTTTTTGGTGGACCGCTAACCTTAAACCGTACTGGCTGGAATTGATCAAAGCTTCATCATTCACTTCAGTTTGGTCCAACGCGAATTGCGACGAGTCAATTCAAACAATTTCTTTGCATCTGTCCATTACTTCAACCACAACAACAACTACAACTCTACTTTGACCATATTGCAATTGAATTTTGATAAATCTTCGAATAGCGTTTCAAATAACACGCACACCTCTAGATAATAATTTCAAACACCTTTGTCCTTCTTCACAATTTACAAATATGTCGGATGCCGACCTCGATTCAAGGCTCACCACGCCACTTCCAGAAGCTGGAAACGATGCTGGAGATCCAAATAGACCCATTTCACAAGAACGGGATACACCAGAACCTCCTATGGCCAACACAGATCTTGATATGGATGATTTAGACAATGCAGAAAACGGAGCTGAATCCGACAATGAATCAGATCTATCCGAAGTCGATGAAGCCAATTTTGATGATTTCGATGCAAGTAAAGTTGCCTTGGATGAGAGACCTATGGTTGGCATTGATGAAGATGTTGCGAAGACGTTAAAGGCGAGTAAGCGCAAGCGTACAGAAGGCGAGGGCAAGAAACCAAAGGAAGGAAAGCGAGAAAAGAAAAAGAGACCGCGCAGAGATTCAGACGAGGATCCAGATGGAATAGAGATTGATGGAAAGAGGGTTAGAAAGCCTAAGAGAGTTGATGGTGATAGAAAAGATAGAGACAGAACGAAGGAACGAAGAAAGGCAACACCAGAACCTGAAAATGATGAAAATCTTACACCTGATGAGAGGAGGCGTAGAGCTTTGGATAAGGCCATGGATGCTGCGCTGAAGAACCCCAACAAGAGAAGAAGAAAGAAGGATGAAGTGGTATGTATATGTTATCTGTTGAAAAAGAAAAAGAATCTAACTCTGTGGCAGGATTTGGAAGAAGCATTCGATGATGAAATTGCAGCTTTAAAGCTTCGAATGGAAGAAGCATGTCAAGCTGATAATGCTGCTCGAGATGCTAATTTACCCGCAACGAGAAAACTCGAAATGTTACCAGAAGTTGTCGCTCTTCTTAACAGAAACACCATTCAACATTCTATCGTCGACCCAGATACCAATTTCTTGCAATCCGTCAAATTTTTCTTGGAACCATTGAATGATGGAAGTCTTCCAGCCTACAATATTCAACGTGATCTTTTCCAAGCACTTGCACGTTTGCCAATTGAGAAGGAAGCACTTTTGAGCAGTGGGATTGGTAAGGTCGTTCTATATTACACCAAAAGCAAGAGACCAGAAATCGGAATCAAGAGAATTGCGGAAAGATTATTGGGAGAATGGTCACGACCAATTTTGAAGCGAAGTGATGATTATAAGAAACGTAAGGTCGCGACCAAGGAATTCGATCATCAGTATGTACATCCATTTCAACATATTTTGTTCCTACTAACATTTTCATCAGAGCCGCACAACTTGCAATCCGTCCCTCCGGTTCTCAATCTTCGCAGATGCCCTCCTCCCAACGAACACAACTCACAGCTCGTGATATTGAACGTCAACGTCTTCTCGCACCGAAAATTATTAGCAACAGAGCTAGAATGGAAACCTCAAATACCAGTTACTCGATTGCCCCTAGAAGTAACTTTGATCCAAGTAGAGGCTTGGATCCATCTGCTAGACCTATTGGTGCAGGTGGTGTAGATGCCTTTAGGAAAATGACAGCCAAACAGGGGAAGAAGAGGTAATAGGATTAAAGCAACGGGCGTGGGCGATCGTGAGATGGAGATGACTTGTATTATTGAACGAATGGAGAAAGAAAGGCATGCAGGGCGTTTTTAACTTTCGTCGGACTACTAACAATAAGATCGTTTCATGGGTATTATAGGAAGGGATAAAGGAAGAACGAAAGGATAATCATTCATACGCATCACATACTAGGCAGTCATCCTAACTAAGTCAATTGGGATCATGCGTTTGAGAAATTTGAAAATACCCCTTTACTGGCGCATTTACAGATCCGTTCCTTTCTCCCGATTGTGAAATGAAGAGTCTATCCGAAAATCAGATGGTTCTCAGTCGATACTCACATATTCCCCCAGTAGACAAAGTCGGGTCCCATTAAAGAGAATGAGAGATACAAGTTCGTCGTGTCCTAGTGATGATGGACGAATGCTAAACATCATCACATGGCATAAATCCATCTAATACCAACAGTACATACCCCCAAAAAATATAATAGACGGAATCATTTCCTCACCAATACCAATACCAATACCAATTTTTTTGCCTCCTCCCCCTTTTTGGCACCCTACGCTTCGTATAGAAATACCTACCTAGTAGTCCCTCCCTCCCGTGCACATCATATCCTTAACCTAGGCATCCTTGGAATAAAAACAAAAAATCTCCTGAAAATTCTACTCCGTAGGCGAATTCCGTCTTACGAACAAGACAGCGAATAGCTGGATATTTTTAGTAAGGTAATTACCTAGTGGATGAACGGATGGATGTCATTATTTGATTATTTTTCAAGTAAAACGTGATGGGATTGATTCGTGATGTTTTTCGGAATTTGTTGGGATTGGGATTGGGACTGGGGACTGGGGAGATAAGTTCCGGGGGTTCCCGATGAGATGAGATGGGAGAACGCGTAATTTATGTACAGTCTACTCTATAATAAGTAGGTAGGAATTTCTTGCATTTTATTTACAGATGTGGTGGGTTAGGTGGGTATGTGTGTTTCTTGATTTCTTGCTTGCTGGGTTACGCTTGCTGGGTTACGATTGCCTCCCTTGCGTGGAGATTTATGATTTATGATGGGTGGCGTTAAACTTTGAAGTTGCATATATCGATGGGGAATGAAGAGCGGATGTACCTCCGTAGGATTGCATGCATGCATGGGTGCCAGACTAATGCTGCGCGGGTCGGGCCTCTCCTTGAGCTTGGTAGGGAGGGGATGGATGCGGTGGAGATAGATGTACTATGTATGTCATGTATGTATGTCATGTATGTCGGTAGCTATTAGTTAGCGTGTTAGTAATGTATTATAGTGTGATGTGCGTGGTGCATTAGATGGATGATGAATGGATAGATGGATGTTGTTATTAACTTGTCTTGTTGTGGTGCTTGGATGTAAGGGGGATTGGTTGAGGTCACCAGGTGGATGGGATAGATGAGGTGGATGAGGTGAGTATCTCAACTCTGTTGAAGTATTAGGAAGGTTGAGAAATTGGAGCAAAGTTTCAGTAGGGAGGAGAGACTTGATATCAAGGCTGGTTAGACATCTACTTTCTATACCTGAATATTCATCATTTTAGTAGTAACTTCAAGTCGATACCCAACACAAAAGTGTATTATCACTATCACCCTGCGAACACAACACAAATCACAAAAAAATCAAAATCCAGAGAGAAAAAACATATGCTTGAGAATCTATTTTAATATTGACTTTGATTTTTTCCTCCTCAAGACTTCCAGTGAACACACTACTGAACTTTCTGAAAATTTTGTAGAAAATTCCGGGTATCCTTTTGCTTGCTTTTCCGCTTATATCCATCCATTCCTTTTCCATTCCATCCATCAGTTTTCCCCCACAAAAAAACGCCTAGTAAAATACCATACACATCACATTGAATTTTCCATGACAGATACCGCTCCAAACACCGTTTGTTCTTTTACAGTTCTTGCATCCGTCACGTTATTTCCATTACCTCCTCTCGAATGCGCCTGTAGAACTCGTAGTAGTAGTTATATCGTACACGGCGAGCCCCTCACTAGCATTCACGATCCATATCTTCCTCTTTGCATGCCATTTGTTTGTTGCGGTGCGCCGTTTTGTGTTTGGTTGGACATCATTAACATTTCGAAAGCTTCGACGCGGGATTTGAGATTTTCGTTTTCTCTTTGGAGGTATTTGTTGCGTTTTTCGAGGTGGTTGATGTATTCTGTTGCTTTAGATAATACAGTTGCCTGTTGCAATTCATTAGTCTCAAAGCTTATCTCAATTAAAAGAGCGGAGAAATGTACCTTATTTAATTTGTGTGCTGGTGTTAAACCTTGCAAATCTTCCTCCTCGTCATCTCCAATATGCTCATCACCATCTTCTTGTCCCCTCGAACATTTTCTTGACATTACTCTCAAACTGGGTACGCTATCTCTCAGTAGAGCAATCTTGTCATTCAAATTCGTTCGGTATCGTTTCTCGATCATGTTATGAGCCGTCTTCTTGATTGGTGGGTGGCGGACGGGCATTTCATCTTCACCGTCAGTATTCGAGTCTGATGAGCAAGCTGATGATTTGCGTTTCAGGTTATTGGTGTGATGATTTGAATTTGACATTGACTGGCGTGCGGGTCTGGGGATGGGAGAATGTGCTGGTGAGCTTCTAGATGAAGTTGGAGAGGTTGGGTATACAGCGGAGTTTTGAGGTTGTTGGGGCATGGCTATAGCGCGAAGTTGGATCTCCTCCTGGGGAGTGAGAGTGCGGTGGTAGATGATAGGTTGCTGTTGAGGCTGGGGAATGGGTTGCGCGCGGCGAATGGTAGAATTGATATTTGAGTTCATTTGCGGTCGTGCCCAGGAAAGAGGCGTGGAATATAAGCCTTCTCGAGATGGGATTTCGATGATGGGTGAGCTCATTAGATTATTGGGTGTGGGCTGAAATAGTTGTTCTCCAGCTTCGCCCATGTTATCGTCACCAAATACTGCTGCTTCGTCGATAGTGGATAGATTTCGAGAGAGTTCGAGACCGCTCATATTAGGCGAGAGGGGCTCACTCTTGAGTTCTGGGAAGAGATCCGAGGTGGGTGATAGAGTTGCGTCACTTGGATCGTCCCAGCGCATCCAATCTTCAAAGGTACCAAAGTCAAATGCTTGACCCGTAGATGATTTTCGGTTGGAGTTTTGGAATGGTTCGTCTTTTGGGAGAATGTAAGAAGGTCTGGAGAATATTGGGTTGGATGAAGTTGGTGATGGGAGAATAGAGTCACAGGAGTCTGAGTTATGGACGAGTGTGGGCTCACTATCCCAGTTGAATGGGGATGTACTCTGCTATAAGAGCTAGCTGTCAGTCAATGGTACAGTGGGGTGGTTTGAGGGAAGTAGAAGAGGACTTAGACCAGTGGAAGCCCATTGGGAGAGGTGGAGTTTACCCACATATCCATATCCGGAATAACTCGGACAACGTGAAAATTCTCAAGACGTGGCTTCCATTGGTTTCATGTAGAGTTTTAAGGAAATAGTAATATACTTACTTCAGTTTGCTGCCGCGACAATGTGAAGTAATCAACGGCAGGCTTCTGGCAAACCACACTTGCCATTGGGGAGATTGATGATATCAGTTTGATTTTGGGGTAAGTCAAAGCTTACTCCTTGAAAGATGTTATAGTTGAGTTGGAGCTCTGAAAGAATATATGGACGCTGTGTTGGTGAGGGAATGCCGAGGTTGCTGTTGGTACAAAGCCCGACAAAGAAATTGATGGTGAATAAGGTGTTTGATAATATGGATGATGTAACTTGAATCCGACTAAAGTCTTCGACTTTTGATGGGATGATATATTTATGATCTATCTTGCTGTGGCTTGAAATGTTTGCTGTATTTTGGGGTATGGACCTTTAAATAAATTCATGGAGGGGGTGATGCCTCCCAGACTCAATATAAAATCCGGAAAGAATCAATTTCCCGGAATGACCATGTGGTAAGAAGAGGTTTCCAGACTTTCAAGCCTCAGTACCGGTTCATCTTCGTTATCATACGAGTATCACGATTTGTATGATGTGATGTTAGAATGAATTGTGGGGATTGAAGCCAATTCCAGACCTTAATTTTGTTCACTGAACATAGGCGGGGGACTCCGGCAAGGTTGAAAGGGACGAAAATTTTGAAAAATGTAAGAAAGACTTTAAGATGCAGCAGAGAAACAACTGGGCACTGCTGGAACTAAATGTATTGGCAGGGCAATAGATGGAAATGAAGAAATCAACGTTATGGAATGGATGAGAAATAATAAGCCCGGTATTGAGCATATAGTATGTATGTAGTACCAAGGGAGTTGTAGACAGAAATGCATCCAAGTTCATACAGCATCAACATGATTCGACAGGAAGTCTGCATTCATGCACCAATATCAAGCTTCGCAAGCTCCTAAGCAAGCACAAGAGTGATCAATCATCAAATTGGGAAATTTCATGGTTGGTTTGCTTGGATATTTCGGAATTAGATGCACGCAGACAACACAATAACTTGCCGGACCCCAATCCCGTATAATATCTCCCAGTCCGCAAAGCTCCCCGAAGGTCATCGAGATCCCATAATGAAACCGGGTCTGATCATCTGTGTATAGTGTATAAGTTTTTGTGTAGGAGAGCGAGACTTTGATAGGTTGAATGGAAAGTTTGTACGTAGTATACCTAGGTAGGTATGAGGAGCAATGCGCATGCCTTTTCGGCTTCTCTCCTAGGGCAGTTATTGAACAATGAATATTAATCGGATTTAGAAACATTTTCGACCTCAAAATGTGTTAGGATGCAGTTTTTAAATGCCATAACTGACGAGAATTTCATATAATGGGCTGATTCTTTAAAAGTTTTCATGCACGTTCCCCAATCAAAGCTTAAGCCAAACCTTACAACTTACAAGCCACTCCTCCCTCATGCATGGTACATTGGTAGCGTAGGTTAACTAGGTTATGGAGTCCTATGGAGTATCAAGAAGCAAGAGGAGTAAAGAAAGGCTGTTGTGGACCCAACCATTACGACCCTAATTAGCTTCGGTTATGTAACTTTAATAATAACTCCACTGGGTGATCCCCTAATTGCTACAACGGAGCGAGCCGGATCAACCTTAATTACCCTATCCAGGTGCTTATCAAGTCATCACCGTTCATTAATTTATTATTATCCTTTCTTCCTTGCGCAATTGCGAGTTTGCGGACGGTACTTGGACTGCCGGTACATATACTCTGTGTCCTCCGTACGAAGCACTGTACATTCAACAAAGTTCCACCAATCATCTTCATCCTGTATATGGTTACCTAGCAATACGTTACAACAGGAGTGACATGCATCAAGAACAGAGTCTTAATTCGAAACCGCGGGAGGCCTTTGCACATTCCCAAGAGTAACAGGGTACGCAGGGACAACTTCCAGCTTGTTGAAATCCTCCGATGTATCTCGACCGATGTTTAACGTCATGCCTGACTCAATATGTATATCTTGTCTGCTCCTTCAAGATTTCAGGAACAAAAGGACCAAGTTATCATCGACGATGAGAAATCAACCATCAAATCAAATAAGCATACAGTCGCTCTGAACACTAATGAGTGTTAGGGGTCCAATAGGATCGTTCCTTGGACGAGGTGCTCGTGCAGTATCGTGGCATATTCTCCAGGGTTCGATAGGCTTTTCACCTGCTTCCATCTGAACTAGTTTGGTAAACGTATGCGCATCCGGAATCTACTTTCACGTCTTCCGTTATTAATTTTGATATTTCTAAACATTTCGCTCGCTTCATCTTTCCTTTCCAGCATAGCCCAATATTGACGTGCATATCCTTTTTGCGTATGGAGATCCTGTGGTCGCAACCGCAAGTGTGTTTGATGCTTTTCCAACTCCCAATTCCAAGATTTTTGTCAATCATGATAAAATTGATTTAGCACTCAATTGATCCGTTGCCTGACACGAATAGTTCATCAAGTTGGTGGGATCACTACATCCCACAGCCGTACACCGCCTACCTAATGTTTTTGTCGTTTCACTGTACGAGGACCCCAAGTGAGCGTTTGCTTCGTTGCCCCGCATTTTGTCTAACCATTTTTCGCAATATATTTATTCGATCCCTTACCTAGCTGAGAGATTCCCAAGTGAGAGGTCCTGCTTGAACGGGCAAGTGCATTATCTGAACCTGCTCTTTCACGGCGGATACTTGCACGACCCTGGTTGGACGGGGGCCCCTCTTCGTGATACATTTCTCCATGAATACTTATCATGGGACTATCGAAATCCCCAAGTCAATGGCGTCAGCCTTCAACCTTCAGCCTTTTGATGCATTATTACACCGGGAAGGTAGTGCTACGATGTTACAGGGTGCTGAGCATAGACTTTTCGATTCCAAGACCATGGAATTTCGGTTTTGCAGTTCTTCATGGCTATTAGATTTGCGAATTTTTTACATCGCCGTGGAACACTATCTAAATGATCAATGGCTATGCTGTGAAGAGCCGGCATAAGGTACGGTGCGTGGGACAGCGATTTATAGGGACAACTTGGCATTGCATAAGGGTTCTTCAGATCAAGGCGTGAAAAGGTAGACCACATATTTGGGGGTCTGCTTGACTTTTTCTTGAATGAAGATATAGATATCCAAATCTACTGGATATACTTCGAATTGCTCAATGAATTAGCTAATGAGAAACTACCCCCACTTCCTGGTGCGAGAACCAACAGCAATTCCATACTACTATCAATGCAAAAATATTCAGGCTTAAGGAAAGATGCGTTTGAATTAAGCTGCTTGTTTTTTGAGTACTCTACGACATTGAACTGTCCCGTCGACGGTATTCGGGAATTCGCAAGGCTTTCGGAATGTTGACGTTCGGCATTCATAAATCAACCGAATTCTTGGTAATTTCTTGCACGAGTCTCGGCGGGCTAGGCCTTCCTCCTTGAAGATATATATTTCCCGCGCCACGGATTTGCCACAGAGGAAAATAGCCTCTTAAGACGGTACGGAGTGATGACAAGAATTTAAAGACCAGATTCCTCCTTGAATCCCGGAGAATGCTGTTTAGTTATGGAGATGGCAGGCAAGAAGTTACTACTGTGCGAAGAAAGTTTGAACTAGCCGTCCAATGCATTCTCCATATTTCACTGTCTACAGCGATTTCTCAGGGTCTCCCGCATGAGCCTTCTGAAATTCTTTCGTAGTATTATCGGCTACCTACCATATCTTGTATATTGGCTAAATATGCCACACCCTGTGCTCATGATGGTTCTCTTAGTATATATTTCGGATGGGTTCTCGAGATTGTTGATCTTGAATATGAGCTTGACTTTACAAGTCTGAAACTTTTGACTGAGAAGCTACAAGTTTTTGAGACGCTACATTTCTTACTCCGATATTATCCGATGAGATAAATTTATGGATCAAAATTGGGGCTCGCCATTGATACACTAGGCCAAGATATGTTTATCAATCGGAAACAAAATTCCTAGATCTCTACATGAATGGGGATTAATGATCACTTTTATGTTGAGGTAAAGACGCGGAGGAGATTAAAGGTACTAGATCTGCTTTCAGAGTTTTGGTGGTATTTTCCAGGGTAGCTAAGGATCTCTAGCCTTGCAGAACGAAGTCGAGCATCATTATCTATGTTACTGCTCTTTGCACGAAAACACTGCGACAATTCATTCTCCTCCTCTCCTCCCCCAACAACTCATCAAATACCGCACAAGCTCGATTTCTCTGTAAACTCTGTTCCTTTAGAATATCACTTCCAACATTCTTTTCTCCAAAATCCCCTCAAAGGCGAGGAAATGTGATGCAGAATGAAAGGCCGGGAGAAAACTGGTCAAGGTAAAGAGTCGAATATAAACCTAAAATATTAAGTCAACCATCTTGCAGTCCTCTCAATTTGCTTCAATTACTACTCGCTAGACAGCAACATATTCCCACCATTCACATTCTACTGTAAGCTGAAGAAGATCAACACATGTACACTAGAATCTTTCCTTCTCTATCCAACCCCGTCAACGTTCAAACATTGTCCTTTCTCCGCAAACCTCCCAAAACTAGATATCTGTACGCTCCAACGGCTAATGAAGCAGCCATGCTTAAGTGAATTTATTGCAAATTTTCCATTCTCTTCATTTCCTCCCGTTTGTGAGTGGTATTAGTTATAGCCACACCCGACCTGGGAAATCGGGATAAAAGGATATTCGTCGGGGAGAATCTAGAGCTGAGATGATCGGTCATACAGGAAAACAGAAGAAATGAATTAAACTGAATTCTCGCTGACAAATGGAGACTTTATAGTGAATTATTTAGCATAATTAGATAAGGCCTTAGTAAACCCCATTTACAAACACATCCTATATTACATCTCATACATACTTTAAATTTCCCCGTAGCAAAATATATTCAATAATGAGCTTACAAGAATACCACTCGATAGGTTTAAAGTTTTGGCAGGAAAAATTACCAAAACGGCAAGCAGAAGATCGATTGTCGCACCAGACAGAGTCAACAGTAGCAAAACCTGAACAAAACTACAAAAGTATATATCTTTCGACACACTGAATGACCAGACTGGGGCACGATCCCAGGACCTTGTCCGTATTTAACAATTATTAAGTGTTAAGGACACGTGATAACCAACTACACCATCCGGCCTATTGTTGTATTTAATTATCCAATTTTTGGATATATATACTCTGGCCATGAATTCGAAAGTGGAAAATTCAATTAAAAAGAAACTGGTGGATTTGGTGGGGTCGAAAAATGGCGTACATAGTGGGGGTTCTCTCGGCTCAACCCCTTCATCTCGGTTATCTAGTTTTTTTTTTTCCATCAAAAATTTTCACTTCAACCCAACACAACCTAGAATCCTCTTGAAATTTTTTGATCTTTCCCTCTGTCTCCTTTTCCTCGATCCACTTGTTTGACCTGAGTATAAACAGACTTAACATTTTTCCAACACGCAATATCTTAAGATTTCCCTGCTGGCGCAATGGTAGCGCGCAAGACTTCTAAGTAGTACATCTACATTTGAATCGATCTTGAGGCTGTAGGTTCGAGACCTACGTAGGGAGTTACCCTGAGTATCCACGGTTTGAATCCGTTTGTTAGAAATCTATGTTTTTGCCATTTTAGTAGTCGACAGATGGATAGTTCTTCCCTGGGAGGAGATGCTAGATAAAACACTTTTGATTAAAATTTCTTCTATCTTGCACA